GCAGCCAGTTTAGATCCATAAGTATGATAAAATATTTCAAATAATTATTGAAAAATTTACTGTAGAGTTCTTAGTTTTTCGTTCCGAGGTGCAGTCATTGAACTTCTGCATGTATACCTCAATTTCATTCCAACAAGCTTTTGAATCAAGTTTCAAAATGCGCTTTATAAATATAAAAAATTGCCCATCAGGAACGCCATTCCAATCGAACACATTTAACAGCTCATTTTCCGTGTTATATCAAATTTTAGTGACGCATTGTCCATTTATTGTTTTCTTCCGAGGGAGGAATTATGTCATATTTTATTGATGAATTTTACGTCTACTGTTTTTTCAGTGCGAGGAATTATGTCATATTTTAATGATACATTTTACGTCTACTGTTTTTTCCGTGCGAGGAATTATGTCATATTTTAATGACACATTTTACGTCTACTGTTTTTTCCGTGCGAGGAATTATGTCATATTTTAGGGACGCATTTGCCGTCTACTGCTTTTTCAGAGCGAGGAATCATGTCATATTTTAGGGACGCATTTGTCAGTAAGGTGGCAGGAGTTTTCCAGGACGCCCGTGTCGGCAGCGCGGTACATGGGCCCGCCGTATCAACTATTCAGCCGCCCCGCTGTCGCCTCCCTTTTACATCATCCCTCTAATATTGGTTCGGACAAAAGATGTTATTTCGGCAAAATACTCTCGGATTTGGTAAGCAACATCGGCGGCGAGCTTGTCCGCAGCCTGAGGGATTGGAATGATAAGGTAATTTTTCCGATAATTTCGTGCTGACATCCTGGGCGTCTCTGCTAAGATTGTATAACGCGACTGAAGGCATCGGAAAGGTGTTATAATTAATAAAATTTTGTCCAATTCCTGGAAGAAAATTGACAGAATTTCAAGATTTAAATAAAAAATTGTGAGAAAGATACAGTCGGTACACTGAGTTGTCCAAAGTTTGATCGGTGTAAAAGTCTTTTCATAACGTGTACAGTAGAACCTACAGTAGAACCTGTACAGTTTCTACTCGTGTACAGTAGAACCTCGCCCTACGAACTTAGTTCGTACAGGGACTATAGCTTCATATAGCGGTTCGTTCGTAAAACGAACCAATTTTTCCTATTAAAATAATAGGAAAGACTCGAACCGATCCATGTAAAGTCTTCCCGAAAGTCCCCTCTTTTACATATATATTTTACTTACAATAGAGCGAAAAAATAATTTATATATTGAGGTTCCGGTCGCAAGTTTCTTGATGATATTCAAAACGCTTTATACGTTATTTCATAGAAATTGATGGAGAATAAATCAAATTTACAGCCTTTTACAATTACTGTTGTAAACTATCACAAGTTAATAAAAGTGGCTATAGTATATCCTTAGTTTATTGTGTGGTGCATCACACGTATATATTTTTTGCCATATATTCTTTGAACGATCTGATGGAGCGTCGAAATAATTAAATTGTTTAACTCCCACGCCAGCCCATCAAACAGATATTTCTAATTGAAAAAATACGTTGAAATTTGAACAGTAACAATTGGCGATAGGCCGAGCGTCTCAGTGGAGACAGACGTCCGATTCAAAAGTGCACGGAGCTATTATTAGCTGCGAGTATTCAATGCAAGTACTTCACACTTCGAATATCGTGCTGATTCATCCGACATGCATAAAAAATACGTGCCTGCATGAAGATGCATAAAACTACGCAAGAATGGATTCACGTGAGAAATAGAATGGGTTTCAAAAAATGAATTTATTTGCTCTTGCTATGGTGACCTTCCTCAGAAATAAAAAAAAAAGGTAAGATAAAAATAAATTCACTTGAATTGAATTTTCCGCCGTTTGTTCAGTCGAAAACTCTGGTAGTGAAATGCAAGTGGAATGGTGGAATATGTCGTGCAAAAAAAAAAACTTTCAGGGCATGTTAGTCGTGGAAAATTGCGGTATGAACGATCAAAGATATGGTATCATTGTAAATGAGAAAATTGTCCATGAATTCCAACTGGAAGTGATACATAATGGCTTGTTCAATGTAGGCTGAATATAATTCGAAATATATAGATAATATTTTAATGCCAGATAGGACTTTATTATATACAAGGTTCTGAGCCAATGACCTAATCTCTCTAGCGCCATGCTGGTGCTGGCAATCTATTAAAATGAGAAGTATTTTAAATAATTATATGGAGCTTTTTTGATATACCCATTGAATAATCATTAATTCGGTTCGAAAAGTTTCTTGAGTTTCCCATGTAGGTTGTTGAAATTAGTTTGTGCACCATATGACATATTGACGAGCGTATATCACATCGTTCGCGTTAAATTTAAGCGCGGAGAGGTTTAACCATGGTTGAATTTATATCTACTAGTTCAACCATGGGTTTAACTGTCTAGCTATCAAACCAAGGTCGTCAGCTTGCCACTAGACCAAGGAAAGACTGCATGTCTAGCAGGAACACTATGAATGGCGCTGAGTAAACTGGCCCCAAGAACCTTGTAGCTGCATGGCTTTCCTCTTCCTTCTCGAAGCTTTTAATATTTAGCTGTAATTGCGAGGTAAAATAAGAAAATTTCATAATAATCACAAATTTATTTCCCTTTCCAAAACATTTCGTTATCTTGCGATCCTATTGGATGTATGATTCGTATCTTGAGTTTGTGAATGCACAGCAAAGTCAGAAAGATTCGTTTCCTACGTCACCTCACAAGAGCCACTCCTCAATGACTTGACCGCGTGTTTAGTTGCTAGAAACCACCAGCACGGCAAATAACTTTTAAAATAATAGTGAGCTCATGTAGAATATACCCAACAGTCATTTGGACATAATCAGTTTCTATTCAAGACTAAGATTATTAATAAAAATATACATCCAAGGACTGTTATTATTATGTTTACATTATAAATAGGTCTAATTTCAATGAAGTGAAATTGTGGGTATAAAGACAACCTTTGCTAAGAGCACTAATTCAATCTAATAATAGTGTTAAAGCTAAGAACACCATTCAACAGTAGTAACTCCAATTACATGAAAAAATTGTGTTTATGTGGGATGAAACGAATGGAGATGGAACAGTGGCTACTATTGTTGTAGTCTACCCGCATCCCATGAATCTACCTCACGTCCAATGGTCCGTCCAGCGCTGGCTGACACTCTCTGCGACTTCCAGTTCCAGCCTCCAGGCTTCAGTTGCCCATGTGGAATCAGCGAAGTAGGGTGTACATACGCCACGAGTGTGTTAACTTTCCTATTGGTAGCCTTCAATATTGTGATTTAGATATTTCATAGCTTCATTATTAGTTGGTGAACGTGCAAAAGGTTGTTATATGTTGTAATAAATTTCATACAGTAATGTAAAATCTCAAGCTATTTACTCTCAGCAGGGTATTTGCTTGCACTAGGTAGCTAGCTACTCTATCTTCGGTACATGCATGGGCAAGAGTTGAAGTGTAGTGACCATGCCTTCCAAGTATATTTGCCGCTGCGACGTCAAGTAAACTTTATTCATTGTTCATTTAAAAATATAGGCCAAACCTCTTTCCTCCTATATGCTTTACCAAAATTTTGTTCATTTTCATATTCTTTTAGCAACGAATTCAATGAGTGTTAGGTGTAGGTGGAGCAGATTTGTATAAACTTTAAGTGTGTGCATTAGGCAATGTACCGCAATATTCCTTGCTGTCGACCTTAATTGCGAAATTGTATTCGATCATCGAATACAATTTCGAATTGTATTTGATCATCGAAATTGTATTCGATCATGCGAAATTGTATTCGATCATTCGATGTCGCGATTCGGCTATCTTTTAATTGATAACCGTTTTCACAAAGGTCGGACAAAACTCGTACGTATGTCGTATTTTTAGCCGCATTGAGTTTCAACTTCAAGTTTCTTTAGAACCCTTGAATAAGGTTTGCTTCGTACGGACGGTGAAATTTAGTTTTATTGAACGAAGGCTCTTCTTGACCAGCAGATGTTCTACTGTGATGAAACTAGTACATGCCTCTTTTATACCGGATCAAACTGATTAAATAATCATATGTACTATAATGTTAATAGCTGCGCATTCCAATTTCCAAGACAATCCGAAACTTTCTTCCCTTTTTATTCTGTTCGATCACTACGATCGGTAGCACTACAGATTACAAAACATCGATTATAAGAATCGAAAGCTTGTAATTTTTACTTTATTTAATTATTTACCAATTATTTCCCTAATTAATTATTTTCACATTATTTTAGTAGCATGAATATTCGCGCGAGAAATAGTTTGTAGCCCAATACTTCTTTTCAAAATTATGCCCACGAGATCTTTGGCTTTTGGTTCTGCGGTATGCGCGCCTCATGGAAGAATAGAAAAGCGTTTTTCTCTCATCTCAATGTGAATGTCATAAATCAATGAATGCTGTTGTAGTTAAACGTAAAATTAATTAATAAATGACTTGAAAGTTTTGCCTTTGCCAAAGATTATCCTCAATTCAACAGTTCGCATCACATTTTACAAGTTGCTTTCAGCAGGAAATACGTTAAAAACTTGTCAAGTTAGCATTACTCTCTGTCACGGTGCCATACTTGTTTTGTCGGCTTAAATAATCCAACTGAATAGGGCATTTAGTATTCTCTTCGAATTTGGACATTGATTTTTCTCCTTATATAATTTATTACCAATTATCGCGGTCAGGTGTATGAATAACAATCTGAGCGTTCAAGAGACTAAGTTGATATTTACGTTTAGAAAAGATCGAGTTTTATACGTGAATCAAAGTTTGTTCGTATCTAAAATTTGCTTATTTACAATTTATTTTACGACACAAGTGTAGAAACAACATAATTCCTGTTAGCAAGAACTCCGTTTCAGAAGCAGATATTGCTTTGTGGTTTCCTTATCCAACCCGTGAAACGTAATGTACAACATTGCTACTAATCTTATCAAATATTTGAATTTTAAGTACAAATATTTGTTCATGATGATTCATTCATGTGTGTTATAGTACTCATTTATATTTTTCCAGAACATCTTTTAAAAATGCAATTGTTGTGGGGTGCTATATTTCTGTTCGTATTGGTGATCGTGCCTCTGAGTATCTCGAACGATCAGCATTGTCACGACCTGCTCTGTGCGAGCGTCGTAAGCAAATGCGCCCTTACAGAGTCATGCAAGTGCGAAATCAACAGAGCGGCTGCAGAGTGCAGCTGCTGCCACAACTGCACCGCGTGTCTGGGCGCTGACTACGACAAGTGCTGCTCGTGTGTGGGTGAGTGACGCGCCGCACCGCGTGTCTGGGGCCATACTTTCAAAATTCGCTAAGCGGCTAAGTGAACTTAAGTACTTACGCTCTATTTTCTTGTCTATGATTGGTGGATTTTGCTTGAAAGGCCGTCAATGATTGGCTAATGAACTTACGACCTCTTAACTTTTTTGAAAGTATAGGCACTGGACGCTGACTACAAGTGCTGCTCGTGTGTGGGTGAGTGACGCGCCGCACCGCGTGTCTGGGCGCTGACTACAAGTCATTAGTTTCTCGTTTATTCTGCATCTTTATAAGTATCAGCTGATTTAGCTCTACTATCAGAAAATACCTTAAAAATGATTCTCCAATTACCTGCATGATGTAAGACTAGAAGTTTTCTAAAGCGTCTATTCTGACCGCTGATCGGCATTTATTTTAACTCAGGTCTGTGCGACCGAACGAGTTCGATGTCACTAGTGCGGGAGTCGCAGGTGGGCGACATTGCCGAGCCTATCGACACGTTGTTCAGGGCGATCGCGTCTGCTCCAGACGAGTACAACATGTGGACGTACTACACCTTCCCCATCGACGACACGCTCGACGAACACGCGCGCAAGACGCAGCGTTCCATCAGGATCGAAGTTTGTGAGTTTAACCAATTGTCTTGAAATTCATGTTATTGATTGTCATTTCCAATGCTGTAGATGAACATTGAAGGCTATTTTTGCATTCATTTAATTATATTATTGGTGTAATTGGCAAGATTTATCTCTTTAATTGTGTCAGAAATTGTAATTTTTGAAAACTTGTTTGATAAATTTTATTTGTGACTTTCTAAGTTCCGTATAATCATGCAGGTGAAACTTGGAGCTTTTGACGCTCAGTTAGATGCACTCCAACAATTCCATCCGTGAAATTATATATGTTAACACACAAAATTTTATTTTTCCACATTGCGCTAAAACTCTAACCATCCAGACCAAAACGTTTCAGGAGTACGTTAATGGCACTTGCAAGCACCGTTGCAGAAACACGTTACACTTTTGATAAGAAATGAGGGTCTTTAAAAAATATATATTGTACCATATGAGTTTAATTCATGTTAACAACTTTCGTTAGAAGCTAACCTGTTTTCTAAACCATGTAGGTACACACATTTCCTCTCTTGTTGTTAGAAAAGGGACAGTTACTTAGGGCTGAACTTGTATTCATAAGATATTAAGAATTCGAATACAAATTTTTTAGAGTTACAAAAAATAATTCTTCATTGTGAGCTTGACTTAGAAGTGATTGCTACCCAGGGTAGGATACTAAGCGGGATTGCTTGTCATCACTTACTGGGTGACATGCTTAACTCGACCACCTGAGGGTAAAGCAAGAGCCATCTACTAAATCATTTGTGTTGATGATTTTCTATTCAATATACTCCAATTAGCGTTACAAATTTTCTACGAAATATGCATTAAATTTACGTTATTGAAATAAATTTATCCTACAGTGCCGCAGAACGGGGTTGAACCTGTAGCAGGAGGACGTACCCAAGTAAACTGCACCGTAATGTATCACTCTCAGTGTATCTCCGTCACCAAGTGCCACGACTACTGCAGCAGACGTGGCGCAGCCTCGTACAGGTGACATAGAATAGTATAACTTAGTATAGTATAGCATTATATAGCATAGAATACTAGGTATAGCATTGTATAGTATGGAATAGTATGGTATAGCGGTTTCAGCGTTCATCAAGAGGTTAGACCTGTCGCCGATTCTCAACATCGCAGAATATTTACAGTTTTTTGCGGTCTCGAAAACCTAAATCACGGCTCCGATTTTGCTGTGCTTAACCGCCCACCCTCCTCGCCGATTTGACCAAAAATATAGCAGGTAGCTGGGATCGAACCCACAACTCACTGCTCCAATCTTGATACTCTGAACTGTAACCGCTAGGCCCCCCTTGCGTGCTATCGGGTGCTCACTGACAGCGGCTGTTGAGTGCTATGATATTCACCTTTGTTTATTGGTAGTAACTTTAGACGCTAACTTTTTAGAGACAAGTAGGATTGACGACCGCTGGGTTGATATTGAATTTTTGTCGGTTACTCCAGTCTACATGCAGGTCGTAGCATGCGAGTACCATTGACCACAATTCGGAAACTGTTCACCCATTCTTCTATGAAAATTACCCCATTTTCTGGTAGATTTGACAACAACCTTATTACCTTGGCCCTTTGTTCACTAGTGGCAACTTCAATCCTCATTCCTTTAGGATACGAGTACCATTATATGATATTAACATTCGTCTAATTACGGCAACTCCATCTACAACGCTTTTATATACTCAGAATTATAAAAAGTTTTATATTGAATCGTCACCAACCAGAAGATATGAATATCCTCGACGATGGTTAATATATCCTTAGATGAAACGTTCAAATGTTTTTCTGGGGGTAAGCTATTCTTAATTCATGGCATTAGATGGACCGGCTCGAACTGTTGTCTGAAACCCTGAAAACCCTTGATACAGATTCAATAAGATATCATTTTCAGATATTTCTTTGATGGCTGCTGCGAATGTGTCGGACTGTACTGCCTCAACTACGGGTTAAACGAAAGCAAGTAAGTTAAACTATTAACTGCAGGGTTAGTGGAACTATTTGTGCTATTTACAGCACTATTCGTGTCATATCAACTATCTTTGTTTTGGGAGTATAAAATAGTTTTTTTATTACAATTTCCACACATACATTGATTAGGTATTCCCTGAACGAGTTGTTGTCAAGCCAACAGAGACTCGCAAGCCGAAACAAATTAATGGATTTTTTAAATCATAAACTAACAGTTTTTTATTTACGAATGCGGTGTACGAGTGCGGTTAGTGTATCTGTAGACAATGGCTCACATATTCAATAAGGTAGCTTAATGACAATTAATTTTGAATGAACAAATTTCTTAGCCAAAGTGTTGTTGAGTTGATCTCAAACTTCCAAAAAACGAAGTCGCGAAAGACAAGACTAGACACTAATCAGCCAATTTATTTTTATGTTTTCGGAAATTAAACTGCACAAAGACAACGTGTGTGCTAGTGTGGTCGTTTGGTTGTTCGGCTTTCCCGCAAAGCTTTCACTCGCATGCTTTCACTCTCAATTTACCGTATTAAAACATCAACTACTGCTCGGATTTATCGACCAGGGTTTATTTTGAATACTGATTTTATGGAGTTGAAGAGTTTGTTTAAATTATTTTCATCTCTATTTTTTCAAATGAATCGTTTCCTGTAGCTAGTCGTTTCATTGCTCGCTGAATTAAATAAACATTGTTGCTTTGTGCAGATGCGCCGAATGTTCTCAGCCCAGTGAAGAAGCCGGGGAAAGTGATGTCTACCCTGGCGACAAAAACAAGGACAACCTGACATGAGCAAAGCATTCTTTCATTTGCTGTAACGAGTCGAATAAAACTTATTCGTGTAGTTATTCTCAGTAGCCGGACTAAGTCTGCGATTGTATGATGATCTAGGTGTCAGGTTCGAAATAAATCTTAGCATTTAAAGTATTTTTTTCCTTAGTAATATTTTCTGAATGAGAAAAAATATTAATTTGTTAACAATTTTTTGTTATTCTGTGATATGATGCAGTAACTGCATTGAGAAGAAGAGTTAGTTTAGTGGCCAAATGTTTACTAGCGCTTCAGCTATTTAGCTATCTCGCACCGAAAGTCATGCTGAACATCACCAAAGGGGTGGAAGGTCTCATTTATCGAAACACTCTCAAATCAAACATTGTTCATCACCCACAAGAGAGACAAAATGACGAGGAGGGACAGTCGAAAAGACGGTTTCTAGCACAAGATTTAATAGCTAAAAAGTGGCCCAAGTTAAAGCAAGCGTTACAATTGCTTAATATTTTTCGGCTGTCCTAAAATTAATTATTCCAAAATGGTTATTCGTTTAAAGCGGGGTTCTTTGATGCACTTACTGTAGCATGTGAAATGGAATCTACTGTGGTAAATATATTTCCAAGCAATATATTTTATATCGATCTCCTTCACTATCGGGCATTCCAAGTTTAACGTGTTAGCGTTGACTTAGCTCCAATTGATATTCAATTCGTCGTCGTTTCACAAGCGCTCATGGATGTTAATGATGCAACAATTGAATGAACACATTGAGATGTAAGGTGGCAGTCTGGTGGCTCATCTTTTTTGCGTTTTAGCTGTTCGCGGTCTTTCTGTGCCTTCAATTCTTAGTACCAGCGCGATCAGAAATTATAGTTATGAACTGATCGGAACTGTTTATGATGAACTTTCTTTTCATTTGCTGACAATGATGTCAACTCAAAAATGGCCTTCGCCACATGAGTGATAATTTTCAATAAATATAAAAATGAATAATAAATTTTTGAGATAAATCTTTCGAATAAAACGAATTCCGTTAGTTTTTTGTGGTCTAATTAGTGTGCCAAAAAAAACATTACTCGCGATATGAATATCTTGAAACCTCTTTGAATATCTCATTGGCTACCCTCAAGCTCAGCATTCAAGGTCCGAACTATAATGGTGTTGCATCGCGTTTGAGGAAAAACATACTAAATATTATTAAAAGCCGGCCACACACATACACAAATATTATAAAAGCTTATTGGAGCAAAAAAATGCTAACCTTTACTCATGGCGCTAAACTTTATTGATATTTTGTGAAATTTTTCATCTAGTTTAATATGAGTCAACCTACACAGTTGGACAAGCAGGCTTTGCTGGAAAGCCTTGATGGTTGGGTTCTGGGATGTCTTGAAGATGAATTGTCAAAAGAAGATGCATGGCAGGGTTTAGCACAAAGCATCAAGATGCCCAATGGCTGTCAATTGTACAGGTAATATTTCAAATTCCAGTGATTTTTAATGACTTTGATAATAAATATAACTAAATATTTAGAAAATATTTAAAATAAGGAAAACTTTGGAATTTTGTTTGAATTTGTTTATCTGTAATTACATTATTTATACCATTTTAGTAGTAACTAGTAAATGCACCAAAAAATTTGCTTTTGATTGTAATGAAAATTAGATAGGGTAAACGCGGTATATTCCGACATCGTAGGTAATTCCGTCACTTCTCTAGTTTTTCCTTTATATTAAGCTTTGTTTTAGTTCCATGCGTTCATTGATGGTTGAAATGGTGACGTCATACATTTGCGTGTCAAAATACTGCAAAAACACTAGGTCATGGCCATCTAGCGGGAAAATATTGAGATCCAAGGAGAGACAATGCATGCCACGTGGTGAGATCATCGAAAAATGTGTCAAATTTGACAGTTGACATGGCTCTACCAAATTATGAAAACTAATTCCAACACAACTTGAATTGGACACACACAGATCGTTCAAAGCTTTGTACAAAAATTAAAATTTGCTTAATTAAAAGCCTAATAGCTGTTAATTAAAACGTAATTAAGTAGTGTTCAATATTCGTTAGTGTTCTAATTCAAAGCCGTGTTGTATCCCAATACAGCTCACACAGCAAACGGAATTCGAACACATGGATGTCGGCAATACGTATCAGTTAAATTTGAAGCGCTGACGCAATACGACTCACCACGTGTCGGATGTTGCCACACAGAGTGACGGAATATAGGGATTTGGTAGGTTTCTATTCTAAAGGCTTTTTAATAAATATGGCAACATTTTGTGACGTTTCATCGTTGCTGACTCGTAGTGAAGTGTTTTGAGAGTCATGTGAAGGCAACAGAACTTACGTAACGCATACGGTTTTTTTTTATAGTTTTTCATTTCTCGATGCGTCCTTAAAGTGTCGGAATATACCGCGTTTACCCTATTACATGTGAAAAGAAATCTAGAAAAATACCATATAAGTATAAGTAGAGTACAAATACCTATTTATACTCCGCCTATATTTAGGCTATATGGTATTTTCGAATGATGCAGATGCACTAGTTTGCATTTAGCCCTATTCAACTAAATTGAAATACTTTTATTTAAAATAAAAGTGAAAAAGCTACAAATGTCACAAAATGTGTTTCTTTATTCAATAATCAGTTTCAAATCACATCACATGTCACATCACATGTCAGTTTCAAAGATTTTAGCATCATTGTATTAGAAAGATCTTGTTGTAGGCTACCGTAAAATGGGGTTACTTTGACCGGCGGGTTAACTTTGACCACTTTTCATTTTTTCAACAAAAACCCCCAAAACTCAAAAATGATTTGACATAAAAAAATATTGTCAATGGCCATCAAAGGCCTAATACTGAGGCTACGTAACACAATAGAAAGATTTAAAAAGTTTGCATATCTAATAGGTTAAAAAATTAATGATGTGACCCACAAAAAAGAGCTATAATTTAAAGCTTGTCGGAGTACCCCCTCCAATTTTTTTATTTTTTGGTAAAATAACTCCAGGTTTTGATGCATTGTAGTAAAACTCTTCTAGTTACATATGCAAAAGACAAATTTTAGGAAAGTGTCATAGTTTGCAAATGGGGGGCACCACCCCCCAATGGGGTAACTTTGACCACCTAATGGCAGCCGTGATGGGGGTAACATTGACCAGCTTGGAAATTAAGTTAAAATTACCATAGGTACCTATATAACATATTTTATGATTGATACACCTATTAATGTTTTTTCTTCATGTTTCAGACTCTAGAGAGTCTTACATATATATATATATATGGTAATTTTAACTTTATTTCCAAACCGGTCAATGTTACCCCGGCACAGCTGCCATTAGGTGGTCACATTTTGCCCATTGCCCCCCATTTGCAAACTATGACACTTTCCTAAAATTTGTCATTTGCATATGTAACTAGACAAGTTCTGCTATAATGCACCACAACCTGGAGTTATTTGGAAATTGGAGTTATTTTACCAAAAAATAAAATTGATTTTACCACCCGGTCAAAGAAACCCCAAGAGCTGGGGTAACAAAGACCATCACTTTTTTTGTAATTACATCAAAACTATGAGAGGCAGGAGCCAGCAATTTATGGTAAGTAAAGCTAGAGTATAGACCTGTATTTTGCATGTTTCAATTTAAGTTTAACTTATCTAGTAAAAAAATGGCATCATTAAGAAAAAAAAAAGTGGTCAAAGTTACCCCATTTTACGGTATCTATTTTAACTAAATTAAAACATTTTGGTTGAGATTTTGACAACAGTGCCATTATCAAAAAAGAATTATTATACATATTATTCTGGTAGTAGAATGCTTAGGAATTAGTTAGGAACAATGAAAAATCAAAATGATAATAAATCCTCAATTTGTGCAGGTATTTCATGATAGTATAAAAATGAAATAAATAATAGTAGAAGATAAAGCAATTGGAGTCAACATGTTAATTTACACACCAACTAATGCTTTGTGCAAGTATGAGACTGTTTAGTGTTTATGCAAACCTTTTGTGTGTGGAAGTTTTTGGCTGGATAGTGGATAATGAAACTAAACTGCAGAATATTGCCATTCTAATAACAAAATTTCCTCTGTATCTAATTGCTCTTAAATTTTGTAGAAGAATTAATAGGTATAGAAATAAATAATGATCATAGTCTTCAGTTAGAGGCTTAAAGTTATTACCACTGATAGCTCTATTATTTCAGCATGGGAGAGCTAAGCTACCTGAAGCAGTCACCACGTCCAGCAGCAGCACTGATCAAGCAGTTGGTACAGAGAGGCCTATCTCTGGCCAACCTCCTGCAGCTTCTGCAAGCTGCTCAGCTGTCACATCTTCACTCCATACTTTCTCCTAAAGGTTTGCTTCTTACACTCTTTAGTGTGTGATCGTCTCCTTGAAAATCTCTTGCATGTCAATTGCCAAGTGCAATTTGTTGACGCTTGAACTTTATTTTTCTTATTTGATTTTATCCTGATTGACATTACTATTAATTATTTCTTTACCTGCTTACTGCTGGCTAGCTGTAGAAACTTTATATATACCTATTGAATTTGAATAATATATATATAAAATTATGATTTTCTATTAAAATGGTAATTTATAAATTCAAATATTTTTAGATACATCAATACTCTATGGAGACTGTTTGATAATTACTTGATATTTTTCAGAAGTAGCAAAGATCACAAGTCAGTCGCATGAAGGCTGCTTGCCAGTCAAGCTTGGAGGCAGTGTGAATGTAACCATCAGCACCTCAGGCAACCCTCCAGCTGAACTTGTGTGGTACAAAGGCAGCTTTCCTCTACTGCATCAAACCTCCCACTCCCTCAAATTGCAACAGTTTGGGTGGGTTGTGCACTTGCAGCTGACACTGACTGTGGTGAGGTAATGTACGTACTGCAATTTTCTTCTTTAACTTTTGGTTTTTCTCATGTTTATCAAATGAATTTTGCCTTGATAACATTTTTGTAGGTTCTTCTGGTACGTATGAGTGTCCAGGATGAAACAATTTTGTTTAAGAGCAACATTGTGCAGGTGACCTATTTTGAGGACTTACCTAGTTTTGAGGCTATTTTTCTGTCTAGAGTTTAAATTTTCCCTGCATTTCTGCATAATTTTTTAATTTTCAACCAATCTAACAGCTGTCAATCAAGCTTTAATATGACTTCATCTGTTGATGTCACACCAATTTTTCACTCTGTTGTGGCCATTTCTAAGCTTGATCATTGTTTTTTAAATCTTAATCTAGACATGTAAAATTTTATGACAATTAAGTGAAAGCAGTTTTGGCATTGCCCAAATAAGTAGGGGGTTTATGTGTGGAAATTTTACTTTAATTAAGTCTTGTAGGTATGTGTAGATACATAAACAGCAACCTCAATTCTACAAATTGAATGGAATGTTCCATCATTGAGAGAATTTGATGCATTGGACAGAAAGAAATCAATTACCTATGGAGTGTCTGCTGATTTTCAAGCCTATATTTCTATTGATTAAAATTTGGAACAATGTAACTTAAACAAAGTGGGTAACACTGAAAGTGGGTTCAGGCTGCTCATGGCAGAGCTCTCAGAATTATTTGACATGTTGAATCTTGAATAGCTTGTTGAATGTTATCTTGAATAGCCTACACTGAATACCTGTGACTGAGTTTAAGTTACTAGGAAATGTTCAACATAATGCAATTACTTGCATTTTGGCTGCTCATGTAGATAATAGATATTTTAATAGTTTCAAGGTTAACATTTTCTTAGAGATTGTTGTGCTGCAATAGAAACACATGTTTTATTTTTTTATACATATACCGGTATATATTTTTTTATTGAAGATGTGACTTCTCTCTTTAATTTTTTTCTAATTTTGTAATTGAGTGAAATTATAAGCTGAAGATCCTGTAAATTCCAGGTTATGTAATAAGTGAAATAAATATGGAAAAGAGGTTCTATTAAAATAATGTTGGCATTCTTATGCATCCCAACTGCTGTTATATATTCTTTACTTGCTACATTGTGAAAAAAATCCTGTGACTGGTATATCGTGGTCCATTAATGCAGCATTATTACACATCAAACGTGCTCTTGTGTCTACTCCTACTATTCAGTACTATTAGGTACAGCTTGTGCAATCGCCGTTTCTGAACGCAAGTAAATACACAGAGAGTAAGAGGAGATTGGTCAAGTGCTTCATGCGTGATGAGGGTGTGAAGGAATCTTTGACTTACTCATAATGTCTGTGAGTATCCCTAGGAGTAGAATGTGAGGCACATGAGAAAGACACCTGATGGTGGAAGTGATGCTGGAGTAAGGTAAAACTGTTGGCATGAGTCATGGGAGAGCATGTAAGGCATGGATTACAGTGTTTATGGGATTGTTGGAGAAAGCAACTTTGGATGTGATCATAAGCGATGAAAAATATTTTGAAAGAGTGCTTGATGAGAGTTACGAGAGTGATAAATTTTAATTTAATATATTTTAGCTTTATTGTAATGTACTAGCATTGATTTTTTTCTTTTAATATTGTGAACCTGACGGCTGACTAATGCAATGGTCTGAAATGTTCACATCGCTACTCCATCTCCAGGCCACAAGATGAGGGCATCTACTTGTGTCTGGTGCGACAGAAAGTCCCGCTAGACTCCCCCCAGTGGACAGGTAATCACTTTTCTTTAAATATTCCAAATTAATAATTTTTTCTTTTCATAATGCATGTTTTCCTAGCAACTAAGGTGTTGTGTTTACATACATACATACAATTGGCTAGGCTACTGGCAATATTTGTGAGGATTAAATTTAAGTGAGCTCATTGAAGGGATCTTAAAGCAATGATCTACGATGTATTTATTTGTTAAGAATGCAAATTAATCATATTAGAATAAAAATTTTAATTTCTGTAGTATAAAAGTAAAGAATATATCAATAAAGAAAACCATTTATTGGCTTAAATTAAGGAAGTATTCAAATTACAAATGAAAATTAGTCATATTAGAATAAGAGTTTTAATTTCTGTAGTAAAAAAGTAAAGAATATATCAATGAAGAAAACTTCTATTGGCTTCAATTAAGAACATAATTAATTTAATTGATACATTAATGCTGGCACTAAATATTTGGCTTGAAGGTGGTGTGAAACCAGCATGAATTCTCGAATGTCAGCTTTAGTGAAGGAACCATGAAACTAACCAAATCCTTATCCTGGCCATTTAAAGCCATTAAAATTTAAGAAAGATTTGCTTTGAGTCAATGTTTATGCACTAAATTAGAACTTACGACCTCACTAAACATTCCTTATGCCACCATAATTATAGTCAATTATTTTATGTATGTGCATCTGGTGGATAAATTTGTGGTGAATGTTGATAAAAAATTGATTTAATGTATTAAAAAGTCAACTCTGCGTAAATTACACTACATGCATTGTGCTTCTTTCCTCCTACTGCTCTTTAATTCATCTATAGGAATTCTCTTTGAAGAATTGTCTGTGCATGAAACGATATATATTCTGAGCTAGTATTGATTCTGTGCAGGAATTGCTGGAGAGTATTTGGAGCTGTGGAGCAATCCTGTCGAACTTTGCCTCATGGAGACTGTTCCTGTCTTCTCCTTGGAGCCTGTGGATGTAAAACTAAATCTTGGGGATAAGGTGAACCTATTTTCCTTCTTTTTTTTTTTAATTTACTCGCGTCTCTATCAAAAATTATATACTCTTAAAATTAACTAATGTATTGATTGGTATTAATCACAAATTGAAAGTGATATTGAATTTATTTATTAAATAACCTCTTATTATTTATTAAAGTAAGCGTTTCCTTGTCCTCGGTATTATTCACGTTCACAAATTAAAAGTGATATGTATTGGATTCATTTATTAAAATAGCCCTGTTATTATTATTATTTATTAATGTAAGCATTTTCTTGTACCTAGTACCTATTAATCACGTTCACAAATTGAAAGTGATATATATATATTGGATTCATTCATTGAAATAGCCTTGTTATTATTATTTATTAAAGAAAACGTTTCCTTTTACTTGGTATTATTCACGCTTACACTATGAAAGTGATACGTATATATTGGATTCATTCATTGAAATAGCCTTGCTATTATTATTCATTAAAGAACGCGTGTTCACTCTGTACACGAGGCCGAAGTAACACTTGTTCTGCCATGGGTTGTTCAGTTGCTGCTGGAGGTGCGATGTGACGCGACGTACCCGCCTCCTGTGTACCGCTGGTACAAGGACCAGCAGCTCCTTATTTCTTCTGACAGTAATGTTCTCTCTGTGAGTAGGACTGAAACTTGTCAGTTTAGAACTCTACCTTGTTTCGGTGAGTATATAATAATTGACATTATCATTGTCAATTAGTTGTCGGATAATTGATTGACAACAATCATTCGACTTTTCGGATGATGGGCCTGAAAAGCAACTGCAAAAATTGTCCACAGTGAGAATAATTGTGCGTGTCTTGAAGTACCGGTAGTTTTGAAGTAGGTATGTCATCAAATTCTAACATGAAGTGCTGGCTAAGGATGTAGCGTAGCTCATGAGCTAGCAGCTTTATGATGTCCTAGAAATTTAATATTGACAAGTCAAACAGGGCTTGGCTCAAGCTTTCAATTGTGTTATCAAGGAACGTTTCCTATGTATTTTCTTCTTCGACATTGCCGGCAGATGTTCATGTCGACAGTTCATAAGTAAAACCATGAATCTGTACCAGTCCTTTCTTCTATTGCTACCGCATTGTGGAGCGCACATTGTGCCCATGTGCTGACTCCTGTTGAGGAAATCCTAGTGTCCTTAACCCCAGCTTCCTCTTTTTAAAATTGGTTACCCACTTTTCTTATCTAACGCGGAGGGAAAATCGTCCTCAAGCCTGTACTTCTCATCAAAATCCTAACCCGAGTCTCTTTTATTCAGCTTATTAGGATGCTGCTGTGGCAACAACATACAGGCTTTTAAAAAGATGTGCACGACTTTAGAATGGGCTTTTGGAATTGTTTTATCCTTATTTGTGCTCCTAATAGATTTTCATCATCTCAGTGTTCTCTGCTAGACACATTTTTTCCGAATATTACGTTTCTCTATAAACTAAGCCCTAGTCGTAATTTTCGTTAATCCAGTTTCTAAATACTGCATTTCGTTTTACATTAGATTTTTATCTTATGTTCAAACGTCTCATTCTTTTAGCTGATACCTTGCTAATTCTGCACTTGGGCTCAACAAATGATCATTATTTTCCAAGACATCACACTCAAATTTGCAAATACCGTGTTTAAATCTGGCTCATTTCAACTGACGTTCTAAACTGATGAAACTGCATGCTAAGCACAACTTAAAATCGCAGGTGGACAGAGTGGACGTATCCAGCGGTGGTCTGTACTGGTGTGTGGCGCAGAATGTTGCCGGGAAGGCGACCTCACGCCGCTGTTCTGTCCTGGTGAGCAAGACAAGTTGGCTTATTCCACTTGCTTACTTGAGCTCCGTGATTTACTACTGGAAATATAAAAAATATAACTCGGTACTCACTGCAGTGAGTGACAGAGAGTGCATTTTCTCGTCGACGAAAACGTGAAGTCACGGACGGACAGACAGACGGACATGGCGAGCACAATAGTGCATTTTTTTCGTAAATGAGAAAATGCGCTAAAAAGGCTGATATGATGGCTTGAACCGCTCTTATGGCGATGTTATTTTTTATTTACTTGCTTACTTGTGGCGCTAGCTTTTTTGTAGCGCCGGCTTCCTTATTCATGTTTCTAGCTTTTTGCATTTTTATTTCATCTGCCTCTATGTGTTCATTATGATCTAATTGCTGCTAATATGTTACAAAAGAAATTTTCTCCATCACCCTTTCTTCCAATAAATATGGAGTAAACTTGATAGTTGGCACGTTTCTAGCAGCTCTGGCGCTTTACATTGCATTACTTTTTATGGCTTGCACACAGATAATTCACGGTACCGAATCTAGTGTCTCAATTTCATGAATTAAATTTTGTTTCTGTGTATAAAGAGCCAAATTAAATTTCTGTCTCTAGGTTTACGGTTTCTGTAAAGTATATTTGCTGATTTATATATGCACGATGGTATACGATGCCTGTAAAGTATGTTTGTTTAATTATAAGTCTGGCTCTAGGTATGCGTTGCCTTTAAAGTATTTAAGTGAATTACATTTCTGGTTCTAGGTATGCGGAACCCGTGAGATATGCGCTCCGGTATTGGTGCGAGAACCCCGCGTCGCAGGCGCTGCAGAAGGAGAGGTCGTGATGTGTCGCGGTCAACCGCTGCAGCTTTGGTGCTCCGTGCGCTCTGCTCTGCCATGCACCTTCACTTGGACCAACAACGGCTATGCTATGCCTGGTACGACCGCTTTTTTGTCCAATAGCTGTGAATGGTTTACATTTCCGCCGTTTAACATTTTTGACAACGACTATGCAGTGCATGGATCTCAGTTTTTAGTTCACTTATCGCTTAATTGTTTCATCAGCAATGGATATCTTTGGAAAGGAATTTTTCTTTAGCAGGGAATAAATTTTATTACGCTTTAACATAATGGTTAAATACGGCTACAACGTTGTATATTTTGGTAACAATGAAGCCATGCCGTGAGGCGAAGTAATGACAATAAAATGCTGTGTTGTGCAGGCAAGAGCAGCCCTTGGCACAGCACAATGTGCTCGCATGATGGTGACGTGTGGCACAGCTGTCTGCTGTACACGCCCTCCGACACAGACCTGTCGCTGCTAAGGCTGCTGTGCGTCGTCTCGAACGAGGCTGGTCAGGTGAACATGGTTGGGCTCTTCAATAAGTGTATCCTACTGAGAACTAGGGTTAATTTCAAAGGAATAAATCTTTATACTAATGTTTACCATGCTTTGTAACATGGTGCCTGCGAGATAAAAAGGAATTTAATGATGAGTAATGTGAATTTTGATATGACCTCTAATTCCGACACATAGTACCTATACAGAAGGTTGATTTCAGTTAGCCTGGATTTCATGATAATAATATTTGCAGCACTGAAGCAGGTCTAGCTTACTTGTACAGACAGAGATCTTCTTTGCCTGAAACCTGAATGAATTCCGCCAAAAACATGAGAGTATTTTACAAATTCTTATAACTCAGAGAAATTAACCCTCAACGGCCGTATGCCACTCTCCGGGAACATAACTTTCAACTTGAATTATACGTAATCTATTGAGTGTAGCAACCTGAGGACGTATGTACGCAACAGAGTACATTTTAAAGTTGTCGTACGTGGCGGCAACCATCAGTGCAAGTCATTTTGCGCTCACTAGTTACGTAACCTATTTGAGAAGCAGGCTTGTGACAATATTGCTCCGGTTACTCATGTCAGGCGGCAGAGGGTTAATAATGAAACTAGACGGAAAATAATTAAGAGCTCTTGAGATTTTTTTAGCTGAAGCAAGAGAATAGTTTGTGCCCGCTACCAATGTTTCTCGAGGATGATCTAATGTTTTTTAGTGGCTGATGATGTGTTCCTGCTGCAGGTTGTATCCCGCGAGGTTGTGGTGAGACTCAAGGAACTAAGCACCGCCCCGCGAGTTTACTCAGGTCAGTAGCGAGCAGATTCCACGTTTACTTTCGGGGGGTAAACCGTGCAAATTTGCTGAGGTAAATGAAAATTAAGTTTTCCGTTTACCCACGGGATTACGTGACTGTTTTTCTGTATTACTTAATATTATCTGGCTGCCGATGGTGAATTTCGTAGTTATTCAGTATCGAATGAGGTGATGTTGGTTCTTTTATTTTAGTATAATCACTGAAATTATTTGATTTTTAACTCATGTTAATGTTAACAACGCAATTTTTAAAGCAATGAATATTGTTCTCAATGCTTTTTACTGAACTGAAAACTCTGCAGCGTACAGGAAGTGGGCGCTTCTGGTTGGCAACTGCCGCTACGAAGGCAAGCCGCTGCTCACGACTCTGCCTGACTGCCAGCGCATCGCTGCTACGCTCACAACGCATGGTTTCAGGTCACTAGCTGTGCTCCAAACGTGCCTGTATCTCTTAGATATGAGTATTTTTTAATTTTATTCATTTTTTTAGTTTTTGTGGAGTATTTTTGAGTTTGCATCGAGTATTTTTGGTTTTTCTTTGAGTAACATAAGAGGTTTTTATTGGTGACAGGCTGGACCCCAAACGTGTTTTTATCTCTTATGTTCGAGGCATGAGTTTCTTATCACGAACGTGTCTATATCTCTTACAAATGACTTTACTGCATTGAGTTACATAAGAGGATTAATGGGCGAATTCTCAACGATAGTTTCTTCTGTAAGGTTATAGCTGATTGAAATAGTATAACATGCTTTACCTGTCGTTCGTAAGCTTCCCTGTTGCCAAGAAAAGAGGTTATGCCTCACTAATATTACTTCTGGAAGAACTTAAGTCTTGAAAACAATATTTATGTTCACTCTATAAGTCTTTAAAAACAATATTTATGTTCATTCTATAAGTTTTTAAAACAATATTTATGTTCGCTCTATAAGTCTTAAAAACAATATTTATGTTACACTCTCTATGTTCACTCACTCTAATCAACTCACTCAATTCAGTTGATTAGAGTGCTCAAAGATGAACTAAATTACTCTCCATATAGCTTGTCCAAATTCCACAATACCGCTGCTTAAAGATTGAAAAATTACAATTTATATCCAGTCACTCTTAAGTAAAAAAGGATCTACGTCCTATCTAAGAAATAACATGACTGCGCTGGGGTATAATAATAGATATTTATTGGAACACATTTCTTGATTAATAAGAAATTTCAGTTACTATTCCGTTAAAATCCATGGGTCCTTGTGGGTGCTTCAACAACAGAATGTTTTGTCATTAATCGGAAACTGTTTAGTTCACCGGACTCTGCCCAAGATGGATGATCTCTGCAATCGAAAACGCGCTACCCCGTATCCTGTCTTCCCCAAAAATCATCCTGAATTCCTATCCTAGTTAAAAATGTCTAAACTACTTAATGTAATTCATAGAATGGTCCGTTCCAACCAATATTTAGCATGAAACTCGTATTTAGATCCGATTTTGAAATTAAAAGTAAATTTAATTTTATTTGTTATTGAATAACGATTATTGTACCAATTTAAAAATCACTTCTCTCCCTTACCACCCAGAATGAAACTTCGGAACCAGGCAATATCCCGACACGATAAATGTTGTTCACACTTGTATTTATCTTCTATAATTGAGCAGGGCTTCAAACGCACAAACAAACTTCCTATTGTGTGTTTAATAAGGTACATGAAATTTACTAGATTGTTTACAGGTGCTTGGTGTTGGCTGATCTGTCCTTGTCACATTTCCGTAACGCGGTGAGCTTGATGTGCACCTTCGTCCAGCCCGGCGATTACGGTAAGCCTCTTCCCCTAGGACGCTAGAATAGCCGCTAGTTAGGAGAAAGTCATTCTAAGGTGTTGTTGGTTAAATATTAAGAGTTATTGCATATTTTTAGTCGCTTTTTTGGTAATTCCTTCGACATTCGGGCTCTTTTAACTCCAATGAGTCCTTTAATGCAATTTCGGCATTCAATGTCGTAAAATGCTCCTGGAAGTTGAATGTTGAAAGTGTTGAAGTTTCATGTTTCCTAATCATGGTCATGAGAAATCAAGTCTTATTTAGGATCTTGTGCTGAATTTGTCCGCCTTCTCTTATCACTCAAGGTTGGTACAGAGTGAACCGTTGAAATTTCCCTCTAGCCAAAGATTCAAATCGCGATACATCAGGTTTCAAACGTCCCGAAATATCATATATTTGATCTAATTCATGCTTGCAAATATCATTTGTTTTATTTCATGCTTGCAAATATCATCATCTGTTTCATGCTTGTCCGCCTCACACTGTTTGCCCTGCAGTGATGTTCTACTACGGCGGCCACGGTTACCACGACAGCGGTGACCGTATGATCGCCGTTGATGGCTGCGACGCGACGGCCGCGTCGTCTGAGGCGGCAACGCTGCGGGGCAGCTGCCTGTCCCCCGTGTGGGTGAGGAATGCTTTCCTGCGCTGCACTCCCGCCTTGCTCTTCATCGTGCTGGACATGTGCAGGACCACGCTGCCACCTGCCACGTGAGTGCCTCACGCTATTATCATTGATGCCGGACTTGTGCACGAACACGCTGCCACATGCCATGTGAGTGACGCATGCTACGTAAGTGCCTAATACCCTGCTCTTCATCACACTGGACATGTGCAGGACCACGCTGCCACCTACTATGTGAGTGCCTTATGCTATACCGGACATGTGCACCATCACGCTGCCACATGCCACGTGAGTGACGCATGCCACGTAAGTGCCTAATACCCTGCTCTTCATCACACTGGACATGTGCAGGACCACGCTGCCCCCTGCCACGTGAGTGCCTCATGCTATAATGGACATGTGCACCATCACGCTGCCACATGCCATGTGAGTGACGCATGCTACGTAAGTGCCTAATACCCTGCTCTTCATCACACTGGACATGTGCAGGACCACGCTGCCACCTACTATGTGAGTGCCTTATGCTATACTGGACATGTGCACCATCACGCTGCCACATGCCACGTGAGTGACGCATGCCACGTAAGTGCCTAATACCCTGCTCTTCATCACACTGGACATGTGCAGGACCACGCTGCCACCTGCCACGTGAGTGCCTCATGCTATAATGGACATGTGCACCATCACGCTGCCACATGCCACGTGAGTGACGCATGCTACGTAAGTGCCTAATACCCTGCTCTTCATCACACTGGACATGTGCAGGACCACGCTGCCACCTACTACGTGAGTGCCTTATGCTATGCTGATCATGGTGCTGTACATGTTCACAATCACGCTGCCACATGCCATGAGTGACGCATGCCTCGAGAGTGCCTCATGCCGTCATGCCACGTGAGTTGCCTAATGTCACGTGAGTGCCTAATGCCACGTGAGTGCCTAATGCCACGTGAGGTGCCTAATGCCACGTGAGGTGCCTAATGCCACGTGAGTGCCTCTTGCGATGCTGTTCATCGTACTGAACCGCACTGCTTCATGCCATGTGGCCGTTGCAACGCTTGCTTATGTGATTGTCTCTCGCTGCACGAGTGTTGTAGATGAAATTCACTCACGCCCCTGCTGCTATCCTATCACTACTGGTCGTTGACTGGATCTCTCATATATGCTTTTGTTACGAATTCTCCGTCATACAGTAGACTGAATGTGGCTACCAAGGTGCTAGTATATTATTATCACTGTAATCATCAAGGAAAACTTTCGTGCACTGAGTTTCGTTATCATTATTGCCAAGCGTTAGTTAGCTGATCAATTTGCTCCAGCCGCAATCACGCGGTACGTATAAAAATTTTAAGTTTATTTCTAGTCATCTATAAAATATAAATGTAAAAAGGTTTTTTGTTACGTTTTTTTGGGTAAAATTTGCCAAAACAGCCCTGATAGATTTTACGCGATTTACCTCTGTTGATATAATTCTATTATAATGATGATACCAATTATAATTTTTAGCTCGAGATATTCATTATACATTGTCATAGTTACATTCCTCGAAATAACAGTATCTGAAATGATGTAATTTGTACCCCTAAAACGCTCCTTCAATCATCTAACATAATTTACCTTACTCAGGGAAGGAAGTTCAGAAGGGAGCTTGAGACTGCAGCCTGAGGTTGCGAATGCTGCGCGATGCAGCGTAGTGCTGCACGCTACGTCGGTGCGGTGTGCGGCACTAGAGTCCCCCGACAGCATGTCGGTGCTGACCAAGCATTTGCTGCGTAGACTCACTACACACGCTCGCCAGCCGCTCACCAACCTCGTCGCTACTGTTCTGCAAGGTGCATGTCGCTTCCATGTCCTGATCCTCCACCAACTCTACAGATAAATATATTAAATATATTCGAGTAACATATTGCTACAAACTGTGGACGAAATATTAATAGATTACGGAGGGTATTTGTACAAAAACTCTCCGTAATCTGTTAATATTTTGTGTGTAGTTTGGAGCAATATGGTACTCGAATATATTCAGTATATTTATCTATTATTATCAGGTACGTTCAAAACGAGCAGAAAAAAATTAACTATCTTAATTTTTTTCTTTTTTGTGAAATCTGAAGCATACGTGAGTTTAAGAATGTAAAGGGTCTTCTGCTGCCCATGAAAAAAAATTCTGACTCGTCCTTTTGTTCTGCTTAGCTAGTTTACTTGAGTGCTCTTGCAAGTATGTATTGTAGGCAGTCATGGAAAGGATAAACCTTCACATAATGCCTCCGTACGCAAACCCTCTCCAATAACTCGTAATGCCTCTCCCTTGCAAGTGTGTAGGCTTTCATAGGAAAGATAAACCGTCCCTCCATAAGCATAATGCCTCCGTATGCGAACTCTCTTCCTTACCTCGTAATGCCTCTCCCTTGCAAGTTTGTAGGCAGTCATAGGAAAGATAAACCTTCATATAATGCCTCCGTATGCAAACCCTCTTCCTTGTCTCGTAATGCCTCTGCCTTGCAAGTATGTAGGCAGTCATGATAAGGATAAACCTTCACATAATGCCTCCGTGCCACAGACGTGTGTGGGGACAGCAGCCGAGTGAGGGAGCAGCAGTTCCCTATGCTGGAGGTCGACCTTGCCTTGCCCCGCACCCTCGCCGACTCTCTAACCGCCCCCACTGGTGGGAAGTAATGGAGTTCATGCAAGCTACTGTAGCCCAGTGGTTACAGTTCAGAGTACCAAGATTGGCGCAAAGAGGCGCGGGTTCGATCCCCGCTCTGTGCGCCAGTTTCTGGTCAGAATCGGCAAAAGGCCGGGCGGTTAGGCACAGCAGAATTGGAGCAGTGAGTTGCGTGTTCAAGACTGCTAAGTACTGTGAATGTTCTGCGATGTTAAGAATCGGCGGCAGGCCTACGGACCACTAAACGCTGAAACCGCCATTATCATTATTATTATTAAGATCATGTGTTATTTTGGTGTGGCTGCTCTCCTTGCTTTCGTTTATCGTCTATATGGATCAACGGAGATACTTGTTTAAATTATTTGTATGTTTTATTTTATTATTTGTTCCCATCAGTGTGAGTTAGATTTTGCCTTGAAATTTATTTGCTTCTGTCAGTGCTTTCTATATGGTTACGTTTTTATTCTGCATAATCATTCATATTGCTACCTGAAACAATACGATTATATGAACAAACGTGAATTGGAAATACCAAATCACGTGGAATCGATTCTTTTGTGCCAAATAAAGAATACTAATGCAATTATTATTGATTGGTCAGTTTGCTTGTTTGAGGTCTCACATCTTAGTGTCACAATAAATGAAAGCTATTGCACAATATTCTAACGAGAAAAATATGTAAATTATATACTTGCATTCTCGTAGCCATTTTTGAGCAAGTGGACTAAAACTATGTTTTTGAAGTCTCATTCATTTCATTATTTTTTTAAAACATTCATAAGAATTGTTCTTCAAAAAATTCCTGGCCCAAAGCTCTGTAGGGTCTGATCGTTTGATGCTAAAATGTTTTAATTTTGTGATATATAAAAAGAAGAGAAGGTGTGCTTTCCACTGTGCTATTTGAAGGTGTGCCACCGTAAAATAGCCACCCAATAATAAAAGGTGTGCCACTTTTCCACCGTATTCTATTTAGGCCACTGAAAATTTGATGAGCGTCTCAACTGTAGTTGATTTTTTATCGATAATTATTCACCCGACGATATCAATCGGTAAAATATTGAACTCGTTTACCGAGTTCAATAACTCCTTACTTCAAGCAGTTATTGAACTTGTTTATATTGTGTCTCAGGCGCTGTTGTGGAGCGATGGAACCAGATGCTAAGCGTGGGTGGCTCCGTTTCTTCTGAAGTCCTGCTGCCGCTGTGCAGAAAGATGACGCCATCCGTTAATTCTGACACCCTTGTAGACTCATTCCAAAATTCTTCTGAAGATTGCGATGAAGATAATTTTGCGGAAAAATTCGACGCGTACGTTGCTAAAGAGCTCCAGGGTCTGAAAATTTCGCACCCTGATTTCATCAAAAGAAATAATCTGAATGCAACAAGCCCCTCTGGTATTAAAATTAGTAATCCTGAAAGCGGATGTAGTCCAACTTATAACGGTAATATTTCTTCGCATGATCCTCGGAATGTTCCTCAAAGCAAGGATTGCATGAAACATCAGCTGAGCACCACCGTACACTTGGCCCCATATTTTCAGCAGCCCGTCAATGAGACGGTACGCATGAGTGATATTTATTCTTTGTATTTTAAGCATTCCAGTTTACGACAATTTTTTCTCGCCCAACATTCCTGCTAAAAATGGCTATTTTGTTACAAATGCTACTTTGTCTACTCATCATTTAAATCTATCGACTATTCTGGTCGATTCATGTCTAAAAACCTAGCCTGTTATAGATGCCTAGACTAGTTTATCACTTTTTCTGTTGTTAAAAGAACATGGAACATCCTTTTCGCTTCCCTTTCCAAGTAGCGTTCTTTTGGCCTCGTGATCTCTGATCACGTTATTTTTTGATTAATTTCTAAGCAATCATTTTTAGTGACCTGACATGCATGGGATATCGTCTCTCTAATACCACAGGCGGCGACAGTGACGCGAGCCCTTGTCAGCAGTCGCGCCGCGCTGCTCTGTGGTGATCACCCCGTGGCCAATATTGCCCTTGTACGCGTCGATGTGTGCTTCCAAGGACCTCCCGTACCCTACACGGTCACCCTTGAGGCTTTCGTGAGTGCAAACGTCCAAAAATTCCATTGAAATATGCTGAAAGGCAATGTAACAATTAACCAGACTTTCACCATATAACTGTAGGTATTTCTCAAGCTTTATGCTACAATATATAGAGAGAAGTGTTCATGGAATTATAAGCATCTTTCAGATGTACGAGTACAAGGAATACCTACCGTAATAGTCAGCAAAATCTGCGTGCATTAGTTACCTGAACTAAATGAACGTGTGTGAAGTTAGTCACTATGATTCTAATTTTCTTACTGTTTATTCTCGATGACAATATATCTCGATGACAATATAAAAATATTTTTTTAGGTATTCTCGTCCGTTTTATCTATTGCCTCGATGTTAAAACAAATATTTTCGCGTCAGGGCTGTCGTATCCGGCAAGTGTCCACAGATCAGGCGCAAGTGACGGTATACCGCATAGAGGACCTGCACTGCCTCTCGGTGAGTTCACGTTCTTTCGGTGCGTTTCAGACCGAACGCGTGGTTAAACTAGTGTAAGATTGACCCATGAGAAGCTAATTTTCGCGGATGTAGTTAGTTTTTCGCCTGTGACGTCACTGATCTCAGTGACGTCACGAGAATTAACTATTCACCGAAATGCGATCGAACCAGTCAACCAATCCGTCATGGAAATGACGGGATTGTTTACGTTTCTTGGATCTCAGTGGTTTAACAAGAGAGCTGAACTGAAAGACAAATCCTCGTGGGTCAACCTTATATAATTCAACCATGGCCCCAACGTGTCTCACTTCCACTATTTTCCTGTCTCATTCTTGAAGTTGCATCACCAACTGTAATAATTCAGCCTATTGTAATCAAACATTATATATAATTATAATTTCATCTCTAGACTTGTTTGCATTTTCTCTTATGTACCTAACTATTATTTTGTGTAATGAACAGGTACCTCTGAGTGTGACTGTGAAGTTTCCAGTTGGCTGCGCCAAGTTAGACAACAGCTGCGTCGGTGACGATATTTCTACTGTATGTGGAGAGTGTTGTTCTCACAACCACACGAATAATCCCTCCAAAAATCTTGAAATGGGCGTTAGGTATACTGACTCCAGCGTCTGCCGGCTGATGAAACACGCGCAGTTGAGTGAACCTGACGACGCACACTGGAAGGTGATGAGACTGTCGCTGGGACTGCCCGGTCTCTCCAAGACTAATCTTCATGTCAATGACATGAGAGGCTCTGATGTCAACGTGCCTGATGAACAGGTTGGAACTGGGACGGTCGACTCCATGAACATAGCATTCTGATCGTTCAACTGCGTACTTCAGTCTTGATATAATCGCTTTCGGGGGATTAGTTCCAGGGCAGCAAGCAAATAATATATTTATATTAACCAGTTACATGGGGGTGTTATGACGTACAAAGATTTTACTCTCATTCTATTGTTCTTTCGGTGATTAATAGATTGTATTTATTTGTATGTTAAATGAATTGTTATTGTGAACATGAGTATCATTTGGAAATCAATTGTACAAGTGTGCTCATCAGGCCAATTATTTTCTTACCTTCAGGCTGGCAGTTTCTTCAATTTTATATTTCTTGAGCAAAGAGGCTCTCCGATCCGATCTGAATGATTTTATGATGGGCTTCATGAGTACTAGCCACTAGGCGGAAAAAATTCCCTGCAATGAGCCATAAAAATGCAATAAGATTAACACCAACGAATGTAATAATTTTATTATGCCGTTTGATCACCTGACCTTGTCTCTCTGTCTGTGCATGTGTCTTTTGTAAGGAAATTTGTGCAATACATCAAGTTTCTATCGAATTTTCTTTGTACCATAAATCGAGCCCAATTAGAGTAATGGAGGATTAGTATCGACTTGCGATTTCTTCATATCTAGCACCAAATTAACGACGCATTTTATTAATATTTATACATATTGCAAACAATGATCGTCTGTCGAATTTATAATCATATTTTCAGTTAGCTGATTGTGTTGTTGAAAGCCTTGGCGCGAAAATCGCGTTCGAGTTCGATATTATTTTCAATACAATTTAGGAGTTCTTGTGGAAATGTCTTTGCTCGAGGAAAATTTAACGTGCGCAACACTAGGCAATCAGAATTAAAGTGTTAATATTTAGTCAATTCTGTTTCGAGTTAAATTTGGACCAAAATTCAGCATCGTCTCTTGCTTGGAAAAGGAGTCAATTCACGAGGAAACCTGCTCAAATAGATATCGCTGTAGTTTACACATCGTTGCATGAAGATCTCTGGAGGGCCCAGTTTCTTCAAGAAATGTAAGCGGCGTGTTTGCCCCTCCCTCTATGAAGGATTCATCAGTTTCCTCGTTCATTCCAAATGTAGAAAGTTTAAAAAACGCGTTAAACAAAACGCTTCTCTTTAAAAACCAATGTTGATTGAACTCTCGTGTTGTCAAAAAGTTAACCAAGCGGGAAGGAAAAAGAGGTCATGGCCGATGCAGAGATTAAAGCTGCATTAATTCTTCGAAAAAAAAAAAAAACGCCCCATGGCATTTCAAAAATGTCCCCTGGCATTTCAACATAATTAGTTTTGCAAACGATTCGAAGTGCGAAGTTTCAATTTTTTAATTCGAATTTTCAATTTTTAATGAACAATTGATCATGTCGGTACTAAGTGTACATCGCTTCAACATTTGCTGTACACTTTATGATACTTATCTATCCGGGGCATTATGCATCTGGATTGGTCTATGTTAAGCTACGGTTCACCCAAAGTTCTGGGACTACGAAGCATCATCGTTCAAACTTTTTTTTCAAAGCGTTTCAGACCATTATTTTCGAGATTCGACTCTCGAAGCCAATAGTACACAGCACGGAGAGACTTTCCTCTACGCTAGGGGTAAATGCCACACCAGGATAAATACTGGACTTTTGATAGGCGAAGCAAGCCCCCGGAACCAAATTTTGTAAATGCGATCGATTTCTGCACTTCGAGACTTTTGATCAACTTTATACAGCGACTTTGAACAGGTTTCTGGAATACTTCAAAGCACGCGCCGCTGTAATTGGATATCAATCTTTAGCAGAGACTAATAATATAGGCAATCAATCGGTAGGTTAGCTGGGGCCAGACGGGCCAGTCTACACGGTTAGACGTGAACTGCGTCGTAACTATGTCTGGTCATCCAACGACAGTAGTAATTTCGGCAAATCCAGGCGTTCAATCAAGGAATGACACGAATATGAACGATTTGGCTATTTTATTATTTATGGGCGAATGCAGAATCATTCGTTTGTCGTTCTCATTCTGAGAATACGTAGTTCAAGCGAGGCACCATCCAATCATACAGGCTTCAAGAGCTGGAGAGAGCAAAGCACAAAGTTCGTTCATTCAACACAACAACAAGGAAAGAGCAGCCCTTTGTGTATTGCTGTTATTTCTACTAGCCCCTTCACACTGACTAACTAGACGTGGTCTCAAGAAGCGCATCAAGTACTGCAATACAAAACAAGTCTAAACGTGACTACAGCAAGGACGCAGCTTCAGTTAACCCTAATCATAATGACGTTTTCCGGAGGCAGCTATCAGAACTACTGCCGAAGGCTGGCATAATCTAGAAATAGTAAACTTTTAGCAGCAAGTAAACTCCCGGCACCTTGCCTCAGCATTTAGGCGCAACAGGAAGCCACTGCACTGTCATGAACGAAGCTCTTCTCGCAACGCAACGAAAGGCAAGAAAGAGAACAAGCATTAAAGCAACGAACAATCAAAAAGAAGCTCTTTCACCGTGAGAATAATGTGCATATCTCAGGCCTGCAGGCCAACGCGAACAATGTATGGAAAATCAAGAAAACTCAAAACCTTATTCCGTACGAATACAGAGTTCAAATAAAAATTGAAAGCACGATGGCCGGTCAAGGACTCTGGTGGAGCGAGGAGCGACGATTCCGGCAACCCCCCTAAGCAGTGTAGTGCGCAAGTTTAGTCTACGGATTGGGAGCAACCGCGTGGCTAAGGTGGCTGAAGAATTCCGCGGCCGCTAGGAAGGCCTCGTAGGTGTAGGCCTTAGCTTGCTTGTGCTTTGCCTGGAATTCATGCAAGGAAAACTAGATTAGAGCTAGGCAAGCTTGGTCATAAGACATTATACAAAATATTTAATAATTGAAGGTTTTCAAAGCAACGACGGCACGCGAATATCCGTTTATCTGACCCTGTGACCATCTGATGAGCAGTTAGTGGGTCAAATCAACAGATCACCACGTTCAAAATAGTTATCCAAACTTTACACGGCAGGGAAATAAGAAATATCTTCACAACCGAAACTACTTCGTTCCGAAATCTTATTCCTTCAAATAACCGTTCTTGCATCATCGGCAGTTAATCGCCCATCAAGATTAAGTTTGAAAACTTCCATACCTTGAAAAAGGTAGACCATATTGCGTCTTAACAAGACCACTAACCTGCAACTCTTCGAGGCTACGCTTAGCCTTGACAATATCTTGTTGACTTGTTGAAGACTGGAGCACAGTATTGGCATTCGAAGTCTCTCCTCCCTGTAAGACGGATATTTGAGTATTCTTAGGACCGTGTTCAGGTTCAAATTGCATCTAGTCTAATTCAACTAGAGAGCTTCCAAGTAAAACCTAATGTTGATTGGGCGGAATAAACAAGTGTTCATCACATCCTTGAGGAATACAAAACTTTATGCTCTGAACCTAAACCTAACTTACTATGCGAGTATCAACTTTCCTATCGGCAATAGACAAATGTATGGATTGGTTCAATGAGGACCAACCTTTGTCTAGCCATAAGTAGCGACGAGTACGACTGAAGAAGTTACTCGCCTGAGAATTAGACAGAGATAGCTTGTGGAGCAGAGAGACGCCCTGACTGGCTGCACCCAGAACAGCTTGCAGGCTAGTGTCGGCACCTCCGTCTTGACGAGTGAAGCTCATCAGCGTTTGCGATCCCGGGGAGGTGCTCCGCTGAGTGGTCACAGACTGGAATAATCACACGATCAAAGAATCAAGTTCCAAGAAGCCATCAGAGTATTCAAGAGTTCGAGCATGGGCGGACTACTTTTCGAATTGACACGTGCGTTTATTGCTCGAGTGTGATATTCCTTAATTTATGCGCTGGATATCTCACCGATTTCTGGTTCCTCCTGTCTCTGTTGTATCTTCGTCGTTGCCTTCCACCGTAGCTGAAAGAGCCCTGTAGATAATACGAGGTGCTTGATTAGTGCAAATTATTCGCCAATGGTACCAGAACTTCTCTTAAGCAGCCACATTAGACGTTTAGCAGGACAAACAATTTAGACAAGACGCCGTTAACATCAGACGAAAAAAAGTTGAAACTATTCAATGTGCATTACATTTTTTTTAGCTCCAGTCTAGCGCCAGCTCTGGCTAAATTGCTGCAGTGCAGACCTCACTTTATTCAGCATTACTAATGCAGGCACCGTTTGCTCAGAAAAGGTGACAAACCGACGCCAGCTCAAGTTGTGAAACTAGCTACAGGAGCTGTGAGTCGTTCTAAACTGTGCAATAACCACTAGAATACCTGATCGGGTAGTATAGCAGGAGAATTCAGCATTGCCGTCTGCAGATCGGCGAGCAGCCTCGTAGCCGTGTTGGGGGTTGGATCAGCAATGCTCTCGCCCCTGACGCAAACTACGCACACGCCGAGGTTGCGACCTGTACGCTCTAACGCACCTGTGAGAATTTCATTAGGAAAGTAGTATAACCTACGCAGTTGACTTTATGCAATTCAGATTGACAGAATGCTTGCGTTAGCAATGTTCAAGTTGGTTACTAAAAATACTAAAATGGAAAATATTTCTCAAAACTAGAAAAACTTGTGCTAGAGCTTCAATGTTGGGTACTGGAATACTCGTTATTACTTTGCGGTAAGCGCATGTCACAAACCTGCTCTCAACGCAAGTTTCCAAGATCTCAGGCGAGACTTAGTTAATAAAAATCAACAAGTTACCTTGAGGTTTGAATAATGTATAGTTTCCATACATGAAACTTGAAAAGCGTGACTCACTGTAGTCCTGCACATGCTGAGGTAGAACGCATAGCAGCAAGAGAAGACGCGGTTGTGCGGCGATCATATCCGCAAGCACCGAAACCATGGCAGAGTCGTCGCAGTTTTCCATTTGAATGGAATCGGCGGCGGCGATGGAGACCCTGCTATCCTTTCCCGCGTGCTCTACCATCTCGCACAAAGTTCTAGAAGACAAAAGGCGGAATGAACAAGTATACATCTCGGTATTTATTTTTAAGCTCGCCTCATGAAATAAGAGGGAATGCGCTCTCAAAAAAGAGAAACCTGAACATTAACCTAGGGCCTTAGGTATTCGGTGGGCCAGCAGGGGGGGGGGGTGTAAACTTGCTGGCAAGTTGAGTGTATAGTTACTGTGTACAGATTATAATACAAGATAAAGATAGAAAAATTCAGTCGCAGATAGCTTGTTCGTGAGAGGGTTACAGCCGTGATGAGAAAAATGTATGAAGGGATTATTGACTGTAGTTTCAGGCATAAGGACTAGCTAGACTGCAATTCATAAAAAAAAAGATTCAAGTAACCAAAGCAGGGCAAATGTCTGTTCAAGTATTTCAAGATGGTGCATCAGCGTCATGTATTCACGTCAAACTTGCTATGAACTCTGGATTTCAACTTCTCTCCAAATACTCAGGTGCCAGGTTTTACAAATAGCCGTTACTTTTGATATTTCGCTTTAGACTCTTCGCAACTCCAATATGGCTTTTCAGAGGACAATAAAAACTGCATTAGCGTTTCGGCTCACGCGATGGAATGAGCAGGAGTGCGCAGGTCGAAGCACAGGACAGCCCAGTCATGGAGAGGAGGCAGTTTCTGTTGGCGCGGCCGTCCGTTCCTGCGGTTGGCCCATTGATTGCCGCGACGGCCGCCACCGCTGGCACCGTCATTACGACGAGGAGCTGCAGGCTCGCGGAACACGACATTGTGATCCTCTGATGTAGAGTCCTTTGACGCGCGAGGAGATCGTTCCCGCTAGTGAATGAAAAGGCAAAAAATAAGTTTAACTCTGGGCAAGGTTTAAATTTGGGATATAAGGAAATTTTGCATGGACTGCTGTGAAGAATAGGCAAGACATATGCCTAAGATCAAGATCAAATGAAACTAGTTTGGGAAGTGCCCGATTGTCCCTGCTCTCAAAACCGAATAACTAATGGGTAAATTTCAGTATTATGGCAAAGCTGAAGGTTCAACATTAGGTGAAAATATTCGAAGAATTGAACTAGGTTTCATATAATTCGAAACTTAGGAATTTCTCACCCTATTGCGTTGTTCCTTAGGAGGACCGTCTACCTCCACGGAATGAGACTCTTGGACTCTGAAAAAAAATTGAACTTTGCAATAGTGGGAAAATAGTTGCGCGGAAGCGAACATGCTCGTCTGCTTCTAGCTATTGCTGGAATCAGTAAGGAGTAACTAACGTCTATCGAAACTTTCTAAGTTGTGACTGAAATCTAAGACCGATTGCGTTCATCTGCTCTATGCTACGTGACTAGATGACGAACGTGGCATTGCTGCAACCGATTCTGAAATTTCAACGTGGGTTAACAGGCTTAATATAAAAAATCTACATGTGAACTGCAATAAAACGAATACGTACGAAAACCACGGCAGATTCCGAAATGGTTACCGCTTACGTAAGCAATCTAGGAAAATCATAACTAAACTATTTCAATTGCGCTATAAGCTCGTTCAATGCCGAAACCTACAGAGCTCCGACAAGCCAAAATGATACAGCTGTGAAATCGAGGGAAGATACCAACTAGCTGCATCTCGATAATAAAACAATACCGGGGACGGAATCTCACTCTGAAATTTTGTCTACTTTCTCATCGGGTCGCTGGGAGTCGGACGGAGAGACGGACAACCCCTCGTCAACGGAAGAGGATGTGGAAGCGCGGACAGCGTCAGGCTGAGAAGTGAAATAGACATGCTTCAAGGGAAGATCGCCTTCAATGCGAATTCGAGACTTTAGCTTTACAAGATAAACATCGTTCAAAGATGCGTAGGTGGATTTACTTTGATTAGGCAACAAATTTGTATATAGAATATAGTAATAACTTTTACACACCTTGAGCCATTTTAGGTTAGTTTTGGGCTCTACAGCTGCAAAGCGGCATAACTCCTTGTTGATGTGCTTTTCACCTTTGTAGAGCTGAAATGGAAAACCTGTGTCATGTCAAGTAGTTATGATAATCAACCTACCATGAAAAATCCATTAAGTATTAAAGGACAACTCTATTCTACAAAAATTGGATTCCACTCTTGCTATACGCCGAACAAATGCTATTTTCGACTAATCAAGGGCAATTCTTACATCAAGGAAAAGCACCGATGACTGGTTGCGCGTCTGCTTGTAGACGTCGCCTTCGATGACGCCTGATGACAGTTCTTGCTCCAGCCACGCGCGGCTCTGAACACCAGAAATTCTCAAGTTATCAATTAAATAGCCAGATGTATTACGTTCACCAATCTATGCCGATAATTCGCGAAAAAAGGTTAGTTATGCAAGGTTATTTTAACCGTTGATAATTCAGTCTAATGGTAGCCCAATCTGTACATCCAACGTTTCATGCAATCGATCACTATTAAAGGGACTTTGTTTACTGTGGATAGAAGAGCCCGTGATTAAATGTGATTACTCAAGCTCACACAAGTGAATGTACACCATTGCATCACACGTACTACAGAGAACGTGTAGCTGAAGCAACCGTGACTTACGCAAACTTCACGAATAAATGGAAATTTTGTTCTCTCTTAGTAGAATAATGACCCTTCTGGATGTTTGAATGGGAGAGAGACCACATGAATATTTAATGTATGCATATCGATTTATCTTTCTTTACAAGCTTCGATTTGCTCCGGTATTAAATAAATTCGACAATTTCTACAATTTTCGCCCTATCCAGAGAAACAAACAAATCTTCCACCTTTAAGGAAGCCAACCGACCTCCTCCAGCTGCGCCTCAGAAGCACCTCGAGCGAGCCTTAGCTCATTAAGGGAGTACTTTGTGGCCAGGGGCGCGAGGTCTGAAAGACCTGACAGGAGGAAGTTGAAGTCGTCCTCCAGCGCCTCACACCAGCTGCCACGATCCACGAGCTGCACGCGCCACTTCAGGGAAGTGCCTCCACCTGGCGACGACGGAGCGGATTTTTGCTCCAGCTTGACGGGCTCTGCAATGAAAAATCTTTTCCATCTTGACGGCGAAATTGAATGCAGGCTACAGCAACTAATATTTAGTAAATTGCGTAACGATGTCTGGGAATTACTCTTTAAATCTGTAGCGCCAATTCGTTAAAATAAATTGTCTACTGAACGAGATTCGAAAGACGAGGTAGAAGCAGAATAGAGGAAAACTTCAAACCTGTGCGAATGCGCTCATAGATGGGCCATGTAACATAATATAGATGTAATCTGCAGTCTTTTGAGCAAAGCAGGAAATCTCGCCCGAAAAGCACGAGCAAATAACTGAAAATTTGAAATTCATTTAGTTGAACGTTATTGTTATAATAGACAGCACGCTAGCAGATTAAAACTCCTCTCGTTAGTGAACTTTCAATAAATAAATAGTTTAATACGGATACTGGGCAACAGTCAGTTCATTCGACTTTTTCGGACGATGGATCTTCAGCATACCTCTACACTCTCGTATCACCGGAACGTAAACTGATGCATAAGGGTTTCAATGAACCAAGCCGGAAGCCGCTTCCCAATAGTCACGGTCGAAGAAACTTTCCAGTAGGGCACATGCAGCGTAGAATATGTCATACGCTAAACGCGTTAGCTCATCGTCATTTCACCTAAAATCTATTCAATCAACAGGGAAAGTTAAGTGTATGCACCTGAATTGGCTTCCGACTGTGGAGTAGAGTTAGCATTGAGATCAGCTGCCTGAGCCTGCTTATCTGGGACAATTTGATCCGTGCGCACGCGTTCGTAGCCGTCTCCGTACTTCATGCCCAACATCTGAGTAGTAAGAAAACGAGTTAAGTTTCTACGTGCAGAACGCACCCAGGTACTGAATGACAGTGGCACACTAGACACTAAGCCTAACGAAAATTTGCCAATCAAAACCTTAATTACTTAACCATTTATGCAGGAAGACAAAAGATGCAGTAGATTTGGGAACAAAACGAGCAGAGGGCTTCTGTTTCATCATCCAGACGTATAACAGCCACGTCTGTTAAGTAATTTGCGAGAAATATCTACATCACCTATTAGACAACAATGAAGCAAGCTGAAGACTTATGATAACCTGCTTTATATTCACCAACTAGCCTTCGAAAATACTGTACCCGCTCCTGAAGTATCAATTTGCTCTAGCCGATTACTTCAAACAAGGTAACCCAAGTGGAACGCTAATGAGCTTACCATGTTAGCGGCTACAAGGGAAGGTCGATACGAGGCACTGGCGTAAGCCATAGCCATGCAGTTGCGGAGACGAGCGTAGTCGTGCTGCTGCTGAGGTGTTTGGATGTAGACGGTGGTTGGGGAGGTAACGTGCGTCACTACCAGCCCCGACACGCGCGTCTTCTCCCAGTTGCGAGCGTACATATGACGACTCGTTGCTAAGACAATTAAGATACTTATAATTTTGCCTGGCCACTCCAATACATTACATAGCAGCAGGCTTGTGAAAATTTTGTAACATGGTGAGGAAGATTACGAGCATTTGAACTCTAGAATGAAAGCAGTATTTCAAAAAAAAAATCTATAGTAGCGAGGCACGCCCTAAACCAGTATGGAGCCGTCTGCTTGATATCGACACAGTTTTGAATTTGTGATAGTTCAATCACGAAAAAACTCCAACTCACATTTGTTTATCTGCTGAACACCACAATTTGTGCAGGTCGTAGCGTCGATGGAATTGCGTGCGCGACATTCCGCTTCTGGACAAACCCACCATTCTGCAAACGACAGTTATCTCGATTATGACTACCTATTTGAAGCCACATTAGCTATATAACGTGTAGACCTTGCCTCTACGTCACTATGCCATTGACTACGGATATTTCCGATTACAATAAATGCTCTGATTCGTGTGAGACCTACTCCCTGCTCTAATACATTTTCCTGCACAAGTTCGGCAGTCATTTTTACCGCCTAGCTAGATCAATAAAAGCTCCTTTAATTACCCTTACTCTTACTTTTATCCGATTTTCGGCTGCTGCTCCTGCTATTTCTGTTCTTCCGTGCACCATCTCGGTTCTCTCGTTCACGGCCAGAGGCGCGCTGCGTCTCTTCGTTCTGGCGCGGCTTCACCTCAGGGTCATCAGGCCCGCCGTTCTTGGTAGGGCTAGGCGACTTATCACTTGCGCTCTTCTCAGGAGAGGCTCCTTCGGAGACTGGACGAGGTTCACCATTCGCTTTCGGTTCACCGCTGGTTTCAGGACGCGGGGACATTGACGAGGATTCCCCATTGGCACGCGAACCTTCCATCCTTCCTGAATCATAAGAGCGCTCAGTTATATGAAAATATGTTGCAATGTGACCAGCAAACTAGAAACTAGTGTTCTCAGTTTCAAATTTGATCTAGCTTACCTCGTACCTCCTCCAGTTCAGAGGATATTATTTGTCAAAAAGTGAAAAATATGAAGAGAATCTTACAAGTACACATAATTCTGGCCGTTACACATAATTCTGGCAAATTACACAGAGCGAACGGGAAATCACAAGGCAGGCAAGTGCCATGAAGAATTTACCAACCTGGTTTTCTAGTTGCGAAGGAAGAAGATGAACAAGGAAGACTATAACCCAACACCAAACTAGTTATGTCCAGGGGATATTCTAATCCCTGTATTAGAACTTCACTGGATTTAGCAGGCCTGTAACTGACTAAATTTTCAGTTTCTTCGTGAACTGTAGGTAGCATGAAATGTATGTATCATTTGCGTCTGCAACGAGATGATTAGAGACAAGAATTTTAATTCAACGAGCCGGAATGGAAATGACCATGTAGAGCCATTCTACTAGAAACTCCATTATAGCCAAGAATCAAGTCCTTTAAGCGACCAGGGTTAGATTACTAGTGAAAATGTTAGAAGTCTATCTCGCTGAAAAACGGTCCTAATGTCCAATTGTAAATGTTGGACCTGTAGGATTGTGCAGGTTCACAGGTTATTCCACTTCTCATTTGAAAATGGTATCAAATTGCGAGAGATCAAGTATCTCCGGAAATCTAGGATATTCTTACAACTCTAGGTGCTGTTTAGAATGCAGATGTGCCAGCCATAGTTCATTTTTCCAACAAGTAGTCTGGTTCCTAATTATGAAAACGGTCATTGATAATGGGCACTACCACTCTCCAACAGGAATCAACACCTAATGCTATAAGGAACCTAAAATTTCAACTATGTGTATAGCTCATTTATAGTGCTGGTAAGAGCTACCTATACAGGCTATACTTGCATGGCTCACACTGGGCATTTTCAGTGACCTAGTTGCTTTCAGATCCCTGATGGACTGCATACAAGAGCAGCATGCTGAAGTACAACATTCTCAATGTATCTTCAGTTTTCGTCAGACTAACTAAGGTGGATTTAAATATTCAATGGGGTTCATGCCTAAATTTTCAGGACCAAGTTTATGCATTCATACTAGCATTCCAATATTCATGCAAACTTTATTTGTGGCAATAGAATTGAAAAAAAAATATACCACAATTTCAAAATATCTAACCCAAGTTCACACCAAGGTGTACCAGTTATATTCTTAATTCCTATTAGGTAACTATCCCATCAACAACATGGGTGAGGATGCAAGTTCTAGAAGAAGGGTCACTCTTTGAAAGTCCATGAATGCAACCATTGGCACTGATACAGACAGCCTACATTACCATTAGCAATATCAATAGAAGCTAAGATTGAAATCTTAGCTTGCTAATCATAACTTCATAGAAGTTAAGCACTTCAACCTCTTGACTAGAATCAAATCCAATCTTCACTGTAACTCATCAAGCCAAGAAGATCAAAAATCTTCACCCATTTTCAAATCAAACTATGATATGAAAATTCTCAAGCAGCAAGCCTTGGCCATATTTACTTCCTATTGGAAATTTCAAGTTAAGACTCAAGGAAAATTTATGGCTCTGATATTTCATACCATAACTCAATTTTATGCTTTCAGAATGTCCCTTCATAAGCTTATTTCTTAGGTCCGGTGAACATTGTGTCTATCAGTTTTATTTCAATCACAGCAGTTACAGATTATTCATCCAGACTTTGAAAACGAATTTATCAATCTAGTCCCTCAGAAGTCAGAAGAATATTATTTGTATACCTATATTCCTTTCTTCCATCCTGCTTTTGATATCATGGTGCAAATGACCTTTCTAGAAATTGCAGGAGGATGAACTTTTTATCGCAATGCAGAACTGCAATTATCAAGCAGTCTTTGGCAAGTCAGAATTTCATTTTTCTGAGTTTAGCTGAGGAACTAAAAGTAGACCAAGTTACCAGTAACATATCATGGATGCATGTATTATCATAAACAAGATCTTAATTCAAATACACAGCAGATTAGGAGATTAAAATTCAACAAATTCTATCAAATCTTGACTTCACTATGTATGACTCAGTATGAGGAGAAAAGAAGAAGTGACCGAGCCAGTTATTAGACTTGGGTAACTCTTCCCGACATCCATCTATCATAATGTACCACTAGGTACTTCCACAGTCCACTATTCAAATTTTAGTAACTGACCACTTTCTACACATCAGACCTTCAAGGCTCTAACAAACTAAGAACCTGATAAGGAAAATGATCAGGAGAATATTCACAACAATTACAATTGATATATCATTAATAACAGCTAGTGCTAGTGTGACAGTCATGCTGCAGTGCTGCTCCTGCAATCAGATTTTCATTTAGCTGTTATATTAAATGTCAAGTTAGTTGATTGAACACTTTCTCACTCTGAATGCAATGATACAACATAATAGTTCCCAGTGACTGCCAGTGACAGTGAATAGTACATATCACCAGAAGCATTGTGAAAAATCACCATTTTCAAGTAGGTATCCATTTCCAATTTCCATTATCTATAAGATATAAACTAGTTTTTCCAAGCTTGATAATGCTGGTATTCATGCTGGTGAATTTGGTGATATTTTGCTCAGTTTGCTGGTCTACTCAAACTCAGTCTCATAGGACTCTCAAATGAACTTTGAAGTTTCAAGAGTTCAAAACTCAAATGTATATGTAAAAAAAAAAACAATTGAAGTGAGATAGTGACAAACTAGAGATTTTTTCAGAATCAGTTCATTTTTAATTTCCTCATTTACCCAAGATCTAAACTAATTTCTTATGTATGATAATGCTGGTATCCAATATCCATGATACTTTACTGGTCTACTTATAGGAATCAAAAACGAACTTGAGGGAGATTTTAAAAAACTCTATGCTTTGGCTGGGAGCAGCGCTACCCCGGCAGGCAGCAACCACGCTAATCCTAAAGGTACTGAACTAAAGCGTACTGATCAATATAAATTTCCGAATGAACTACGATTTGTCTAGCGCCGTTCAAATGAATCCAGTTTACATTTTGGCAAACCACCAGACATCCATAATCTACCCGAGATCGAATAGCGCCATCTATACCTGAATAATACTCATTTCTCCAATCCTTCACTCACCACTGATCACCCTTCTGCCGTAACTCACCGGCTAACTGTCATAGCTCTGTGAGTGCCGACTGCGAACTGCGCAGTGAGCCTTTGCAATTAGGCTAAAGGGTCTCGTTATCTCTAAATTTACTACTTTCCCGCTACAAAATTTTTGTGGCATAAGATTGCTCAACTAACCCATGAGAAAGACAAGCATTTTATATGAAGACCATATATATATATTTGTAAAATTTTGATGAAATTTATTTCTGATATTGAATACAAAAGTTTATTGAAAATACATAAGTTTAGTTATTTTTTTTTCTCTCTCTCTGATTTGGTAGATTGATCTTTACGAAATTGTCCGTGTGGTCTATTCGAGTAATTCAATGAGTTTGTAACAGTGAATAATGCTCGAAAAACAAATTAAACCGTTATTTACAATTTCTGATGTAATCTATAAGAAATAAAAAAATATCGCGAGTTAATTGGGGGTTAAAATATTATATTAAATAGTGTAATAAGTTATAACAGTGTGTTATTCAAACTTTTTCGTTTTGAAAACAGCCTAACAGAAGCGCTCGCAACCTATTTCATAGAAATTGACTCACTATTTTGTAAGGAAAAACAACAAAATAAAAGAAATGCACACATCAGTGAAAAAGTTAAACACTAATGCCCTCGTTGCCGCAAAAATCGGACGCAATTAAGAAGCTGTTGTTGTTGGAGAGGGTTTTTATATAAAAAAAAAAACACGAAAATGTTTTCCTTTGTTTTCCCCATGCTAGTCTTTTAGAGGAGAAAATGTTTTCCACTGTCGTCCTCAATCGTTATGAAATTGAAGGCAGTAGGTAATCATCTGAAATGGAGAAAAGTATTGTACCTGGAACTAACTTCGGAATTCAATTCCGGGCTGCTAAAAGACACAAAATAAAAGTAAGTACTCGTTTCTTTATTATTTGATTTTTTCGCTATATGCTTTTAGAATACTATTAGGGAAGCAAAAGCATCCTGAATTGAGAGAGCGCTCCTGTGAGGGATTATTACTGACTTCGGTGTGGCGCAGAGTAGTGTTGCCACTCAATTATATATATGATTAAGGTTCCCATCCTTCTGCTCCCAAATTCTATGATTTTTAGCTTAATTGTAGCATTGGCAATAAAATCTGCTTAAATTATTTCGACTAACCCGGTACATAAAAAGTAATGTTAGCAAAATTATTTGTTCTGCCGTCCTTGATCGCTTACGTACATGAAACCGGTTATCTCGTTGCATAATCATAATGATCATACAAAAAATCAAACGAATTTTAATCAAAACATTTATGCATCCATTCAAACGAAAATATCTATAATGAAAATATTTTTTGTTTACCAGGCACCTACTTTGTTTTGGGTGAAATAAAGACGTTATAGTCACTCTGCAAGAACGTACCTTTCTTCGAAAGTCAGAAGCCAAATTATTCAAAAGCTCTATAATTCATGCTCACAATCAATTACGGCGATTCCGTTCGATTTTCATACCATACGTCAATAAAGATCATTTTGTAATCTGCCTTTCATAACCTATTTCTTTATATTTTGAATTCACGGCATTGCATTCATATAAAAGATTGTTTTATCAAGGTGGCAAAAAGAGTGAGATTACTAAAACTAATTATTAATTTAGGCGTTCACTTTATCAGTTTATGGAAATTTCCAAGTTATTTTTCCTACTTTTTTATAGGTCTTGGACTATAAGGCAAAACCAATTAGAGCTGATTTACATTTTTGTTTGCTCTGTACATGCGAAAATGCCCACCAAATACGGAAAAATACACAGTTTCAATAATCTCTCAAATCAGGACACATGTATTATTAACATATAGGTTGTTATTAAATAGTAATCTTATTTAATTTTCAAATATAAACCAGACCAACTAAGTTTATTAAATATTACTGTTTCGATGGTGATCACTCAGGTGCGCGACGACCAACATAGAGTGCCATCGTCTGATGATTCATCCGCCGCCCTCGACGCTGACACCTGCGACACTGACGAGGATTTGAATCCAACTAACAGTGATGCTGACACCAACGTTTGCTGCTCATCTAATTCTGTTTCATCTGATAATAATGAGAGTGGGCTTGTCAGGGAAGATGAGAACATATTTGATGAGGCACCTCATGACGAAACCAGCCGCCCGGTCCCAGTGAAGGCATGCAGAAGCAAAAGTCGCCGCCCCTTACAGGGTGACTGGTCGACAGTGTTGGGTGATGGGATCTCATCTCGTAGCCGATCAGGTGATGGGTGTTGAACCGTAAAAAATATCAAAAATAGCTTAATACTTTATCTAATGATACATTTACTGTCGTCAAGGCTATTGGTTTCAGGGTTGGCCCAGTGGTTAAAGTTTAGAGAACCAAGATTAGAGCAGAGAGGTGCGGGTTCGATCCCAGCTCTGTGCGCCAGTTTCTGGTCAGAATCGGCAAGGAGGCCGGGCGGTTAAGCAAAGTAGAATTGTAGCAGGGAGTTGCGTGTTCGAGACCGCGAGAAGCTGTGAACTTTCTGTGATGTTAAGAATCTCTGACAGTCCATCGGCCTAATAAACGCTGAAGCTGCGATATATTATTATTCGGCTGAGGAACGAGAGATAACTTTAAGTACCCAAAGGGTTAAAAGACATAGTGGTCTTAATACACATAGCCGCCGATTGCTCTTCTGTGATAGGTGGGCTTATCTTGAAATGCCGTCAGTGATTGGCAGAAAGAGTTACGATATCATGAATACTTTTTATAATACGACCCCTGGGTAATATGATATGCAGCCCTGTACATTTATCGTTGCTCTAAAAATATACCGTGAATTTTCCTTCAATATGAATGAAAGATTTTCCTACTGTGAATAACTTCAGAACCATGAGCTCATTTTCACGTTTTGATATTTGATCCCAGTTTTTATTCAAACTTAAAAAAAACTATTTTTAATAACAAACACTTTTTATTCAAACTATCAGGTGACAGTGTCGCAGTGCACCGACATTCGCGAGCTGCTCGACGCTCTGTGGGTGAAGCTTTCAAGATCGACCGCAAGGCAAAGAAGTGAGTGTGCGGACATCGTTATTTATTATTGGTATAATTAGGGAAAAGTTCTTTCTTAATACAAGTTTTATTGAAGACCAAGCTATGCTGAACATTGTTATTGTGGTAGTTTGTGTTTAATGACATGACCTCGTTAGCTGACTTGTGGGTTTAATTTAAGGTAACAGTTTTGAATTCCAGCTATAATTCTCCACACTCGATGGTTCAGGCTCTTGCAATTTGGTGCATGAAATATAAATAAAATTTTATTATAAACATATAAGTGCTGATAACATATAAGTACTGAAATTTTAAATGCTCGCATTTAATTGTATGCATTTGCAGGTCATAGTGACAAGCCAGCGATCCTGTGTTGTCACTTATTTTGTCCCATATGGGACGAAAAGTTAATTTAACATATTAATAATATTATATATGATAAAAATAATATCCACGATAATTGACTGTGTGTATTTGAAGTTCAAATGTTCTTGAATTCTTCTTGACGAAACTTCAATTCACACAAAAAAGTACAAGTCTCTCACTTTTGTCACTATCTTTCACTTTTGTCACTTATACTCGTCTTTGTCATTTTTGCTCATATGAAGAAAGGAGAATAACCTTTTTATAGTTCAATAAATAAAAATAATAAGTAAGACAATAATTATAGCTAAGATAATTATTTTCGAAGCATTCCGCTTCTCCAATATTTCGTATTCAGTCATAATTTGATGAAAGTAGTTGTCTCGCGGGCCTATACATTCAAAAAAGTTAAGAGATCGTAATTTCATTAGCCATTCATTGACGGCCTTTCAAGCAAAGTCCACCAATCATAGACAATAAAATAGAGCGTAAGTTATTACGTTCACTTAGCGAGTTTTGAAAGTATGGCCCACGTCGTCACTGTGGTAAGCTATACTAACACTCGCCCTCGCCACTGCCTCTCCTACAGACGTGTAGACGTGGAGGGCCTGCTGCATCCTGACGATATCAATCCTCGTCGGCGACGAGCTCGGAACAAATTCAGTCCTGCACCCACGTCGACTGCCCAGCAACGGAAAAGTATTTTTTTGGCAACACTGAGCACATTTAATGAATAGTTTTTTGTATACATGCAAAATGAAATCAATTTGGCCTCAATACTCAAAGTTTTATCAATTTGGGTGATGCGCGAAACATAAATTACGAGAACCGATTAATTTTATTTGATGATTGCAAAAATGTACTTGTAAATCTTTTTGAGCTCGGTAGCACCTGCACCTCCCTAACCTCGTACGGGTAAAGCTTTAAGAGAATAAAACCCTGCATCGACTCTGATAACAACTGCGGTATCTCTAAAAAATTCGCTTTATGAAGAAGCCTATCTTATCGGAAATCTGACACTCCGAACTATATCAGTTAATGAGAATTCATCTTTACTTTTCACGCGTGTGATTGGTTCGTCCGAGATGCACGATTCGGGTCTTGACAAACAACATCGCGTCTGTACGGACGTTGTAAACGAGTGAATGTCACATGCATTTCAAGCCACTATTCCGTGCTGCATCACCACTATTTTCATAGTTGCATCACCAGATGTTCTTCCCTTCAGTTTTCGATTGAACTTTGATTAGCGTCACTAGTAAAATTCATCTTTCGACCTTAGTGAGAAGCAATGTGAATTAAATGGGTACCAGTATATCCGACTCGAATATGAATAATTTGAGAAACAGACGCACAAATATTTATAAGTCTACGCTGGTGTATATGCGATACTTTCAATATTCGAAACCCATACGTATCTGCTGATTAATTATTCAAGTTTGGGCTACTGACATGACAACAGCTGTGGGACTGAACACTGAAAAAAAACGTAATGTAATATCTCGCAATCATTCAAGCAGTTCTAGACAGGCTTACCAGCGCTGGTGTTATTCAATGAAATATCTTGCATTTGATTGTTACAATCAAGTTCGCGTCCAAAAATTAATTTTTAGAAATGACTTTTATACTAGGGTTAGCTTTTAAGCGCCACGTGATGAGCTGTATTTCTGTTGCTATTTCGGCTGGCATGAGTCATTTCGAAAATAAATGTCTGTCAGAATAATCTTTAGAAGGAATGTGTAATTGATATTGCATTCGATATTCGAGTAGTATTTGGATTTGTTGGCTACTTAGCTCGTGAGCGTGCCAGAGTGATCTATGGTTGACCCACGAGAATTTCCGTCTTTCAGTTCAGCTTGCTTGTTACGTCACTGAGATCGAGAAACGTAAACAATCCCGTTATTCCCATGACGAATTGGTTAACTGGTTTGATCGCATTTCGGTGAATGGTTAATGCCAGTGAACGTCACTGAGATCAGTGACGTCACAGGCGAACAACAAAGTACATCCGCAAAAATGAACTTCTCATGGGTCAACCTTATAATAATAATAATAATAATAATAATAATAATAATAATAATAATAATAATAATAGTAATAATAATAATAACAAGTCGCCGATTCTTAACATCGCAGAACATCCACGGCTTGTTGCGGTCTTGAACTCGCAACTCACTGCCTCAATTTTGCTTTGCTTAACCGCCCGGCCTCCTCGCCGATTCTGACCAGAAACTGGCGCACAGAGCTGGGATCGAACCCGCGCCTCTCTGCGCCAATCTTGGTACTCTGAACTTTAACCACTGGGTGAGAATGATCCATGGTTGTTGTGTGCAGGCTTCGTGTCGGTGACGAAGGTGCTGGAGGATCTCAGAGAGCGCCATCGTGTCATGTATGGCAGTGGCCCGCAACAGCCTCAGCCTGTGCCGCCAGCGCCGGTAATTTGGTGTCCTTCTTAAGTCTGGGGAGTCAGATGGGCCTTTTTCCTGCCAAATTCTAAGAATGATGATTGATTGATGATGAACTCTTGACTGATGCATAAGGTTGTTTACACTACAATCGTCTTCTTTGGTTTTCTTTCGAGCATAAAACATTCAGGAAAAACATTCTGTACATGAGCCTGTAAAATTTATTTTTGTATTCGGTACAATATTTGTGTAACCCGTTAATTATTCAAGCGCCTCACAAATCAATTATTTATATTTCTGCAGAAACGGCGATGTGAGAGTATTAGTGAACCTCAAGTGATACCTGAACATCATGTTTGGCCGGTCGAAACAGTAGAATGTTCTAATGTCTCACATCAATGCACAACTTCTTTACCTCACGGGTCAAGAGATATATCAAACAGTGTTGAGGAAAGTTTGCCACTAGCAAGAAATGATCTGTGTTCCAATTCCTGTTATCGAGAAGTTCCGTCCACTGAGCGACCGATGCTGATGAACCAAACGGTTGAAATTCCCGGGAATATAATGACACTCCCAGTACAAGATGAACAGCAACAAGCCACGTTGCACCAAGGCACGTTCACAGTCAGTCACTCTACCCCGGTTTCTCACACTCCAAAGAAATCCTATCGAGTGCATTTCAGCCCAAGCACCTACGCCGGCGATGGTTCCGTACACGGCGCTGGTCAAAACCTAAATTATTCTTGCCTGCCAAAGTTTCGACCAGAAACCTATGACGATAGCTGTCGTCGAGAAGTTTGCGCATCGTCTCATCACGCGATGCCTTTGAATAGTAAAATTTTCCCTTCCGCTTCGCGTCTAGCTTTCCAGCCTGAAGAATACGTTAGCACGACAACCCAGAGCGGCCAAATCTCTAATGCGCTACAGGTATCCTCGGTCTCCAATGGATCAAACTCTGCCGCCAATAAAACCAGTTCTTTCTTTGAATTTGACAAGCCTACTCTGAGTGAAGCTATTTCTACTGTCAACCCTTTGCAGGCTTTGTTTCCTCCAAGCCCAAAAATTTTGCTTGCGGAAGATACTAGTTTCAATATCCATGGCTGTCGTGAATACAATGAATTTCTTTCAGTATCTTCGGCTTCCGGAGTGATTATCACAGAATACCATTCTGACGATGACTGTGATCGTCAAGAGAGAAGAAGCTTTGCTGCAAACCGAGAAGCTCAAGAAAGGTGCCCTGCTGCTGTCGGCTGGATGAAACAAACACGTGACGATTATCCCTTCAATACGCATACACCATCAAACGGTGTTGGTGATGGCCAAAATATTATAAATTCTGATTCTCAGCGTGAGTTCTATCCGACGATCCTGCAAAATCAAATGACTACGGACAAGAACAACAACGTTGTTGTTGACCATATCTTCCAGGCGCGCTTCTACACGGATGAGAATACCAATCGTATGCACGGCATGTACGATAAATCGTTGTTGCCATTCAAAGGAAATATACGACCACGGGAAGCTCAAATATCAGAAACGCAGTTCGTGACGCAATCGGAGGTAAGTGTGAAGGAATTACTATTTCTTTTCGATTTTTTTTTATGCCAGCGGTGCTGAATTCTTGCGATCATATGACACTAACGAGAAAAGAGCTTGTATCAAAGGGGTTATGGTCTGATATATAGTTTTTCAAATGATATTTCGAATTTTCACTGTTCCCTTTACCACGTTTTACTGATCTTCCACAGAGCCTTCAGCACATTTTAAGTGGGCTACGGCCCTTAGATTGTCCATTCTGGTGGATGTGTATTCGAGTGTGAAATTCCACCCTTAAAGTATCCCAAAGTTTTGTAAATCGCTCTTTGGTCGAAATTGTAAGCTAAACTGGGACTGGGCTGTTGCTGGAGCTGCTGCTGGAGGACCATCTTCAAACGCTATACAGACCGTTATCAGGGACGTGACATGGATGGAACCAATGTTATTTACGTGATACTAGCGGCGCTGACATGACATCCCGTTAGCAGAATTTCAAGCTCTCTTTCAAATCCTAATTCGAACACTTGTTTGTAAAACCAAATGCAGTGGAAAATTTAACGTGGTGTAAATTTAGGCTCTAAATTTAAAGAGCGATGCCTATCATCGAAGTTAATTCTGAAGCAATAATAACTGCCCCTTACATGTAGTTGAACTAATTATAGTCTGTGCATTTCGAATGTATCTGCCTTATTTAGATATACGAGATGTTAACTCCTTCGCTAGATTCAATTGCTAACTGAAACTGTTAATTTCCACTTCTAATTTAACATTAGTGTAAGTTTCATTGAAGACCAGACCGGGTTTCGTCATGATTAAAGTTAGATTCAGTTAAAGATTATCCAAATCGTAGTTAGATATTAATTTAGATTATTCGTTTCTAGTGGTAAATTCCCAAATTTTATGTAAGAAATTTTTTTAGGTAATTTTTATAAGACCAATCAGTATTCCAGATTATAATACATTTTTCATTGGAACTTTTTCTGATTCGGAGTTTATTCAATTGAAATTAATTAGATTAATGTTAGGTCCACTTTGAATTTATGTTCATAACATTCATTTTAAATCCAACTGAAATTGGCCACATTCAAGTTGGATTCCAGTTAAATCGATTATATTCATGTATGATTCAACTGAAATTGGTCACATTCACGTTTGATTTAAGTAAACTTGGTAGAAACCAAGCTATAGTTTAGTCTGCCATGTGATGGCAGCAGTGGGCAGTAGCGCGCAACATATAGCGGCCGCTACATCTTCAGTAGCGGTAGGGGTAGCGGCGCTACAGTTAAGCAATTGTTGCGGTAGCGGCGCCACGTTTAAGAAAGCGTAGCGGTAGCGGTAGCGCCCGCTACATTTCAAAGTAGCGTTGCCCAGCTCTGTGTGATGATGTGCACTGCAGGATGCCTGGTGCGTCGGGGGACGTCTGGTGCATGTGAGCTCCGTGGAGGGCTGCGTGCCTGCCTCCTGCTGCCCTCTGCCTTCCCTCCTGCAGCAGCAGGTCAGTGGTGAAGGCATGCCTGCCCTTCTGCAGCAGCAGGTCAGTGGTGAAGATCTGCCTGCCCTCCTGCAGCAGCAGGTCAGTGATGAGGCCTGCCTTCCCTCCTGCAGCAGCAGGTCAGTGGTGAAGACCTGCCTGCCCTCCTGCAGCAGCAGGTCAGTGGTGAAGGCCTGCCTGCCTGCCCTCCTGCAGCAGCAGGTCAGTGGTGAAGACCTGCCTGCCCTGCAGCAGCAGGTCAGTGGTGAAGACCTGCCTGCCCTGCAGCAGCAGGTCAGTGATGAGGCCTGCCTGCCCTCCTGCAGCAGCAGGCCATAAATCAATTTACAAATTACACATGTTTTGTTTAAAGTCATTAAAACCTATTTTCCAAATATTCTTCAAAAAGACTCTCGTTTGCATTAATCGACGCTTGATCTGTCGATGATTTTATTCCTCCAAAATGTCTGTGGATTTTTGGCGAGCAAAATGTATACAAAATCTGCTTATTTGAGTGTTGTTTCTAAATTTATACGCTCCTTAAAGGTGATGGCGATGGAAACTATTCTCTTTAATGATGACACACTTTTATTTTATTCATAAATCTCAGCCTAATAAGAATTATTTACGGTTACTTAGAACATTGTTAGTGTCTCTCTAATATATCACAAATTGAGTGTACTCTAATTTTACCCTTTTCTACGTACAGAATGCAGCGTGGGAACCGAATATTTCAAGTACTTCGTTCCGAGACTTCACATCCCAACATGGATTGAACAACCTATCATTTTTCCCTGCCAACATGCATTAAGTGACTTCAGGAATGAGAAATCAATTAAAATGGAACTCGGTGGTAGCGAAAAAGATGTATAGCAGAGAGAAAATGTACATTATATTCACGTTGTTCTTACAGTGCTAACGAAAGTAGACACATCGTGTCGAGTGCGGAAATGTGTTTATATATATAGTTGGTTTTTTTGATTTTAATAAATCATTCATTTTTGTTATTTTTTCAAAGATTTATATATTAATATATTGCATCACATAGATGACTCTTATTTCAACGCGATTCTATTTACGGATTTTTGTTGATGGTTAATAACCGCATTACTCTGTGCACTAATGGCCGCAAAGAGAATGTTATTCCTAATCACATTTCCTAAGATTAGCTTTTGAGTATTAAGTATTTCACTTTCCATGTTGCAGAGAAATTTTATTTTGATGAATCGTGTCGCGAAGGTTCTTGTGTAGATCTGAGCTCTTGAACAAATAAATTTAACAAACCAACCGATTATATTTATTTATATTTATAACCGATTATATTATATTTAGAGTCAGGGTAGCCCAGTGGTTAAAGTTAAGAGTGCCAGGATTGGCGCAGAGAGGCGTGGGTTCGATCCCAGCTCTGTGCGCCAGTTTCTCTGGTCAGAATCGGCAAGGAGGCCGGGCGGTTAAGCACAGCAACAATAGAGCAGTGAGTTGCGCGTTCGAAACCGCGACAAGTTGTGAATATTCTGCGATGTTAAGAATCGGCGACAGGCCTACGGCCTAATAAACGCTGAAACCGCCATTATATTTACCTAATAACTAATTATATAAATGACCTTAGTTCATGATATCTCAATCGAATTTCAGTATTTATAATATTCGAATCCACAAATGTCTTCATCTTCTTAGCAAAAGTGAGCATCTACAATTCACAAAGGCAGGTAAAAATGTGCTCTAAACCCAAGTTTTGTAACATTCAAGAAATGATTTGCAGGGTAAACGTGTGTTCATTTGATTGAATCACGTATGTGACTAACCCAAGATGAATGATCGAAAATTATACAATGTAGGGTTTACAATAAATAATATCAATATAATTTTACGCCATGACGATCGAAGAAGAATAAATGTATATATTGAACAAGGTGAAGTAAACTTTGTTTAGTAATTTTGTGGCGGCAAATGAGCCTCTTTAAATGATTAATTTCCTGCAATATAAACTCATTTATGTAAATAAACAAATAATTTGCATTGAGTCCATTTTTAAAACGGCTTTAGATTGCTTATACTCGTAATAATTACAAGTGCCTCCAGATTATTTTTAAATGGTTTTATTTTATTTCAAAACTTGAAATGAATTATGGAAAATGGCAAAATGGGAAAAGCATGAAGTTGCTATTAAGATCAAATGACTTTTGAATTGAATTGTTCCTAAATAGGGAAATTGATCGAGCAGCGTCAGCGATCCGTGTCCCTCAATTACCAATTAAGATCAGATTTGATGTGTAATGATGCCCACCACAATCTGAGGTGGCATGTTTACAATCACCTCAGGGCCCCAATGCAACAGGTGGCGGCTTGAACCCTGCCACTCAATCGTCATGACAGAACTAAAAGGCATCCTCTGTCGTAAGCCACGTGATACAACGGCCCGAGCCCATGGTCACCCGCTCCCTCCCAGGGTCCCAGCCGTTGTCCGCATGAAAAGTCTACCGTCTCAGCACCAATTGCCATCGGAGTCTCGTTTGGTCACTCGTCGAAGTAAGACGTGTGGTGTATAACTCTCCTTAAAAGCCGGTTGTGACGCAGAGCCCAGAAAACGGGTAGCTGTGTATTGAAGTGTGGTGTCGTGAAGTGTAGTGTCGTNGACAACTGAACTTACGGCAATCTATCACTCATTGGTTATTGTACAGGAATCTGATCACCCACACTGGGTTGTATGCTCTGACTCTCGCTCAGCACTGCTCCTCTTGAGTTCACCACAAGGCATTTCAACCAGATGCTCCCTGCTGGTCCTAAAAATTCGTAGGCTGCTCAGAGGGCTTAATCTTCAACGACATGTAACCTTGCAGTGGGTTAAAGCCCATGCGGGTATACTTGGAAATGAGCTTGCTGATCGTGCAGCCAAATTGGGTCATGGATTGGATCATAGCACCTACCATACCATAGAATATTCTGATGCCCTCTATCGTCTACGCCGTAAATTTCTGTCATACTGGGAAGAAGATTGGTCCCGAACTGTTGCTGAGTCTGGCAAAGGCAGACATCTTGCATCAGTTAGAGGAAATCTGCTGCCAGTCCCCTGGGTGCATGCAAAGTCCCGTCGAGTAGCTGTTGTATTGGCCCGCTTTCGTCTGGGACATGTAGGGGTAAAAGCTTACCTGCATCGCTTCAAAATGTCAGACTCTCCACTGTGCGGGAATTGCAGTGTGGAAGAAACCATCGAACACTTCTTGCTAGAATGTAGCAGCTACAGGGATGCTCGTCAACTAATGAGACAGACCTTGGAAAGCATTGGCATTGAGGAGCTAACAGTGCGCGCACTGCTTGGAGGTGAAGACATCGCAAAACGGGAGCAGCACCTCATTATCGGGGCGTTATCTGCATTCCTCGCAAGCACCGGAAGATTGGAAACCCTGTGAGGTCACAATAATTAAAGCAAACAATGAGGCCCCAACTGATAATGCAACTACAAGTCTGAAATAAATTGTCATGTCCAGGTGTGACAACCGACCTGTGTGAGGTCATTTACTACACCTCAAAGAAGACATCATCATCATCATCATCAATTGCCATCGTTTTGTCGCCATCTACAGGGGGATTCACAAAAACTTCCTGTTTTTTATTTTGCGTCAAGCATTCAGATGTTGTAGGAAAAAGGCAGGAAGTATTCAATATGAAGGGCAAGGTCGTGAAGTTTTATGTCCCGCCAAGTCAGTTGTCATCAGTTGTCAATTAGGCTCAGACTTGCAGAACTGTCATACACTTTATCAGCTCAACAGTGCATCAAATCCACGCTTTAAAACCTCAACTTGTGACTGACTAACAACATTTTTCGGGATTTGCTATTGCGAGTGCAGTGGTGTATCGCGCAACTCTTCTTCACGCCTCTTTTGAATCCATCAATTTACTAATTTCCAGTGAATCCGCGGTAGATTTTTCTGTGTTGACTGTTGAATAAAGTTTGATCAGTCTCATAAACATATTTCTAACGCTTCTATGATTTTTACAGCATTTTTTTAAAATCAAAATCCTTCTTTTAGGAAAATCCCTTAATCTGAAGTTAGAGTACGATTGTACGATACTACGATTGTACGATTTTGGCAGTACCCACAACCACTACCAAGCACGGTTTTCGACGTGACCAACTGAAATTGCACTTTTTGATAATTATTATTGAGCTCTGTTAGTTGCAAATAATTTTAATACATTTATTTAAGCAATTATTTTTAACTGAGACAAAATACCACTATACCAGCAAGCATTGTAGGAAAGAAGTTAGCTACCTTCCTACCTACCTTTTTTGGTCATCCCGCTCAATGCCACTGCTCGTCTCATCTGCTCTGTTCATTCGGCTTCTCTGATCTGATGAAGTGATAATGAAAGCATAAGTGCACTAGCAGCACTACCTCAAAATTAAAACCTAATTTATTGTCCTCCACCTCCAGCCCCAGCCCCCAGGCCCAGGGCATTTTGCTCTTGGTTATTTGGTCATGACTCGTGAGTGACTCAAGTCATGAGGGCGAGGCTAAGGGGAAATGGGGAATCTGATAGTCCGCTCACTCATAGCATAGCGGCAAACCAGAGCTTTTTTAGAATCAGTTCATTTTTAATTTCCTCATTTACTGAAGATTTAAACCAATTTATTAAGTATGATAATGCTGGTATCCAGCTAGTCTGGAAAAGTCCTATTTTTGTCTGAAATATCTGACTGTTTAAGGGTAAAATTAGAGATTTGGGGTAACACGTGCATAAACTTTGTAAATAAATTCGCATTCGCACCTCGTAAATGGCTTTTCATGGCCGAGATATGGAATTCACGGCTCGGTGAAATAGAATCACGGTTCGTAGAAATGGAATCACGGCTAGCAAATCCATAAAACCACGGCTCAAAAAATTCAGTCGTGGCTCGCCAAGTAGATATATTCCATACTAGGTATCCAGGACACTTTACTGGTCTACTTATAGGACTCAAAAATGAACTTGAGGGAGAGTCTAAAAAACTCTCTGCTTTGCCACTATGCATGATACTTTACTGGTCTACTTATAGGACTCAAAAATGAACTTGAGGGAGAGTCTAAAAAACTCTCTGCTTTGCCACTATGACTCATAGTGCCACTAGGCACTGGGCATGGCACGCACTAGCTACTGAAACTATCACAAAAAATCTTGCTGGATTCAGATTTCAGTGGATTGTAGGTCATGTAGGATGGAGGTCTTTCTTTTCTTGACAAGTTGACCCAAGTTTACCAACTATGTAACATCTCACAGCACGTAGCTCACTCTTAGCAAGTTAGCTTTAATAACGGGCAACGGCTAATCAGTAATCCTAGACCTGACTTAAGGGGAGCAACTAGGGTGAAATTTTGGATTTCGGCTTTTCCGGTTTTTAGTCTCATGATCTCATCTTAAAGCTGACATTCTGATCTATCCAACGGTACCAAAACCATCTCTGTACGTTGATTTATGCGTTCACGACAGATCATGAAAGGGAGGGGGGTGGGGTAGTTCTTTAACAAATAGAATGGGAGGAAATTCGCTGCGAGCACTTTAAATAGAGTGTCTGCTTGAAGTGCACCTTAGTTACCTGCCTGGCTTCGTAATCGTATGAGGAGGTGTGCATGCAGTCGCTCCCACCATCCTTGACTGGAATCAAGCTCCAGTAACGTTTAGTTTTGTATCCTTGCTACATTGAGTGCCTATTCCGATGCGCGCGGGAGTTTGACGGGCTCTACTGAAAAGTTAACTTATTGTCACTGCAAACCTATCTCCTCCAGTCCTCCTCCTCCTAGAGTTTTTAAGCTACAACAATGAGACATATACCATTCGATGCGCAACAAAATTATCTAGAATGTAACACTGGCGTTTTTCTAATTTCGTTATAGTTTGGATTTTATTCCGCAAAAGGAGGGGTGGCAGGGGGAAAATTGAAAAATTTTTGAAAAATTTACGAAAAATGCTCCCACACCCACAAAAATGAGAAATCCTAAAAACCCTCGTGTTGCCTTTTAGATATGGTCTTTACACATCGAATGATATGTGTCTCAATGTTGTAGCTTAAAAATCCTAGGAGGAGATAGATTTCTACGCCTACGGTACCCCCTTTTTTGGCCGTTTTCTAAGAATTTCACGTTTTCTTTCATTTTTTTTTAAAAATTCACACGAACAAAAATGTCTTAGAATTTTATTTTACATATGTGTACCAAGTTTCAGAGTGATCCGTTTGTAAATAGCCAAGATAAATTCTACCCTAGACGCTCCCCTTAACTTTGGTCTCAGTTGACTCACTTGACTGGAGATTTAACCCTTTAATGGGCAAGTTATGATAAAATACCATATAGGCTATGATCACTTGAAATTGCCTCACAAAAAGGCAGAAGCTCCATGCCTCCACCCACAGCTAAGACAGCTTCCTGTTTGTTTTTGAGGTGTCCTTATAAAGTTAGAAATAATGCCTCAGTCAACACTAATTATCTGACTATCATTCCATCCATAGATGATAGCCTCACGCCCCACCACCTGCACTGTCCACAAATTAGCATTTAATGAGCATTTAATTGAAGGTTTTTGCGACTTTTGCCTCTGAGTCTGAGAATGAAATTGACGCTCTTTCCTCATTTTTTTCAAACGGTGGAAATATCAATATATATTTAATTATTTCAGGTAACTTGATTAAATTTGATTAAATTAAATTGTTATTTTACTAATTTTCCATATGCATAAAGTAAATTTTAATTATAAAGAAAAATTTTGTGTAGCCTACGGCCTACCTGCTGACCACTCAGTGACCAGTGACCGCATTTAATGAATTCTTCAAGTTCAAGTGCCATTTAAACCTTCAATGGGCAAAATTTTTAAAAATACGTATGAATAAATATTTCGTATAGAACTTTTTACATTCTTGAAATGGTTTCTGCAATTTTTATTTGTGGCTATTTCAATGCTTGCCTGCTAAAGGGTTAAGATCCTGGACTCCTGAACACAAACTGGAGTCCTGAAATTAAATAGCCCTGTGGCTGTGACCTGTGAGGCTGTGAGCAGTTTATGAAATAGATCTTTGATCTTTTTTATTAGAGGCTGGAGCCTGGAATTTGGAAACATAATTTTGGTGGCCATGTTATAGACATTTGTTTTGGTGGTAAATTTAGTCAATACAATATTTTACCTCTTGTTGCCCCAATCATAATTTATAGACTATAGAGCCCATAGAGTTCTAAATGGTGACTAAACTTATATAAATTGTTTAAGTACTGTTGTAATCAGTGTACTGTATCTGTCCAGGCATGGAATATATCTAACTTTCTAGCCACAAGCCCAGCCACAACTAGTCAACTAGTCTAGAGCTGCACAGCAGCAGAGCTTTCCGGACATTTTTAGAGCCGCAAGATTCTGGCTTGATGAATTGCCTCCTATCTAATTTTGTACAAAGGTGCACAATTGGTCAACAAGTTCTAAATATACTGAAAACTTGTTACATTGGAGCATCAAAACTTTATTTATATGTTGGAAAATACTAATCCTGGCTGCTTTTATTCAATTTTTAGCTGACTGAGAGGAGCTTTCAAGTTTCAAGTCTCACAATACATTTGAATATTCTATTATTCTTTGTAATAATTGGCCTTCCAGTCTAGCAGAGGAGAGGACAGATGTGTGTTGTGTGGTAATCACAGGTTGGTCCTGAGACCTTGATGGCAAATGGAAAGGTCAAATTACTTAAGGAAAACTTGACAGATTAAAGTGGCAGTGCTCCAGCATGGCCATGGACTTCTACATTTAAAATATATATATGGTATATCATAGTAAATATGCTGGTTTAAATGTGATATTAAAATATGTTGGAACCTTTATTTCCAATCATTTTAATGTTTATTTTGGTCCAGTACTTCAAATAATGGGATTTTGTTGAATTTTCAAAAATAACTTAGGAGAAGAGGGTTTGAAAAATAATTGCCTGTATTTTTAATATGAGCCATATATGATTTTTTTTACTAGACAGGTTTGTATAACCTTATGATGAGTTTAGGACGTCGTAGTCCAAGGTCACGCTGAAGCGCCGCCTTCGTCGTCCTCCGTCTCCGAGTCGTCGTCGGATGTAACGTTGGACGTGTTCCATCTATTTGCCCTCATTTGGGCCAGCTGATGCAAGACGCTGTTGCTTGTCACTTGCTGAGGGTAGTTTCCCATTACTGGACAGTCCGGAATCTTTCTCAACCACTTGTCCAGTCGTCTCTTGAATGTTGCAAGGGTGAACTCCCCTCCTCTCAGCGCTTTTGGCAAGGCATTAAAGAGCCTCGGTCCTACCACGGACAGTGATCCCTCACGAAGAGTCTGTACTCTGGCCGCGGCTCGGTAATTAAATGGAGGAATCCTGCACAGTCTCCCCCTTCTTTCGTTGTAATATGTCGTTGTTTTGGAAGCCTCACTCTCAAAGTTGGGAGCCAGTCCGTTTATCATCTTCCAAGTGTACAGTATGATATACCTTTCCCTTCTTCTCTCCAGTGAGTACAGTTCCAGGTGTTTCAGCCTTCCCCAGTAGTTCAGGTTCAGCTCCCTCATGCCGCTGATCCTGTACGTGAAGGTACGCTGCACTTACCTGTGCTAGTTTCTCACACAGTTTTGTGTAGATTTCCTCAGCATTCATCTCGTGAAACTCTGCTCTCCAATCGATTTCGTCAATTTCATTCCAAATTGCCCCCCAATCCGTTCTTCGATTGTGAAAGTTAAGTCCTGCCAGTCCCTCTTGGGGTATAGACCTGGGTAGGGTTTCAATTCCAATTGTTGTATCCACCATCACTAAGCGATGGTCAGACAGTGAGGTATCTACCCGGACGTCAACCACCATTCTTTCATTATTAGTAAAGAAGAGATCAAGAATATTGTGTTCTCTTGTTGGCAACCATACCTGCTGACTGAGCAAGTGTTCCGCAGCAAACTTCACAAGTTGGGCTTCTTGACTTGTGTCGAGGTCATCGACCTCTAAGCCACCAGGGCTTGTCCACCGGATTCGTGGGAGATTGAAGTCCCCACCAATTATCAGGCTGGGGGCTGGGTGGGGAACTTGAGTCTTGATATATGGTATATTTTTATTCTATTGCTGGATTCAGACCATAGGAGGAGTTCATAAGGGGTTCATGTTATTATTAAACATTATGGGCTTTGGGTTACACTCATCATTCCCTATAATCTGGCAAACTTTTGTTGTATTGATGAAACAATTTGCCCGCACTGGTTCTGGATGTGGTTGTCATAGCCATATTCAAATCCATTGCTCAAAGACGACAACTTGCACTTATCGAAAAACATAGACATTCTATGCTTTTCTGCCTATGTTACAGTCTGACAGGCTAATGCTGTTATAAATTCCTGCTAGGGTTAAAAAGCTTAAAAAATAGAAATTGGACAATGATCCTATCTTACCCCTCTGTGATCTCAACTTGCCCAATGGGGTAAGATGAGAATGAGGTAAGATGCTCACTGTCTGATCTTTCACTGAATAACTGGGAGCCCATTGCATTACACGCCTTGAGATACATTTTTAGTTGTTCATGGTGTAGGTGCTGCATGCTTGCAAGTGATTTTGATCTTTCTCACACCACTTGACTACATGTTCTTGAATGAGCAGCTTCATTTCCTAGGTTATCAATCAGTGATTGTTAAAAAAATCAAATGTAAAAAATTATTCAATAATAATCAGTTTTTATGTTACCCTTGTTCCAGTCCCTTTTTTGCTGTAATTTCTTTCATACAAAAATTCAAAATGGAGAGCAAGCGAGAAGTTCCAGTTGTGTTGAAAAAAGTTTTGGACTTGGATTTTAGATTGTCTACTGATCTTCTTGCAGCCATTGTGAGAAAAACTGGACCAATGCGACTCTACTACACATATTTGAAAGGATTAGAGGTAACTTTTTCTACAATATTTAATTGTCTTGCTGCACAATGTACATATAATCTGAAAACTTGATATACCTTTCAAATTTTATTTAAAATCATTTAAATTTATTGAACCTTATTTTTAAAAGGTTTTCCAGATCTTTTCCTTTTGTTTGTTGATTCAAGACAGACTTGGCTCAGTACCAATTCAAACAGTGGGAGCTTTCAAACATCAATAACCTACATAAATTGTTTTTGTGGCACTCTTTAGGACATGTTTAATATTGATTCATTGATGGCTCATATTAGATCTGCCATTGCTACACCTCAAAGTTGTTTCATTTTGCCACTTATTTTTATTTTATTAATTTTTTTTGTCATCCTACAACATTTGGATCATTACAATTAAAATTATCCAAAAATTAACATATGAATATGACGGTAGATGAAACTAAATTGTCTCAACATGATACAAAGTAAATTAAAATTTTCTATAATCTATAAAATGATGGAGTTTTGAAAGCTGCATTCTTTGTGTGCACATCCCTTCTCATTGATACAAGATATTTAGCTAATCATTCAGTTGTTAAATTATATTATTTTCCTTGCAATGATTTGCTTACATTACTATTGAATATTGATCTGTGTTCAATTACTTTCAGATTGCTGGGAATGGATGGTTGTGGTTTTTTGGTGTTGCAGCCATAGCTTTCTTCAGTGCTGATCAGTACGTGAGACACCTCATGGTCAACTTGTTCATTGGTAAGTTGTGATTTTTAGTGCATTTTCTCATTTATGGAAAAAATGCACTATTGTGCTCACCATGTCTGTCTGTCTGTCTGTCTGTCCATCTGTCCGTGAACTCAAGTTTTTGTCGACGAGAAAATGCGCTCTCTGTGACTCACTGCAGTGAGTGCTGAGCTATATTTTTTTACTCCTGCTTAATGTTGATAAAGTTCACGTAAACATAAATTCTTATCTTGAGTTCAACAGTTGCAATCAACAGTTGAATATACCGTCTATCATTCATATTGAATTCATTAATATGGGTTTTAAACATATAAATAAGATAACTGCCACCACCTTGAGATGATAAAACATTTAAACTGCTGAATGCATAAAATTTCTCAAAGCAATTACTTTTACCAATATTATGATTTTGCCTGAGAAGAACAGTATACCAATTTTCTACTATTTGAAAGGAAATCAGATCGAATTAGAATTTTCCATTTAATAAGCAATATACTGTAACTCATTTATTTAAGTCTTGGAATTTTTTTTATTTATTAAATACTAAAATTGTTAAAATTTTATCTCCTTAAAATATCAACTGAACTTGTTACAAATAGTTATATTGCTTATTCGCCAAATTAAAATACTCACCAAGATGAGCATTAGCATGAAAATCAGGTGATTTATTATGTAATTTAGGTAAGCTCACTAGCGCGACTATTACCTACCGGTATATCTGTTGTAAAATGCTGTATCATTCTAGAATGAGAATAACTAAAATACTCCACGTACTATGTTTACAATTTAGTAAGGCCGTACGATGTTTCAAAGAGATGTAGACAAGCTATATCTTATTATTAAAGATGTTATTTGGAAACTCATGTTTGTTATGTGACACGAGCTGTTTTTTCTCATAATCTTGCTAATTTGTGTTGTAATAATAAAACAATTTGCCAGCTCTGGTTCTGGACGTGGTTGTCGTAGCCATAGTCAAATCCATCGCTCGAAGACGACGACCTGCACCCATCGAAAAAGACCTCTTGACTGTACACTTTATCGACAAGTTCTCCTTCCCATCCGGCCACAGCACCCGGGCTGCCATGGTCACCACGCTGTTATCCACACAGGTACTGTTAAGTACTTATATTATCAGTCTGCTTATACCGCAAGTTCACAAGGAATTTAAAGGCCAAGAAAACGTCAAGCAAATTCACCATATCAATATTGAAAATGTTTCGGAGTCCAGTTCCATCTTCAGTTCAACAATCCAAAAATGAATAAAATCATGATGGACTCCGGAACGTTTTCAATATCGATATGGTGAATATGCTTAGCGTTTTCTTTGCTTTTAAATTCCTTGTTACTGTTAAGTGTATGCATTTAAGTCAGGTTTTCTCAATCACATAAATAAATAAACTAAGATGACCTGCAACTATTGATAAACACCACACTGACATCACGGCAATCGTGATTTCACTGAAAAAAATCCCTAAATCCTCATAAACCCTGAATTGCTAAATGTTGGTATACCAAAACCTGAAGACAAGTGAATCCATTGTTTTCAGTACGACCTCAACCTGGTGCTGGAGGCAATCTTATTCTCGTGGTTCATTGGAGTTTGTGTCTGCCGGTTCCTAATGCGAAGACATTTTCTGCTGGACATCGTGTGCGGTATCGCCATCGGCTGGTTCCAAGCACTGTTCCTGGTCTACTCCGGCCTCTGGCTGGACGTTCCATCAGCTAATGGAGTTATTGCCTATTTCTTCGACGAAACTTTCGCCGGTGCTAGTTTTGATGTTTAATGCTATGTTTTATATTGTGCATTGCGGCATTTTTCCGGTTCTTAGCAAAATGCGAGGGATTAGAGTAGCCATTAGCTTCTTAGAGAAGCCTTCTCTAATCTCCATCTTAGTTTCGTACTTACTTTGTTGTAGTTTAGGATACAGAATATATTATGGGTTTTGTTATGGTACAACACAATATTGTTAACTGAGAGATAAGCGTTAGCGCGACTGGTTTTTCCTGATTATCTAACTACTTACTGTTATTTTTTATATTATTTTAGATAAATTTAAGCACTCATTTACGAACTAATAAACCACAGGTAGATGTTATTGAAACATGTTTGTCTGAAGACAGATGGGTTTATGGGTTTGTAAGTCAAACTGCGTAAGATGTCCGCGCGCTGTGAAGCGCCCAAAGTAAATTTTTTACTATTATGATTCTTCGCCCAGAGCGTGTGATTCAACGTTCAAGGCCCAAAATGAAATGAAACCACCAAAATATGAAGACCACGGATTGTTAGGAAATATATACATGTTATTTTCAAGATTTGGCAGTCTTTTTTCATTTGTTCTTAAATATTTCATTTCTTTCGAAAATTCGAATTCGTCTGATATATCCATCATTACCTCAAACTGAATCCATTAAATTCGCATCAAAGGCTATCAGATGCAAGTTGAAAAAACATGACATTTTTTAAATTTTGCCATTGAGGGTTGAGATGTACTAGTTTGTCGAATTGCCAGATGCATGTGTAAAATTTCCCAGCGCAGTCCTCTTATTCAATACACTTCTCATGATTTTTTGGCTGAAATGCATGCCATTGAATATCTCGTAGGCTAAGAGAATCGTAACGAGTTCAACGAATATTTTTTAATGCAACAGTGCCATAGTAAATCTCACTTCTAATAGGCAGATTTCAGTTCTCCTTGCTAATCAATCCTCAGCAACTGAACGCTGTCAAATTAGAATAAATGTTGTGTAGTTTTTCATGTTCATATTGACTTTAGGACGAGTTATATCTCAAGTGACTATTCATAACACTCGCTTCCAGTTGCAATGTGACTTTAAAGTCCGCACCGTTTTGGAATTCCATGGTAATAGTTACTCTCTCTGCAAATTGTAAGTTTGATTACACCGCACATGCACTTTTACTCTCATTACAATATATTATCGGACTGCAAGGTGTCCGTCTAATTCAAGAGAATGAGTGCCTCTATGTGAGATTGAAGACCTTGTAATAAGGAGGATTTAAAGGTGCTACGGTAAGTGGCTGGTATCGATTAGTCCGACCTCGTGGCAGGTCTTCAGACTCGTGTATCCAACTCCTGAATGATACGTTATTATTTGTATTTTATATACCTTCGTTTTTCAAACAAGAGTGAAGAATGAGTGTTGGCCCCACTCGTACTCTACCATGCTACAATGAACCGTACTTGGAAGAAATGATCTTGGTTTTGACGTTGCAAGCTGTGATTGCCTCGCCTCGTGGTCCTAATTTCAGATGAAAGTTTAAGCAAAAATAAAAGGAGTAGCGTTTCAGAAGAATTCATTGTACATTTCAGTTTGTCGCCCCGTGTTTATTAGGCTATTGAGTTTTTTTGTTATCATGGTGTCGGTTTATGCGTTACAAGGCCAGAGGAATCTAAAGTATGCTCTATGTTTACTTAATGAGATACAGAGCGCGCGTTGTTCGCGTTTCGCCTAACTGTTATAACTTGCGTCAAGTTAGGCTTGGTCGTATGTCAGACTGATACATTGTAGGCCACAGTACGAAACGCTCGCTATTTCTCTCTTGCATAGTTGAACGTCATTTCGATTACATGTCCACAGGTCTGCTGGATGGAACACGTGTCTTCTCTTTATTTATTTATTTTTTGTATAATTACCAAAAAATGATGATTTTCCACTTTATTTAGGATGATTTCCACTTGAAGATTTTCAAGCTGCCAACAACACTGACGTCGAACCTACTTGTTCACAACACATGTTTCTTCCGTAGTAGTTGACTATACAATGGTTTCTAGTCTATTTTTGCAATAAATTTAACATATATCTAATTGTTTCTTTTATCCTAGTCTATCAAGTCTGGCGAGTCATCAACCGAGGTGTCTGCGTTCGAGCATTGTGCTTCAGACCCCAATAAACGCTCTCCCGAATATTAACACGGTCATTATTCTCTTGACAATTGCAGAGCGACACGTGTCTATTACATGACTTCTATTATAGTATTACTTTGCCGTATAGGAAGAACCCTGCACATTGGATGAATGTTCTGTGCGTGACAGCCGAGCTCCTTCCAACGTGAGCGTAGATTAACGTGCGGGCTAATTTCGCATGCTAGCTATTTATTAGTTCGCCAATTGGGAAAGAAAGAAAGATGATTTCGAGCTGCGATTCTTGTATTGTACATTTGTAGGGTTATACAGGTTTTACATCTGAAACATGTTTATTTTGCCTAAATATTTCGAGGGATAAACTTGATTGGATAAAAAATGCTTGCGACTTAGCCATTGTTAGATACCAACGATTTGGCAGTATTGTCTCGCCTATGCAAAAAAATTATTTTATTTCATTTTATTTTTGGTACATCGCGTCGGTTATCAGTATGTTAGGTAGCCAGTCATTAGGCAACTATAATTACGTGCGATAACTCCGACTAGTATCACAAATGACCCATCCGTGGTATAATCGTTCTATCAAATCCGATTTCGCCAAATAAACAGAAAATTACTCGACACTCCGGGGCTTAAACAGTTAGAATTCACTGCTGGCATTAAACTGACTCCAAGCATTTTGAAACGCTGGCAGTGATAATCTGAATCGCATTTTTAGAACTGCAGGATATGATGACGATTCTCTGTCGGCGTGCCTATTTTATCTTCATAGACTTAAGCTTCACGAAGCCTAACTCTGCCAAGAAGAGCACCGATGATGATGCCAGGCCGAGCACCAGTAGGAGGAACGCGCCCTGCAGTTGGTCCAGAGACAAGCTCGACACCGACGTCTGTTGGGTACAGTAGTCACGTTAGTCACCCCAGTGGGTGAGGTGAGTCACCCCAGTGGGTGAAGTAGTCACCCCAGTGGGTGAAGTAGTCACCCCAGTGGGTGAAGTAGTCACCCCAGTGGGTGAAGTAGTCACCCCAGTGGGTGAGGTAGTCACCCCAGGCCAGTGGGTAGTCACCCCAGTGGGTGAGAAAAGAGTCACCCCAGTGGGTGAGGAGAGAGTCACCCCAGTGGGTGAGGTTCACCCCAGTGGGTGAAGAGAGAGTCACCCCAGTGGGTGAGGAGACAGTCACCCCAGTGGGTGAGGAGAGTGTCACCCCAGTGGACTACCATCACCCACTTGCTCTCCTAATGCTGCTGCTGCTGAGCTATATTATGAGTCGTAAGCGTGCTAAAAATCACAGTGTAGTTGTTCTAAGCAACGTTAAATGCAGCTAACCTAATTTTAGCTACGATTTTTTTATTATTCTCCATCAAATTACGCTTATTTCTGGTAAACATACACGGTGATTTACGATGGAAATACAAGCCTTGGCTATTTGCTACCAGCATGTAAGGCATATGATCTTGTTAGGATACGCGAATGAAAATTTACTCTTTTAAGTACCGTACACGACCAAAATATAAGAGGTGGCTGGCTACTCTAGATGCCAATAACGTTGACTAATTAGAAAGTTCCACTTCTATTATTCCAACGCTTGGGGTTGAAACAGTATTGTGCTGCTGAGATGCTTATTTCACTCACACACCAGAGATTCGATGTTACACACCATAGATTCGATGTTACTCACAATGTCATTCGTGTTGTCGTCGGTTTTGACGAAGTGATCTCTGAAAAGTTTACCGACAATGCCGGCTTCAACGAGTCTATGCAATGTGCTGGAAATAGTTTCGGTGTACGGAGTGTACTTGGGCAGGAACCAAGCCAGATGACCAGAGTAGACCTGCGAATGGCCAGATAAATTGAAGTTAATGAGGAATAATATTTTAAATTAACTGGAATTAGTTAGTTGAAGATCTTCAGGCTTTTTCAGGTGATTCTGTTCAACATTTCGTTGAATTATTGAAAGAAAAATTGTTTCCAAGCACTTTGTTTGAATTAACACAATAATGGTCATTACTTTCAACACATAGATGTTCTTGCTTATTGAAGCACCAAATTCCGTTTTCTTTTCTAAAGGAAAATTTTGTTTACACAATATGTCAACTCCCGTCACAACCAAGCATTTAATGGCACTGTCGCAATTTTTTCACATAACTGGCAAATTGGGCAGCAAAACTCACCTGTTCCTTGAGAATGTACGTGTCTTGGGTGACGTTATACTTAATCCGCACTTTCATCAAGTACGAGTAGGTCTCGATGAGGGCGTGAGTCCCATTTTTTACGACCATTTCTACGCCAGGTTCATAGTCATGGTCTTGGAAAAATCAGATTTTCTTAATTATTTCAACTATTAAAGGTTTAAAAACTTATTTTTAACAGTAGTAAAATTTAATAAAACTTAATATCGAAGAAACTCGTCGATCGCAACAAGTTCATTAAAATTTTATGTATCTTCTCTTCGAAACGAATTATCTGATAGCTTATATTCCTGCACTGAATGGTCACACTCCATTAAGCCTGGGAATTTCCGTTTGTTGATTTTGTTCACATTATTTCTTCAAGACTATTTTCATCTGAAACAACCGAAGACATTTTGGTTGATAACCGACATCGAGAAAAACCGACTATTTTTTATACTGCGATGGATTTGATACTTTTATATTTTCGGAAAAGGACAGAAATTCGTTTCGGGTATCAAAATACACTTAATTTTGTATCGAAATAAAGTAGATCTGAAAGTAAATGAGATTAATCAATACGAACATGTTAGTTTGCTGTTTTTCATTCTGGATGCTTTAGTCGTAGGAATTCGCTGTGATATAATTGTGATATTGATACATTTTTCACAGCAATTTCGACACAGTAATTTCATCTATTCTCGGCTTGCTACATTGCACGTACCAAAATTTATATACATTTAGAACACGTGTAAGGTACACGTGTCCTAAATGTATTTTAATGTAAATACTGACGTATTGGACACGTGCAAGGAAGGATAAATCTCATATAAATTCCTCGCGGTCTCCAATCAACGCTGCATAATCAATCCTATAGTGTTGGTCGCACCTCGCCTACAAGACCTTCGGCTGTATTATAATCCTCATCGTTCGTTACAGCGAACCAATGAAAAATGCACCCAAGGTGAGGTACGTAATAAGTCTATCAGCGTTACTATCCTAATCGATATCTGTTAATCCTGCCAACCAAATTATTCCAGTGAATTATTTTCTGCTTATACGATTGACCAATTTTTATTAACTCTTCCAGGAAAACATCAAATTGTGGCATTTAATTTTTTCTTAACGTTCTAGTTTCATGTATTACATTATTTCAGTTATTGAATGAGATCAATGCCCCAGGCGCAAAGTTTGATGATTTTTTCTAAGCTCTTTGTGTCGTATGTCTTAATTTTTTGGCAGTCTAAATAATCCCGCAGGCGTCGGCAGCCCACGCGCAGCAATACATTAGGCATGATAGCTTTGTCCGGTGCTGCTGCAGCCCCTCCCTCACAGCGTTGTTAGTGAATGCCTGCAATAAATGCACTGAATGTACTGAATGCACTGCCTAAAAAGAATGCGCTCTGAACAGCCTGCACTGTCAGCAATAAATGGACTGAATGCACTGCCTACAATGAATGCGCTCTGAACAGCCTGCACTGCCAGCAATAAATGCACTGAATGCACTGCCTGAAATGAATGCACTCTGAACAGCCTGCACTGTCAGCAATAAATGCACTGAATGCACTGCCTACAATGAATGCACTCTGAACAGCCTGCACTGTCAGCAATAAATGGACTGAATGCACTGCCTACAATGAATGCGCTCTGAACAGCCTGCACTGTCAGCAATAAATGGACTGAATGAACTGGCTACAATGAATGCGCACTGCATAGAACGCAAGCCAGGAAGTTGTGCCAGTAACGCAAGCAGCAACTTCCTAACGAAAATGTGGATTTGTAACAATGCTTCGCTTGCTGCTAATGCTTGTATGAAAATTCGTAAACCGCACGCTTTTCGTACACGAATGCAGAATTTAACGCTAATATTTATGTTAGTTCGTATCCTACCGGTCATCCGTTTCGCTCTAAAGATTAGAAACATTATCATTTCGTACGTAATCTGAACACGTTTAAAGTTACAAATGGTCAAACTTTGCAATGAATCTGAGAAATGGGCGATGTACTAGGTTACTCGAGTCTGTTTGTAGACCATATGAACTCTTTGTGAACGGAAACTGTAACCTAAATTATTACAATTCTTACATGAAACCCGAAAATGATAGCCACCGTCGTTAGAATAAGTTTTGGTGGTTTAGTTGATGAAAGCGCGCGCACACCAGACATCTAACGTTGAATTAAATGTCTTTCAGTTAAATAGTCGTTAATTCAACGTTGTTTCAACGTAATATGCGTTGAAATACGCGCGCCCACCAGATATCTAACGTTGAATTAAATGCCTTTCGGTTGAATAATCATTAATTCAACGTTGTAATTTGCGTTATTTTGTAAAATAACACAAATTCAACGTAATTTGCGTTGAAACAACGCGTTATGCCAGACAATAAGTCCAGCAGCCATCTCAATCAATCGTCAGCTATGGAAAGTTCGGGTTCCAAAGGCCGGATCCCTTGTGAATCAAGTCACGAAAAGTTCAAGAATCGGCAACAGGCCATGGGCCTATTTCTTCAGTGCCAACACTTTTTATTCTATTCTATCATCGCTGCTTACCTAGAGGAAAGAGGTCGAGTTTGTTGCCAAGGCTGCGCATGGCTTGGTCAGTGGAAATCTTCAGAGCCTCAGGGACAAATTCTCCGTAGTCCTGCATGGTAATCCTGAAAAAGATAAACATTTTATTGTTATATATAATAAATTTATGAACATGATCAGTGAGTTCATGAAAATATTCGGTGAATGATATTGATCTTATGCAATCTGATGCAAATTGACGCGTGCCAGTTTTAACAACTTTGGAACCACTTCCCATAAACTACGCAATGCGATAGAAAATGTAGTAAGTGCGCTGGAATATGAGAAGTTTTAACGTAGGAACCCTGTCATCATTGAGTCGTTACACTTTGATTCGCACAGTTTATAACTGAAGTGCCTAACGTACAACTCTGCCAATATGCTTCACCAAGTCTGAAATAAAGGAACCCTATATTAAACTTTATTCTTTACGAGGAATGTCTTAATTTCTTGTTAACTCCAGACGCAAAACATGATTATGATAGTAATTAAATCCCACGCTTATGAGTAAATTAGTACGTGTACGTAAAATATTCCTTGTATTGCATAATTAAAATAAAATGAATAATTATATCTGTTAGTGAATTCAAATGTTTGATTGATCATAATGGCGAAAAAAAACATAACTATTTTTCATAACAGTTCCATTCAAGACACGTTCAAATTATTTTTCACTTTGATAATAGCGACATAAATCAATTTTACTCATTTTTGATACACTTGCAACCCGAATGTTCTTTTGTAAAAAATCATGTCAAAAAATTGTCCTACTCGTTGCTCTCCCAGTATTCTTAACCGTACCTCAGAGGTGACTCAGCAAGCTGTTTAATGGTCTCTATCCTGACGGGGTAGAGCGGGACTGTGAGGAACGCGATGAGGTTTCCGTTGTAGCCCGTGATAAAAACGATGCACCCCATGTACCAGACTGCCATCCACACTCGCCGCCACTCGCCCACTCCAAATGTGGACAAATTCATGGATTGTGCCACCAGAGCTCCTGCCACCTGCCACGAAGAAGTTCCCGTTCAAGATTGCAGATAGAATAGAATAGAAATGTCGGCACTAAGGAAATAGGCCCATGACCTGTTGCCAATTCTTGTACTTTTCATGACTTGATTCCACAAGGATCCGGCCGTATGAACCCGATCTTTCCACAACTGACGAATTCATTTATTGAGATAGCTGCTGGACTTATTGCAAGGCTCGTTAGGTGCTATAGGCATTTGACGACTGAACATATGCTTCTGCATAGCTTTGTCTAGACTGATCTTGAAGGCATTCATACTCGGAGCGCCAACGATGCTATCAGGGTGGCTGTTCCACATGTCGGTGACTCGAAGCGAGAAGAAATGTTGTCTAGTGGATGTGTTATAACGCAGTTTTTTTAGTTTATAGCCGTGGCCCCTGGTGTTCTCAGATGAATCCACGTTCAGCCTTTAATATTTTATAAGAAATTCTCAGTGTGTTTGTAATATAAAAAAGTTAATTTGAGCCGAATATATGAAACCTACTTACCCAGCTTTCTTACTCCGCGAAAATGCTTATTAAAACATTCTCGTCGAAAATGCTCAGGAGTACTAATCGAAAAATGAAGGAAGTACAGTATGTTCCAAGCTGAACTGAAATGAATCGTCGATCAGCAAAAGTAAGAAAATAATTATTATAAAATTGTACGAATTGAGTTTGTATCGCAACATAACTCTGCTTATGCCTAATTTCAAATTACTGTTCGCTGCAAAAGATGGACTTTCATATTGTTACGTAACAGACTCCAGAAATTTTGTGGCAATTCAACCATTCATTGACCACGCCCTGCAAGAAATCAACAATTAGGAGCTTGACAAGAGCAAGAGCTCAAGCCAAACTAGCAATCAAAGGTAAGAGTGTGAATTCCACGTCTAGCGATAATATGACAGAGGTGCAAATTGTCAAGTAACTATAGTTCGTATTTTTTCATTATTAAACATAAAAGTTTCGATGGAAAGTAGAGTCTTCTCGAAAGGACTAATCTACCTGAGAAGTAACTCGAAAATCAGATACAACTACTGTACATTGCAAAATATATATCAAATGCTCACCAGAAGTAATGCTTTCGTAAACTGGAATGTTGAAGAATCATCCCCAACTTCTATTCGAGTCAGGATCGGGAAAATCACAGAGACCAGCAGGGTTACAATGCCGATGCTGATCCATGTACTCCGAGCGAAGGGGTAAAGGACGGACTTCCACTTTGGCAGAGGCTTGGGAAGACGGGCCATGAACGCAAATGCTTCGGTCTTATACGGATACGTCGAATCAAACGCATTGTATCGATCTAATACAACTGTGAGGTAGTTGACTGATAATTTTTTTTCATTACTTGCGAGTTCAGCAAACATTCCAGTCCATGTGCCGTTTTCATTTGAACCCCACTTGGAATCAAAAGGTTTCAACTCGAAAGTGTATGTGAAATTTAGATGTGATTTTACAATATCAAGAGTGTCCAAATTAGAACCAATGCAGGTGCCATTGTGACCTGGGTAAAGCAGAGGGTAATCATCGCAGAAGGCTGCGAGTCGCAGAACGCTTCCTGAAAATGTTGTAAAACGATCTATAAAGAATAACTCTTCATTCATAAAGTTTTGCAGGTTCCAGCGACCTAGGAGTTTGAGGGCATTTCCTTGTAACGGGAAAGTTGTATAAATTAAACTATACTGGGATGTTTTACCCGGTGTAATAATAACAACAAACTTCGAACATTGTATGGCTCTAGAATTGATCAGTTTAGATAATGTAATGTCAGCGCTCAGGCTCAATACTACGAGTTTCTTAGGACACCACAAAAATGGCTTTTCTACCAATCTATCAATTCTAATATTGTCTGAATCAATGAGCCAAATGACGGAAAAGTTCTTCCCGGAGTAAGTCGTGAGCGGGAACTTCGTTGCATCGAAATCTACTGCAGAAGTTTGTATAACAGCTGAACCCAAAGTTTGCAATTCGTTCCAATAGATGCTAGAAGAATGAGTGTCATCAAAGATGAACAGATCGTAGCCTTTGAGAGGACCGTCGAGCAGTTCTTGCAGCACCGAAGTTCCTTGAGCAGACCCGGGCAGTGAGACGCTGGACAAAACTGCACAAGTTGGAGTTACCAACGACCCAAAGAGGAGGAGAGGTAAAACGAAACTGAAAACTATCGAGGAAATCCCGAGTCTCGTTTCCGTGGACATTTTCATGATATGAAACTCTTCACAGTTGGTTTATTATGATGCCTAGACTCACATTAAATCACTGAGGTTTCTACCAGAAGTTTATTATCAAGATTGACGGCCGACTGCAGACCATGTCACTCCTCCTTCGGCCACCGTCTTGAGGATTATGAGCCTGCGGACAGCCACGTGCTCCATCAAGGCGTCGCTGGAGAACATCACTCATATTTAGCAGGCTCCGAGGTGTGCATTATTGAGTGTTGACCACGCGCTTTCTTGCCTGACCTCATATTTATAGGATGTTTGGGACAACGCTTCCTGACATGAGACGTTCATAACATTCCTGACACTGACGAGTCCGATACAAATTTAATTTAGGTAATCTCGCATCTTCTTAGACATTTGGCGCAGAGTGAGAAAACATGACGGCAAAATACGTGCATGTTTTGCCTCAGCTAAAATTTTGGTTCCGTTCTTCTCTGAGTAGTTCTCAGAGTATAATAGCATTCTTCTTTGAGAATAATATGTTCTTCTCTGAGTATAATAGCATTACGATGTTTGTAGGCATAAATAATGGCAACAACGTTTTATTTTGTGCGATTTGTAAACAATTTAGCAATATTAGTAGATAATTATTAATATTTCTTAAAATTGATTCCTGAACTTTTTCGTTCCCTAGAAACCGTGCGTCCTGTCATTCTAACAAATGATAAAAATTGAACCAGAGAATGAACTACTAAACACGACACTTATAAAAAAATTGTAGTGTGTCACTCATTAACTGAAACAATAACGTATGTGCGATCTGATAATTATAATTGATCATGGCGAGAAACGTCGGAATGATTCATGGGAACTAATTCAACTTGTATTATTCATCAAGAAAAGGCCTAATATTTTTGAGATCAAATTAAGTATTGCGATGAAATTTTGCGTTTCATTTACCTACGAAGTTGCCTGTGAATTTGTCTTATCAAAGAAACTCAAGGGTGACCGACCTCTTAAATGCGGTTTGGTTTACTACAATTATAAACCTAGTAATAACAATACTGATAACAGTCTTGCAACAAATGATCATACAGGTAAAAAATTTTAATGCGCCTAATTTTGCATGTCTCAAAGTTTCATGATTAAAACAGGTAAAATGATTTTTTTAACCCGGATTAATGAAGACACAATATAAGTTTACTTAACCGCTTTTGAATGTTATCTGCAAAAACAGGAAAAATACGATGATAACTAAAATAATTTGGAACCCCACAGCTTACAGGACAACGACATAAATATCAAGTTTACAGTTACTGAAAATTTATGTGATAAAATTATCTTTAAGCTTAGATCCATGAATAGCAGTTGTGCATGAAGCTCAAATAACTTTTCCCAAAGTAGTTTTTTGTCAATAAAGTGAAATTATTCTTATATAATTTTGATTTCAGATTATTGATTAGTGCTGTCAAATTGAAGGCTGTGCTTTGAAGTAACAGTAGCAGCAGATTAATAAACAAATTCTATTAAGCTCAAGTCCACGAAAAATAATGTTGTTATTGGTCTTTATATACTTGCTAAGCCATTATGAGAGGTGGCATTTAGGCGAGACTTCGCCATCAAGTCGAAGTGAACAATATTTGTCATTTGCGGAACTATGTAGACAATTCTCGCGGACCGCATTGAGATCGGGAAGTGATCTCAAATTCTGACATTTTCTAGCATAATTTCAGCGTCGTAATACCTCTGATATTCTACATGGAGCTGAGATGTGACCAATGCCTAGCACCTTACTGACCAGTAGCCCTGTACTTTTAAAAAAAGTTAAGTGATCGTAATTTCATCAGCCAATCATTGACGGCCTTTCAAGCAAAATTCACCAATCATAGACAAGAAAATAGAGCGTAAGTACTTACGTTCACTTAGCCAGTTTTGAAAGTATGGCCGCTGGCAATAAGTCCAGCATCAATCTCAAACAGTCGTCAGTTATGGAAAGTTCGGGTACAGAAGGCCGGATCCCTTGTGGAATCAAGTCACGAAAAGTACAAGAATCTGCAACAGGCCCTGGGCTTATTTCTTCAGTGCCGACAATTCTATTCTATTCTATTTAATGAAGGCGCAGGATAAACATGTCAATAAATATTCTTAATTCAGCTGTTTCTGACTAATCAGTTTGATTGTGACACTTCAACTGAATCGAGGAGGTAAATAAAATAAGCGAATAAAGACTGTCATAAAATCGTGAAGCCTAAAAAGTAATTTGGTCAATGAATCTTTCATCTACAAAATTTTTAACAAACTTTTTCTTCTCGCTTCGAGTCACCGACATGTGGAACAGCCTCCCTGATAGTATCGACGTTGACGCTCCGAGTATGAACGCCTTCAAGAACAGACTAGACGAAGCTATGCAGGAGCATATGTTCAGTCTTAACTCTTAAAATGCCTAGCAAATTACGGACCTGGCAATAAGTCCAGCAGCTATCTCAATCAATCGTCAGTTATGGAAAGATCGGGTTCCAAAGGCCTGATCCCTTGTGAATCAAGTCACGAAAAATTCAAGAATCGGCAACAGGCCATGGGCCTATTTCTTCAGTGCCGACATTTCTATTCTATTCTTAAACAATCTTACTCAAGCTCCAAAGTTTTTAGCAAGATCTGTAATTGTGTTTCTGTTGTTAGTGTTGAGTCTTCAATAAGATTATTTATTTAATTACTTAATTTGTAGTGTATCGCATTGCGTCATAAGCCGCATATTTTTTTGCATATTTTTCAAATTTTTGATTAAGATTTTTTAAATTCAATTACAAATTCAACCAATCTCGGTAATTCGGATAAAGTATTACACTTTTTATCAGAGTAAATAAACATGTATACTTTTCACATATTACACTACTCGCAGTTAATTGCTTGCTACTTCTAGCAAACCCGTTAAATTACAGTTTGAGAAATTAAATTGTCAGTATACAATTTTCTATCTTGAAAAACTAAAAATAAAAAGACAGCATATATTGTAATTGAAAACTCTATCATCAATAATTTTTCCTAGTAAATATTTTCTAACATCTCTGTTGCTCCGCAAGGTATGTCACTCGGTGAGAACCCCTTCCTCACAGCCTCAGTCCTCAGAGGCACATTCTCTGTCCTGGGCGGCACACTCTCTCTCCTCAGAGGCACATTCTCTGTCCTCAGTGGCACATTCTCTGTCCTGGGAGACACATTCTCGATCCTCGCCATTCTGCTACTTGTTCACGAGTTATTCCACCAAAAGCTCCCTTAGCTCCTGCAACTCGATCGCTTCATCAAAATCGGTCTCCAGGTATTGTGATATTAGCTCAGCAATCATATGACCTTCAACAGCATTTGTGTACGGTGTCCAGTACAATGGCCGCGAAACTAAGAATTCTGGTAAGAATATCTTATCTTGAGACAACAATTCGCTGTGTTCTCCGTTGTCGGTCGAGACTTCGCCACTCCTTGCCTGCTCGTGCCCAATGCCAGTAGTAGATGGCGCTCTGCTCGACGGTTCCGCTACCGAATGTGACGAACCGATTGAAACCGATGAAAGCTTATTGCACTAATGCAACCAAATACCGCAACCAGGGCAGATGTATTGCCCGAACCGATGCTCATCGACCGAGTTGCATAGAGTGATGAGAAGCACGATCATCGCAAAGAGAATATAAATAGCGCCGATGGTCAAGCATATCACCATTTTTTTGTACGCACGGGGAGATGGTGTTTGCCACAACCCAGGCAGCGGCGGGCACATTGATGCGTTGTGGAACGAGATTGAACACATTACATCTCCCGAGGTGTTGCTGACAAGACTGCAGTTGCTCTGGTCAATGGCAACTTCCCGCATGTTCCCCTCGTCGAAACGGCACGCCAGAATGCTCACATAACTCATCATCAGCTGGAGTAGAATCAGACCCATCAGTACTGCCGCCACTATGCTCAACAGACGAAGTAATGATCTTTTTACGCCATACACGATCACTGCAAAAATTCCGTAGAAGAACATGACGAAAAAGTTGGCAAAGATCACGAGGAAATAAGTTAATGGCAGATTTAACTTTACTATGCAGTCAGGCAACACCGCCAGGGCCAAAAACGCCGAGATCCCACAAAGAAGCAGGTGCAGCTAAATCAACGTGCTACGCCAGCGCAGCCGTCTCTCGATGCTTGGCAATATGCAGCCCTCCATTTTCACTTCACGTCGAACCTTTTCTTCTTTTTGGTGGTTGTAAATATTGGAATCATATCCCTGTGGGCGGCATCTATGATACAGACTTGACCCGAACCAGGACTTAATTTTACCGCTTAGAAAATTTGAATATTTCTGCCAGTCTCTGCAAATGCATGTTGGAGAGGTTTTTTTAACGTGTAGCATCAAAACTAATCATCTCCAGTTATTGCCTGAGAATGAAATTTATTTCAGTAAGGGTATCCTGAGGCCTTGCAAAACGGCAAGTAGAGAAAAATATCGAACTTAATTTAATTTCAAACTATTAAATGTTAATTTAATGTGAAATAGACACGTATTATTTGAATAAAAATAAAAAAAAATAACTGAGCTTTAATCAAATCTTAAAGTAGCTTGTATTTGGTTTGAAAATTCCTTCGGTAGACGAATTTTGTGGGCCAATTAAAAATTAATTCAGCCATGAAGAGACGATGGGATAATTAGCTCAAAAGAATTACATATCCTGTACAAAGCGAGGTTCGTTCACGCCAGGTTCATAGGCTCTCGATGTGATCCTCAGGTAGCAATTTAAATACAATTACGTATCATAAATACTCAGTCGGGCACTGACATCCTATGTTTATGATTGTTATAGAATGAAATGTGATCTGTAAGCTCGCGGGAATGGGCCGAAAATGAAAATGCAACAACGACTCTGCAGACGAAATCCTTCAACTCGAAGTTGAAGTTGATGCAGCCTGCGTCTGTTCATCAGGGTACACGACAATCTAATTCAATACATGGTGGCCCATGTAACCTTGGTTAAAAATGAAATTATTATGTCATATAGTCGATAGATAGTGGCCAGTCGTGCTGCTAAAGCGATGTACAAATAAATTTCACTAATTACCTACAAGTAATTTTATCCAGCTCACTCATTCATTGTATTAACTCATCAAACGAAACGATCTTAACATAGAACATCAGATTGGAATACTAGACCATGTTTGCAACGGAATGCTTAATACTTGAACGGAATAAATAATCAACGGAATACTTGACTATGTTAGCATATCAATATTCTTCGAAATATCCAATTTACTGCTTGCAAATACAGCAAATATTTGGAGTGACATCACAATAACTCCCAGGAACACCGTAAACTAGATCGTCCCGCATTATACGTCATCTCTGTGTCCGTAAAAGACCTTATCTTAACTTCTTCAATAAATGACGATAATTTCGATGCAAAAGCTGGACAAAATGTCTCTTCACAAAATGGCAAAATGTCTCTTCAAACCATTCCAACCAGGCAAAATGTCTCTTCAAGCCATTCCAACAAGGCAAAATGTCTCTTCAGACCATTCCAACCAGGCAAAATGTCTCTTCAGACCATTCCAACCAGGCAAATCCTTGTGAGGTCGTGAGCCCGACCCTCGTGGGGGTCGTGGTCCCGACCCTTGTGAGGGTCGTGGGCCCGACCCTTGTGATGGTCGTGGGCCCGATCCTTGTGAGGGTCGCGGGTCCGACCCTAGTGAGGGTCGTGAGCCCGACCCTTGTTAGGGTCGTGGGCCCAACCCTTGTGAGGGTCGTGGGCCCGATCCTTGTGAGGGTCATGGGCCCGACCCTTGCAAGGGTCGTGGCTCGTCCCCTTCCCCTGTCAAGTCCAGTGCCGCTAATAAAGGGTCCTAATGCGAAAGATTTGCATTGTAATTATTATTACCATGTGAATGAAAAGGTTTGACCTCATCATTACCGACAGAATACTTCATCGATCTGTGATAACAAGGATAAAATAATAGAAAAATAACAATGATAAATTTATAAATTAGCCCACTAGGCCACGGTGAGACCTAATGATGCTTGCAATGACAATTAATATAGTTGTTTCAGGCTTGTTTTCGTTTGATTCATTCGTTTAAGCCTCAAATATTATCAAAGACTTAATATTAGCCTCAATATCAAAGGCTGAATATTAGCTGATGGGCGGTGGATCCATTCTTTCTACACTGAATACGAATACAGAGCGAAAGACTACAGGAAATTCTTGCTCTCTGCTAAGTTGCATTCGTTTTACAACGTAGAATCCCATTGTGTTGCGGGAACGAAATCCTCTGATTCAAGTAGTGTAAAAAATTACCGCATTAATATCCTATAAATATATAAAAATGTATTTTTAGCTTATATATTATTCTAAATGAAGCTCATAAAATAGAATTAGGAATTGGCATTCTAAATGCGAACATTTCTTTAACCGTTTATCAAAACAATGAAATTTAAATTATTTATACTGAAAACTCAAACGCAGACGGAAGGAGCAAATAACAATATTTTCTAAGCATTGAATTAACAAAATTCTGTGAACAAAGCTCATTAATAATCATGTTACTGGCCACCCGAAGATCTGGACCAAAACGACTGCAAAGTAAAATAGAAGTATGAATAATCTGCCAGTGTCCTCATCTAACCCAACAATACTATGAACCAACTCAACGTGGTGTGTGTTTGGAGGAGGTACAGTACATAATTAAAATCGATATCACTTCGTGAGTGAGTTTTTAGACCTTCGACAACATTTAATTCAGCAGCTTAGTTTACAGAGAAGTGCAAATTCGAACAATCGGTAGAGTTTTGCTGCATGATATCCATACCGACACCACGTCAGTTGCTCAACATCGCCTTCACGAAGTCACGTGAGAGGAAACGAGCGGCTTCAGCTTCTGTGGGCGGCAAGCGGCGACAGCGGAAGGAGCCGTCCGGAGCTGTGAGCTCATAGACCGCCTGCGGACTGTCGACTTCGACTTGGGTTTTGACCCACTGAAGGAATTCGCTTAGAGAATCCACCATCGCACCCGGTGAGAAGAAGCCCTGAAAAAACGAACGTTAGAGAAAACGTTCAGTGAAGCCATCTATGAAAATATAGGTATGTCTTACGCCAGTGTTGTTCGTGAGCAGCTGTTGCCAAACGTGGCTCGTCATCCGTTTAAACCTCTTATCATCCATCAAGTGCAACGAAGGGCGGGCGAACCTTAATCGTTGATTGCGATCGGTTCGTGGTAGAATAATAAGATTTCTACTATGGCAGATTTATAATGTATGTGCAGTAATTACAAGTTTACCTAAGTGAAAATTGGATTTGGATATCTATAGAAATACCCGCGTAGATGTTGAAGTTTGAAGATGTCGAATGTGCCACTGATTGACAAACGATATGTTAAAAAAATTCACAATCTCCAGTCGCTCTGCTAATCAAACAGGGAGAGTCAAAGCAGATTTGACTTTTATTTAATATTTTATATAATTATATATTTATTATAATATATTTAATATTTTATAAAAGTTATTTCGTTGCAAAATCCCTCATAGGTTCTTACCTTCGAGTCCGAGGGTAAATTCGCCACACGGAAGGACCGAAGACGCTTCACGACGCCGCGGTCATCCCGGAAGCCACACACTACACGCGGGATGCCCACCAGCGCGCACTGCGCCCACGTGTTGCACATTTTGTACGGCGGCATCGATTGTTTCCTGGCGCTGGGTCTCAGCCTGTCAGTTTTGAGTTCGATCAAGTCAGTAGATCGAGGAAGCCCATCAGGCGCTCTGTTATCAACCCCGTCTACCTCAGCCCCGTACAGAATGGAGTGTTCCGACAGTTGAGCTCGAACAACAAGGCAGTACGATTCCTTCTCGTTATTGCCAGTGCTTGGATCCGACCCTGAAAAAGCAATTATATTAAATAGCATCTGATAAAATTTCTCCTTAATCAATGACGAGAGTCGTAAAAATCTGTATAGTATATTTGAGTAAAAATATAGTAAAAATCTGATCTTTTATTTTCGAATTAATCGTTATGACAGAACGCTTGTCATCGTTTTGACGATGGAAATTTTAAGGAATATTTGTAGCTTCGGACGCATTATGCATAAGAATAGAATAGAAGTGTCGGCACGGAAGAAATAGTCCCATGGCCTATTGCCGATTCTTTTACTTTTTATGACTTGATACACATGGGATCCGGCCTTTGGAACACGATCTTTCCATAACTGACGATTGATTGAGATAGCTGCTGGACTTAATTATTGCCAGCAGGTCCGTAAGGTGCTGGGCAGTGCATACGTTTCCAAGAGCCTCACAACCAATATAACTGAAAACTTTGCGACACGTACATGCACTGCGTCGAATATAATGAATTTTAAACTTGTTGTACCGAATTTTTTAAAATCATGGTTTGAACATGGTTGGAGACTCGTTAACTATCACAAACAAATATAAAATTAGGCCAATTGCAGTAATTTAATCAAGAATAACATTGTTATTCAAATAATTCACACTCGTCGTACGATTAATTAATATTTTGGCAGTGATTATTTGAGTACCTATATATGACGTCAGTTTCAAGTAACAGAGTTGTTAATACTAATAGTAAGCAAATACATTTCAAGCGTCTCGATATTATCACGCAGCGTGCTATCTACCACTAAAGCGATCTCTGCAAACCTATGGTTTAGGATTGGGGTAAAGGCATCTAAGTTTTCAGTTTCATCTTTCTCATTCACATTAATAAATAGTCCCACCATAATTGTAATAACCCAGTGAAAACTTACAGACGCGGCAGCTTCTGATTTGGATTACCATGAAGCTGGGGCGACTCTAAATTTTGTTATGGAACCTCTATTATGTAATTGACGACAAGCTTGTCTCACAGCATCTTGAAATCTCACAGGCTTGTTTGTCATGATGCTGCTCAAGTGATACATAATCATGCGCAAGGATTAAAGTAATCTTAGTTTGTTGGTGTAGATGCAATTAAGTTTAAGAGGTAATAATTCCTTGACCTTTTGTGTTGACCAGCATCAAGTTCTTTCGAGTTTCAAGTACTAGGCGCCTGTTTTCCTAGTATCCATTTATTATATATCGCACCATCTGTAATATCACGGTCCAATGTCGATAGTCCGGGACTAAATTGACGTTCAACTATTTACTGATATCGTTGCTTTTCATGGTAATACTGCTGATAATTCTTCAATTAATAATTAGTAAGGGATGTGGCTTAGTCGATGACTTTAGATTTATAATTAAGTGAGTAATAGAAAAACAAAATTAAATGAATTCAGAACAAAGTTATTTCTGTGAATTGAGATGGGAAACACTTGAAGAAAAAAATATCCCATACCAGTCATGGTTGTAAAGTGAGTCGTGCATCTGTCCGTCCGTCCGTCCGTCTGTCTGTCCGTCCGTCCATCTGTCTGTCCGTCTGTCTGTTCGTCCGTCCGTCTGTCTGTCCGTCCGTCCGTCTGTTTGTCCGTCTGTCCGTCCGTCCATCTGTCTGTCTGTCCGTATTTTGCAGTCTTTATAATAAAGGCAGTTGATTATAATTAATATTATTCAATTTATTTAACAAGTTGATTATGAAATGTCGATTTGAGATTACCACACGAAGTAATCTGAATAATGATTTGTCATGGCTTCCAAAAAATCCCTGCTTTTCGCTTCATTTATCTTGGTATCCACTATATGCCATCAGTCCAATAAATATCTATATTGTACAGGATAGATCGTTAATATCCGAGAAATTAATTACAAAATTTTCTAGACCTATTTCTTGCAAACAAGTGGCAATAAACATACATGGCGTATTGTTAAAGTAAACCGTTAAAAAAATCAAGCATTTTTTCTAAGTATAATTTATTCACCTGAAATGCCATACTTTACTCTGCTTTTCTACATTAATATTGATGCATTTATTGTATTGTCAGACCAGTTTTAGTATATGCCATCGTCACAGAAGCTTGCTGCTCGATTAGACAACCTGACTAAATAATTTTGTTCAGATCATTTCTTGAGACAGCAGAAACTTTTAAGCTAAGAACAAAATCGTGAATTATCAATTATTTATCTTTACATTCCGTTTTTTTTTTCAATCAGATCATTGGTAATGACTGAAGGTCTCCACTTCGTTCCTCTTCATGAATGTTTGTACGGCCAACTTAAAGGCCTGAACCCATTTCCGTACCATTCCATCACTCACGATGTTTTCACCACACTTCACGATTTGGATATGGATGTAGCCTGATTTGAAACGGGACCAAGTTTCACCACACTTCACGATTTGGATATGGATGTAGCATGATTTGAAACGGGACCAAGTTCAAGGTTCTGCAATACAGAGGTAACGGAAGAGCTGGTATGGAACACTGCTACCTGTCACCTAACGGATATGAAATCGGAGAGAAGCGACTCGGTCGCGATCTAGGAGTGTTGATGACTACTCAGGTCAAGTTTGGTGATCAAATAGCGGCAATAACCGCAGGAGGCAGGCGGCAGATGAAGTGGATCGGGCGAAAGTTCAGAACAAGAGAAGCGGAACCGATGATCACATTCTTTAGAGCCCTTGTGATACCCCTCTTTGAATACTGCTGCCAACTCTGGACGCCGTTCACACTCGGCGCAGTGCGGCAACTGGAAGGGGTTCAGCGAACCTGCACTTCCAGGATCAGAGTGATGGAGGAGTGGAACTACTTGGGGAGGTTGGAGCACCTGGGTTTATACGCTATACCCACTGCAAAGGAGACGGTCGAGACCATGTCATTCTGTACACAAGAAAAATAATAATCGGAATGGCACCAAACTTTGGAAGCGAGACTTCCAGGATTTTAAAATACCATAACCAGAGAAGGGGGGACCTTCCAGGATTCCCCCACTACGTAACAGATCCGCGGTCTTTCTGCGGCTGGGCCGAGGCTGGTTAACGTCCTACCAAAGGATCTAAGAGCGGGTGAGTTCACTCTGGAGTCTTTCAAGATACGACTAGACGTGTTACTGCACACAATCTACTACCCGCGGTGAGAAGCAAGCAACAGCATCATGCATCTGTTGGCCCAAATGAGGGCTTATGCGCAAGTCAGAGGAGGCGATCCATCGTGGCCTTAAAGCTGCTACGTCCGAAACATATGATATACTACGGTTTCTAAGTATACTTGAGCAAGGAGAAACTCACTCATTTCCCTAACGACGGGATTTATTTTAAAATCACGTTAACAGACGTAGACTCGATCGTAAGGTTAAGTAATGGCGTCTGTGTCTTCCAACCAGAAGATGGACGGCGCACATGCGCTAAACGGCGGCAGCAGCGCTGTGGCTGCGTCCACAGCGCGGCTACTCTCAAAACACGCCTAGTATTTTACCAACAGCATCATGTCTTTCGTAAGTAAAATTTATACTCTATCAGCTGGGTATCACATTTGAAGGTAACAGCCAACTTTTTTGAGAGTTCTGTATTAACCACGGCACCCTTTCCAAAAATTCCCACAATACTCTTCTGCAGCATCATCAATTAAGCATTAATGTTTCAATTGCTATTTAGGCAACAAAGGCTATCTTCCTATCACATATAGTAGATAAGTAGATAGTTACATATGTAACATATCACTAAATTATTTCAGCAAATCAATTGTTGTAGATTGAGAACTATATACCGACCACTCCTTACCTGCCGTCATGAACTGCTCGAACTTAAATCCCCACGAACCCATACGTAAATATTTTTCGCTTGCGTTCATATTCTGCCTGTCCTGGAGGGTGACCGCTGAACACAGATAAATTGTCCCTGCAACCCTGCAATGTAAATTAAAATATTGAAATGAGTTAAATAAAATCATTTGAAGATCGCATTCATTAATTATTTGTAAAACAAATAGGCGATGGAAATTATCGTTTCGCATCAGACATGTTAGTAACAGAAAGATGGCAATTTTCACTTCAATAATAAAAAAACAGAACTGCTGGCTGTGGATATTAGAGAGTAAAAAAATATCCTGTAAAATTCAATTAGCTAGTTGAATTGACTGCGTAAAAAACACTACATTATCGAAACTCCAAGAAAGATAATTGCGAATTTTATTCTTCAAATTTGTTTGCTCATGTGGCGGCTGCATGTTAATTTTAACCGAGCAGTCTTAATATATTAATATTTTAACCGAGCATAATATTTTAACCACGCAGTCCAGAATAATAATATTAGTTGATTCCATGAGCTGGAAACACATGACCATGGAAAAATAATACTAGGAGAAAACATGACCGCGAGAAAACAATATTTTGAGGAAACATGAATGCGAGAAAACAATATTTTGAGAAAACATGAATGCGAGAAAACAATACTTTGAGAAAACATGACCGCGATAAAACCTGTCTCTTATACACATCTAGATGTGTATAAGAGACAGGAGCACAAGGCATTCACAAGGTATCACTTGGAGGCATGCAGAACAAAATGCAGTCTCAAGGTCTCACTTGGTGGCATGCAGCACAAGAGTGTCCGGCTTGTTCAGGGTGAGCAGGATTCGGGCCTCGTAACGGTTCGTCACGAAGTCGGGCTTCGGACGCATACACTCCGGGTGCCGCATTATCCACTGCTCCACATGCGTCAGTCTTTCGTTGAAGTATTCATTCAAATCTTTGCGTTGCACTTGGTCCATAGCAAGGTTGAGGTCAAAATTTACCTAAGAGGGTAGAAAATTTACATTACTTTTTTATTATTTAGCGACGCATGAGGTCTAATTTTTAGAGTTTCATTGAGTACTCTAAGTTTGAGTTGAAATTAGGAATCCAGAGAGTTCGATTAACGGCTGAGAGACATGGTGATCATTAGAAATTGTTGAATAGAGGCGATTCAAACACTAGGAATCTATTTTTCTATTCAAATCACTGTTCAAAGAATCCAGTTACTGGATTTTTCTCGAAATATAGATTAGATACATGTTTCTAATATTATTAGCAGGTGCTAAGTAATGTGCCTCGAACATTTGTTTATTAGATTATGCACAGATTAATTTTACCTCTTTTTCATGCGCCTCATTCCAGTCAACGGCTATCCGTGCGAGGTTTCTCCCGTCGTCATGAAACTGACGATTGCCATCCAAGGAATATTGTCCAATTATAGTAGGGGATAATTGCTGGCACCAACTGCAAGCAAAATCCACAGAATATACGAACCTTTTCTTCAAAGATTAATACCACAAATAACCCTTAATTGCTAATATATTGATAAATTACATTCTTGGAATTAAATTTTAGGTATACAATATTTGACTTTCGCAAATATTCCAAAACGTCTTGAGTGATCGAAAAATATAGTAAACCAAATTGCTTTGAACTGAGGAAATAAATTGATATACTGAAATCACGACAAGAAATTCCAAATACGCATGAGATAAAAATATCTAAACATAAATGTTTGTTTAAATTGGCACTGGTACAATTCTTCAATTAACAATTATGTTATGTAGTAGTGAAAGGTCACAAAAATAATAAAAACATTAATAATTTTTATTGTTCTTTCTAATGAGCAGAAAATGTGCGAATTGTAATTACTTCCATTGGCTCAGACGTAATTCAGTTTGAGTTGAATACTACTACATGCTGAGAAAGGTTGGGGATACTAAAATTAGATAGATAATTATACTAAGATACCATTCATTACTGGCTATACGCTGAAAAATGCTGAAAGGAAAGGAAAATTGGCCAGTTATTTCAAATCTATACATTGCGCTGTTTCTTCACAAAGTTGTAATTGGAATAAATTCTTTCAACAAGATCATACATGTAACTCATATGGTTTTTTTACGCACTATTACTAATAAAGATTATAAATGTGAAATCAAATTAATATATAAATTTTGTTTGGCGCGGCAAATTCAGACCTTTCTTGTTGAACAGATTTTTCACATCATGAAAAAATTGGATCTCATTAATGAGGCACAATAAATCGAAGAAAAGAGTCCCTAAAACTAAAACAATATTAAAGTAACATTAGCTACTAAACAAGGCCATCTAATGCAATTAAGAATCAAAAAGTTACTTCTATGATTTTACATCACAAAGTAAACCTATGTTTACAATTATAGGCGAATTATGAGTTTTGGTATGACTAAACCGTTAGTTCGTGCACTTACAGACTTTTATTAGGCGATTGAAGTTAGCAAAATAGCGACCGCACTTATACGGAAAAACTTGGGTTACGAGAGAGATAAGTCAAAATGCAAATGACTCGAACAGAAATATGTTGCAGTAGATTTTTAAATTTAATCCGAGGGAGTGCCAAAATGTTGTAACATTTTTAAATCAGTGCTTCTGATTTAATAGCGTAAACTTTCAGTACACGCCAAGTACAAATTTTCAGTCAAATCTGAACAAATATCTTACGTGTCAAGATTTGAAGTTCTGCAAGACGCCATCACTGAATTCCTCACGAAGATAATCAGCAGGTGGTGAGTAATGATTATAGATGCTTTAATTTGATTTAATTCACTTGAAAATGAATGAAGCCGCTTGGATGTGCATTGCTCACAAACAATTTAATGAGAACGTTTGCGCCTGTATCCTAGTATTACATACAAATATTCTTTGTTTGAAATAATTAAATGGTATTTGATGACCGAGCAGGAGTTCTCTCCGCCCCCTGCTATCGCCGAGGCAGAACTGATATGGACTCGATTGCACTTACTGCATTGATGCCAGAATCCTGCTACGATCTTGTGTCAAGTAAATAAAAAATCGATCGAACGAGTGTGAAATGATGTTGAAAGCGTTGGTTGTATTTATATAGATTATGTTATAACCAAATGCTTCCAAACTATAAGGTGGAAAATAGAATCTAACACTTACGAGCTAAAGGTTAGAGCGTGTGGTGACTTCATGCATTGAGGCTTACATTCAAGGCCAGGCAAGTCATGACGAAAACGCGAGAACGACGCGTTGTATACTGCAGCTTTGTTTGTAATCAACATTAAATATAGCACAAGGTGTAAATATTTAATTTACCTTCAATTACTGTCTATAGGTTGCTTGTGCTTGAATAAGGCGATGGTATCCACATAAATTGTATATCATTGTAATTGTAACCAACATCAACTTACTGAATTTCAAAGGTAGGTTTGTCGAGTACGCTTAATGAAAAATGGTATAAAGAGTTCAATGAAAATTATATAGAAAAATATGATATTGTGATATAAAATTAATACGTTTTTAATAACAAATAAACGCGTCATTCCTGATCTTCGCCCTGAGTCCACTTTTCCATGTGCAAAAATTGAGATGCATGTAATCTCTTGAATAAATTTGCGTACAGTAAGGAAAATAATGACTACTAGCAATTTAATTCAAAGAGGAAGACGTTAAATCAGAGGTGTTATTCGCTTGGTATGGCGCTGGATTTACCAAAAGCAATCAGAATGCAACATTTAACTGGGCAATGGAAACTCTTTGCTCTTTTCAGTCATGAATAGTTCATTCTGTAATCTTCTTTTTTCTTTAACACTGCAAAGTTGAAAAATAGCTGAAGCATTTAAGAATTATGTGTGCACATTCTGTAAACACAAAGATTCGGCGCGTATTCTTTTTTCGGCACTATAATGAAAACGTAGATCATAAACTTCCCTTCGCATTATGTTTACTTCGATTATAGGAAACACGGATTAACGTACAAAAGAGTTTACGGATACAAGAAGAGGTACTGCTAATTTTACCATTCAGGACATAGTAGCCATCAGAATTAAACGAAATCCGCATTTCGACTCAGCAGTGACGACTGCTGCTTTAAGTACAAAATGAGCTGCGCTGCTCTAGAACACAAGCGTTTGACACAGCGGGCAATAAAGAGATACAATATTATGCAGTGTAATTCATATAGTGTGCACAGCATTTGCACCTCGGTGAACACGCGACACCTCGGTCTCATCCTGCATCAGAACTCGTATATAAAGTAATGTCATACTTGGAGCTGGTCGAAGATATTTTGTTGTAATGATTGTAGGGGCGTAAAACAAAACATTAAAAATATATATATAAACGAACCAGTAGAAAAGTTTTCTCCTTTCATTCTCATATCTACAATTCTACATGTGGACATTTTTATTTTAAGTTTCAGTTACTAACTATTCGTGCTTTTTTGACGTCGTTTTGGAAGTAGACAATGAAGACACGAGAAAATTATGATAACGCCATTATACTAACTTAACAATAATCAGATCATTTTGCTCCAGCTGTTGCACTAAAATGTCTTCTATATTAAGGTTCCTTTCGTGCAACTTTACAATTTTATTAAAACCAATAACTATCTACCTAAAAATAAACCTTAAGTACTACTGTATCGACAACATAAGTTCCAATCATAATTATATCACAAAGTTGGACAACAATCTTCGGAATTGCGAACAATTTCCCAGCAATCGGAACTTGACTGAGGCTTGTCCATCTTGTGGTTACGGTGACCTGCCAGCATCAACTGAGTGGCAATTGAGGCAACACTACCATTTTGTTGCTCGTCTCATAAGGGTAAAGTTATATTATATATAAAGTTATATTTCCTATGTCAATTCTTCTCAGTTGATCATTATGACTCGACGTTTCGGGTCATAAACAGCAACGGTTGAGCCGTGGTGACATTGAGAAAGAACCCTCGTAGCCTCGGTTCACATCTGCACAAATCAAAACATCAGCAATGTACGAACAAGAAGAGGAGGAGGGGAGAGCGAGTTGGTACGAGGACCAGATTTATGAGTGAGATCAATTTGAACTGAATCATTTTATTAACTTACCCTCGGCGTGCGTCGGACACAAATGCATCCCCTGTAACCGGCAGAAGTAATTAGGCATTTGGAAATAGAATATCAAGAGGAATATCATTATCGTGGTTTCCATGCCGAGTTTTGATACGATAATTAATTTTATGGTTTCCATAGTTTGGAACACAGAAAAGTTTACAGTTCCGTACCTGACGAATAGAAGTGGAAGCTTGGAGTTGGATGCTCTGCGTCAAATGGGGTGGTTTGAATGTTGAGGCAACCAGGAGTCTGTTTATGGAAGTCGACGACGCCATGACTTTGATCTAAAATCGGTTGAAAATAAACATTCAGAGACTGAAATTAATTCACCAATGTGTTTATAAGCGTGGAAGTTTTTTTAGACATCTTCCTTGTTTACGAAAAAGATATAGAGTGACTTAATTTGCATGTTATTTGCATAGGTCGACTATTATTGAACTTAAAGGGATGAATACGATTGTACGAGGAATACGATTTATCGTATTACCACGCTTAGGTTTGTATTATCACGCTACACTGAACTCCGTTCATTGAAGCAACCGTGTGCCAACTCCAACATCGCACAATTTATTTTGTCCGCATTCTAAGCTTGTTGTTTTAAATAGATCTGCGATATATCAAACGCTAAAATATTCATCACGTTCCGTACTAAAACTTTCGCCAAATCTCCCGACACGAATTGATGTTGTCGAATGAGCAGCGCCCCACTCATTGGCTGTGTAACTTCTGTGTAAGCTTTTTATTGCTATTCAGTTAACCTCTATTATCCAAAATTGTGTCACAACTTGGCAGAATCATTCAGAATTGAGATACAAGACTCGGCCATGGTATTGTTTTAAGTTTATCTGCATATCTGTCATTGTACCGCCTTCTATTGATAGTTGAGCTGACTGATAAGGAAGGAACGGAGATAATAAAATTGTGTAAAACGTATGTTCGATTGTCAATCAGGATTCATTCTTGTATAAAAAATTTTTAAACTAGAAGACAAATGGCAAAAAAAATGCATGAAATTGTAAACCATGCAAGTTGGATCGAAGACAAGCGCGGCGCATGCTTTTTTACTAACAATAATTTTCTTGTTTCTTTTTGTGAACTTGCAGAAATGTCGAGTAGCCATACCAAAATTATAAACTATAGTACATTTAAGATTTTTGAACAAATGGGGATCCTTGATTAAGAATAATTAATTTTAATTAAGCATTTATTTTAATTATAATTTTATTTATTTAATTTCACGATTATTCTGATCACTTACATATGTCCTGAGCCACATTCAAGCAAAATTATAATTTCTTAATTTTTATGATCACAAGAATTAAGGGGTTTAGACATTACAAACAAGGACGGGTTAGCCTTCAACTAAATGATTTTTATTCAACAATCGGCAAATCAATCAGGTGGGAGAGCAATTTTATTATTCTATGTTAGAAAATTCTGTCAATCAGTTGAGTGTTTTTTATTTTTGCTTCTTGAAAACTGTGGGAGTGTGGAACAGTGTTTCTAGGTCTAAATTGCGTCGAACACATGCTTATTTACGACATATTATAATTAACATAAAATTTAAGTATGTAGTAAAATTTAACGATACTTAATCGTCGTATTATTGGAGGAGCACAGCGGTCGGACACTTTAAGTACGACGCCACTGCTCTGTCTGCTAATGACTCACCTCCTATCACTGAAAACGAATTGATACTTGTTAAAAGCATAGATTTCTGCGTTTAAATAGTTCAAACAATGCCACAGCCAAGACATCATACAAGATTGTTCCTATATAGTTTTATTTATTTGAGCTATATAGTTTTATTCGTTCTATGTGAAAGATATATCCTTTCATACAAGTGGGATTAAGGAAGATTTGTGACTCATGAGCCATCGATATGACAATCGTCAATCGATATAATCCATTCACATATTTTCTTCAGTTAATGACGTGGGAAATTTGTGCAGTGTTCGGAAAGACTCACATTACAAGAAAAATGTTGAGTAACGGATACGAAATAATTCCACTGAGTGTTTAAATTACTTAAGTTGACAATGAACATTTTCTGCGGCATGGGATGAAAAATATTACAGGATTTTCTTTATGGCAGCGAGTGGACCCTTTCATGAATAATTAATTTTTGTGTTGCCAGTGGCTAAAGAATACGCTGTTGTGTTGCCAGATGCTAACGAATGTTTTCCCTTCGTTAGGCACGATTTTCACCTAGTCGATTTAAGTCGAAGACTAAGAGCATTATCATCATACACATTGAGTTTAGCACACACATCTTCTTTATCAATAATATTTCTAGACCATTAGCTCAGGTCCAATGGCGAGTTTGGCTAAGTTATGGTCGTCCTATTACTACACTCGAGAGCTTGATGTTCGTGAGCCCTTCTGTATTATTGTCGAACTTTTCATTTAATAATTGGGCCTTATTGACCCTGATGTATTTCCTGTTTTGAAGACGCCGACTATTCCTAATATAAGTGTTTATCGGTTCGGAGGGTATGGATTAATAACAAAAGCAGGGATTCTACCGCGGACGCTCTGGCCAGGCTGGTCAGTGTCAGTGTTTTGCCATTTATTCACGTGTAGGGTGTTAACCATACATTTATTATCCAAGTTGATAGTTAGATTCACAATCTATGTTTTATCGATAACAAATGGCCGCTATCGTATTTGTAAATAATATTTCATTAATAAAATAAGTTATTTATCAGTTATTATTTATTCGATGAATAAGCAAAACTTAATTGTATGTGTTTTTTTTCTTGTGTTAGTTGACAACACTACGTAGACGAGACTATTTGGACATCATTGAAGAAAAACGGCAGCTGCAGTTGAACTTATTCGTTCACAGACATGAGATGCATGATCACCTATTTAATTTATAATGCAATTTTACCACTCTAATTAGGTTCTAATTTTAACTCACATAAATGATATAAATTGGATATTTGGTAAAATTTCGATAAAATACGGTAAAATTTGGTTATTAATAACATATAAGTGAGATATCGTAATCGAATAAAAATGTTATCAAGTTTACTTGCATGGACACACTTTTTTTTTCCTCTCAGGAATCGAAACTTCAATCTTCCACATTTGAGCTCCAGACACTATCGGCGTTGGAAGTGCGTCGTCTTGCTTATTCATTGGGAGTGTCATTTTGTTTACGTTAGTTCTCCACGTATGTGTTGAAATTTATTTTCAGTGTATCTATGAAGAAATAAGTTATAATTTTCTGTGAGTATATGCATTAGAATCTTATTGCGTACTTCTCGTTATGAAAGAAATTACGTGGATGCATTCAAAACCATAGTTTCTGTGCTATTGCTGACTCGTGACTGCAATTACAGTCGGTAGTGACGGTAGGATGATATCATTGAGCAACAGCAAGGAAGTCGGCGAGCTGATTTTCTCTGAATTTCATTTACAGGAGATATAATTTCTAGGTCGTCACGTGTCTCTATTTTAGTTCATGAATGAGGTGATTAGCAGTTTTAGCACTAGGTATTGCTGGATGCTAACAATCTCCAAATATCCAAAATTGAAGTCACCTAATCGACTAATTTTTCCCGTGTCTATTTACTTGCTTGTGACTCGTCAGGCTTGTGTGCAGTGAACTTAATCTGTTGGGTAGATGTCAATTTACGAGATTTGTTTACTTTCTTAAACATTTTCTGATGATGTTTCCCGACTTAGGTACCTAGTTACATTTTAACTACCGACAGGCGCCAAGTACGTACGTGAGAGGTGAGACATTGAGACAATGCTGTTAAATAATGTTGCCGAACAAGACACAATCAAAATTCGTCTTTAGTCAGACTAGGTATATCAAGTGCCGGAAAAATACCGTAACTTAGGCTTAAATCGATAAATGTACATAGTTTTTATCATGAATGTTTGGTCAAGTTGACGAAAACTGGTGACGAAGTACTAGTTTAGATTTGATGTTCATCTCGAAAATTGAAATGAAAATTTTTATCATGAAATTTTAAGATGTGGAAAACTGCCACAAACATATGATATTTGTATGCATGTCCTGCACCTGCGACCTGCACAGATGGACGAGTCTTCACTCGATGAATATCACTCGCCAGATTGAATCCTTGTCTTGCAGTTGTTGGTTAGTCGTTCCTGAAGTTATTTATCACCTAAAACCGATTGATTACATGTTCTAACCAGTAAGAATATCCATTTATTTAGTAAGGGTTGTTCATAAATCAATGTACAAGTTGCGGGGAAAAAGACTAATTAATTTCACAGATTTTATGTAGTTCTATTAAATTTTTATAAACTATTGCGTAATATTGCAGAGAATGATTTTTTGTTTAAATTTTGTTTTGAATATATCGGAAGATATAAATGGAAAAGAAGAAAAGTGCTGGATGTGAACACCGGTGACGCGGTGAGTATAGCTATGACAATCGACTGCAGATGCCTCTAGCTATTGTACGGCTGGCTCTTTCTAAAATGAAAGTACCTAGTTATTATTTTCTACAAATATTACTTAGCGCTCTTTAGAAATTATGCTTGCGATATCGAGAATTATATTGTTATTTGTTGTACTGAGAACTGTATGATTTCACATTCACAATGCTTGCAAAGTGCAAACTGTGACAGATGATGTTAATTCTGAAAAGTTATAGCGCGCACAGTCTGACTATACGCTGGCCAGTTAGCTAGCCTGTCAGTGAGCGTGCCGGCTAACCCGTAGTCTTGCATTCAATTTTCTGGCAGCACAGCGTGGCAAAATAGTTTCTTCAGAATGTTAATGTGGGAAACAAATAATTGTTTATGAGCGAATTGTTTTTCAATATATTTATTTGCACTATTATATTGTATCATATCTGCATACTACTTTATTTAAAGTATGCAACCTGAACATTAACTGTGCTGATTGTGCTCTGAAGGAGAATGTTCGAAACATCCCTGGGTATATTGATGCGACGAATTTTGATGCTAACGAGTATTTCAGAAATTATTGCCTAACTTGCCATGTTGTGCACAGTTTTTTGACATGCTTCCAAACGGCAGTACGTAGCTGACCGTGGCTAACATTTCGGGAGATGGATTAGGCAGGACGCACCCCGAAAATAACTCCTTGCACACATGAAGTAGAGATATGAATTTGCACATATAAAAACGGTGACATAAGAAACGGGACATGAGGATTTACAAGCTTTGCCTAAAAACTCATTTCTTGTTCTCAAATAAAATGTAGACGAAGTAAAGTGAACAACTGATGAAAAATCTTCCGTCAGCTTGTCAAGAACATTTTGTTGTGTTCATCGTGAAATAGATTCTTTGAAGGAAACTGTGTATGTAGATCATTTATGTAGTATGTAGTGTTGCATGTAGTTATTATTTTGTTTTGAAATTCAATTGTATTCCAGATTAGTGAAATGCTGAGAGTGGACAGTTCCGGTGATAATGATGGAGATGTTAGTGACGAAGTTACGTTGGACCGCGCGTTGCCTTACGGTTACGCTGAGCCGCGCGACAACTTTGACACCAATTCGTGCGCCAGCGATGACGCTTCCGAGACAAAACCGCTCTTCCACAGCGTGAGTATCCAAATTATTTCAGTTTTACCATAAAAATCTAATCATTGGGTCTTCTTTGCTTACTTCATTTTGTATTTACTCAAAGAGGTTTTGCAGGTTAGTTAGTCAGCTTAGTCTATACTGATAAGTTATATTTTTCGCAAAAAATAGTCTGGTAGATCGTGGCATAGCGTTCCCCTTCACCGTGTTATGTTTAGTTTTGATCTGCGAAGTGGCTATGTCATTCTTTCTTTATCATGAGGCATTACGAATATTTCATTCATTTCGCAAACGGTCCTCGTTTCGTACACGACAAGAAAAGTATGCATTCGACCATTTTGTTACCATATGCAAATTCGCATGAATGGTAAATTTCTTATAGAATATCATCAATGAAAATGTGTTCACAGCACGAGAATTTATATGCGTACAACTATTGATCAGAGAATGCATTATAATTTTAAAGGAGTCGAATAGGGTTAACTCTTTAGATGACGTTGGTAGATCGAAAGGTAGATTTAGCAAATAATAGTAATATATTAACGACGTTTCGAATGTATCAACATTCATTTTCAAGTTAATATAATCATTTAACCATAAAATTTTGGTGGACACAATAAGTACATAATACATGTAAATAGGATGCAACAAGGAAATTATAAACGGAATTATTCTGAAAATTATCTCAAAGTTCAGACAATTTCGGTGGCTTGAAAACAGACTACTGGACTCTGCCAGCAATCGTCTGTCGGTTAATAAGCATGAGAATTGTGCATTTTTTCATTCTCAGGGCAGCTGTTATTCCCTGCTGTGTTATGCATACAGGATACAAATTTTGCTCCTAGTTAGGATTTGGTTAAGTGACGAAAGCTACGACATGTGAGCCATCGCAACTTACTGAAGCTGAAATATTGTTCCGGTTTCATCTATTTTTGATATCCTTTAATTTACGGTATTCTAACAATATTACTCTACTTTTCTATTACTCGACTCTTTCACAAGTTTAATACTTCGAGAACAATCTTGAATAAGATCTCATTTGGGTAGTCTCTTACAATAACTTTTATTTCATGAGAAGAGTAAGTTTATTCCATAAGTAAAGACCGAGCGAAAATTTATATCAATGCTGATATCGCCGTCGCCCTACCCGTCTGTTCCACAAGCCTTAAATACTAAAGCTGGATGCGACTCATCTAGTAGGTATTTAGTGTGAATGAACTATTGTTTTCACTGCCGTAAGAATTTTCACTGAATAGTGCATACTAGAAATTAATAATATTCTCAAAAAATAAGTAAACTCATCCAGAAAAGTCAGCGGTTACGCTACCTTTAAACGCGTCGACCTACCTTGCCATTTACGAACTTGACGCAATCACTGTATTTATTTTTCTGTAATTGCTCCGAATTTTCCCAGCTTTATTTGTGACGATGAGATATAAATGATTTTGTACTTAAATGTTAGTACAAGTTCTGTTGATATGTATTCTTACTGGGAACTGGTTGTTAAAATAATGTGTAAACGTAATGTCTTGACAAGTAAGCATTCCGAAGTATATGCGAAATTACATTTATTTATACACGGGGTAACCTCAAGCGCTTAATTAGTCCCACATTATTTACACCGGAAACGACTTGTTTGACCGCGGTATTGATCGAATCAATCTTTATATGGCTTGTCCGTAACATGCAAGTGACTTGTGAATTGTACGTAACTGACTTGCGATTTAACTGGAGCGTGTGATTGATGACGTGTACCAAAATAGGTGACAGAATGTGTAGACGTATGTTCACCACTTCAGGAACATAGGAGTGACTTGTCCCACGTCGGACGCGTGTAGGCAGTGACATATATACCCCGACAGGCGCGTGTAGGCAGTGACGCGAACCATGACAGGCGCGTGTAGGCAGTGACGCGTACCACGACAGGCGCGTGTAGGCAGTGACATGTACCCTGACAGGCGCGTGTAGGCAGTGGCGCGAACCACGACGGCGCGTGTAGGCAGTGATGCGTACCACGACAGGCGCGTGTAGGCAGTGACGCGTACCACGACAGGCGCGTGTAGGCAGTGACTTGTACCACGACAGGCGCGTGTAGGCAGTGACGTGTACCACGACAGGCGCGTGTAGTTGGTGCAACACGCAGTTGACTACAGTTGGTGAGGTAGTTGACTACTGTAGTCGCTAATTTTAACCATAGCTCACTCAATGGAAGAAAACCTTTTGTCTTCTATATTATGTGAACCTGGTTTACTGGCAAGCAAATTATACAGAATATGTTTGTACTAAATTGTCTTTGGTCATGAGTGAAGTCGTAGTGTCCGAAGTTTCTTTAACAGCAGCAAAAGACCGTTTAACAAATGCACGTTTCTTTTCAGTGTTGTATGATTTCAGTATGCTAATTCAAAACGCAAACACTGTGTGGAGGCCTGCTGTTTCGTTTGATTGAGTTTTGCTTGCGTCTGTAATAAATCTCCTAATTTAATTTGATTCTGCTGCTCCATTTGAACAAAGACATAAAAATCTGAATAAGTGGAACTATTGATTGCTTGGATGAGTCAAATTAAGATGCTTTAACTACTATCTTGAATTCAAAACTAACTTCCCATGCCGGGAATCGAACCCGGGCCTCCTGGGTGAAAGCCAGGTATCCTAGCCACTAGACCACATGGGACATGACCGTAGGCTTCTTTTCCCAACTGTCGATGTTCGTTATGGGGATGAGGAGCATTATGTGGATGATAAGCGATCAAAAAATGCTTTTGGCTTTGGCTCCAGGGGCCGTATTATCAAAACTTCGTAAGTACGCAAAAGTGACTTACGAGTGGCGTTGCTATGACAACGTAATACTAGCGGTGGTATTATAAAAACATTTGCGCGATAAAAATTTGCGCGGGGAAAAAATTTAGGCTTTTAGCTAAGACTTGCGTACGAAAGTTTTGAAAATGCCAAAATTAGGGTGTATTTACGTACCACAGAACTTTTTTGTCGTAAGTACAAAAAGTTACGAATTTTTGATAATCCGGCCCCAGGACTAGAATGTGTAAAGTTAATTCCTCGATATCTTACGACGCGCCTTGAATCGATCATTTTTGCATCATTTTGGCTATTGATTTGGTTGAGAGTTTTAATTAAGTTTATTTTTTATTCACATTGGTGATGAATGTTCGATCTCATTGGTGGTATGAATCAAAGTACTTTACCTCATCAGTATCTTGCAAGCGACTTTTTGCGACACCAAAGTATCTTGACTTTTGTCTATAAATTTTTATACCTATCTTAAAATTTTAATATTTTTTGAGCGGGCTTGCGCTCGTTATTGGATTGGTCACCAAATTTGAGAACACCTAATTTATTTTGATTTTGCTTTTTGTACAAAATGCTTTCTGTCGATTTTTCTACTTAACGCATCTGCGATCACGCCCACGCTATGGATAGACATTTTTCACATTGTCGCTGTTCTGTTAGCTTAATGCTTATTTCTTTCCTCACCAGTAATAAATATTGCTAGAAGAACCTTGTCACCCCAATGTATTTGAATGAATATATATGGTAACGCATTTAATTAAATATCAATAGATCTATGCAATATTTATGTTAATTATAAAAAATTAATTTCCAGCAGAAATCCTCTGACGCAACCATTGTATGCCGTTCATATCAATCGGATGAAGAAACTGCTTATGAAGTTCATAGCTCCGTCCTGGCCGTGTCTTCCCCTGTGTTATGTGCCGCTATTGCTGTGGCTTCTTCTATGCCATGTTCTCCCGTTTTTTGGCGGGTCGAGCTGCCGAATTATAGTTTCTTACCACACGAAGACTACGACGACCATGAAATTTGGGGTTACAGAGAAGTTTGCTTCAGAATCTCTTTCGTAAACGACCGATTTATGATCAGAATAGAAGAACTGGATTCAGATATTGTAAAAGCTTTAGTTAATATGCTTTACTGCGAACAAAGTTCACTTGCTGTGCAAAATGTTCCTCTATTATGTGCTTTTTTGAAGCATTTAGAATGCAACTTCGGTGATGCATTTGAAGTCGAGCGTATTTGCAAATTAAAAGGGATCAACACTGACATCGGTGCTCAATGTGTCTTCCTGGGTGAAGAATTAAATGTGATGAACATTGACTTCTTGGTTTCGATTTTAGTGGCAAACGATAATGAACAGGAAGCATCCGTGGCGATGAAAGAGTTCCAGTTGTCTGTTCTTAGCCAATACCAATTATCGTATGGTGTTACGGCTCTCCCATCACACGACTTCTTGTGTGCCCGGTCCTTTTGTGATCTTGTGAATCTGGTATTATGTAACGGTTGTACGTTTTCGGCTCAAATCCCAGACAATGTCTGCTTGGGACAAGTGCGACATGTAGCTTTCGCGACAGTGCCAGACGTAAATGTTAACGGGAGAATGAATTTTTGTGTAGCATCTTGCAAATGGAGTCTGAAATTTGAATTTGATATTGATACCAGCGAACTAATGCCTGGACTAACGTGGGACTTGGGGTATGTAAAACTAGTTGATTGCTCCTGTCACAATTATTCTGGACTTGTCCTAAAGTCATTATGCCTGAGACCTTTCTACACCAACCGCACTGATAATAGATTTCATTCGTCAGAGGAAAGCGTTACTGATGCCATAATGCCCGTTAAATTTGTCAATAATACTCTTCCATTTTTAGCGAAGAGATTTTCTACGATTAGCTCACGCGTTGTCAAAGAAAATGAAAATGGCCATCCACTCGCTAAGTCATCGACGCCTGAAGTCAGCTCGATAATTTCAAATGCCAGATATACTGATCAAATTGCCGAGTCTTTCAAACATGCGCCAAGCTATTCAAATATATTTGAAGTTACATGCAGGACTAATGCTAGTCGCCGATTGACGCCAAGTAAACTAGCCGACAAGGACGCCTCTCCAGTTGTTACTCTCGCTGTAAGAAGTGTATCAATTTCCCATCCTTCTCAACAAGCTATGAAGACAACCAGGAATGAGCAGGATGAGCGAGATCACGATAACTCTAAAATGCCTGAGTCACTCGACCTGGTTCAACCTTCTTCGAAGCGCCGGAAAACCGAGCTAGGCCAAGAATTGTTTTCGGTTTATAAAGATACATGTAATCATGAGAATATTTCCTCAATCGAAGATAACAAACTGCTTCCCGATGTGTTTTCGATAAAATCGGAAGTACAAACTGCATCGTGTGAGGTTTCAGAATCAGAAGAAAAATATCAAGCATCTCCCATGAAGATCGACACGACTCTGCGCAAGTGTCCGGCGTGTTCGATGCGATTCGTGTCGCCTCAAGAAGTCCTGATCCACATGCAGCAACATCTTGGTGAGATACCGAGGAGTTACGGCATTCGATGTGTTGATCCGCGATGTCCAGTGTTAGTTAAAGTCTTCAACGAGACATCGCATTTATTGAAGCACGTGGTGCGATCCATGCACGACTGCAGGTATTGCTCCTTTTCCTCCGGTACACGCGGAGGACTGGCAAGACATCACTGGATTCACGAGGTGAGTTGTAGCGCTAGTCAAAATTGTTCATTCCGAATTATCGCGGTTAATGTTTGTTATCGTGGATCGTGCAAACTAATGTTTGCTATAACACTTCCATTTTCTTCCTAATATTATCTGTTGTCATTAATTTGGGATATAATCCGTTAAAATTCTTGCTAGTGACATAATTCGTGCAAATAATAAAACTTGTGTGCTGTTACAGTTCAAATGTTTGCTCCTATGAATATCAGTTCTGTAGTTGCTATATTGCATTTGCCTTGGAAAATCATGAGATTGAATGAGATGTTAAGATTTGAGTTTCACGAAATTGAACGAAAATCGTTTTTGAATTAAGCCTGCGTTTTTATTGTTCCTAAAGCAACGAGGCCGAGTTCGGTGCAAGAAAGAACGCGATGCAGTTGGCGACGACAACGATGATGAGTTAAATTCTGACCAAGAGATCACCAGTGCACCAGACACATCTTTCCAGATGAAACGCTTCAACTGCGGTGGAAATATGCTTTCTTCTTTGAAGACCAGGAAAGTGAAACGCAAGATTCGTAAAAATGAGGCCCATGACGAAGATTTTTTGCCGTCTTCCCGAAGTGGCTGTCGGAGTGGTGGGCGGAGTGTAAGCACTCCACATCTCGGTATCCGCCTCCCCCAGTATGATGACCTTCACTTTAGAGAAAATACCCCGGATGAAATAGCTATGTTCACGCCGCCAAAGAATTGCTATGTGTGCGGTCTTGGGTTTTCGGAAACGGACTCGGCTGTTGACATGGCTCTGCATTACTACGAGCAACACAAGAATTTGGTTCCCTTTGAATGTCCATTCCCGCAGGTAAGATTTTTTTTAATTTGAAAGCTAGCTTAAATATAGTTTAATAATAATCAATTGCAGTGTAGGCAGTATTATGATGCAAACCGATGATCAAATTTCAAAACCTTCATTAATTTTATTGCGTGCAATTGCACTTCTCACCATTGCTATCGCTCTGATTTCAAATTCCTTGTTCCCAGTTTATATTCTGGTCCGATTTTTGCAGGCACAATAATTGCTAGAATTAGTAGCATTTTATATAACTATAGAATGAACGAATTTCAAAACCTTCACTAATTTCATTGCGTGCAATTGCACTTTCTCACCATTGCTATCGCTCTGATTTCAAATTTCTTGTTCCCAGTTTATATTCTGGTCCTATTTTTGCAGGCCCAATAATTGCTAGAATTAGTAGCATTTTATATAACTATAGAATGTTATGCTTACGCAAATGATATTTTTAGTGCCCTCTGGTGCTGCGGCAAGCGGCGCTGATGTTGGATCACCTCAGGAACCACATGTGGCGGCAGCGGTTCTCTTGCGTCGACTGCAGCTACTCTGCCAACGCATCAAAGACCATAAAGCTACACGCTAGGGCTCATGTTCACGTGCAAAAGGTTAGAAAATGTGGTATTCATGTTTATGTATCGTAAAACACATTTGGATATTGGATTCGTTCATTGAAAAAACTCCTCATTAGTGTGTTAATTTGGAATTAGACCTTTCTGTTCATTGTTCTATTGATACATAATAATCATATGGGTATTATAGTATTGGAGCTTATTACACTCCTCTATATTGTATCATTAGATCATCAAGTGATGTATGTTCGCAATAGCTCCCCAAATTAAGTAGGTTCGTTTTATAAACGATGGCTTCATTTTGACGATAACATTTTGCTAACGTTGGCTTCATTTGACAATAACGTTTTGCTAACGATGGCTTCATTTTGGCGGGAACGTTTTGGTAACGATAGCTTCATTTCAATTGTGAAAGATTTGGTAGCGATGGCTTCATTTCAATTGTGAAAGTTTTGGTAACGATGGCTTCATTTCAACTGTGAAAGTTTTGGTAACGATGGCTTCATTTCAACTGTGAAAGTTTTATTAACAATGGCTTCATTTCAACAGTGAAAGTTTCGGTAACGATGGCTTTATTTCAACTGTGAAAGTTTTGGTAACGATGGCTTTATTTCAACTGTGAAAGTTTTTGTAACGATGGCTTTATTTCAACTGTGAAAGTTTTGGTAAAGATGGCTTCATTTCAATGTGAAAGTTTTGGGAACGATGGCTTCATTTCAATTGTGAAAGTTTTGGTAACGATGGCTTCATTTCAATGTGAAAGTTTTGGTAACGACTTCTTCATTTCAAGTGTGAAAGTTTTGGTAAAGATGGCTTTATTTCAATGTGAAAGTTTTGTTAACGAATTCGTCTTTTTAGCCCGTTCGTCGTCGAACTGGTGCGCTTTGTAACGACAGTGACGAGGAGGGCAGAGCAGCGGGGCCCGGTCGGTCTGACGACAGTCGCGTTGCCGACTTGCGTGGCATGCGCTCCATCGCTCCTCCACCCAAGCCCGCCACTCCTGTTTGTGCCGTCGAAGACGATGTGAGTGACACGATCTGTACGCGATTCATTTTTGTGGACGATTTTTTTGCTATTTATTTTATAAGGATTTCAATTTATCATGGTAGGTGTTTGTATATGTGTGTATGATCTTCCATTTTATTTTGAGGTTTGTTTTTATATTCTTGCCTGTCGTATGACAAAATTTGTAACTCCCCACAGACTCCAAGGTCGGCTCCTGTCATCGCTGCTCGCAAGTTCGTACAGCCGTTTGTTTCTAAAAATCACAAGACGTCGAAGATCTTGCCTTGCGTTGCCGGTTCGCGTGATAAGTTTGTAAGGCCTTCATCATCCATATTAGCTTCTCAGTTCTGCCTGATGCGTAGCAACACCGTCCCTGGTCGTCATGCGAGTCACTCTACGCGGCCTCAAATCGCCCCACACGGCAAATCTCCAATGACTAAACATCGAAAAACTGCCGCCGGGACTTCAGAAGCGTCCTCGGCCCGTCGTGTTAATGCCGCTGGCCAAAAAATTTACCGATCAAATTCTCTAGAAGGCTCCACTGACTTTAAGACGCCGTTGAAAGTGACGCATGGACTTCCAAGAAACGGCAAGAACAATGAAGTGCCAGTGGGACTTATCCGTACAAGTTTGGCTGCAACTCTCTCTTCTGTGACCATTACTGCAGCTGATTCCTACGCGAGACGACAAAACTCTGGACGTGTGAAGAACGATCCGCCCACCAGCATTCCGATCTCAAGCATCCCGGGCCTGAGCAAACAACAGTCGGAACTACTGGCACAACTTGTCTCGAACGTGTCCGTTACTGTCACCATGACACCACCGGCACTCGAGACAAAAACGAAATCACTGGAGCCTTTTTCCAAAAATGAAAGAAAATGTCCTGACAAACGGAAATCTACTGTAGGAAAATCGCATGATGAACAGTGTGGTAACAATAACAAGAAGCGGCAAAGAAAAGACGATGCTCAGTCGTCTGGTCTTCGTTTGTCAGAAACGAGTATTAAAAAGGCAGGTAAGAATGCATCTGGAGCTTTTGAACTCCACACAATGAATCCAATCATCTTAGATAATACACTGGCTTACTCCTGTCCTCATTGTGTGGCCCAGAGAAAAACTGCTTTAGAAATTTGTAAACATTTTTTTGACGAGCACATTTCAAAGTCGGAATTTTTTTGTCCTTTTTGTCTGTTCTACGACGTTCTTGATAACGTAACTCGTCTTGGTAGGACAAACTTTCGGCGTAAGTGCCTGCACCATTTGCTCCGCCATTACAATAGGAATGTTCAAGTGACAAATGAGAGTGAGAGACCTCACGATAACAGTCATTCAATGCCTGTGTCAAAGTTATGTGATGAAAATTGTGACAATAAGCCCTTGTTGATGAATGGACAGAACTGCAATTCAATTATGTCGTCTAGAAACGGCTACTTCTCTGATGAAAATTTTATTGAGCCTGCTCGAATAAACCCGTCGCTGGAAAGGAAGGTTAATCAATTCACAGCTGAGGAAAACCATGAGGGGAGAGAGAGTTCCAATGAGCAAAACTCTTTTTCTGACCAAGATGATTATGATTTTGTCCCCAGCGACGATCTTGACGACGAGGATGATTTATATTCACCCTCTAAACCAACGAAGAAAAGAATAAACGAAGCATCTAGAAAAGAGTCGAACAAGCGTTCAAAAAAAGCAAAGAGAGAGATGTTTCGTCCGCCAGCTAAAGTACAAAAGGGGGACAATGAGGTGGCTTGCGTTGACAGAGCCAAACGATCAGGTGATGAATATTCCAATAGATTCAAATCATCAGCCCCTCGGCAAAACTTGAAAGGAATGAAGACAGCCTCGGTTGACATCTCAGCTTCTGGCAGCCTAAAACGCGAACCTTCTTTGTGCAACAACACCAAGAGCGCCGAAACTCGTGAAGACCAGACTGAAACGGAGGGACTTGCATCGGAGGAGTTATCTCCTTTTATGGCATATTTCCAGCATCTCTATAGAGAACGTTTAAAGGCCGTAGCGGCCTACGATTCGGGGCATTACTCCTCGGATACCCCATTGTCCTACGACGAGTTTAAGATGCCACTTACTCCCATCACTTTACATGGAGCGTCTTCTTTTGCCGAGGCTAAGTCTTCAGGATTGAATTCCACTGAAGCACTCGATCCTCCTGTTCTTGGCACCAAATATCTATTGCCTTCGGGCCAGCTAGATCATTGCAGTAACTCAGCACTGAAACCTCATGGTGCATTAAAACGTGAAGGAGGACAAATTCAACAGATGACTGAAACACTTGACTTGAAATTGGAAAATAATTCTTCATCTCAATTAAAGAGTAATTTCAATACCTCTCAGAATTTAAATAATCTGCGTCAATATTACCTATTTTTCCAAGAATTTCTTAAAGCAATGCCTTCAGTTTCTGAACAGTGTAACACATCAGAAAGTGTAATGCTTCTAGCTAACCAGATATTATCGAGCGCCATTCTCGCTCAACCTCAATGCAGACTAAATTCAGAGTTGGAAAGGCCAGGCACGTCTGGAATGATGGAGCTGGACGCTGCACCATTCGACCTGAAAAATCAGCTCACGCCAACGACATCTCATGATGTTATTACTGACGCTGCACGGAGTATTTCTTTGGACCGAGAAATTCAGAAGAAATATTTGATTGCCTTGAACCAGCTTTTGTTTCAGGCTCCTGCATCGCAGCCCTGATAAATGTTAAACGACTAGCTTTATCCGGTATTGTGTATTGGAAAGATATTCCTCCGCTTTGCCTCAGTCTTCCCTCCGTTGTACCTCAGTCTCCCCTCACTGCACCTCCGTCTTTCCCAGCGCTGTACCACCGTCTTCTCCCTGTTGTACTAGAATCTTTGTCCTGTTGTACTATTGTCTTCCCCATGCTGTGCCACAGTCTTTCTCTGCCGTACCTCCGTCTTCTGTACCACCGTCTTCTCCCCGCTGTACACCCGTCTTCCCGCTGATGTATCACCTTCTTTCTCCTGCTGTATCACCATTTTCACTCGAACGTACCATCGTTCCACCATCATTTCGTGCAGCTCATACTATTTAACGCTGATGAAATGTGGAAAATGTAATCTTGATCAGACTTAGGAGTTATTCAGTAACTTCCAGGGTTCGGATATGAACGTTTGCCAAAACCGGTTACGGCGTAACCTAAAGGAGTAATTTTGTTTCTCACGTTGTACGCAATTCTTGTGTAATAGTTTTCATGGCTTATTCATTCTATTACTGGGGTGAGAGGCTGAATTCTAATTTAATTTTCTGATTTTTAAAAAATTTTGTTGCTCTCGTAATGGAAATCATTATAGTTGTTCCCGTTGGAAAATCATTAATTGTTTAATAATAACAATACATGTCGTTCCATCACGCTGATCGCCTTGTTCATGTTGCTGTTTCTGGTAGTTAGTATCTGTTGCTTTCAGTTCAATTTTGACCGAAGTCATTACTCTGTATTAAGTAGAAAGGAGTCTTAAAATTCTTCCTCTAGAACGCGTTTTCTTACTTAACCTTCCAAAATAACTTCGGTCTATCAATGGTTCTGCATTGATTTCTGTATTAGCCTCATTTTCGTTGGGGTTCGTCAGTTGAACATGACCCGAACGTAAGTGTTTGCCTAAATGACCAGCTACAGCTTGTGTAGTATGACGTGAATGAGCGCTGTCAAAAAATCTGTAATTTTATACGGAAGTGGCTCCAAGAGAAGTTTTGTCTGTCATAGCTAACATAAATCCGGCGCAAAGCTGATGATCCAATAGCTTATCGACTCCGGCTGATTGCTAGCCGTTTACAAGCCATCATCTGAAAATTGCCCGTTTGAAATGATCTGGTTGCAACGGAGATTTTGTTGCAGGGCACTGAATCATGAGGAGAAAACCTTTAAACTTGGAAGTGAGCTCATGCTGGCCAGCGCGGTTCTCTTCAGCAAGCGCGTGATCTCCTCGTTGAGGTTGACCTATCGCTCCTGCGAATTTCATTCACCTCAGCGGTAAGAGTGAATGTCGGCGCGTAACCAATTCTCACGTTAAGTTCTCAACAAATCATGAACTTGAGTAAACACATTGCAGGCTTTAACTAGCGATTTCCCGCTCAAATTTTGATTCAGTTAAGGTGAAATCATGTCATGACTCCTTCCTCTTTTGCATCTGCCCTGTGGCGCCTGAGCAACTGACATGTCTACTGCATACGCTTCAAGAAGACCTAAAATAGCCGGGCTGTATCACATCACTTGCATTGGCTTTGTTAGGCAACCAAGTAGTTTTAGGTTGTATTCATTACCAAATCTGCTTGTGTGGCATTGACCAATCAAATCCGGATTGGATGCTTAATTCTCAATTTTGAATAACCATTAACTATTAGAAGTTAACATGGAGACCGCTAACACGTGTTCACAATTTATTTAATGCAGACAATTTCCCTAAATTACAAATTGTTCAATGTGGCTAATGTCTTTTTTACAAAGAAGCAGGAAGGGTAATGTCAGCGCAGGCACTTTTACTTTGATGGCAACAAGTCTAAGCTATCGGACTGTGCCAGTGTACAAAATCGGAGCGACGGCTTGCCGCAGAAGCAATGGAGTGGAGATTGAGCCTATTGTTTTCATTTCGGCGCGAGCCTTCGTTTTTGCGTGGGCAAGTGAGACCTCGAACTCAGGGTGCATTTAGTTAGGCTGCTGTTCGTCCAGAAATCCGAATAGACGACCTTCCAGGATACATGAGCAGAGACTGAGTTTTTTACCAGTTTATTTCATACGTGAGTGGTGTACTGAACCAAGACAAATGCACTACGGCTATATATCACTGAAGAATACTAAAATCAATATTCACCAATTCACGTTCGTATGCATTTCCTAATTCCTGCAATGAAACTAACGCGGGTGAAAAATGATGCTTAAATTTGACCAAATTGTCTGAAATAAGTAGAGATCTTGGGCTTTAAAAATCAGTAAAAATTGTTCTGATAGATAATTGCGCATCAAACTTTGTAGTTTGGACACTAAAATGATTAAATAAAATTAGTTTAAACAATTGAAACTAAAAGCAATTTAACGATCGTTAACTTAAGATAAAATTATAGATGACTCGTCCAATTAACGATAGTTCAAAAACCGTAAAAAATTGATGTGCAGAAACAGGTATTAATACAATTTTGTAAGCTGATTCTGCTTAGATCACTCTTCCAATTACCGAACGCTTAAAAAATACAGACTATGAAACTCCAGGTAGTACGCTTACTAAAATAAAATTTTGTTAGCAGATTTTCTTAAAAACATAACATATTTTATAGAGAAGAACGATTCATGCTAAAATAAATGCTTCAAGCTTTAATTTTTGATAAAAACTAGAGTTCCTTTCGAATTTTATATACATTAGTCTCGTCAGTTGCTCAGCATCGCTTTCACGAAATCAGGCGAGAGGAACCGAGCGGTGTCGGCCTCTGCAGGCGACAAGCGGCGACTGTGGAAGACGCGGCCCGTCACGGAGAGCTCATAGACCGCCTGCGGATCGTCATCTTCGACTTCGGTTTTGGCCCATTGCAGTAATTCGTTCAGAGCTGTTACCATCGCATCCGGTGAAAAGAAGCCCTGCACAAGGCGCGTGGGAGGATTGAATTAAAAAAAAAGTTACAGGAATTAACTTGATACGAAATAACCGGAGCTCAGAAATTCATTTTCATATACGTATTGATTTGTGGCAATGTCAAGTGATGACTATTTCCCATCGTGCTTGAGTTACAGTTTGTATTCGTAGCTACCCGAGAGGCCAATGGCTTATAGCTGGTACAAGGGTGGATGATGACACAGTTTCTCGGACTGTTATTCCGAACAGAAAACACTATCATTTCATGCTAAAATCAGCTAAATCCTAGACTTCGTGCATATCAAGAAACTCCAACTGCTTATATGGTTCAGTTGCTACAGTTGCTACGAACACAGTACAAATGCTTCAAACAACGTCACAGATGTCTATGTCAAAGGGGTTGTGTGAATGAAATAAGAACCAATTTTACTCCAGGCGATTTTGAAAATCACAAATAGAAAATCAGTGAATATAGAAAACGTTTAATCAAAGTTTCTCTTACCGGCCTTACCTACAAAAAGGCTACATCTAAATGGAGTCACAAGGCCTTTTTAGTGGAGCTTTAGCCACCTAAAATATTTTTGAGCTCTCCTAAATAACTTCCATTTTAATTCAGTAATATTTTTTTACAAAAAAATTGCCTAAAAATTGATAAATTTGGCCTGGATACAAGTTTAAGTAAATAATCATCCAACACGTCATTATTAATTAGAATATTATCGTAAATCTTAGAAGAGGGCTTAGTCCTTTCCCTGTGCTTAAAACCTGAGGCGTTGCACCTCCTTTCGTTAAAATCTGGTGACGCCTTTGTGGTGGTGACGCCTCGATTCTTACCTGCGAATCTGAGGGTAAATTCGCCACACGGAAGGACCGAAGGCGCCTCACAACGCCGCGGTCATCACGGAAGCCACACACTACACGCGGGATGCCCACCAGAGCGCACTGCACCCACGTTTCGCGCATTTTATACTTCGGCAGCGATTGTGTCCTGGCGCGTGACAGCCTGTGCGTTTTGAGCTCGATCAAGTCAGTAGGCCGAGGAAGCCGATTGCTGGAGTACAACTTCTTGTCCATCCCGTCAACCTCAGCCCCGTACAGAAGAGAGTGCTCTGATAGTTGGGTTCGGACGATGACACAGTACGATTCATTCTCATCGTTCCCAGTGGACGGATCCGATCCTGAAAAAAGTTTCATTTTCATTTTGTTTTCGGATCAAATTCGCTGGTTCAATTACACAAGTATGCGAACATAAAGAATAAAAAATCAGCTGTAAAAATATAGTTATATAAAAACGGCTCGACATGCAAGGGTAATAAACTCGAATGATGTTGATCTCAGCTCAAAATCACTTCAGACAACAAAGCATTTATTCAAAGGTACACAATGGTCTTATGACATTTTCGTCAACTGGTAGTTGGCCAGGTCTGCTCAACTGCCAAGCGAAAAACGTCTCTTTCACTCCATAGTACGGAAGCGGTGTAATGTCCGTTAATCTCCCAGCTTTAAGGTAATCTTATCTCATCGGAGTAAATGAACGTTTATCAATTATTTGAACATAGTAAGACAATCACTTCAAGTCTTAAATTGTTGTAAATATTTATAAGTCGGCGATTGTGCGCTCAAATGCCATGTTTGAGAAATAACGTATAGTTTTTTACTTAGTAGCGTGCAGGAAAGGAACGGTTAGTCACAGTAAGGTGTCAAGTATAAATAAACATGGCGTCGATAGATTTGTCGCCCAGAGGACAAGGCGTCTACAAAATCATTCTACAAATTCGAAAGGATGCAGAGCTAATGTAGAACGTAACAAATTCTTATGCTGGTGCCCACCTTGACAAGGTTGAGGATTTACCTGCCCTTAGTTTCACCTGTTGTTCCGACAAAAATATTGAAAAGTTACTCACCAATTTCTTCTATTCACGTTCTATACACGTATCTTGGCTGTGGATGCGCCCAACATATAAGGAAGCACTGGACTAACCCAAAAGACACATCTATAACTAAGTATTGGACAATTTTACGGCCGGACTCCCCAAATTCAATTATCAAGGAATATCTCCCAAATTAATGAACACAGCTAGATGAATCTTGGAACGCGTATTCATTAAGACCTAACGGTGATGTTTAGCTTATGGAAATTTTTTAAATTTCGCCTCCATTCCTGGGTTATATGGCAATACGGGGTAAAATTCGCAGTGATCAAGGAATTTCTTCTAAACGGCTGAAAATATTTGAACGAAATTTTGAATAAAACCCAACCAACTTTCACACGGTGATATTTAGATAGTAATAATGTTTTCGATTTTGCCTTCGTTCGCATTTTTTTCATTTCACCTTCATTTGTGATTCAAACAGCAATATATGCTCAAATTTGCAGTGATCAAGAAATTACTTCTAAACTACTGAACAGATTTGAAAGAAGCTTTGCATATAAATACCTAACCTCCTAACCGTGATGTTTAGCTTGTGACAATTTTTCGATTTTGCCTTCGTTTGCGAGTTATACGGATTTACGGAGAAACGACCGGCACTTCTCAGGCCGATTTATAAATTTGCATTGACCAAGATATATAGCCATATAACTCGCCAACGAAGGCAAAATCGAAAAAAAATGTCAGGAGTTGAACATCACCGTTAAGAGGTTAGGTATTTGTATACAAAGTTTCGTTCAAATCTGTTCAGCAGTTAAGAAATTTCTTGCTCACTGCAAATTTGAGCACATATTGCTGTTTAACTCACAAATGAAGGTGAAATGGAAAAAACTCGCGAACGAAGGTATAATCGAAAAAAATTGTCACGAGCTAAACATCACCGTTTGATAGTCAGGAACGTATATTCAAAATTTATTTCAAATCTGTTCAGTAGTTTGAAGGAATTTCATTAATTGCGCGTTCTTTAATTTGGAAGATATTCCTCGATCATTAAACTTAGGGAGACCGGCCGTAAAATTGTCCGAGACGTCTAATTTGTGGCCTACGGCTGCCCCCCGATGCGATTTAATGACAATTCCAACTCGTCGATATTCCTCAGATTTAGACTGCCCGAGTGATATCTTCTCGAAAAGTTCAGGTATTCATCTTAAGCGTCAAGTGCAACCTAAGCCATCTTTTTCAGATCAAGTTGTGTACTTTTGATACAGTCAAATCACATCTTACCGTCCGTCATGAATTGCTCAAACTTTAAACCCCGGGAAGCCATCCTCAATTGATCTTCACTCGCGTTCAGTTGTCTCAACTGGTCATCGGAGATCACTTGACACATAAAAATGGTCTCGCCAACCCTGTAATGATACGAGTTGGATCAATTTCCGGAATTAATGAATAATGATCTAATCCAAATTGACGATTCCTCAAACATAAGTTACATTTGTCAGTCACCAAACAATCCTAGTGTATCGCTCAAAGGAAGGTTCACTAAGAAGTTAAAAGCAAAGAAAACGCAAAGTAAAGTCACGATATTTTCATTGCCGTAAAGAAGACAAGATTTGCGTGTTAAAATATGCAGCGATTATAAAATCCCACAATTTGAGAATTGCCGCTTATCCTTGAACGGACGATGGGTTTCATGAATCGATGGGTTTTATGTTTCATTGTAATTTACTTGCTACTTATGCTTTAATCTCTTTTAATATATATTTTGATTTTTTCTCCTGATTGTACTTACATTCTACATTTTTTTTTCAACTGATGATGGAACTAGGTCATCGAGACGACTTTACTCGGCGTATTCTTTGTTTTTAAATTCTTGGCGAATTTACGATAGGTACTTGACAAACTGAGGAAATAGGTAAATAAATACTTAATTAAAATGAAAAAATGAGTTTGTTACAGAGTGACTTATGTACTTCATGATAAAATTGTTCCAACATTAATGCTCGATGATAAAAGTAAGTAGGTGCCGGAATGTTCATGTATCTTAACGAATACCGGTAATTAGAGATGTGTCATTGACTGCCATCTTGGGGGTACAAACTGATAACTGGCGACTGTGAAAACGAGGTCAATCATGTATAAAATCATTACGGACCTCGTTTTCGCGTAAGAAACTCTCTAGAAAAATAATGGTTACCCTTTTTAAACATGCTTGGGTTGCCCAAAACATGCTCATCTAACCGTAAACACTTTGCTCGCCTTGCTGTGGCGACTTGGTCAACTCATCTGCAGTCATCATCACTTAATTGTCTGCTACACTCCTAGATACAAAAGGAAAGAAGGTATTCATGTTTAAATTCTGGAAATAAAGAAGCAGGCAAAAATTCGTCATCATTGTTCGATAATTCAAAAACTGAAATATCAATTTCTAATTAGACAATAATGGAAGCAAAATAGGCATGATGTTGGGTCTCAAAAGAAAGTGGGGACAGTGAGCACAATGTAGATTAGGAGTGAGGGATGAGAAGTGAGCAGCCAAATGTAGGATGGCTTGAAGTGTAGGAAAGCAGCAACCTCGAAGAAGAAATTTGCCACCGTGCTGCCGACAGGCCTCCTTTCGGATTTCAGAGATGGCTACGCAGGACTCTCAAGTGTTTACCTATACTCTTCTGCATTGCCTAGCATTGAAGTACGAAACCCTTGCATTTGATTTGAACCTATGACCAGGTTGCAATCATTTATTCGTTGTATGCAATAAGCATAGATGCTGGTGGCAATCCATAGTAATTCCTTTACCTCTTCATTTGATTCCATACTAACTTTTGATGTCTTTGTAAAAACTGAGCTTACTAGAAACCGTCATTTTATATTTTTCAATCTAGTATCCCGATTAGCCTCACCTCGTGGCACGCAATTTAAGGGTTTCTGACGAGTAAATGGAGGTGAGAAGGTGTCGCGCCACGTAGCGGCTGGTCACAAAGTCAGGCTTCGGACACATGCTCTGCGGGTGCCGCATGATCCACTGCTGCACATGCGTCAGTTTTCCATTTTCATTGAAGAAATCCTCCATATTCATGCGCCGCACATCCTCCATAGCCAGGTTAAGATCAAGATATACCTAATGGTGAGAAAATGTGCATTAAAATCTTTCCATGATTTTGTACTGTGGACAATCAAGCAGTCTTGACAGCAGTTTAAGAGTTCAAATTAGGAGCGCCGCCGAAGCCAGAGATTAGGTCCTGCAAATTAGGCTTTATGTACCGACGTTTTCATCGTACGCAAGCATGGTTCTCAACTGTCTGATTATAATTATCCGTCAAGCAAGTGAACTAAAACTCGTAATGAGGACCATTGAAAAATGGTAAAGACGTCTTTTGATACTTTTTTTATGTTTTGGTAATATCCCTAAAAAATAGAATATAAAATTCTGAGGAACATTTCGCTAACAAATTTTCAGAGGGCGAGACAACGAAATTTAAAACGCGGTCATCGTAAATGTTATGAACGAAGTTGAACAAACATAACACTTGTCTATACAATTCGTTATTCATTCATGATGACTACACTTTATTTTGAGTAATTACGTATCTCAACACGAGATTATTTACATGACTGGCGTACATTGTGGAGATTTTGATTAGACACCATAATCCTTATTATAAATATATATACATATTATACAAAGCATGCTCTGGTCTCCAATCAAACTTGCATTTGTATATGCATGATAATTTTACCGCTTTTTCGCACGCCTCGTCCCAATCAATGGCGATTCGTGCGAGGTTTCTCCCGTCATCATGAAACTGGCGATTGCAATCCAAGGAGAAGTGCCCGATTATTGTAGGAGAGAGTTGCGCAGACCGACTGCACGTCAAACACACATGATATACGTAGAAATTATAGGTAAACAACTGAAGGTACTATTCTTTCTTCACCTCATAATTTTAATAGCTAATTTTTTTTTCAAGTTTTAAAACGGTAATGCCAATTTGAATTTTAACAAGATGTCATTAATGAAACTTAAATCAATTCTTAATTATACGAGAACACAACGCACCTACGTAGCCTAACGGTCTGTCTTTCTTGCATGTAAAGAATAATCCTGGACTGTCAAGAATAATCTTCCCTGTACATGTCTCGTGTCCAAGCAAAGAATCTATTCACAGCAAACTCACTACAGGAACGCAGGTGGCACTCGTCTCTCAAACCTTATCGGCAACAACTTTACGGCAACGTTTCGTCAGCATAGCTTCCACCAACTCCCCAAGTTTCGTTTCATTTGTTCATAAGCGTCTCTATGAGTAACTAGAAAATTGAGGAACGATTAGGGACCGGCGGCTATTATTTGCTAATACAGGAGGCCACGCGAAGTGACGAACGGGTGGACCACTCTGATACTGCTTCTAAAACTCCGTCCACATATACGTTCGAAAATATCCTCAGTCATGCATGTCATGCCAGGTTACAGTCGGGACGGAAAACTCGCGCGCGTCCACACGATTCAAAAATTTCCTTTGTTTTCGCTTCCTCGCCAAGGTGAGCAACTATTTGTTGAGAAATATACACTGAAAACATTGTTGGTAAATATTATTCGAAAATTATTAGACGGTAAATAATGTTTCTGACACATTCTTTTCGACGATCCGTAAAAAAATAATATCTTTATTACGAATTTTTGTTAGCTGTAGGATTTACTTCCTTGCACTTGCTCAAAGTCGTATCGGGCAGAGCTTTCTCTTTCCTATAATAGCCTTTCGATTTAATTTGACGCGGGCATGGAAAACTGCCGCAAATATCTCTGAACTCCTAAAAGAAATCGTACGATATCTTGTATTGTCATTTTTTTCGACTAGAGCTAGCAATAAACAGTAACACAGCGCTCAACACAAATGCAGATAAAGAAGGAGAAGCCTGACCGACCAGACGGATGCTGTCCACAAGCGCAGACGTGTCGGCAGTCTTGCATTAACGCGAAGGTCTCGCCAGTCAGTCTTTTCCAGGTTTTTCAAACCTCAAGGCTCAAACTCCGCTCACCCGTCATGCAAGGCCTCAAACCACACTGATAATAAGTTATACCGTGTGTACGGGGCTTTAATGAATTGGTCGAGATCATTCTACGCTTCGGGGACTTCGTAATGTATTATAAAAGCTCGTTCTACGCTTTATGGACTTTTAGAATGTATTGAGCGAGCTTATTCTACGCTCTGGGGACTTAGGACCCAACACGACGCCCGCCACAGGGAGTGCCAGAACCATAGCGCCCGGGGATCGAGGTACCAGCTATCCGCGTCGCTAACAGAACATAAGCTGTCAAATCGCATGCGCAGTACTCATTAATGCTTATTCGTAAATTCATAATGTCTGGTCCCTCTCCATTGCCCATCAAAGAGTTGAACCACTACATGTGCCTGAGAGAACTAAATGAAAATAGGAAACTCTGTATTATAAAAAATTATTCTAAGCGACGGTCTCCATTTAATAAATTCGTTTCTATTCTAGTATTAATTAAAGATGAACATAATTTATACACCAATGGAAGGAGAAAGATTCAAGATTTTTTATATATTTATAAATGCACAATTTTCCGTTGATTTGCTGCACGGCAAGCATCTAAAAGGTAGCCAAACTCGCCCCGCACACGAGAAAGCATATCTTCTGCTACTGAGTGCACCGCAGCAGTGATAAGAATCTTCAAATCAACCAGAGTCGCTGGGATAGGCGGGACGTAAGCAGTTTCCTTGACCTTGACGTAACCCAATAAGAAATAGTCGCATGGGGTGAGATCAGGTACCAAATTATCAATCGCCGCTAAGTGCACGTAACGGGATGCATGCTAGAAGCCAGCATTGCCCAGTACCAGCATTGCTTACATATGCTTTCCCGAGCGCAAGTCTGCTGCAGGTGCAGGGTATAGTAGTATACGTGGGAGCGCAGCCTTGCACCACCAATTTTGTGCACCAATAAGCCCTGAATCGAACGCCTTGCATAAAACCTGCCGTGCACCACCAGGCCGCGGATCGAATAAGACTTCTGGGCATCGTTAAATTACGTGATTTTACGTTCACCGCATCTGGGGTTAAGTTTCAGATAGCATAATTCTGTTCCAAAATTTACCGCCCTTCGACGAGTGGCCGTTCGACCGAGGGCTGGTTCGACGCACAGCCTAGATATGATTGTCCAGTGTTGAAGGCTACGTTCCGGAAGGCAGGAATAATGATGGTCCATTACATCCAGGACAGTGTTGGTCTTCAGCAGGCGACCCGTCTACGTGATTATATGCTGAAAGCCATAGGTACAAATTTCCATCATATAAGGGTACCAGCGTACCAATGAGCAGTAAGCCACCAGTACAATAGCCCTGAGCGGTTTTTATACTGCTCCTGTGCTCCAAAGTTCTGCACCAAGGTGCCTATAGCCCCTTCACGATTTTCGGTAAGGAAATCTCTACGCCATGGCGCTTTTGGTACAGTCACCGCTTCAGCCCGTCCGCTCTTCGCGGCTGATAACATACAATTTAGCTGCCGAAACTGTTGCGAGTTTCCCCAAGATGAAATAGGATCAAATCATCTAGGATTTACTGGTTTCGTTGTTTGGAAATCATAGAAATACTCTCGACACACTTGTACTTTATGTAAACGAAAAACTAGCCGCAATAGATAAATTAAGATTTTACATCTGATAGGTTCGACAGCATCGTCATGCGAGAATATTCATCTATCAACATTTAAGAAAATAAGTAAGCTGATAAACTAATATGTGGAGAAATTATTAGCAACGTTTGACCAAACTAAAACACATATGATAGAATTCGGATAAGCATCAAAGGTCTGCGAGGAAAGCCTTCCAGCCAGCCAGAGCGGTAAGGTGGAGAGATGGGATAAGTGACGAGGAACATGCTGGGGGACAGTGAAGCTGGGCTCACGTCTTGCGAAGTAAGGCAGTAGGTACAATGAGGAACAGTTCACAATTCACATTCAAGTCAATCCAACGCGGTCGACGGACCGCAAGGCTAACGGCATGTGTAAGAAGTGATGGTATGGGGTAATAATTTTTGGAGTACGACGTATTGACCGTTATCGTTTTAGAGTAGTAGCTTGTGTGCATTGTCATTGATGTTTCAAGTTCGTGTGATAAAATGGGTCAATTGGGTACAGCTCCATATATAGGTGCCGGAGTGACAATACCTATAGCATGTTCAAGGTTGACGTTGGCTCCACGGCTAATTTAAGGGTTAAATTTGTGGCCTAGTGCCTACGGCTGCGTACGTAACCACTTGCACAAAGCGTAAGTACTTGTACTGCCATGTGGGCGTAACTCCAACCGGTTCTTTTATCACAAGTTTCATAACATTTTGGCGCAAAATTACGACAAGAAGTTGTACAAAACTCTACGACCCAATTTAATAAACAAGAAATTATTATAATTGGTCCATCATTCGGAATAGCCCTGCATATTTGATGTCATACTGGTCTATGTCTACCAGTAAACAGCATTTCCTCCTCGCCTCACGTAATTTAATAGTCTTTTAATACGGTAGCTAGGATGGGTTTTCCAAATTCCAAGGGTGTCCAACAGTCCACGTGAATAATTATCTAGATATACTAATACAATCGCAAGCGACAACTAGGCGAGTCAAATAGATACGAGTTCATTTCATTTGTGCAGCTAGGACCATGATTTTTGATTGATGGGCGAGTGATCTGATCGCATTTCACAAGTTCTGAAGGCTCGTCCGCTCGTAGGTCGTAGCCCACTGCTATCCTCACCTCCCGGGCAAAAGATTTGGTGATCATCAGTTAATAACAAAAATTACAGCTGAATTTTCTCGCTTAATTTAACCTCCACTTCCCCCTGCGTTTTTCATCATTTTCATCATTCATTCATCATACCTACAATCCAAGGCAGGTATCAGCAATATTTTTTCACACATCTCCGTAGAATATAAAACAGGCATAGCCTACCGTTTAACCTGTCATATGACAAGTGACTTTTCTGTAGATATGTGAAAATGGAGCTTGTGTGTATAATTCTGTCAAATAAATGAAATCTCTTACCTGTATCCATGTGAAGAACTGTACGATGCCATTGCTGATGATTACGTTTCAGGAAACTTTATTGAAATAATTGAAATGATGTAGAAAGTTAATTTGACACCATTTTGCCTTTAATTAGGTACCTATATAGGACATATAGATTTAAGAGCCAAAGTGTTATCACCGGACTATTAAAATCGATCGAATATAGTTTTGGAATGCACGGGGAAAGACAAAATACAGGTTTTCTGGTCGCCCAATCGAACTGAAAATATTAGTAATCTTAATAACTGGTATTTCCTACGTCAATGATCAATCCCAATTCGATGGATAACTTCGCAACAATTGCCGACCCAAGCCTTCATTAGAAACAGTCTTTTTAATAAAAACTGAACCACATCTCTAGGTAGCCTTACGTTATCAAAATGGCTTTGCAGTTAGAATGTAGTTTTTGAACCCTGCAAATAGTAGTCCTGACTACTGACCACTGTGACCAGTATTATACGGCTTTAGATGATATGCGGCGTCGCGAAGATGAAAAAATAAGATCTATATATATACCTAGCTATGCTCTGAGGCGACTATCTGCAATGCGATTGAGGTTGTAAGTTCCTAACTACTCCTATATTTGTTATTACGAAGTGCCTAAGCAGATTGAATCGCCATCTAAACCAGAAGGGTCGTACAAAGTTCTCGAGCCGTCAGAATAAGGAATAATGATCAAGAGAGAGTAATGCATAATTTCCTACAGCACACTCCTGCCTGGCCCTAACGACGCACACTCGCACTGTTCGTTGCTCGTTGTAAACTGGCAAACTGGCTGCATTTGATGATGATTTGAAAGTTCAAACGTGCACTGAAAAAATCCTGTACAAAACGACCTTTACAAAAAATCCTGTTAATAAATTATCGTTAATATAAATGGACTAATAGCTTCTAGATCGAAAGAGTAAATTGATAGGAATAGGCTTCGCTGCCATGATTAAAGAGTTGGTATCTTTGTGGGTTTGTTCTATAAAGCTTCCATCCAACACCAGACGCATCTCCATAGACGAAAATGTACGTACAAACGAACGAGGCCACACCGTGCTGCTGCGTAGTGGAGTGCAATAACAGCTTCAGAAGTGATTGATGCATTTTCCTTCTGAACTCCTCAATAGACTATATTTAGTGCTTATTGCTTAATAAGCAATGCGAGAACATGGCATGTTTTTTGGGGTGTAGATTAAGAATCTGAAATCCGTTTTTGGCGGTCGGCATCGAAAAACTGATTTTTTTTCCGATTTTCCGATCCGGAAAACCTATAAAAACGTAGATTCAAACAAGAAACACCTAGAAAAATCTAGAAAAAAACCTAGCCACAAATTATATACATAACCCTCCGCCAACTCGCAGGTTAGGTCCAGTCCGGTCAAGGTCGGTTTCTATAGAAATATATAGAAAATCGGAAAAAATCGGTACCGCCAAAAACGGATTTCAGATTCTTATTGATAATATTGATATTGATAATATTTATAATATTGATCTATTGACCCCAAAAAACATAATTAAATAAAAAAACATCCTTTTTTGGATGCACCTAATCTAAAGTATTACCCAGATTTTTTTCAAAATTTCACTGCTGATCAAGTCATCACACCTAAAAATGTTTAAATCTGTAATCTAGGTATAAATCCAAGATTAGCGGATTCCTGACATGATTAGAGATACGATTTGCCGTTGACTAGCATGCTAAACGGAGTAATGAATAAATAATTAATTGATTTCAATGAGGTGCACAAGATGCCAAAGAGTAACAATTAATTCATAAATTGGATAAAACTTTGCGAACGAGAAGATACTAACGCATCGTGGCTGAAAGATTTCAGAGTCGGCGAATAGCTTACCACATGGTTTTTAATCAAAGTGAAGTCCACATTTTGAAAAAATTGTCTAAGAATTGACAAATAAATTAAAGGTATTATTGAATAGATATATGTTGAATATTACGGGTTTTATTTATTCGGTTCTAACGTGAAGTGGACCAGTATTTAGCATTCCGTAACCGCATGCCCCGTGCCCCTGAGGTAAGGGCGACTTACCCGAATTTACCGAACGATCATTCGATGAGAGAATCGCAATCGAAAATTCCGGCCGCGTTCGGGCTGGGCTTCCAATAGTAGTTTTGCTCCATCAAATTTAGTTATTAACCGAGGCTGAACAATGCGGCGTCCCGTGCATCAAACAATATGCACTTCACAGAACTTAGCACAGCAGCAAAAGCGCATGGTCAAATGGGCGCCCCGGGAGCTGCTGTCGTGGAGTCAGGCAACGAACTGCCGAAAATATTTGAAAGGGAGGTGAAGTAAAGTAGCAGGGGTGAGATTAGTTTGTCATCAAATGTTCAGGTGTAGCTACTTCATTCGTCACCCAGAATAAAGGCACAGAAGAAGTGGGAAGCTATGACCCGTTACCCGTAATTAATCAAATTGAAAACTAAATCATAGTTTTTTGTTTATAAATAGCGAAAAAGTAAAGCTATTCGTTTCAATAATTTTCATGGAAAGTTGCGTATGGCTACTGTCATTAAAATACAATGTTAATGCCGTCGCGTCCGATAGGAAAAGCAAGATTAACCGCATTTATCCTTTTCTTCTATTTCGGAGAGCTCGTACCAGGAAAATTATCTATTTATTAGAATAGAATAGAATAGAAGTGTCGGCGCTGAAGAGGCCTGTTGCCGATTCTTGAACTTTTCGTGACTTGATTCACAAGGGATCCGGCCTTTGGAACCCGATCTTTCCATAGCTGACGATTGATTGAGATAGCTGCTGGACTTATTGCCTGGTCCGTAATTTGCTAGGCATTTTAAGACTGAACATATGCTCCTGCATAGCTTCGTCTAGTCTGTTTTTGGACCCATTAATACTGACACGTTGTCGCCTCCCTACTAGAAAATCTCTGATCCATTTGAGTACTTTACTCTCAATCCCCAAAGACTTCAATTTACGCAACAGCCGCTCATGTGGGACACTGTCAAATGCCTTGAAGGCAGAATACGGATACTTTGTCAATTAACGAACTTCAACTTAATACCCAACAACTAAACTGGTGTATGATGCGAGTTGAAATAGAACTACATTGAAAAACAACATTTTCTACGATTGGATGCGAAGTCAAACCGCGACATAATGTTCTTCAACTGCATAGTTTATGCTAAATTATACATGGGTAAATTTTTGTAGTTGATCATTAATTGTGGAGCATAAGCTCTCCGCGGCTTGACCGATCCGAGAATGTTTTCAATTTTATTTACCCATGCGATAAGCTCAAATAAATGTCATAGTTTACAAATAATTTTTGGAACGAGGTGTTACCTCGCAAAAAAACATGTACAAGATGACATGAAGATATATCATCTGAGGTTTTTCGAAAAGTCTACCAGTCGAAAAGTCTTTGTGATTGATACAAACCTTACATCAGGTGCGGGAATAAAATAAATCTTTAATCTGAGTTCAGAAGGATAATAAACAATACACTCACATATAACACCAAATGAAATAATACGAGCATGCTAGCATTTAATCGAAAGTTAATTTTCCAATCCTCCTCGAATAAAAATATTTGCATTTTATGAACTAAACATCTTTATCAATGTAGTTTAAGTACGCAACCTGAGCTGTTAATTCTATTGACGGCAATAAAGAGCCTCACAAAAACACTTTGAACAGGCCTGAACAATTTATACCACTTCAAAATTATGGAGAACACATACGGAGAAAACCACATTCTCTTAGCCGCTGAAATTTATCAACATTTTACACCAATGATACGAAACAGTCTCCGCGCATCAGCACCTGCAGGAACAACAATAGGAAACAAACCCAGTTTCTTTGAAACTTACAAGTCTTTACTCCACGTAACTCATAATAGCCTACAATTCACCATCAACATCGGCCGTGTCATTTTCATGCCACCCGAGAATTAGTAATCACGTTTTGTATGAATTCATCTTGCCCTAATAATAATCATGGATTAAAATTATCGTAATGGTGATACATTGAAAATAATATCTATTGAACCAATTCACATGTACACTACAATATTAATTACAATTATAGATACCCTCCTGGCGAGTCATATAAACAGACAAACCTAACACAATATACCTCAAAGAAATGATACTTTCAGAATACCTTCAAATCCACTTAAAGTAGTTAATACAGCAGAAATGACTTACCGCTTGATTATTTATTATATTGATATATAATAATTCATGCGTAGAAATTGTAGAAATTCTAGATTTTAAGGTATAATTGGACTGCAGATAGATGATGAAGGGTGAACTGGGAGAAAAATTCATTGGAAAAATGCTTACTTTCCTTTGAAACGCGCTTCGATAAAGGAGTACATGAAAATATATTCCTATATTAAACCATTCTGCTCCATTTTTGAACAAAAATGTGTACCATTGAATTTGGCATTTGAATGAGTTGCACAATTATTGATTGATATTTTCGCACTGTTTTGTTATTTGATGCACATTAGTTTAATGTAAAAAACAGATTCAATGTGATGAAATATCATGATACGTACTCTATTAGGCGAATTTTTTCTTTTGAAAACTATCTTAGAGGAGTTGAAAATATGTTTTTTCAATCAAGTAATCTTGAACAATCTTATAACCTTGTTTTTTATTCAGCAATCTGTAAAACAAATTTACACGGGGAACTTCAATAAGTCCACCACTTCGTTCACCTTTCATGTCAGTAAACATTTATAATAGAGAGTTTGAATACTGTTTTTTTCCAATTGTTTCGTTCTGTGAGATCAGATGCCCTCAACTACAACATCTCTAAGGTCAGCCAATATATTCTGCATATATTTTGAACATACATTATACAATAAAAAGCTCATTTTTACATTAAATACCATTTATTAGCGCATTTTCTCGTTTATGGAAAAAATGCACTATTGTGCTCGCCATGTCCGTCTGTCTGTCTGTCCGTTCGTCCGTAACCTCAAGTTTTCGTCGACGAGAAAATGCGCTCTCTGTCACTCACAGCAGTGAGTACTGAGTTATATTTTCATATATTATGTATGTTTCGTTGTTTGAGGTCAACCGGACACAACTTTATTTTTTGTGTTTATCACACTATTTTTTTTCTCGTACCTATCGCGGGCTATTTCGACAACGAAAGCAACGAGCGAAAGCAGTAAGCCAATCGCTAGCATCATGAAGGGCCCTTGTAGATGTGATAATCGCAGCACCGGAGCCTCCGACGCCTGAGCGAGATAAAAAGGTTGTAAATGTACGAGGTTAGAAATAACGGTGAAAAAACGGTCTGCCCGGGATTCTATTGGCCGGTTGCCCCGTGAGCATAAAAAGTTTTAGGGTTTTAGCGCATTTTCTCATTTATGGAAAAAGGCACTATTGTGCTCGCCATGTCCGTCTGTCCGTCCGTGACTTCACGTTTACGTCGACGAGAAAATGCGCTCTCACTCACTGCAGTGAGTACTGAGTTATATTTTTTATATTGTACGGGTTCCCATGGTTAAATTAAAAAAAAACGGCGATACAATGTTTTCTTTTACATTCAGTCCTTCCGGCCATTGAAACACCGGTCAGAACGTTTTAGTGCGTAATTTTTTAGCGAACAATGTCCGATATAAGGCAAATAATTTATATTAGTATGAATAAATCGAGAGTGCAATCTATGAACTATCAGTTTCTTCACTGCACGTTGAGCAGCAGCTAAAATCAACGTCCGGGTTGGGGGATGTTTGTGCGCGTAGCCATAACACTTGTTGCGTCGGGATATTATAAAAAGCTAAAATTACATTCTGGGTGGCAAAATATGAATGAACAGAACATTAATTAAAGTTTCATTATGAAATTGATACATCAAATTTAGTTTAAATAACGTAAAATTATTTTTCCTCATACAGAAGCGAGTGTACAACACGACTTTCACATTACAAATAGAATGTAAGTTTCTACAGGTATTTTTTTCATTAAAATACGCAAGTTTTATTATTATTAACGGGATTATAAATTAACTGAATAACGGGATTCAGGATAGCAGGATTCCAAAATTGCGGAAACTATCAAGCCCGGACAGCGTCGGGGCAACCTGCTATATATGTACTACGTATTATATCAGCTATGTGTAGCAGTTATTGCGTTACGAAATAGCACAATTTTTATTGTTGGGCAATAAAAATATTTTTGTTTACGACCCTGGAAGTGTTCGCCACCAACAAAGTTTACAAGTCCTTGTTTCTTAAGGTTTCTCAGTCACGTTTGATTTTGTATGTAAGTTATTTTAGACGTTTCAAGAAAATACATTTCTCAAGTAGGTACATGAATCGACATTCATATCGGACCCGCTTTATTATGAAGAGCAAACCGTACATATTATTGACAATGACACGTTTTCAATAATTAATTTTGAAAAACCTTGAATATTGATCGGACTTCGAATAAATTCTTTTCTATGACCGGCTACATAATTAGCACAAGTATTTAATTTTTTAAATTCATATTGAAACTGTACCCCGAAACCTTGTGACTTTTTCTGATTTTATTGAATGATTAGCTAATTTTGGATCTGTGCAATCATGTTATCTTAATTTTCTAAACTTTACACTACTGTAAACTTCTGAATGTAATATTTACCTGCAAGCTGTTCACTGCCTGGTGATCGTGAAGCACATCCATATGCTTTTTATAGAGCTTCTCGACAATGCCCGACTCGACGAACCTCTGGAGAGCCTCAGAAATGACGGTTGTGTATGGCGTGTTCTTGGGCAAAATCCAGGAACTGTAACTAGGGAACACCTGGTGTTCATGGAGAAATGTTCACATTTATTAACACGGGAACAGCTAAACTTGTATGCAATGAATGTTCAAATAGTCAACGTTCATCCAATAAATATTCGTCATGTCATCAAAGAGATCACTCTGTCTGTGAACTGTTGCCAAACTATAAACTGTATTAACTTCAATTGAAAAATTCATAGTTGAATGGAATGTAGCCGAAATAGATGCTGGGCGCCAAGCCTTATAGCATGTTTTAAGTAGGTACCCGATTAAGACGCACATGAAAAAATTGAATTGAATAGCCAAAACGTGGATTTACACGCTCTAATGTCTATTGTAACGCAGAAAATTATTGAAAGAATGTAATATCATAGAATGGGGATCACCTTTCCGCTAGTGAAGTGAGAGATTCAAACGCCGTTGCTTCACCATGCATCTCGAGCTGGATTATATTAAATTATATAATATAATATTGATTTTATATTACTTTAATTTCTCTGACTCACCGTTTCTCTCATGATGTAGGTGGACTCGGTTAAATTGGCTTTTTTTCGTTCAAGGTAAAGGTATGAGTAAGTTTCCAGCAGAGCATGTGTGTCTGCAAGGACTTTGAGAAAGGCATTTTCGAAGGGAAACATGCTGTATTCAAATGGAAACATGTCCATTTTGTTGCCCAGAATATTGAGGGACCGATCTTTGGATATCCGCAGCGCTTCTGGTACGAAGATTCCGTAGTCTTGTATTAACACCCTGAGTGATAAATGAAGTTTCGAAAACTATATCAGCAATAGGTCAGTAAACAATATTTCTACATACTTCAAGTTCGTGTGCACTTGTATGATTACATTCCGTGAAAGAAGAAAAAAAGTGGCGAAACACTTGCTTTTCACAGCTATTCAGATTTATGTTGATTCAGGATGATACAGAAATCTCATGGTTCATAATTTATTATAAATGGTCCTCAACGCCTTTGGGCTAAATGAAAACTTTGTTTACGATTAATAAAAAGTAAGCCTGCACCATTCTTTACAAGAAATGCACTTTCACATGAATCTATTTCTTGTTTGAATATTATGTGAATAAAAAACAACGAAAGAACTTTAACTAGCATGAGATATATTGATACCTCAAATTAGAAGCAGCAAGTTCGTCGACAGTCTGGATCTTAGACCGAGTTACAGGAACAGTGAGGAAGGCCACAAGGTTGGAAGTGTAGGCCAATGACAGCACGAAGGCCATCAAACGCCAACACAACATCCACAGCATCACCCAAGTCTTGCGTGTAGTGTCAGGGCAGCCCACTAGAAGAACTGATGACATGATCTGTAAATTTTAAAACTTGGATTAAATTACGGAAACAAAAGTCGTTGGATCAGACAAAAAAAACCAGACGTCGTTGGACTAGCAAAACTAAACCTATGGTAAACAACCATGATGTTAAGTGTTGTATACCCGGCGATGAGGCCAAGTGGTTACAGTTCAGAGTGTCTGGATTGGAGCAGTGAGTTGCGAGTTCGATTACAGTTTCCTGTGACACTTCTGATCAAAAACTGCGAGTTGGCCTGGTGGTTGAGACCAAGCCCTGCAATTGTTCAAAGCCATGCAAGCTTCGAGAATTCTGAGACATCAATAATAATCGGCGACATGCAGGTCATATTTGGCCTAAAGAACGAAGATTGCCCTATCACTATATATACATTCACCCACAAACTCACTTCAACAAATTTGGTATGAGTAAATAGAAAATTCAATGTTATTCCATTATACGTATAACAACCTATTTTATTTCTCTTGCAAAAGAAGATACGAGAAGAGACTTGGTGATTATCTTTGAAGAGTTTTTTTTCTCGAAAAATTGAATAATATTAATGAAATGTCCGCCAAGTGAAGTTTCAGTGAAATGTCCTGATAATATCAGTGAAATTTTCTATCAAGGATGAGTACCGAGGAGACGAATAGTTTTGTGTTTGGAAAATCATTTTTAAAGGTTTTAAGTCTTTTTTGTGATGATTGAGCATATGTTCACTTGAATGCCCAGAGGATATTTTACGTACATATATAAATAATTACAGGAACTTCAAGTCGCGAATTCTGAAATTGGACGAGAAATACTCCTGAAAATAATGTTATTTATGAAAACTTCTGAAAAATATTCTGAAATATGTAAACTATCGTAATTGCCTGTGGTAATGAAAATTACAGTAAAGTTAAAATGTTTAAATGATGACGATTAATTTAATCAGCGAATAAACATGCTGGAAATGCTATTTCAAGATACTTTATACTTCCTCGAACAAATAAGAAATGAATTTACTCTTATGTATAAAGTCAGAGTAAAAAAAGACTCAAAAACACTTTAAATAACATCGTGCGCATCTCAAAATAATTTATTAGGATAAAAATTCTACTTACCTAATTTTAACTAACACGAGCCAAAATTAATAAATGAACTTATCATGCCTGCTTACCAAAAAAAATGAAGGATTTGAACTTTCATCGTCATGCATGATGAATAATATGGCCGTATTTAAGGCCATAACAATGACTGTGGTGCATATGAAGAGTATCCATACACGATACGAGAAGGGGTAAAGCAACCCAAGCCACTCTGGCAGAGGAGGAGGGTTGTGAATGACAAAAGCAAATCCCCCGTGGAAAAAGTATGGAGAAGTTGTGTCGAAGTCGCTGTGAATTTCTTCATTTAAAAGAAACTCGTTGATTATCAAGTGCTTGCCTTTGTACATGAGTTCACCTGGCAATCCGGTCCAAGTTCCATTTTCCTTTGAACCCCAGCGATAATCAGTTGTCTGTTGAACGTTATAGGAGAATCCGTGCTTTTTGGCAATAATTGATAAGAGGTCAAGAGAAAACCCTTGGCATTCAGTTTCACCTGGGATGTTATAAACATATGGTTTGTCATCGCAACTATAAGTTATATCTATTACTCCACCAGTCATATCCAAATGCACTTCACCAAACAATTCTGCTTTGTCTTTGAATTTTTCCGGGGTGTAAATTCCATGCCGTATTTTTTCGACTTCAGAGGCAATTTTACCAGGAATTCTATGCTTCATTCGGTAAACCACGAAATTTTTATTTTCCTCGCCCACAGGCTCAATCAATACAACAGAAAGAGATCGCTGAAGCAAATTGTGAGTTAATATACTTGCTGAAAAATCTTCTGCCTCGACCCCTAGAAGAATGAAGTTGTCTGGGTTCCAAACCATTGACGATGCTTCAGCATCAAAGAAGGACGTAGGGTCACGATGATATAGAAGAAGGACGATCATAGTTGAACCTCGAACATAGTAATTATTGATGTTCATTTGCAAATCGTGAAAGTTGTCCAGTGAAATTACAATGAGCGACTTTACGGAATCAGCGGCCCATTTTGAAATATCAGCCATTTCAACATATTGTTCGATTTCCGTATCATAGAGAATTATTAAATTCTCTCCCATCAATGTTCTTGTAATCAGGTTCTTGAAAATACCTGAATAAGTCGAATGAGTCTCATTTAAATGTAGATTTACTCCGAGTTCACCGTGGGTAAAATACACTCCTAATATTACGAGCCAGACAGAAGTCTCCAGTCGCCGCGCCCTCATCTTGCCTCGTACAGACTGATATTGACTTGTGTTCGCTGGATATGTAAGCGTTTTGTAATACTCTTCGTGCCATTTATCTCCCGCGCTACAAGTTTTATCAAAAGGGAGTACCATTACACTGACGGCCAGAGTTAGATAATTATATAGCTTGAACAAAGAATATTTGTGTAGCAGAGTAAAGAGAATTTATGGCTTATTATTTATATTTATGGCTTGAGTAAAGAGAATGTATGAGGGGTTTCTTTGATATGCCACGCTCAACACTAAACTTTGCAAGATTAATTTGGGTAGGCATTTAAGGACGTGTGGCCAATCATCATCTTATTCCACTTCAAATTACACGACTTATCTAGTACTGTGAGTTCAAGTATCAGATATGCGTCAAGATATGAGATATGCGTGGCTAAATATGACTGTGATGCAGAGCGTAATCAATGTTAAACAATTGAAACGTAATCTACTTCAATTGTTTTTAGCGCATTTTCTCATTTATGGAAAAAAGGCTCTATTGTGCTCGTTATATCCGTCTGTCTGTCTGTCCGTCCGTCCGTCCGTGACTTCACGTTTTCGCCGACGAGAAAATGCGCTCTCTGTCACTCACTGCAGTAAGTACTGAGTTATATTTTTTGGAATTTCCGGCGGATATGAAGAATCATGATTTAACACACTAAACCATTTTAATTTTATTAAAGATTGACCATCAATAAATGAAAAGCCATTACGAATACATGTATTCTAGAACTGGGTGAATTGCGAGTCCAATAAACAAATTCAACGGAACTTTGTTATTTTTTATTCTTTACCAAAGAATTGGCAAGGAACTGAAAAATTCGGATGGTTCACTGAAGAAAACTACGACGAAATTCAGAGAACATTTCCGGATGATAATCGAGGAATGTATTTTTCGATCTTGTAAGCATCCAAGCAATACAGAATTCGAAGAAGCTTTGGATTGAAGCTCTGGTTTGTTGGCCGAAGTATAGTGAACGACGTCAGGAAAGCTGCCATTTAAATCATTAGCAAGTTCAGGATAAATAGAAAATTTTTATATTAAAAAGTTTTCCACATTTATTAGGAATGAACCCATTTAGAGGATATCCATTTGTTCACCGTTTAATGTAAACTTAATTTCGATCAAAATATTGACGCCGAAATTGCTAGAGCGAAGTGAAATCATCAACCAAGTAAATTTCGTTTTCACGTCTATATCGTATTTTTGTGGGTCTTCAACTCAGCCATTACAAATTTAGCGCTAGTGATTGCATTTAATTTAAAAATGTTAAATACAATTTAAAATAAATCAATTAATTTAAAATTTAGCGCTAGCGATTGTATCAGTCTAAAATCACAATTTTTGTACCATTATAGTAAAGAATATAGTAATGAAGCTGTCATAGCACATGGCCGTTCTACCGACGATGAGTTTCAGCGAACTATTCAACAAGTAAATGAAACTCTCCATAATTTAGGACAGAATTAAAAATTAATGAACTACGTCCCAACTTCAGTGAACATTCATTAATACGTAATTGTCGGGCAATGATTTTGGACTTGCGCGCTCTGTTTATGTTTTCATAAGCTCGTGAATACTTCATGCATCGAGTCAATGACGATAATGAAGACAGTTCAATGAATAAATATGTGATGGCAAATAACTGGTCGGATTTATAAGGTGAAAATCATGTGCTCAATGTCGAATAGCGACATTTGTTCCGTTGAAATAACACTTTTCTATAATTTATAGAAATTGGGTATAATTGGTGTGATTAGGCATGAAATGGGTGTTCATACTATAATAATAATATTATTGATAATTGTCGCATAGGTGAGAAATTTTTAACGATTAGTGATTGAGGTTGCAAAAAAGTAACCAGTCATACTCCCTAGTTTATTGCAAAACAGTGCATAATGTAGATGCATTGTTTCGGCCCTTCCAATAAATAAATAAGAAACAAAGCCTTCATTGACTTTAGACATTAGACCAGTGGTTCCCAAACTTTTTCAGGCTGGCGCCCCCTTTGGCTCCCTAGTGAACTTCTAGCGCCCCCCACAGACAAATATAAAAACATACGCCTCTTTCTTGAAATTTAGTACTCTGCAATTTTAATAGATAAATGTTAAACACAAATGTGTATTTCACAAATAGAACCCCATTTAGTGAACCAATATGTTTTTAAGCTGTTTTAACTGTTTCAGCACTAGAAACCTAGGACGTCTCGGGCAAATTCACGGCCGGACTCGTGGCCAGTCGCACGACCAATCTCCAAATTCAATTATCAAGTAATATCTCCCAAACTAACTAACGCAACTCAAGGAAACTTGGAACATATATTCATCAGAACCTAACGTTGATTTTTAGCTCGTAAAAATTTTTAAATTTCACCTTCATTCGTGAGTTATATTGCGATAAATGCCGAAATTCGCAGTGATCAAAGAATTTCTTCCAAACCACTGAACAGATTTGAATGTAATTTTGAATATATATTCCTAACTACCAAGCGTTGATTTTTTTGGCTCTAAAAATTTCCAATTTTACCTTCGTTTGCGAGTTTTTTTTCATTTCACAGTCATTCTTGATTTCACACTTCCTTATATTCGGCCCGTATCGCCGGATAATTTGCCGCTTAAATTCGCGGCGATCAAGAAATTTCTTTTAAACTACTGAACAGATTTCAACGAAACTTTATATAAATACCTAACCTCTCAACGGTGATGTTTAGCTCGCGACAATTATTCTATTTTGTTTTCGTTCGCGAGTTATACAGATATAGGAGGAACGACCGGCTTTTCTACCAGCCGGTTTAACCAAGAGCCGTTTACGTATATCCGTATAACTCGCAAACGAAGGCAAAACGAAAAATTTGTATCAAGCTAAACATCACCGTTACTGAGGTTAGGTATTTAAATACTAAGTTTCGTTCAAATCCATTCAGTAGTTTTGGAGTAATTTCTTGATTACTGCGAATTTAAGCACGTATTGCTGTTTAAATCACGAATGAAGGTGAAATAGAAAAAAACTCGCGAACAAAGGCACAATCAAATAAATTTTCATGAGCTAAACATCAACGTTCGGTAGTTAGGACTGTAAATTCAAAATTTCGTTCGAATCTGCTCAATAGTTTGGAAAAAATTTCTTGATTACCCGGTACTGTGAATTTCGGCCCGTATTGCCATATAACTATGGCAAAAACAAATGAAGGCAAAATTAATAAAAAAAATTCACGAGCTTAACATTACCGTTAGGTTCTAATGAATACGTGTACCAAGTTTCATCAAGTTAAGTTCATTAGTTTGAGAGACATTACTTGAACATTGAATTGGAAATTGGCCGTGAGATTGGCCGCGAGTCCGGCCGTTAATTTGTCCGAGACGTAAACCCAGGAGAGGTTAAAAAAACAGATCTGGGTGAAAAAACCATCGCTGGGAGTCATGATGTGCTGCTCGCCCCTAGGGGGGCGATATCGCCCACTTTGGGAACCACTGCATTAGACCGATGATCGTGAAGATACGACGAATAAAAATGAATAACTAAAAACATAATAATAAATGTAAAAAAGAACTATAATAATAAATAAAATTCAAATACAAAAATTTAAAGAGTGTGTTCGCGTAACCGAATCAGGCTTCAGAGCCTTTCTCCGTGGTGGATCGGGGAACTATGGAGTAGTACGGAGCATTTATATACGAGGTAACAGCAGAGGTGACTTAATAGAACCTAAAAAAGAAATGCCCGCAAACTAATTGGGAATAAGGGAACAAATTGCACGACGTTCCTCATAGTACTTAAGTTTCGAAACAAGTTCGTTCTGAATTATAATCATTTGCGTATATTTTGTTATGTTATTTGTGAAATTTGGTGAATATAATGCCGCATAGACGGTATAGTATTGCATTAGTTCATCCATTGTCATGCCGCACGGCAAGCGCAGTGCAGCTTGTGCATAACAGAAAGGCAATCGAACAACTGCAAGTTTCTTTTAAAAAGTGAATGATTTCTTTTAGAGAAAAGGACTAAAAATTCTGTGATCTTGTTAAGAATAAGCACCTCAGTATAACCTTGTTAAGAATAAGCACCTCAGTATATCATTGTTAATAAAATGCACCCCAGTATAAACCTTTGGAGAATAACTTTGTTAATTTTCCTTTTCAAGATTGGCTCATAACGTATTTCATGAATTTGTTCGATTCTTGAACGAATGTTATTTACCTGCTGTTCCTTATAGTGCTTCAAAGTTGTTTGCTCTTTCGAGTGGAATGAATTCTAGGTTTTTCCAATGATCGAGTATCTATAACATAACTCAATCTGAGATTCGCACAAAAATCTCTCTGAAATAATATCCGGTTGTCTTTCAACTCGAAAATGCGTTTGGACTGAAATGACTGGTCTCAAGAAACTTAAGGGACACACTTTCAAGTCAGATTGACTATCCTCAAACTACCCCAGCTTCTCCAATCTTCATGCCAAGAAGTAGATCGCTCCGTTGACTGCTATATATTTCATAATACACGCGTTAGGATCGCTAAGTCTCTTCGTTGTGCCGGGTAGTGGCTTGGGGTTTTGCAATTTTCAAGGTCTAGACTTGTCAAAGAAGAATAGTGCTTCTGATGTTCATAGATGTTTTGTAAACTGTGTGTGTTCAGTGCTATACCATTACAAGTTATTCAACAGTGTTGTAAGGGATTGCAATAGGAATCTTGAAATTTATCGTTTAGCGTTTTGATTCACCTTTGATGACGTGACCTCGTTTAGATGCGCTTTGTATTTCGTCATTGTATGGGAATCCCACCACAGAGGTGCGTGTAGGTACTAAGTATTGTCTAGTTATTCTTGTGATTATCATGTATACATATATCCAGTGGTTTATATATAGGTGACTATGAATATCATTACTTGTATTAATATGTTACTTATTTTCGCCATGTATGCATTATATTCTGAATCGTTAGTGTCTGTAATTTGTTTATTTATGCATTTGCAGAAAGGCTCCGAAACCTGAGGCCGGAGTTAGAAGTGCTAAGGAAATTCGCGGTTTATTTATTTGTATTCTCGTATCCGTCATTTGTTTATTATTATAGTTATCTATTAAAAGTTTGGGGAAACCGGAATTTGTTTGCTTATTTATTGAATCGACCCCAACAGTGTGATTAACAAAACAAATGTATTTCATTAATTACGGTAACGTGGGTAAAATTTTTGTGTTACTTTCGTAATTAATATAAGCAGGTCTTTCCAGTCACATGACGTACATGACTCGGGAACCATAAGAAGAAGTTTATTTTTAGTCTATCTACTCTGAAAGTTCGATGAAATCACTTCAATCTCTAAAAACTCTTCACTATGAAACCATGAATTTTGTCGATCATGTATCGACCAGACGCAATTTTCATTAGGAATTCAAAGATAACATGCAAACCTTGCGTTAAAAATAATTTTTCATTTTAACTCACATATGTATGCCACGACTTGGTTCGATCACAGCCCGTTCAATGCCACTATACGTACAGCTAGCTGCTAATGCATCAATTTGAGTGTAATTTTCTTGGAATGTTCCATCAGGGTAAAGTAACAGTGACCATCACTGAGACGTGTAATGTGAGGTACTTTTAACCTCGATGTCCCGTTGCCAAGAGCTTCCATTCCAGGTGGGAATGAGGTTGGAATCTTGGAAACATATTTTGCAGTCGTACAGCATTCAATTGCCAGTGCGTCCGTTTCAACGGCCAGCGGAGCACGAATCATTTGCTACAGTGATAACCAAAATTAATAGCACAAATTAGGAGTTTTTGATAGTTTCTTTCCCGCTGTATCACAGTTGTGAGAGAATTATTTGATATTTTCCAAAACTACTAAGGATCGGCTCCGCATCTTTTGCACTATCGATGATTTGCGATTTCACTCCTGCATAAAACTAACGTTCATCGATGCACTAGCATCTTTACTTGTTCGTAGTAACATTGTTTTATTTCACATGAGATGATCATGTGCCAAGATTGCAAAAATATAGGCGATGATATTTTTTTAGAATTAAATAGAACCCGCTATAAGTAAAACGCCTTTCGGTTTTATGAGTTCTCCAAGCTAAAGAGTTGTTGATGAAGCGCCATTTCATCAATGCGTTATAATTTTGAAGCAAAGAATTTTTCCTAGTTCATGCACTGGTTTCCGTGAAAATAGCTCAAGTTAAATTAAATATTTCACGGAATAATAATATTATTTTAGTCAGATTACGATAAATTTCATTACGGGTCTCACTTTTCGTCTGTTCATACCTGAAAACATTTATAATTTCAGTAGAACGAAATAATGACGGCCGGAGTTAGCGGGACGTTCACTTTGGTCCAGCGGCTACTTTACGCGCTGTGGACCATCGACGCCCAGGGTGCAGGGACCCCGGCAGCCTGCGCCGCGCGCTGCGTCGTCAGTGACGTCTGCGGTGGGTTCGTCTGGGCCTCTTCAGTGGTGAGTTAGAAAATTTTTTTGAAGACTTAGAAAATTTTTTGAAGACGAAGCAAACATTGAAATATGACAGACTTCCGGGAATATCAGTGCCCGAAGCATGTAGTGCTATGTGACCGCGATTGTCAGCGCAATGTCAGCCGTAAGTTCAAACGATGCGACGCAAGCGCAGGTAAAAAGGTTCTACATTTCTGAAGACGAATCACGTATTGTTATTTAACCGCAACTGTCAGCGCAACGTCAGCCGTAAGTTCAAACGATACGGCGCAAGCGCAGGTAAAAAAGTTTTACATTTCTGAAGACGGAGCACGTTTTGCTACTTAACCGCGACTGTCAGTGCAACGTCAGCAGTGAGTTTGAACGATCCGACGCAAATGCAAGTAAAAAGTTCTACATTTTTTGCGGACGAAGCACGTTTTGCTATGTGACCATGATTGTCAGCGCAACGTATCCTAGCTTGAACCAAACCCCAGGATGCTCTGTGCATCATAGAACATATGGAAATAATTATGTTTTCTAATTGTCTAAGCCGTAAGTTCAAACGATACGAAGCAAGCGCAAATAGTAAGTTTCTACATTTTTTGAGATGAAGCTACCATTGCAATATGACTGACTTTTGCGACTATCAGATCTTTGTTTGTGGTCAATTTTACCGATATGTTCTCTATTCTTATGTTGAATTAAACGGTTCATATAATTATAGAGATTCGTCACCCATTTAAATTATTATAGAGATGAGCCGAGAGGTTCGAATTTTGCGATTGTCGAAGCATCTTCAGTAGTATAGGGCTTGAATGAAAAATAAAATATAAGCATGATTATTAATTCATTTTATGTGCGACATTCATTAGAGGCTTCAAATGTAACTTTTATTTGAGGAGCATCTAATTAACTACTATGAAGAAACATTCTAAAGCTATAAGTTAATATGGAACAAAATATATTTTGCTTACATCTTAGAGACAATTTTGATCATTAATTTAATCCTTTCACATGATAACTCTTATTGCTTCCCTGCAAATATCAGTATTGAAAATGTAAATCGAGAAACCGGCTTGCTTAACATTCTCACCGTTTCAAGTCCTAAATCAACTGTCGGAAGTGACCTAATTGAATTGAACCTTCAATTGAACCTAATTAAATTATGAAGAAGAAAAGGTGTCGTAAACTCGGAAGATAGAAGTCGCATTTATAAAAGAATTTTCAGTATGTCCTCATGACTTGTAAACTTTCCTACTGGGAAAAAAATAAACTTTGACGATGGAAAATAACTTACACGAAGGAACCGGCAAATCTTCCTATAAAACAAAGCTGGCAGATTGTCTCAATACAATGCTCAATTTTGTGAGTTGTTTAAGATATTGTTCTCCTTTTTCTTCTTTTTAATTTTTGGTAGAAGCCAGAATTTTAATAATACCTTTTTAAAATATAAATTAAAATCTTAATTCAGAGACAATTTATGAAATAATATTACGTTTTACCCCCCCATTTCAACAGTTCGTTCGTTTTTCCATCGTCGGGCCAATTAATGACCGATAGCGAAAAGAAAAATTGTGGTAAAATCCATAGCAGGCAATAACTCCTTAATTAAATTTTCGTGAGGTATACAATGTACAGTTCTGGTTAATTATATTTTATTTTAGATATGTTTATTAAAGGCAAGCATTTCTACCCGCAGCCGCCGTGCCGCCTGGTGGTCTCTTCGTCCATTGCCGGCGCTGTTGCTACCAAAACAGCGGCAGCCTACCGACGCGTTCGTTTCAGGGATGACTTGCACATTTTTGAGTTACCGCCGTCTCTCATGCCCGCTGTGTGAGTAACTAATGAGTGACACCACCGCTCTGTGAGTAAAATAGCGGCTAGTGAGTGAGACCCTTGTTATATGAGTAACACCACCGCTCAGTGATTAAAATAACGACTAGTGAGTGAGACCCTTACGTATGAGTAGCACCAGCGCTCTGTGAGTAAAATAACGGCTAGTGAGTGAGACCCTTGTTATATGAGTAGCCTCACCGCTCTGTGAGTAAAATAACATCTAGTGAGTGAGAGCCATGTCATATGAGTAACACCACCGCTCAGTGAGTAAAATAACGGCTAGTCAGTGAGAGCCATGCCATATGAGTAACACCACCGCTCTGTGAGTAAAATAACGGCTAGTGAGTGAGACCCTTGTCAAATGAGTAGCACCAGCGTTCAGTGAGTAAAAGCAGCGTCCATTGGCTAGAACCACTTACGTGTGCGTAAAAAATAACCGTAAGTGAGTCACACCTTTGTCAAATGAGTGACATCACCACCATGTGAGTAACATTACTGCTAATGGAGTAACAGCCTGCCGTTGCTCTTCTGGGGCCTTTAATTGTGGTTTACCGTTGAAAAGTTGGCCCTATATAGTTCCAGAAAAGCGCGCACCTATCAATTATGAATTAATCTCAGCACCATAGTTTTAACGGTCATACCCTGCTGGAGAAACCTCTAAAATCTATGTAGTTATCGCTTATGTACACACGATAGACTTATATCGTCGATAATGATACATAGCTTTTAAATGATATTATATGCTATACACCTTCGCAATCATGATCTATCTGTTGAATATCAATTAGATATTCAGCCCACATGTTAATTTCTCTAGGTGGACCTATAGATTTATACTTTACTTGTATAAGATTATACTTGTATAGCCTTTAAGCCATTCGCTTATGTGGCGAATGTATTTCGGACCTCGTAAAAGCGGGCGTTAACATAATGTCTTGCTGAGGCGTACCAAAGCGCGATGACGCCTGAAACTTAGAGTGTCACGCGATGGCGTGATACTCTATTGAACTGCATCCAAACTTCTTTCACATTCGGTTAGAGCTCAGAGAATATTCGTTGATTTCAACACATTTTAAATTATTACAAGAAATTCTAATTTTTCATTACATTCGAGAAATTTTTTTATCTATATTAAAATTATTCCATATCGTTATGCAGTTTAGATAAAGTTTTATCGAAGCCTGAAATTAAGTGTGAAAATAGAAAAAAAAACATACCTAAAATTTATTTTATCTTAGCTTTAAACGCTTTGAAGACCTTCTCCTCTATTGCAAAAATAATAAAAGCATAATTAGTAGAAATAAAAATTTATACGGAAGTGATTAAAAACTTAAATAATTAGACGATCGACACGAGGTGAATCCTATCAATTAATATCTTTAAGCGGATAAAAACTGTAAACTTTGTTAAGGTATGAATTTCGTTTAGAAATATGCCCTAAATCTAAGGCACCTACGGTTTTAGCTAAAATTTTGAAATTGTTCTTGGACAACGGTACGTACGACGAAATTAATGTTCGGCATGAAGACGCACTAAAAAATGAGGCGGTATTTGACATTCACGATAGAAAATAAATTAATGGGTGAGAGGACTAAGTGAAGCAGAATATTATTGAGGTAGTATATTAATAATTGTGTACGGCACATTAGTTGAAGGGTGTATGGTTTAGGGTGGGGGCACTTGGGTATAAAAAATGTACGATACGTCACGTTGGAGAAAGAGTACAGTAGCTTTCATGATTATTGTGTGATATTTAAGTAATGATTTTTTACTTTACATGACAGTGGTGTTCGTCAGTCGTGTTTGAAGTTGGGCATGGACCTTCCGCCTCACACAATCTCGCCCGCTGTGAGTTTGACTTATTTCAAGTTTCAATTTAGAAAACATTTATTATTATTAATATTAATAAAAATATTAATAACTCTTTCATTCCTTACAAGTTCTACTAGTGATCTTGTAAGCGAAGGAACTTCGAAAGTATTTCCAAAGTAGTTAGTTCATTTATCATCATTTAACTAAAGTTGTCTAGTCACCAGTTTTTACAACATTTTTATGGTTACTGTTTTATTGAGTTACGATGCATTAACTATCTCCGAGCCTTGGACAAAAATCTTGTTTGCATTTCGTGATATGTTTACTAGCTTAGCAAATTTAGCATAGGGATTAACGTAAATTTAACAAACTGATAAGCGAAATTAGCTTGATCAGAATTATTTAAAATGTAAATAAACATATTCCAGGAAGAGGCCATCCTTACCATAAGGTCCGGCTCGTTCATCTTCGTGGACATGGTGGTGAAGGCGAACGGGACTGCCGCTACTCTGAGTACCGGAGTTGACGTACCGAATACCGGTATTCCATGGGCGCCAAACTACCCGCTCATGACGGGTAAAGAAAGATGCGTGATGATCGGCGGGATAAAAACGACATTATTCTACGACTCGGGCTGCAATATTGCTCAAAATTTGACGCAAATTTGTGTACGACAAGGATAACAAGCCGCACGGTCCCCCACGTACGCACAACGTAAAGTATCAGTCTCAGAAAATTGAGAAACCCCCGTTGTGAATTCGCAAGGACTCCGCCTTAAGAGTCACAACAGTTCAAGTAATAGTTCAACAGTTCAAGTCATAGTGCAACAGTTCAAGTCATAGTTTAACAGTTCAAGTCAGAGTTTAACAGTTCAAGTCATAGTTCAACAGTTCAAGTCATAGTTCAACAGTTCAAGTCATAGTTCAACAGTTCAAGTCACAAGGACTTAACATCATCCAAAATAACAGTGAGAAATAAAGTTTAAAAAATGGACGTGAAATAAATAAAATCTTCTAATTTGTTATCAAGCAAATTCAAAAATAAGTGTACTTGGTCTTGACTGAGCATTGTGACTGAATAGGATTTAATTATTTTTTACCACAATTGAAATTTTGAACGCGGTCTCGCTATTTCTGAGACTTGAAAATGAATATTATTCTGTTTGGATCAAAATCAATTTTAACTATGATGAGGCAGGCAGCCTGTAAAATTTATTAGCCTGAGATGCTTATGCAGAAAGGGCACAAATATGTTGGCTATACATCACACGTCTTGGAGGCACAATGTAAATGATATGTGTGCATGAATAACATATATCGAGTACTCCTCATATCTTTCAAGTTTATAAAGCTCATGATATGGAGAAAACATACACGTTACTGGTATTATGTATTTAACATGCCATGAGCAGTTGAGCACTCTGCACCACGTCAAAGTACAATTAGCAGGTTCTGCTACTTATATAAACACTTCAAGTTGCAACAGGCAACAGTTAACCCAAACCTAGGACAAATCACAAATGAGGGTTACCTTCGTGTATCACAACCCAACTTCTGATGGTCATCGAAAAAATTATTTTGTATTTAAGCCCTCCACGTTAGTGATAGTAATATCTAATTTAATTGATCCCTGAACCATCGGCTGGTTCATGGCACATCAAAAAATAAACACAATTTACACCTCTCTCTACCGAGAGGTGTAAATTCCACGTAATCTACATCACATTGACGGGCTACGTCAACAGTCAACACGACAGGCTGGTGACGACGGGGCTGCACTATAACAAATCGCTGCGTACCAACAACGCAGTATATTGTTGCATAAAATTAAATATTTATTGGTGTATAAAATATAATATTTATTTAAATTCCTACAATGCTCATCACAATTAACACAGCTCTCTGAATCTCTGAACATGTCCCATCATGTTGATATTTACCCGGGCTTAATTATGCATGTTTTATTGCAACAATTACACTATATTAGCATTTTATTACAAGTCGCGGCATTATTTATATATAGACAAACTATTTACGACCCTATATTTCAACTTTTCTTAATCCTTTTCTTTAATTAAGAACCATTTGACCATAGCAGGATTCTAACCAGAGATCGCTTCAGGTCGCTCGTCGCCTTATTTAACTTGAACACGGTAGCACGCATGCATTGGAAATTAAAATAAGCTATTCAACCTGACTTTCTACATCACGACTTAATGAATACACACTTATGTGCCTATATTTTCTAGATATCATTTATTTCTACTATTCTTCAGAGAAGAAACAATTCAATTTATGGAAAATTTAAAATCACAATCATCTACCATCCGCCACTTGCCGGTGGCGTGCTATCGCAGGGTTGCATAACTGGTTGAATGAAAAACTGATCGACGTTGTACGAGGTGTTGGTGTTCAAGCATTATTCGCAATACCAATTTATGCTTGACTTTAGTTGGTATTATAGTAGAATTGTTATGCAATTTATTTTGCAAAAAGCACGTCTATGCAACTTATTTTGCAAAAAGCACGTCTATCATAAGCCCCAGGTTAATCTCTTGGCACACTTTATACATACATTATTAGATATACATACATTATTTATACATACAAACATCAACAACTGTTGATGACAAAACCGCCGACTTCAAAACCGCCTCTGTATTCGCAGTAAAACAAACACTAACGATGTACGTGCGTTTAATCACTATTGCATGATATCTTCATGCTTGTGATGTTATCACCATTATAACGGTGATATTTCGGTCAGAGACAATTTATGTTATTATATGTGTAAAATTAAAACTTTTTGGCAAATTCAACATTTTATGTTTATGTTCATATCTGGTTGATATATGCATTAAGCAGCAGAAGAGTTGGAATTGTTTTTCATCTCAAAAACATTAATTTGTTCTAAAGAGTTTCGCATTTCCGTGTGTATTTGGAGCAATATTGAAAGATTAAAATTTTTTGATAACTAGTTTTATTTCATGGAAAATTCTGTTACGTTGATATGTGCCGTATTTATTAATTGATTGGTTTACGTTAATCGATAGGAATTATTATTCCTCATCCCGTTTATTCTGGGTTAAAATGTTTTTATTATATTTTTTAATTGGTTTCTTCCTCTGTTGAATGTAGGGTAACGTGGGGCAGCGCGCCCCCCACTTTTTTTAAACTAAATTTTTGACGAAGTTTTAATTGATACGAGGTGGTTCTTTGTTTTGTTTAAAGGTGCAACTAATGAGGAATGTATGATGTGAATTAGACGCCTATAGAGTTATAAAAAATAATTCAAAGTAATTTCAAAATCTTCATCTATAGTAATGGAAAAAATCTTTATTTAGCGGCAAAAAAATTTTTATCTGGACTAAAACAGTTATTCGCAAATAACTTAATAACGCAAACACTTAGCAAAACGTAAATCCGTACACTTCATCCCAGTGAAACTGTCGACCGGCGGTAGAGAACACGGACCAATATCTGCCATACTTAGCGAGAAACCCGCTATGGGCCCGTGACCCGCAGTGGGCTCGCTGCCCCATGTTACCCTACTTGTATTCCTTGAAAATTTTTTGAATTGGTAATGAAACTGGTTTCCGAAAGGTCTTCAATGAAGATATAGCAAGTCGCCCATCGTAAAATTCAAACGCTCATGCCTCCGAGTCTTCTCTTATGCATAGCATTTTATCGTGATAAACAAGGATTGCTTGAGGAGTTTATCGAACAAAAATTTGAGACGAAACTAGTCTACCATTGATTTTTAACTGGTAAACACAAGGTCTAAAACATTTGGAGTTGGTTCACTTCTATAAAAGGTTGGCTTAAATGCTTGCCAGACTATATGGAATATCATCACATAGGGTTTACATTTAACAGAGATAATTAATCTATTCAGTCTTTACGTGAATGCTTAAATTCATAAAAAATTAAAGTAAGCGACCGGTTTTAAGTCAGGCTCCGTGGAAGGCTGTTTAATTTTTTTTAATTTGTCGAGACAAAAAAAGTCACAGGATGCCTAAAGAAAGTCTCATCCTTTTGCGATCTGCTCGACATTTCGGAATTATACTTAGAGTAGAAAAATATTTTGTTACAAAAGAAAATGAAATCTCTGAACGAAACTTTTGCGGAAAATATGTAACATTATATTTTTTAAAGCAAAGAAAACGTGTGGGTGGTAATTTCACCCTATCTTTAGATATTTGAACGTGTCGCGTACCACAATAATTATTGCACGGTAATCTTCTACTGAAAACATTGGCGAGAATTTATACACGCTATCATACTCATTACTTAAACTCATAAGCGTAAGTCATTATGACGCCACGCTAAGTCTATTCTGGACTGGCAGTTCATAAAATAATGAGTTCACCAAGTTTTGCTTTCTTGCATAGAAATTTTCAATCAAACGTAAAGTGGATAACCATTATAACCTTCACGTTTAGTAAGTAATTCCATGCTCTTCTTTCAAATTCAATCTTGGTGCAGGCTAGAAATTCAAAAACATTTTTCTTACATCCAGAACAAAGATTAAGTCTCCTGGAGTTTCCCAAGAAAATTTCCGTCCAATAATCTAAATAATAATATCGATCCTGGCTGCGATTAAAACACATTTTGCTCTCACTCGTCGCGAGGAATCGGAAAAAACGGGCTGTGAATTTTTGTCGTAAAAAGCTCTTGGGTAGAATACCTTGTATAACAACTAAAAAATGAATCGCCATGGTATAAACTGCGAGAATAATTTGAAAAAAAAAATTCCGTAACCAGCCTTACGTTAGATAAGCATCTTGCATATGATGACCGAAAAAACTAATGATGCATATCTGACTGCAGTATAAACCTCGTTGTCGGACACCCTGTCCAAGATGTCCCTTAGATCTTTCACATTACGAAAGACGAAACGTCTTCCATTGAGGCCGATTTCAAAGATGTGTAGGGTAATAACGCTCAATTTGATACAAGAGAATTCAACACAGAAGCTGTTCATTTTGTGAAGATTTAATAATTTTCAAACGTACAATTCGCTAAAATATTGGAAGGAGAATAGCATCGAGGTAAAGCGAGTACATCCAACAAATTTATTGAGCAGCACTAATGCTGCATATGAAGAGCGTAGTTACTTATATTGAAGAATAAAACCAAACCTACAGAAACTAAAACATTGTACATTATAAAAGAGTTTTTAATATTGTACAGATTTCGATGAACACCTGGATCGAAACATTTCATTGAGGAACAATTAGTTCTAATGTGCTAGGAAAATATTAATATATCCTATACAACCCATTATTCGACCAGACGGGGTTAAACTGGTCAATAGGGACAAGGTTAGGGTCATGACGAGACGGAACAGCGGAGAACCTCTGATCTCCCGAGTACCATACATCGTGTCTTCTTTGTTGGTTATGATCGAAAGCCGTATTTGGATGCACGTTTGGTTCGGCGTTATAGTAAAACCCGCCCGAGTTCTGATAAGTTTGAGGAATTTGATTGGGTTGTTGGTAAGCCGCATCATATCTAAGAAGCTTGCGCTGTTGGAAACCATGTCTTTCAGATGAAAACATTTCTGATGCTTCACTGTTACTCTGCAACTGCTCCTGCATGTGTGACGGCCAAGTTTGATGCGTTGGAGCTGTGTTGACGAGGAAACTTGACTGAGGATCTATTCGTTCAAATGTTGGTGCATTCTGAGCAGGGGGTGATTCTTGCTCCTGGGAGTCTGACATAAAGGAGAATTCCTGTGATATCGAAGAAATTTGTTGTTCTTGATCTAAATGAAACGATTTAGGCATATGGTGCTCATTGGGGTCAGGGTGAAAGGTCAGTGGCAGCGAGTTCAGTTGGTTGATGGACGGAGCGTTTTGATTGGACGCGTCGCCAGCGTCTAGTTTATGTTTCGCTTCGTTCGCCTCTAGAGCTCTCACCAGCCTGACGGAAGGTAACTCGTAACCCTTGGTGCCATGGGGTTTGTTATCAGCGCTTGGCGGACTGCTTGGTTGAGGAGTCTGGATGAATGATGAAGACGATGCCCTGCTTTCCTGATTTGGGTTGACCGCTGCTTCAGCCTGGGATGCCCTTGCTCCATTCGCTTCTCTCGAACCATCGACGAGGTATTGAGAGACATCTGCCTCATTTTTGTCGTCCAAAGATTGTAAGTTCGATTCTTGGCGATCTTCTTGATTTTCTTCCGATCTTTCATCAATGAAGTTGCTTGAGACAGGCTCCGAGGTCAAGAAACTGCCTGTTCTCACGTGTTTAGGATATACCTGACGGGGGGAAAGAAGCGAAATTTTAAGAGGCGCTAAATGAATGAAGCATTGATTATGTTGCATCAATGAATTGAGTCTGGCAAGGGAAAAATGCAGCATTCAGCACGTTTATTCGTTTGACTGCACACTTTTACCAAAATACTTTATGTTATGGAATCGGCTTTATTTTTTAAACATATTCGCAATCATATGAAAATTCATATTCTATGGATTATTATCAACAGTCGGAAAATTTTATAATGATAGTCTTCCTTGCGGCTTGTTCTAATTCAAGAATTATATTTAATGACTAGAAGCTTGTTAATTTATGACGTTAGTTCATGGATACGCACGGGATAAAATCTATTCAGGACATCTGGAATTGAGCGAACATATTTTATGCGCCCTTAGGACCATTATCATCGAATTCGGTCTAAATTCCACTTTATGCAAGAGTCTCCGAACAATATACTCGCACAAACCAACGTTCACCTCCTTGAAGCATCGTCACCTACTCGGTAGAATATGGTGAAATATTTACCCTACGATATTAAAAAAAGTAGCTTTAGCTAGGTACAAGTCGCCTTAGCCAGGTACATGTAGCTTTAGCTAGGTAAAAGTAGCTTTAGCTAGGTAAAAGTGGCTTTAACTAGGTAAAAGTGGCTTTAGCTAGGTAAAAACGGCTTTAGCTAGGTAAAAGTAACTTTAGCTAGGCAAAAGTAGCTTTACCTAGGTAAAAGTAGTTTTAGCTATGTAAAAGTAGCTTGAGCTGGGTTCAAGAAGTTTCAGCTAGGTAAAAGTATCTTTAGCTAGGTAAAAGTAGCTTTAGCTAGGCAAAAGTAGCTTTAGTTAGGTACATGTAGCTTTAGCTAGGTACATGTAGCTTTAGCTAGGTACAAGTAGCTTAAGCTAGGCAAAAAAGCTTTAGCTAGGTACATGTAGCTTTAGCTAGGTACATGTAGCTTTAGCTAGGTACAAGTAGCTTTAGCTAGGTAAAAGTAGCTTTAGCTAGGTACATGCAGCTTTAGCTAGGTACATGCAGCTTTAGCTAGGTACAAGTAGCTTTAGTTGCGTACAAGTAGCTTTAGTTGCCTACAAGTAGCTTTAGTTGCGTACAAGTAGCTTTACTTGCGTACAAGTAGCTTTACTTGCGTACAAGTAGCTTTAGTTGCGTACAAGTAGCTTTAGTTGCGTACAAGTAGCTTTAGCTAGGTACAAGTAGCTCTAGCTAGGTAGAAGTAGCTTTAGCTAGGTAGAAGTGGCTTTAGCTAGAAACAAGTAGCTTAAGCTTTGTCAAATGGTGTTAGGTACAATTGGGTTAGCCAAGCATTAGGAGCGTAGGCCAGAAACAATTTTAATGTACCGGCATATTATGTAATGCAATAACGGAACTTACTTTATCGTCCTCTGCTTGGTCACCCGCGAAATTGGGGTGTTTGTTTTCACTTGAATTTTCAGACGACGAAAAAACTGGTGCAATGTTGGTTTTCGGCATAACATTTGTGCTTTCAAACTGATGAGCAGATTTCTGAATTTCCGAATTGAATTTACTTTCCGAAAACTTAGCATCCGTTGAGTCAGAAGAAGTAGCAGTAACATCACTGAAACTTCTATTTATCTTGGAATTGAGTTGCTGGTGTGGATATGGTTGTCTGAAATTTGGTAATGTAATCGGTTCTTGCGGTTGATGCTCATTTTCTCTAGGAGTTACAAAGGAGCGCAGTGGCGAAACCTCCAGAACTTTTTTCGGGGAAGTTTGCGTATCATAATGCGGCGTTACTTGGTGGTGGCTTCCAGTGGTAGTTTGAGTTTCGAGTTCCGCAAACTTTGTTTGATCTTGAGAGAGTTGTTGAGCAGACTGAGTTCTTGAAAAAATTTCCTGAACTTTTCCTTCCCTTCTCACTTGTGAACCCCACTGTTGCTGCTGATGTAATTCATTGTTCCGGTAGAAAAGTGGCATGTGAGTTTCAGGCGGAAGCTGAACCGGGGCCTCTTGTTGCACTTGGGCTGCGGGCTGCTGATGCATTTGAACCGGTGTTAGTTGTTGCATCTGTTGCGGTGATTGCTGATGCAACTGAACCTGTGATTGTTGATGCGCTTGAGCTGATACCTGTGGATGCATCTGAAACGACAGTTCTTGTGGATGCATTAGAACCGATGCCTGTTGATCTACTTGAAGTGATCCCTGTGGATGCATCTGAACCTGTGCCTGTGGATGCATCTGAACAGGCGTCTGTTGGTCCATTTGAACCGGTGCCTGTGGATGCATCTGATCCGGTGACTGTGGATGCATCTGAACCGGTGCCTGTGGATGCATCTGATCCGGTGACTGTGGATGCATCTGAAGCGGTGCCTGTGGATGCATCTGATCCGGTGCTTGTGGATGCATCTGAACCGGAGTCTGTGGATGCATCTGAACCGGAGTATGTGGATGCATCTGAACCGGAGCCTGTGGATGCATCTGAACCGGGGCCTGTGGATACATTTGAATCGGTGTCTGCGAATTCATTTGAACTGGTACCTGTGGATGCAACTGAACCGGGGCCTGTGGATGCATTATAAGTGGTGCATGTGGATGCATCTGAACCGGTGCAAGTGGATGCATCTGAACCGGTGCCTGCGGATGCATCTGAATCGGTGCCTGCGGATGCATCTGAACCGGTGCCTGCGGATGCATCTGAACCGGTGATTGCGGTTGCATCTGAACCGGTGCCTGCGGATGCATCTGAACCGGTGCCTGCGGATGCATCTGAACCGGTGACTGTTGAGGTATCTGAACCGGTGACTGTTGAGGCATCTGAACCGGTGATTCTTGAGGCATCGAAGCGGGTTCTCGTTGGTGGACCTGTTCCGGTGATTGTTGATACGTCTGAACATGTTCTTGTTGATACACTTGATCCGGTGTTTGCTGATGAAACGGTTGTTGAAGCTGACGTTGTATCAGCACTGGTGCCTGGAATTGGTGTTGCAGTATCTGTTGTTGATGTTGTACTGAACTGTGATGCTCTCTTGGTTCTTGGTTTTGGTTCATAAATAGGGTTTTTTGGTTGGTTTCCGGCATCAGAGCCTGATTTCGATTTGGTAAATTTATTGACAGTTCTCCTTTCATCACCTGGGTTTGGTGCTCATTTCTTAGGGCCTGCTTATGTCCATGGTCTTGGTAGGTGTTGGTGGTTATGTCCAGATTTGATGGCAGGTTACCAGTTGGTTGGGAGGAGTGCATGTCTCCCAATTTCGATCCAATATAAGGCGGCAATTCAAAATTTTTTGGACTGACAGAAGATTGGTTCCCATGGAGGGATGGAGGATCGTTCATCATCATTTTAACCGGAATTCTAGTAGGCTGGACGATTCTAGCATAGAGGTATGTACCCCGACGGCTTCTCCTCAAACGTTCTCTACGAGATTTCATTAATGATTTTGATTTGGTCGGCGTTCTGAGCTGCGTGTCGCTGATGGGTTTAGCTACATTGGATCGAGTCTGTTCAACAGTTGCTTCGTTCGTTCCCAATGAACCTTGAGTAATTCCAAGACCAGGAGAAGTCATCATTTCGTCCGCGCGCTCTCGTTCCACATTGACAAGCTTTTCAGTGGCATCTTGCGTTTGCTGAGCCCCAGCCATGCTTGTCATATCAAGAGTCTCTACCGTAGTATTGGCCGCAGAATTTTGGGTCACGTCACGGCTTTTTTGCAGACGATAGTCACTAATGTTGTCTAGAGTATCGGGATCGCTTGTATTATTCTTGTCACTTATGCTACTTTTTGTATCGATTTTGGTGACATTTTGATGTGCAACTTTCATTGCTTTGTATTGTTTTAAAGTGACGTTTGTAGAAGGCGGATAGCCATTAACTCGTTTTCCGACGTAGGGAACACTCTTTGTTGCGTTGTTGATCTGCGGTTGGTCAATGTTTGCTTTACCTTGCTTTGGGTGGTCGGCATTCTGGTCTGAGATAAATAATTAGATTAGTTCGATATGAAATGCTTAATTTCCGCCAATTATACGTTTAAAACAAATCAAGATGTATATCAAGCGCTCAATTCCTGGATTAAATTGCGGAAATACTTGCAATAATTTAATTCGATTTTTACTTCAACAAATTCACTTATTTTAGATTTAGGATAACCGTAGCAGCTGGCAACTCCCTTGATATTACACAAATGAGAATTGAACTATTTGTAAAAATACTTTTCGTCTCCCTCCCAGACTTCGCATTGAAAATTGACCAACGGAACTACTTGAAGATTCGTGATTAATTAAAAAAATTTAACAGCAGTTGCAGGCAAAGCAAATGCTAGCCTCATCAGCGCACACAACGCAAATTCTACAAGGTTCTCTAGAATTTTAAAGCAAATATAAGTGCCCAGAAATTCGCTATATCTTTATAGATATAGAAAATTTTCTATAAAGGGATGTTGAATTTTCATTGATTTTTAATTTCCAGTGAATTTGCGATTCGAGCAATAGATTGACATTAATACTGATAACATCCTCTGCGATTCAATCAATCAATTTACATTAGAAACTTATAACATTCTCTCACCAAATGGTGAGAGAATGCTCAAGTTAAACGGGAACATTCAACAAGTTGAATATTGTTCAAGTTTAACTTGAAAAACAACTTTATATCGCATTTCAATATCAATTAGACTCACCAACTGGCCGTTTCTGAAGAATTAGCATCATGAAAGCAAGGAATAACCCGATAGCTAGCAGGGAGAAGACTATGAAGGCGACACTAGACAGCAGGGCGGAGCGTCGCAAGCTACTTAACCACGCTTTTCTCTTCGTCTGACGTCGGCCAAAGGATATTGGCGTAAACGACAACGGCATCTGCCAAAACAAATTTGATGTAATATCACAGAAAAAACTTGTATTTAAACAGTGAATAAAACGCAGTACTAAACAAAGACATCGAGACAACGGCAACTGCCTACCCAAATTGGACGTCAGCCCATAGAGGGCACTTTGATTTAAACAACGAAGACAACTTTACTAAGCACCTATATTACTAGTGTTTTCATTTATGATCCAAGTTTAGACTTTCATATTTGAAAATCATTATTCAAATATTTATAAAGGCTTGAAATTAAATGAATTGAGTATGCGTCATCTATACACACGTAAACTATATCCACGTTATACATTGACACGTTTCATATACACAAACGTGTCATCGTGACTCACCTGCCAGTCATCGCGCTCTGAACCAGGGCTAGTGCAGCGCAAACGTCGTCGCACGGGACTGTCGTCGTGGTAAGAGTAGTAGTCCATGCTATACCTACGGGGACTCCCAAACGGCCTGTCAGGATATCATTATGTAACAATCAGAGCATATCTTCATCAATGTGTTGGTTGCAATATGTCGAGGTATGTACTGGATTTGATGGAAACGAAGTGAAAACTATATTCGCTTGCCAGAACATATCTTCATCAATGTGTTGATTGCAGTATGTCAACGTATGTACTGGATTTGATGGTAAAGAAGTGACAACTATATTTGTTGCCAGAGCATATCTTCATCAATGTGTGTTGGTTGCAATATGTCGAGGTATCTCCATGTACTGGATTTGATGGAAACTAAGTGAAAACTATATATTTTGTCGCACCATCATTAATCAAATTGTAGTTGCCCTCCATATAAAATGAAGTGCTCGTTTACTACGCTGCATATTATATGACGTATAAGCTCATTGACATGGTTTAGAGCAAAGATGTCACTTTCCGTTCAAGACAGGAGCCTGTGTTCAGCTAAACTTCTTCTGAATAAGTATTCGGAGCTAAAAGCTTTCTTTGATTAATTAAATTTACAAATCAATTTCTCGTATCTTTCCAGAAATTATTGTTATGTCAAGGAATGCTATCCATGAACATAATTTAATTCAAAATTAATATTTTAAAATATTAATTATAAAATTTAAATTTAATCAAATAATCCTATTTATATAATTTAGACAAATTTAAATAATCCTATTTTGTATTAAATTTATTTATTCTGACTGATTATTGGGTTTAATTAAATAAATCTAACTTGGAAGTTCGAATCGGAGATGTGATGGAATTGCTTCGGCATCGATGCAAGTCTGCAGTGATCTGCTCGGGAGAGAAAATAGAAGGGACGCACATTAATAAGCGGCAAGTGACCGTACTATCATAAATAATTGAGTTCGCAACTCCCACAGCCAATCTCTGACGGCTTCTTATGCTAAACCCACCAATCATAGACGAGAAATCGGCCGCTACATGTATTCAACCCTCTACCGCCTGGCACAAGTAACCGGAGCAATATTGTCACAAGCCTACTTCCCCAAAAAGGATACGTTCTAGTGAGCGCAAAATGACTCGCACTGATGGTTGCCGCCACGTACGACAACTTTAAAAATGTTCTGTGTTGCGTACAAACGTCCTCAGGTTGCTACACTCAATTGTTTTCGTATAATTTAAGTTGAAAGTTATGTTGCCGGAGAGTGACACACGGCGGTAGAGGGTTAAGGAACTGTGATAATACGGCGCCAGCACACATTGAACTACTTTTGCATATTAATTTTGATTTGCAACCTATCATATAATCTTGCAGAGTACGAGATAGGTTAATGAAACGCTTGAGGCCTTGACTCTGGACAAGTGCAGATGATTAAATGTTTCTCTGAACGAACACCTGTTATGAAAATAAACAATGGGCAGCGTTGGGGTAGATCGCTAATGCATCTCTGAGGCATTTTTAAAACTAGGTTTTAGTCGCACTTGGTGTGTTCTAACATCCAAAAGCTTTTATTGCATTTTCGTTTAAAATAAAAATAGGGAATATAATTGGTCGATAATTGGGGCGGAGAGAGCGCTGCAGAGGAAGCAGTGCTACAGAGGGAGCAGCGCTGCAGAGGGAGCAGTGCTGCAGAGGGAGCAGTGCTGCAGAGGGAGCAGTGCTGCAGAGGGAGCAGCGCTGCAGAGGGAACAGTGCTGCAGAGGAAGCAGTGCTACAGAGGGAGCAGCGCTGCAGAGGGAGCAGTGCTGCAGAGGGAGCAGTGCTGCAGAGGGAGCAGTGCTGCAGAGGGAGCAGCGCTGCAGAGGGAGCAGCGCTGCAGAGGGAGCAGTGCTGCAGAGGGAGCAGGGCTGCAGAGGGAGCAGCATTGCAGAGGGAGCAGCGCTGCAGAGGGAGCAGCATTGCTCGCTTAACATTTATGTGGATTTTGAGATACAAAATGTCCCCAATGAAGCTGCATTGATTCACGGAACGTTAAAGAAAATAATTAAATACTGGCGTATAAATTACTCACGTCGGTAGGCACGTTGCTGGAAAGCAAGTACGTCATTTTTGAGGTTTCTTTCTTGCGTCTGCAAAACCGGGCCTGTAACGTTCGAGCCTGAAAAAGAGGTGGACTTTAGAAACAATGGGTGATTTAGTGGTGATCCGATATTATTTATTTTTATCTAAGTTTTCTGCACATAATTTGAAAATTATTTAAAATTGGGAGCATGAGAGGAGCTTTATGTAATAATGAGAAACATCGAGATGTCCAAGTCTAACTTTTATACGGCCCCAGATGGCAGATAGATCCGATCAGATGAATGATAAATAAGTTTCACTGGAGTGTCTCGTGGGGAATATAAGGCATCATATAAGCGACTTGGCCCATACAAATTGCATAGGGTGTTAGGGCGATATTACACGCTGGGCTACGCACCATGTGCAATTTAAATAAATGTTCGTCGTAGTAAGTCCTTCGCAAAACTTCAGTGGGGCGGTATACACGCTGGCCCGCTGGGCTACCGGCTACGCACCATGTGCAATTTAATGAAATGTCTGTCGTAGTAAGTCCTTCGCAAGACTTCAGTGAACATGCTCTGCAAACGAACATAGAAAATTGCCACTGCTTTGTAGTCTGACTAAAATAATATGAGCGACGCGTATCTAGTCCGGACCTAATACTAGAACCAGATGTACGTCTCTCACAGGAACACTAGCTGAAAAAAGTACTACCTACTAACATCAGTGAACAATAACTCGATAATTGACTAATAAACACGTATTAGAACTCAATTGACCTCAATTTATATCTAGAATATCCCTGAAAACTAAGTCGATATTCTAAAAAACATTGAAAATCCAGCCGTGAAAAAGCAGATTCAACAACTCATCGAAATTGTTTATTAACCTGAAATGTTGATGCAGTCGAAAGGGACCCCAATTCATGTCACAAACTGAGGCGTTAGTCATGTCTCTCACACAAACTATATAGAGAGTTAGTCATGTATCGTATTCGGACTGAGGTGAATGGTTTCGTTCCCCTCAGGTATCGATTCAGGTTCCGTAAGCTTCTATGGTGACGTGTTTAGATTAAATCTGCCCTTCGTCCAACGTACCGCAGCGCACAGAATTAAATGTCTCAACCTGCAATTCTTGCAAAGATCTCGCAACTTTTTCCTTGAGATTAAACTTGATGTTTAAGTGTACCCTAAGCTCTTCTTGTCCTGTAATGCTTTTCCCACTTGAATGCTGTGATAAGCATTCTTTCAACCCAGCTCATCAATATCTTAACCTACGATAAAATAGGTGAAAGTTTAGAGTTTACAGAGATTTTACGCTAGAAATTTTACACCAGATAACATGAATGAGGTCAGACTGGAATAATTTACAAAAAAAAATCGTTAATGTTTCTAACAAACAAGTCTGGCACCAAGACTGAAGTAAGGTAGGTAGGTAGAATGAGTAAGGTAGGTTGCAAGAATGAGTGTTACATCATAGCAGTGGCCTAAACAAGGATTACTATGCAAGTCTCTATTTTTTGGACTGGATTTTCACTCATTTGCACTGGCAGGAGAAGAAGCTTGCAAGCTGCCCAGTATCAAATTACAGATGCCCTAGTGAAGATCTACATATTGGCATTTGCATGAACCATCGTCCATCGTAGCCATCTTCTATTTCATGAGGGGTTATTTGAACAGTTAGAATCAATGCCCAAGAATGTGACATTCTTGCGGCACTTACATTTAACTGGTTCTAGAGTTAAGAAAAATTCGCACCCAAATTAGCGCCATCATTAACTGACCAATGAACTCCAACGCAATCAGTTAGATTTCTTCTGCAAGTAAAAAAAATGTGTTGATGTATCAATTCTCGACACAATGAGAATTGATTAAGTGCATCATTTCAGATGAATCGCCTTCGCCGATGCTAAATATTTATTAATTGAATCACCAATGCTGAATAAATAGCAGCTCTGCTGCCAGCTGCTACATGCACGATCCTTAACAATATCAAGCATAATCCATCGAAATTCCCCGACTGTTGAATCAAAGGGACAAAATAAACTGTTCCTCATCACAAAAACCTTGGTAAGTTAGGGACAATATTAGGCCATACTATGCTGTCTATAGGTTCAAAGGCGTAAATTCATAACTGCGCTCAGTTTCTCGATTAAGCTACACAAGAGTATATATAAAAATTTTAATGCCACATGGTGGAAACCCTGACCATTTCAATTATTCAGCAATACGTACGCTTCTTATTAAAACATGAAAATAAAAACTTCTTAATATTTTTTAACACACCTGCTCAGAAGCCTTTTTGTCGACACTGCAGTCAATGAAGCGAAACTTCGACACTTCAAGCAACTCAATTGGGGGTAAAGAGTTCTCAAAGAGGACGAGAAGAAAGTTAGGGACAACTGCAAAATATATTAATTTCAAAAAAGTTTACTGATCGACTACTGTCACTTCGCCACTTTCTCAAGTCACCGAGCTAAACAGAAAAAATTATTATTATTGTTGTAAACGGATTTCGGGAATGGTGGGTAGAGAAAACTTGCATGATTATGGTTGACGGCAAATAAAAAGATAACCGAACAAACTGAATAGCGTAGAACTTAGACTATCATACGAACTATAATTTTACAATGATTTTTTTTTGCAAACAGGGTTTTTACGATTTGAAATACTCAATATAGGATCTGAATTTCACAGCCAAAGGTTTATTATTAATAATATTTCATAAATTGTTAATGGAAAAATACGTCGATCGAAACATGACATTCAGACCCCAGCTGACTTGTCAGGGCCAAGAAGACGATGGCAATCCCGTTAGTAGAAACTATCAATAAACACGAGGAACATATGCGCCGATTAATATATGGAATTGGGATTTATTATTAAATTAGAATAAATTAGTCACCGTAAACCGTAAACACTTAAATTTTCACCTTCACGTTAACAATAGGCCAGCGCCGCGCTATGCCAGCCGTACCTTCTAGAGCCCGTTTAGTTCTTATTCTCTTACTGGCTCATAGTACCTAAATTGAGAAACGTTTTCTGTGGTCATCAAGTTAGGGAATTTTAACTAAGTTAGGGAACTAACTTAAATTAGGCAAAGCATTCAAATCTAAACTTGAAAATATTTTATCCCTTTCATATCTAGAATTGTGTGGAGTTTAAGCCTATTCTAGACGGAATAAAATGAGCGTTTATAGTTATTGTAACGACATTTTGAGAAATTAACTTCAGACATGCCTCTAATTTCCGTGTTTTAGATATCAAAATTAATTTTGAAAATCATATGTTTAATTTATGAACTGATAGCTTGTCAATAACAAATCTGGAATCATTCTGTAACATCGTTTACTAAATTTTTTCGAAATGTGTAACCTTGTGAAAACATAATTGCATCAAAATTTAAAAAGTAAAATCTAATATAACTAGACCAATTTTCAAGACGCCACCTTCACAGTTGATATTGCGAAATCAAAGATCAAAAAGCAAATGGTTCGTCGATGCCTTGAAAATAAACTTGATAAATTTACAGAAATTCATGCGAGAACCGCAAGATCGCTAATTACAGAACGGAAGTAAAAATCAATATAATTCCAAGCAAAACTATTTGGAGAGAACTCAGGATAAAAATCCTAATTAACAATCGTCCTATCGTTGTTTCAGTAGATGCCGACATTCAGTAGATGCCGGATAAATTTGCATCTGCCTATCAACACTAAACATTTATTTGCGTTGCCCTATAGTTATTCCTCACTATTTATAACATTCTCCATGAACCAATGGCCTCCCACATGTTTTAACTGATCCCCATTGTTTTAAATTGAACTGGTATTACTCGGATCAATTCTGATTATGCCATGCTTCACCCCGTTTAGCGTTTGGCAAGAAGCAATGGTATATGCGGTAGATCCTATCTTAGTTGCGATCTAAGAGGCAATTTACTGACATAAACTATAAGCGCCTGTATAGCCTCTATATATTTCCAGTGTCTTGCTATCAAAACACAAATGATTGATCTTTGATGAGTATTTTGCAGATTGTATGTTCCGACATCAATAACGAAATTTTTTATAAATTTCTTTCTATTTAAATCATTAACTAGTCACTTTTATTCGTAGATATCGCGCGCAGTTTCGTCTATAGTTACGTGCGTAAATAAAGTAATTCGTCGAAAAGGTTCCATTTGTACTTTTAGATCATTGATTTGATTTTTATATCATTAAACTTGTCGCTAACTTTAAGGTTTCCAGCAAGCAAGCATTATAAAAATGTATGTTATTGGGTTTCAACGATAAATCATTGTTTAAGGGTCATATATTTATTGGCCAATCGAGATAAACCACCCTACGTAATCCACGACATACTCATGAATTGTTCAATTCTTATAGTGTCTCAATTTCATTGTTTTTCTCTGAATCGAATTGATTTTTTCTGTTAGCCAAATTTCAATAGAAATACTAAATCAAAGATATCCAAAGTGTTATTATGTTAGAATTTTTTTTACCAGATTAACTTATAATCTAGAAGATTAAGATCGATGTTCCTGCATTATAATCAAGTCGGTATCTCACCGAGTGTTCTGTAATACCTCAGTCAAAAGAGTTCATTAGAGGGCAAACATGTCAGAATATATATTCTGAATATATATTCAGAATATTCATGAATCATGTCAGAATATAATTTTAATCCGGCAAGAAGTTGCCACAAACATTTTTTTATTGACAAAATATTGGATTTTCACAATGCTTTGCGAATATTCTGTGCCAAATTAAGCTCAGTATTCAACTTTCATAATTAATAAGGCAAGTCGTTACAAAAGAGCGAAATATGCTTTCATTTTTTATGGATTATAATGCGTCGAACGATTTAGAGCGGGAGCACTTGGCTTCCTGTCAAGCGTGGATCAAAGTCCAAAATTCGTTCCGTTGCTGGAACTGTTAGGTTTGACTACTGAAATAGTATTGAGCACAATCGTCCTTTTGAGCCTGTATTGATGCAATTACCAACGCAACGATACATAATCGTAATGATTACCTACTCAATATGCTACGATCAAAATGTAAATAGTTCGTTTTAAAATCAATGATATCAACGAAAGTTTCTTCCTCTAAAGTATGTTCCGTTTCATTCCTTCTTCGCATTTAGGTTAATTCCATTGAATTACATCTGTTTTAAATAGACTATGCTTTCGAAAGTCGTGTATCAATTGACAATGTGATTTTTCGAAAATGTTGCGGTGTCGCAATATCAGCTTATTTATTTTTTTGGTCTATTTAGAAGTATTGCACTGTTTTGGGGTCAACTTATACGGCAAAAATCAGGTCATTAGCATGCCAAGGTTATCCAGCTCATCTGACATCTGACTTGGTAAAGGATTTTCCAGCGGGTATATTTCACTGTGACGATTTTCCTGCGGGTATTCAAACGGCTGATTTTCGGATGGGTATTGTTCCAAAATATATGTTCCACGGTCTCCCCTTTCACGAACCTTTTCCAGATCATCGCGCTTGCGATTCTTCTTCGAAATAGATTCTACTTTACCTTCACTTGCGTGTTCACCTGTATGGTCCTGAATCGCTTCTACACCCTCGTTAAAGTCGTCGGTCGAGCCTTGCTTGTCCATTTCGTGGCAGTCAGCATGCGATAAATCATATTCATCATCATTGCTATCATCAGAGAACTTCTTTCTCAATTTTCTCGTGATCGTAGGGGATGTTTTCGTTGTTTGCTTATGATTCTGCCGGGCTTCTGATTCTGCTGGCCGTGCAGTGGACTTGGCTCGCCGTTTCCTCATCATGTCCCGCCAAATGAAGTTTTTCAAGATGCGGTCGCGGCTCACGATTCCAAGAAATGCCTGATGATCTCCGAAATTTTCTTGACTGTATGAGTTTGCGTAGAGACGCTTACCGAAGCGCATTGGTTCCCTGCTGAAGCCAAAAAAATCAATGAACTGGTGACAATAGAAGATTTAATTTACGGAGGAACGACAATTTCTCAGAAATATAAATGTAATGAGAATTGCAAAGTAAATCAAATAAACTGATAATGAATATATATAAATAAATAAATGTACATTAATAATAATGGACTGTCTATATTTTAGAAAAATTAATATATTTTACATCAACCTCAGTCTTTCATCGGACGCTGTCTGCTATCGTGATTCGCTGTAGGATCACCTGATAGCTGCGCACTGGGTGCAGAGTGTAGAACGTTTCTCAACGCTGCACGCAGTGCTGCACGATGCAGCGCCGACCAGGCTGCGGTGGGCTGCGCTTATGCAGCACAACAGCAAGAAGAGCAGCAGTGGAGTTGCTTTGCTGCCTGGGCAGTGGCCACCGAAAAAAACGCTAAACGATTTTAAAATTTCCATTGTGTAATTATTATATTTTTATTTAAATGTGTACTAGAGTCGTTCGTTCATCGAGGATTGCGCGTGTGGATCACAATCGTTCGTTAATTCTATTGGGATGCAAGATTAGTTCACAATAAGTTATATGAATTTCATACGCCTTGCAAGGGTCATATGTTCTACGAACACTTGCATGGACTCATTCACATTGAACTTTCGACTCAATTAACCCTCTACCGCCTGACATGATTAGCCGGAGCAATATTGTCACACAAGCCTACCCAAAAAGGATACGTTCTAGTGAGCGCAATATGACTTGCACTGATGGTTGCCGCCACGTACGACAACTTTAAAATGTTCTTTGTTGCGTACAAACGTCCTCAGGTTGCTACACTCAATAGTCTACGTATAATTTAAGTTGAATGTTATGTTCACGGAGAGTGACATATGGCGGTAGAGGGTTAAATATCTTGATTCTATAACGTCTCAATTAAATATCTCGGGCCGTTCGTCTCACTCACCACGACCACTTGATGGTCGCACTTACCTCGAAATTTCGACTCACTCACCTGTGATACCGGACTCGTAAACTCTTGTCTTAGGTCGCACTCTTCTCCTGGAAGCCATCTTGGAATCTTCCTGCATGAAAACGTTGTAGGTTTGAATAATAAGAATCTCTGGGTATTTTTATGGATTCAAACCTATGGATTATTAAACCCTTATACACTGAGAGAAATGGGCGGGTCTGGATGACCCACTTTGATGAGTCAACCGCGTCCGAAAATCGATGCACTTTTTTGACTCACTTGCCCCATTTGTGGGTCATACTGACCCATTAAATTTCAAGCATGACTCACTTGTGGCGTTAAATCGCTCCGACGCTCAGATGCTAACTACGTATCCATGCTACGGGTGGCGTCATAAGGGATTTGACGTCACAAGTGAGTCATGCCTGGAATTTAATGGGTCAGTATGACCCACAAATGGGGCAAGTGAGTCAAAAAAGTGCATCGATTTTCGGACGCGGTTGACTCATCAAAGTGGGTCATCCAGACCCGCCCATTTCTCTCAGTGTACTCATGGATTATTTAATCCGTGAGTATAAAAATCCATGAGTATGAGTAAGAATCCGCGAGTAAACACCTTCAGCTTGGGAGTACGACTACAAAGTTCGTGTCAAAACCACCAGAAATGGGTGTGTGTATAAAAATTTAATTGCTACAGCACGGATATGGGTTCCTATTATAACGTTTATTCGTACTCGAATTCATGCGTATATGTCTATTTATTTATGGTGGAGTTGAGAAAACAAAGTTTAGGTCAACACCGCAAGCTTGAGGCGCGACTACAAAATTTTATGAGCGATATTCGACGTTTGCGACGGAGTTTCTTTGATCTCGTGCGCGTCCGGGACATGTTTGTGACACGTCTTTCCCTGTAGTGGAGTGGGTGGGAGGAGGTTGGAGAAGAAGACGGGAGAAGGAATAAAATTGACGGAAGAAAGGTAAGGGGGCTACTGGGAGAAGCTGAAAAAAAAGTTTACCCGATATGAACATTTTGTCTTCATTTAAGGTACGGCTTTCTATGTTTATTTGCTTTCAAATTCTGGACGAACTTGTGATTTGAACAGACTATAATGATATTAGTTTTGCCAGCAATGATGCTTTGGAAATGTATGCGATTTTTCCCTCCGCCGTACATATCCGGATTTATAAAGCACGCAATGCATCATAAATGCACGCATATGAGATTGATGATAAAAAACGAATACTATTACTTTTACTGAAGAAATTTTTAATAAATTGCGCCTGTTAGGGACTTCGAGCCGTGACGTTGCATCACGCTTGAGATTGGCCTAAGTGTTTTTTTATTTTAATATTCACCAGAGAAAAATAGAGCTAGAAATTGATACTTTTCTCCCAAGGATTTATTATAAGTTCACATATATGTAATACTTGACTTAACCATAGATAAAAGGGATCCTCATTACATTTGACTTATCCACTACTATAGGAGTGTATGAGTGACGCACATAACACTTGACTCACCAAAGACTAGGATAACACATTTAACACTTGACTTATCCATGATTAGTAGTGATGCATCGACAATTGACTCACCTATTAATATTATTTATACGCATAAGACTAGACTCACTAATAACTATAGGAGTGACACACACAGCACCTAACTCGCTCATGACTGTGAGCGATACATATGACATTCCCTATTTTCTAAAATTCACCTGATTCATGAAAAAAATTGACTCGTGACTCACCCCCTGACTCCTGACTTACCCCCTGACTCGTGACTCACCCCCTGACTCGTGACTCACCCCTCCTGACTCGTGACTCACCCCTGACTCGTGACTCACCCTCCTGACTCGTGACTCACCCTCCTGACTCGTGACTCACCCCTGACTCGTGACTCACCCCCTGACTCGTGACTCACCCTCTGACTCGTGACTCGCCCTGACTCGTGACTCACCCCTGACTCGTGACTCACCCCCTGACTCATGACTCACCCCCTGACTCATGACTCACTCCCTGATTCAGTGACTCACCCCCTGACTCATGACTCACCCCTGACTCAGTGTCTCACGTGCCACGGTCACCGCAGAAGATGGCAGAGTGTGACGCGCTGCGGCCGACGGCGCTTCTTAAGCCAGCCGCTGGCGGGAAAAATACCGCGGCCATCTTTGATCTCCCACAACACCCCTCCCCTCTCCCCCTGAAATGATTTGGGTGTTGTATGTGTTATGGGTGTTGTATGTGTTTTGGGTGTTGTATGTGTTTTTTGGGTGCTGTATGTGTTTTAGGGTGTATATTGATTTTGGGTGTTGTATGTGTTTTGGGTGTTTTATGTCTTTTGGGTCGTGTATGTGTTTTGGGTGTTTTATGTCTTTTGGGTGTTGTATGTGTTTTGGGAGTTGTGTGTGTTTTTTGGGTGCTGTATGTGTTTTGTGGGGTATATGTATCTTGGGTGTTGTTTGTGTTTTGGGTGTTGTATGTGTTTTGGGTGTTGTATGTGTTTTGGTGTTGTATGTGTTTTGGGTGTTGTATGTGTTTTGGGTGTTGTATGTGTTTTGGGTGTTGTATGTGTTTTGAGTGTTGTATGTGTTTTGGGTGTTGTGTGTGTTTTGGGTGTTGTATGTGTTTTGGCTTTTGTATGTTTTATGGGTGTTGTATGTGTTTTGGGTGTTATATGTGTTATGGGTGTTGTAAGTGTTTTGGGTGTTGTAAGTTTTGGATGTTGCATGTGATAGAAATGTTGAGCGTATTGCGAGTGTTCTGTGTGTTTAATTTCACGTGTTGTAAGCACGAATAAACGTTATGCAAAACGGCCAAATTTGAATTACCATGACTGACTGAATGAGCCAAGTAAATATGTCTGAAATTCTACGGATATTAATTTCTCAGAGTAATTTTTGACTGTGATTATTCATACTGAGCACCAACAAATTCTTGTGAAGAACATCGCAAGATGAATATAGACTTAAAATACACATTCCTAATTTTTTGCGTATCGTCAAATACTTTTCTCAACCGGGTTCGTCAGTTAAGCAAAAACTTGCTCCCTTCGCTTCTCAGAATTTCCGAAACCTTGACAGGAAATTGGCGTCTGGTGTGCACCAAAACTCCTGCAATTTGTTCTCACTCAAGGAAGATTGCATTGGTTATGCGATTGACTGAAAATAGGTTGCATTTTATCTAAATATTATCAATAAACTTAACTGAACTGAAACTTTACGGCTTCTGTATGATTAATTAAACCGCGGTTGATGAAAATTGAACACAGAACAATTTTTGTTCAGCTTCTGTTCAGCTTCTTAGACAGCTTTGATTTGTCAGACAAGGCAACGTTTAACCTCAATGGTGAAGTGAAAAAAAATTCAGTAGGACTTCAGGAATATTTGCCTAAAATCTGAAATCGAGAAATAATTTATAACAAATTTCATTGTATCAAAATGGTTCATTGGTTTATAATTATCGTTGAGCATTGATAATTTAGTAAATGTTTGAGATTAGGAAAGGAGCCATGATGGTCGCTATAGTCACTGTAAGTCAAGACATAACACATCACAAGTTACATGAGGAGTAAAGTTACTATGACGCGAACGCCATGCGCCTACCCCCGTCTCCGTACCACGCACCCAAAATAAGAAAAATTTAGCTCTATGATGGACAAGGAACATTTGAAGTAAGAGAGCCGGACCTAAGTGACAATGACATAATTATATGTAAAATATCGTAGTAACGAGAAATATTTAATCAGTCGTTGTTTTTTAGGAAATGATGAGCAAAATTTGCTTCTTATTTTGTGAGACCAACGGTCTATTGCTGTATGGCGAACAACTAAACTAAAGTTTACGGACAACATCGCCAAGGAATAATAGGAATAACGTCTGTCCGAAATGAACGAAGTGTAATACCAAACGAATAGTGAATGAGTATTTAACTTTCAATCAATATTATTTCCTATACTGTCTAGATAGATTGTAGAAATCCGCTGACTATAAAAATGTAAGCTCCTCTTTACTCTCCTCCATTTTTGAAGTGTCCCTAAGAAATTAGCTAGGCATACATTGTGTGCACTGTGCAGCTAGATTTAGGTAACGTTTGACGGACAGAAATTTTTTTCAATAGTCATTTTTAGGATTGATATCTCAACTAAGGTGAGACTCCAAGAAAGTTTCCTTTCAATTCGAAGGTGAACACGGGCGAATTCCAAATAGATAGTTAAATTTCAGGAGTATTTCCCGCAGACTTAACCATGATCAATCCCAGCACAGGCAATAGCAGTAATCCTCGCAGGGAAGCACAATTGCCAACAGCACTAATCAAGTAGGGAAGTGCAAGGGCACTGAATGACACCTAGGATGACACTATCGCCAACTCTTGCAGTTACGGTCGCTATGTGGTCTCGAAAAGTGGTCTTGAATCACCATCACTACGAGATCGCAACCGAGTTGCTGCTCCAAAATTATTGTGCCAGTTGTTTAATTACAATTCTTCCGCCAGCTTTGTACCTCAGTGCTTTAATCTCTTAAAAAACACCCCACGTATACAAAAGTATGTCATAAGCAGTTGAAAAGTTTGATATTACACTGTAAGCAAATAGGTTAAAATTTTTTTTTCTTAAATCATTCAAACATTCATTCTCCTAATTGTTACCTTCAATTTAAAATAAAAATCAGAAAACTAATTTTTGAAGTGGCATACGATTTTCGGAGTGGGCGAAAAACATTTCCTGCAAACATTTCGTGAAGATAATCACGATAGAAACAAATTATACAGAAGTTCCACGACGACAAAACATTTGACTCCGGGCACATTTGTCAAAGTACTCGGAGGCAATTCATAGGTTATTTTTGGCTCATAAATTTGGACAGGACAATTGTGAGAACGCACTATGTAGATTATATAAATTTTTAGTATGTTTTCTTCGTGACTCAAAAATAGACTTTCAAACCATAAAGAAACTGAGAGCTTAAGGTTGATTTTGGATTCGTATGCATTCAAAAGACACAGGATTCACAAATTAAGCTATAATTAAGCATAAGGGAAATGATAACTATGCACGATTGCACGTACACGTCTCAAAAACGGTTCAGCACTCAAGAACTCATGTATTGTCAGGAACATAAAGAATACAAGGAAGCGAGCGGTATAATTTATTCCCAGCAACGCCAGAGAGTGCATGATGCCATCGACTGATCGGTGTCCATGAGAACACTTTAAATATATTGATCCAAAAATTTTAATGTGGGCTTCCTTTTCTTTCTTTACAGATAAAAATTGTATTTTAAATATAAATAATTAATAAACATGACTTAAAATTTTTAACTATATAAAATTCAAGCAATTTTGTCTCGCACATATCGAGTAAATGACTCGAAAATTCTTATCTACATTTTATTCAATGAATAATTTTCAGTAATTTGATTGAGATAGCTTTTCGGTTGTTTGCATAGTGTTGGAATAACCTACTCGTGGACGTTATGAATGTGGATTGGTTCCCGTTCCGAATAAGAAATTAGAGAGGATCTAGACTCCTGATTTTGAAAAGTCCATTTCGTCGTCTGTTGTGAGCTGTTTCGCCTTTAGACATTATTTCCTTTGAATGCTTTTCGTAGATCCTTTCAGCAGCGAATGCAATGAGCGAGAGCAATAAGCCGAATGCCAATATGATGAAGGGTCCTTGAAGATGCTCAATCCGCAGTATTTCCCACTCCGAAGCCTGAGAAAGACAGATTTTCGGTATTACAGAATTTTATGAAAATAAATACATATAAAAATTAATTAGCATTGATCCGGAAGTATCGAAGATGAAGTCTACTACTAACGATCTAAATCACATTAGCGAATTTTAAAGCAGCGTTTTTCGATGGGATGCAACGCAGCAGCGATAATTTTTAAACAGAAATATTACACATTTTCTTCAGTTTTCTTTTTCTTCTCCAATGAATTTCAGATCCGAGAAAAAAATGCTCAAACACTCACTGCAAGTATTTAATTGATACTTTGTCGTATTGCAATCTTCATGTGAATATTCATAAATGAGAGATCAATTCCATCAAACTGAAGATGCTAACTTGTGCGAACTACACAATTTATCAAATAATTTAGTTGATGAATAATAACGATTAGAAACTAAAATGCATTCATGCCCAAAGTTTTCATGAAATAATATACATTGAATATAGACGTTACCTGATGAATATACTACCTTAAGTTTAATGAGGGAATAATATGCACGGAAACTAGACATCACCGGATGAATACAAAATTCAACTCAATTAGAACAAAAATTTGTAGTATTAAGCATGTAAGATATTCACCGTTTCCTGGTCATGAGGCTCAACCATGTGCTTCCTGTAGAGCTTCTGGACGATGCCCGACTCCACGAACCTCTGGAGGGCGTTAGATATGGCGATCGTGTAGGCCGTGTTCTTAGGAAGGATCCAAGTGAGGTAGCCAGGAAGAACCTGTTGGTACAAGACGTACCAGCATCCGCAATGAATATATTTAGGGTGGACTTATGCTCGCCCAATAAATGTGAAAAATGATGAGTAACTGATTCAGATATGGCGATCGTGTAGGCCGTGTTCTTAGGTAGGATCCAAGTGAGGTAGCCAGGAAGAACCTGTTGGTACAAGACGCACCAGCATCCGCAAGGAATATATTTAGGTTGGACTTACGCTTGCCCGATAAACGTGAACTATGAGGAACTGATTGCAAAGCCTGATTAATAAACTTCTAATAAAGTTGTTACTGATGGATGAATGCCAAGTGAAATTATTACTGTTGGGTACATCAAAGATGAATGATAAACGATAGGCTGATAATTACACTGGAAGTTTTTGATTTACCTGAGCCGGATAGAATGATTTTCTTATTTTTTACGTGCATTAATTTTTACAAATTCAGAGATCCATTTTATTTCAGAAATGTTAAGAAGTACGTATTTAAGTAAAAGCAATTCCAGTCATTCCACTGAGCCTGAAGCAGAAGAACCCAAACGTCGTTATTTTATTGCCTCGCGAATGATGCTGCATAACTCGACGTGCCAGACTCACCATCTTGCACATTAAATTGGAAGATGTGACGTCTCAAACTCATCGTTAATAAAATTAAAAGATCCGACGCCTAAGACGGACTCATCGTTTCATACACGAAATTGAAAGACTAGACAGCTCGAGCAGATGTCTTGCATTCAAGAAAGGGCACGACGTTGCAAACTTGACGTTTCGAATAAGTATTCGAAGAAATCTACGCTTCAGACTCACAGTCTCACGCTTGAAATCAAGATGTCGACGTTACAGGCCCCCTGTTTTGCGCATTAGAAAAGACCTCGCTATTATGTACTCCCGTTAATCTACCGCGGAGCCACCGAAAGGCAAAATTGTTGTGTTGGTACCCGCATAAATTCGGCTCAGACTCACCATATGAAGCTTATGGACTCTGTGGATCACACTCACCTTCTCGCGCATGAAGTAGGTAGACTCGACCATGTTGGATTCATATCGTACCAGATAAAGGTACGAGTAGATGTCCACTAGTGCATGTGTATCAGCAAGGACTTTGGGAAAGGCGTATTTGGTAAACGAGTTGTACTCGTACGGGAATATGTCAAATCTGTTGCCAAGAGTCCTGAGGGACGGGTCTTCCGATATCCGTAGCGCTCCTGGTAAGAAGCTTCCATAGTCTTGCATGAGCGGCCTGATCGAGTATTAAGAAATGTTCTGAGCGCTGTTACTCAGCAATATTAATGCAAAATGTTTGACAATTTGGTTGGCATATCTATGCTTGAGTGACGATAATGGCATTTCAAGTTACTAAATAAGTAGGGTAACATGGGGCAGCGAGCCCACTGCGGGTCATGGGCCCATAGCGGGTTTCTCGCTATGTATGGCATATATTGGTCCGTGTTCTCTACCGCCGGTCGACAGTTTCACTGGGATGAAGTGTACGGACTTACGTTTTGCTAAGTGTTTGCGTTATTAAGTTATTTGTGAATAACTGTTTTAGCCCAGATAAAAATTTTTTAGCTGCTAAATAAAACTGTTTTCGATTACTGTAGATGAAGCTTATGAAATACCTGTGAATTATATTTTGAAAGTAATATTCATAGGGATAATTTTGAGATCAAGTTTAGACTATTAGCTTCTAAAATAAAATGTTGACACGATATAAATTGAAATGATACCTAGTGGGGCAACGGGCCCACGCGTGTCACGGGGCAAAGCGCCCATGGCGAAGTCTTGTGTTATACATCATTAAATTTGTCTCAATGACCTTTTCTAAACTATGACTAGCTTTTTGAATTACAAATTACACTTCATCGTGTTTCATTAAAAATTGAATAACTCTATAGGCGTCTAATTCACATCATACATTCCTCATTAGTAGTACCTTTAAACAAAACAAAGAACCACCTCGTATCAATTAAAACTTCATCAAAAATTTAGTTTAAAAAGGGGGGGGGGCGCTGCCCCATGTTGCCCTACAAACTTGATGACCGTAAGCCCTAGACGAAAAAGTCACAGTTACTTGTGATTCTCAGCATCTTTAGTCATGGATATAATCTTGTTATATAGCTTTACCTCATTAATTCAAAACCGCTTGTTTTAGAATAGCATGTCTATGTGGACAATATGAGGAGTTATGATAGTCAATCTTTAGGGAACCTTGTCAATCTTTAGGGAACCTTGCAACATTTTCGAGAAGACGTTGACAACAAACAAAGTTGCACGATAATAATGCATGAAAGGGGAATCCAAAACAGCTTTTAAAATATTTGTCAATTGCACAAATCACAGCTGAGATGCTTTAATCCCTATACTTTAATGCTTATATTCACAATTTCAAAGAAAAAATACCTCAAATTAGAAGCAGCAAGTTCGTCGACGGTCTGGATCTTAGACCGAGTTACAGGAACAGTGAGGAAGGCCACAAGGTTGGAAGTGTAGGCCAAAGACAGCACGAAGACCGCCAACCGCCAGCACAACATCCACAGCATCACCCAAGTCTTGCGTATAGTGTCACGGTAGTGAACACGAATCACTGCTGCCAAAACCTGGCATATCAAAAGAAGCTATTTGATGTCCGAAAAAGTAATAAATGCGATTTAGAAAAAATTAAACCTTTGAAGCCTAAATTCAAGTCATTTCACGGAGGACCTTCAACGACGTTTTATGTTAATAAAAATGGAAATAAGACTGCCAAGATTGCGATTCAATGATTTTTTTGTGAGTTTTTGTCTCTGATTCTTTGCCTTGGACAAGGTAGGACATAATGATTCTTAGTGGTAATTTTTTTGTGAATTAAATTATTTTTAAAACATTAAAATCGAATTTCCTATCAATCATATGTGGCGTCAAGCTAACGACACTTCGAAGCGCGAACTTTGATTTAATTGGCTTTCATCAGAGTTAATGAGCGATTACAGTAGGAGGTTAAATTAAATTTTAGAACAATTGATCCAATGCGGATATTTTTTTTATCACGGAAAATGGTTTATCATTTAGTCTCTAACGAAAAACCATTCGCCAAGCTGTTACTAATTTTAAGAATGATATCTTCTGAAAAAATTACCAATTCTATTGGAAAGCATATGAACGGTGGTTTCACCGGAGTTAAGACATCTATTATTTTATCATGGTAACCAAACTCAATCAAATAATGCCACGGAATTTAATGCTTCATTGCAATTTAATGATTAAATATAAAAAAGCATAATTATATTGAAATTTCTGCAATTCCATAACGGACATAATAACATAATTCAGTAAGAAAAACCATTGTTTTCAAAAAGTAGCAAAAATTTTTACATAATTCAGTCACTGTAATAGGTTTCAGAAACTGCGATGCTTAATTTAAAAATTGATATATCGTCATGTACTGCTGCTTACCATCAAAACTGATGAATCAGATTTTCGACCTTCTTTTGTGATGAATAAAACAGCGGTAACCAAAACGATGACGATGGCTGTGGTGAATATGAAGAGTATCCACACAGATGTCGAGAACGGGTAGTACAGCCCCCGCCACGCAGGCAGGGGAGGAGGTTTGCGAAGAACGAAGCCAAATCCCTCATTAAAGTATGGGTAGGTGGTGTCAAAATCGCTGTACCTTTCTTCAGTGAGGAGAAAGTAGTTTATAGTTAAGTGCTTGCCGTTGTACATGAGGTCAGCAAACATTCCGTTCCAGGTTCCGTTCACTTTGGATCCCCAGCGACCATCAGCAGTTTTCAGCTGGACATTGTAGGAGAATCCATACTTCTGGGCGATGATGGAAAGGAGGTCGAGAGAGACACCTTCGCATTCAGTTTTCCCAGGGTAAAGGTGAATAAATGGCTTGTCGTCACACCAAGTAGCTAAACTCATTACTCCCCCAGCCAAGTCATAATGCACATTCCCGAATAACTGAGCCTTGTTCGCGAAATTTTGTGGCGTGTAAGTCCCAAGTCGTATTTTGGTAGCGCTCTCAGCCCCTTTTCCAGGAATTATGTGTCGCATTTGATAAACGTCAAAACGTCCCTCATCCGCACCCAAATGTTCTATCGACGTAACTAATAATGATCTCTGAATCAACTTGTGCCTAAATATATTGAGTGAAGAAACTTCTGACTCGACTCCTAGAAGTATGAAGTTCTCGGGATCCCAAACCATAGACGACGCTTCAATATCTAAGAAGGGCTTAGGGTCACGATGATACAATAGAATTACAATTAAACTTGAGCCCCGAAGATAGTTCTTATTGATGGTCATTCGAACGTCTCGTAGATTTTCCAGTGAAATCAAGATGGACGAATTCAACGAATCCGATGCCCATCTTGACACATCGTCCAAGTTAACAAAGTTTCTAACTTCCCGATCATAGAGAAAAATTATATTTTCATTTGACAGCGTCTTGGTAATCAAGTTTTCTAAAATCGTTGCATATGCCGGTAAAGTCTCGTCAAACTCTAAATTAACTCGAAATTTTGCCTGAACCAAATATACACTTACTACTATGAGCCACCAAGAGCTCCTGAGATGCGCCGCCCTCATGGTGCCATTGCCTGGCGGGTATTAAAATCTTTACTTTTCCCATGTCTAAGGTTTTGTCAAATGACTTATTAAACTCGGCTCATTCCACGATAGAAATTGAATCTTGATTGCTGAAAGTCAGAAGTCCATTACTTCTTATAAATTATAAATCATCTAACCACTCCGGAGCAACAATTGAAAGTTCAATTTCTTCAATAATATATTCTAGTTGTAATGCATTCTGATGGAAGTGATTCATCAGTTTCGCTGCTGCTACTAGCATCACACGTGCAAGCTTACCAAAGCTGTGTAAGACTGACATTCAAGACTTGAATTTGTTATGATTTTGTTACTTATTTAATCTTCTAATTACTCGACACTCGACCTTCTAATTACCATCGCAATACACATACCCGGATGCGAGCAAGTTTTTTACATTTTATGACTTGGGCAACAACGTAGTTTTTTCGCAAGTAGACCGCGCTACAGATTAATAGTTGTCACATATCAAAAAGAACATAGAGTTTTGGTGAGCCATACTTAATTATGTCATCAGATCTGCAATTGTTGCTCGACGATTTTGGATGTAGTTCAGAATACAGAAGACTGGTTATGTCAATCGAAAATAACATTGTATTTCAAATTTTAAAATTATGAATGCGGTCAATCTACAACTTATAAATTAAATATTACTAACTAATAATACATGTTTTGGGTGAGCATATCAAAAACCTAAACAAAAAATCTGATATAATAACTGTGAATAATTTTCGCACATTTTTGAATTGAGCTAATTTGAAAAGCGTTTGAATTTCCCAGTCATAAGTGCTCAATCTAACAGCGTTGTAACACATCCATGCGACAACATTTCATCTCGCTTCGAGTCACCGACATGTGGAACAGCCTCCCTGATAGCATCGTTGACGCTCCGAGTATGAACGCCTTCAAGAACAGACTAGACGAAGCTATGCAGGAGCATATGTTCAGTCTTAAAATGCCTAGCAAATTACGGGCCAGGCAATAAGTCCAGCAGCTATCTCAAACAATCGTTAGTTATGGAAAGATCGGATTCAAAAGGCCGGATATCTTGTGAATAAAGTCATGAAAAGTACAAGAATCAGCAACAGGCCATGGGCCTATTTCTTCATTGCCGACAATTATATTCTATGATATCATTAAACCTATGACTGCGATATTAATCGCGGAAAAATACATTCATACGTTCTTAAAAAATAATTCATTGAAGCGGAAACACGAGTACATTGCACGGACTGAATAAAATGTTTGATGCTATTTATTATAAATGCCGAACAAAATAATATATAATTCATGTCAGAAGTTGAAGCACGATAGTAATTGGTTGTAGAAAATCACCATTGTCAATAAATTAAGTTAAGGGGTAAATTTTATGAAGGAACTTCAGGAATAAGTTAATTAGAGACCTAATTGTGAAAGTCGTAACAATAAATATAGAAGTATACAAAAACATTCGCGATCAAAATTTAATGATGCTGCGGAGCAAATTACCTAGAAAGCGGCTTGATTCCAAATTCACCGAATCCTAGCTACTCCTAAATAAACAGAAATAATTCAGTGGCAGTTCGTTTCTGTATTTCTATGGACAATCGACTAAAGCTTTGTTCTTTCTACTTTTGCCATAAACCGTAAATAGAAATCTATATCATGAGAACGATGGATCCATAAACCATAAATAGATATCTATATCATGAGAACGATGGATAAGAACACAGCAAGCACGCAATCCAGAGATTATTATTACGTTATCACTGCCGACAACACGTAAGAGCCAAGTATCTATTGCTCATCACTGACACTAAACGTGACTGAACATTTCTTCTTACATGCATTGCGCTGAGTATTACGATGAAGAAGAAGAAAGGAGACTGGTGATTCGTCAAATTTCAGGCTTCTACTGACGCGAGGCCACTGATTTTTTGGAGCTCCGCAGAACAAAAGATGCGCCTTCGCAAATATGTAAAAATTTCTACCAGCATCGGTAGTGACTGTAGCATTATACCAATGGTGAACGGCCACATCAATGTGAATCTAGAATCAGCGTCCTCTAACATTACAATCATCAGGGCGGTTACATGAATTCGGAGTATAATGTAAATTTCCCAATACAGGGTTTACTTAATCCTGCATAACCCTCTATAAATTGTTCAATAGAACAGCGTTTCCATGGTAAGTTAAGTTATACAACTTTTCTGAATAAGTAAATTTTATCATTCACGCAGTGTGATTTCATGATTTGTATATTTAAACAATCAAGCCACAAAAAGATTTTCAATTTTGAACGTATTTTTCCCTTGCTTCACACGTCGGGCCGTGAGCAGCTCGAGCAGCAGGCACAAAGTTGCCACCCCGTACAGACAGAGGCAGAGGATAAAGGCGGCAGAGAGATGGGGCATGGACAGCGCTTGTAAATCGTCTTCCTGCGTAAAGATTCGGACAAATTGACAAGTCAATGCAGCTAACCTAAAGGAAAACTCAAGAGAAATTGCCCCAAATGTGTTGGAACTTGACCAGAAAACTTGATGCTCTACGGAACAATTTACTCTATGGAACAAAATACTACCCTAGGTCATCGTTCGACTTATCCGATGATATAGAATAGAATAGAAGTGTGGGCACTGAAGAAATAGGCCCATGGCCTGTTGCCGATTCTTGAATTTTTCGTGAGTTGATTCACAAGAGATCCGGAATGATACAATTTAATTGTTCTCGATACATCTGTGGTAAATTAATATTCAATTGTGATTGAAGGTGTCTTAACGACAGTTTATAACACTAATAATTAGCTAGTTTTATTTTAACCGCGTAACCTCTCTGTTTGAAAATTTGCTTTTACTTAATGTTACACTACAGACACTTCCACTCTATGAAAACACGTTCACGAATTAATTCTTAATTTATATCTTGTCAATTATACTATCCCAGACTAGCCATTCTAATTCTATTGCCAGAAACCACCCTTACAATTTATTGTGATTTCATCGTGAATTTTAATCATAATTATTTCAATCATTCAACTTCAATCTTGGTTTGAAATTTGCTCCTTAGCTAACCTTGTCAGGAGGGATCTCCTTCAGCATGTGTTTATCGTACAGCTTGCGTATGAAGCCTGCGTGTACAAGGTGCTGCAGGTTCTCCGATAGCAGTTCAGTTTGTGGCGTGTTCTTCGGTAGGTAGTATACCACAAAGCTGGGGTACAACTGTGTGCCAGAAAACAGGGACAATACATTTATTCATCATGACGCTTATTCAGCCGAATTACTACGAATTCATTTTTAATGCCAATCGGGGTTTAAGGCCTGGTAATGTGAGTTGATGAATTGTTGTCCGTTAAAAAAATTCAACTGAAATAAATATCTCATTTGATTGCGGATTGGAATCATTTTAAGCTCAAATCACAGGTCTTATTGAAGGAAGAACGTTGAAATGTCAAGTTGATATTGAAAATGAAAGTAATGCTCGAGTCAGAACTCTTACCACTTCTTGCATGAAGTAGGTATATGGCGTGATGTTGTAGTAATCCCTCACGTAATAGTTGTACGATTGCCCATTAATAAGAGCATGGGTGCCACCTGCTACCTTACCGCGCACCATAACGCTTTCTTCATTGTGTGAAAACAATTCTAATCGAGCTCCAATTTTCGCCAAACTTTGGTCCTGGGAGTTGCGCAGCGCATCCGGCACAAAGTTTCCGTAGTCCTTCATAGACGCTCTGAAAAAATTTGCAAAGGGGAAGTTCTGTCTTTTCCTCTCATTTCGTTTTCTTAGTAAGCAAGGCCTAACAATTAAAGATAGGGTGTCGTGTCAAATTCATCTTCTAATGTTATGATCAGCTTCACAATATTGGTTGCCAAATTCCAGAACCAACCATGATAATTTCGTTCACTTATTATAGTTTTCAATAAGTTTTATCTACGTGACGGCCAGCTGGCTGATAATTTATGTTAAAAGGGAAAGGAAACAATCAGGACCTGCGAGGCCTTCAACAGAAGTGCTCGTTAAGGGAAGATTTATACGAAGGTTAAAAAAACGATTAATGTCACATTGACTTAACAGCTGTTGGGATTAACTTGACGTGAATAGTATTAGCAGAGGTCAGCACCAACCATCAGACATTTAGTCGTCTTTAAAATAGTTTGAAATCAGATGAGTGAGTACTTGTATTCACGTTTGGGAGAAACAAATTAGCGTTACTTACATTATTTTCGAGTCGGCTAGTTCGTTGATGGTTTCAATGCGTTTTGTAGGCACGGTGATGGTGAGGAAAGCCACAAGGTTGCTTGTGTATGCCATACAGAGTACGAAGCACATAAACCACCATGGAAGCATCCACACGTGCATCCACACACCATGCACCTCGCTGCTGTAGCCTTGGTTTGACAAACTGGCCATCAACTGATGATAATCAAAGAGGAAATTTTTTTAATTATGATAAAGCGAGGAAAGCAGACTAGTTATAGTCGAATTATATATGTTAGGGTAAGGATAACTTGATTACAATGATCTTCGTGAGCTCACGGTTGTGGGTTGAGTGACACTCGTTCTATTTCATGATTGTTACAATTTTCAAGGCAACAAATACCGTTTGGTGTGAGGGCTATGTGGCAGAAACTGAACCATACCTTAGAAATCTATGTGTTATTGTTTTGGCTTTCCACCCATATCAGTTTATCTCTTTTTGATTTAGATTATTTTTTTCTTTAAATTACAGCCAAAATGATTTTTCAAAAAAATAGAGGGAGAATTCCTGAGAGATTTGCGAAACTATTTCAATTAATAATAATTCAAATCCAGGGGAATGCATCAACTTACTTGCATGAACCCTATGTGGTGAGGCTTGTAGGGTTGCATGATGGACATAGCAATAGTGAAGAGAGCAACAACCACTATAGCCATAATTAAGATGTACACCCAAACTCTGGTAGTGAATGGGTACAGCACTCCTCGCCACTTTGGTAATGGATCTGGGATCTTGAGTATGAAGCTAAAACCTTCACTGAAGTACGGATACGTGCTGTCGAATTCAACATTTCTGTCCCATGTGAGTTCAATATTATTGATGATTATTGATTTGTTGTGGTATGCCAAGTCTGCGAACATTCCGGTCCAAGAACCGTTAGTTTTGGACCCCCAGCGACAATCGGCTGTTCTCATCTGCCACGTATACGTGAAGTTGAGTTTCGCAGCCAAGATGTCTAGGATGTCAAAGGCAGCTCCAGGGCACGTGTTGTTTGGTCCAGGGTACAGGAAAGGAAAATCGGTGCACGATGTTGCCAACGCAATCTTAGCTCCTCCGAAGTTGTCAATTTCCCGTCGCGATCGATTGAATTTATGTTGAAAAGCGTTAGAATTCCACCTTCCGACTAATCGAAGTGCGGCCTCACCCGTCCCACTGGAGTTGGAAAATGTTTGGTGCACATTATACACCAAGAATGTATATTGTGAAACACTCGGTTTGATCATAATGATAAACCTTGATCTACGTACTACGTTGTGATTAGCAATGGCACTGTGATCAAGTTTTTCATTCAAAGAGAAGAGTACAAGCAGTTCTGGGTTCCATTTCCATGAATTAGAAAGCAGATTGAAAAATTCAGATGGATAATTGAAGAAAACCACAATTACGTTCATAAAACCTCCTCGGATGAATTCCAGTGGAATGTATTCATCATTGGTGTACTCATCCCAATAATATAGAGTCCGTATGGAAGACGCATTGGCTAGTGTCCAATCTAGAACTTCTGAAAAGCTTTCATTAAACTTTAGAAACGGGTCTAGAATCAGTAGCAAATTTTCACCCGAAAAAGTTTCCCAAAGTAATTCACCAAGAACCGATTTGATACTGTCGAATTTTTTTTCATGGTATGGTGTATTTTCAATAAATTTTAACTGATCATTGTCGCTCATGCTAGTATGAGTAAACATAATCAACAATCCTATAATTCGTCCACACCACATTGTTCATTTTCTCCGTCGATCATGAATTATCTCACATGTTGATCTCAACATAACACAGAAGACTACGTCACTGGCCGTACACTGGCTTGTAGTGTTCATACCAGTGGGAAATCGTCGACATTTATCATATTTGATAAGTCTTCTGTGATATCACTAGTACTGACACGCGTCGAACACTGCCCTACCCTCATGATGGTATCGTTGATAATGAGATCCAACAAGTCGATCTGCGAAGCAGCTTAGCATTGTATCATCTTTGATGCAACTTTTGTGGAAATCGATGCAAAAATGTCTGGCCATAAATTCCGTCGTCTCAAGTCAGTTAAATATTTCAGTGATCCTCATCGATCGATTTAGGAGAGAAAATTCACGTAGCTTTAACAAATAAAGAAAGGTCTTCTTACGAACACTAACAGGTCATTGTCCTGGTGAACTGAGGATCATGGTGACGTTCCTTCCTTTCTTTTCTAAATCCACTTTCATTCCTTTTTCTAAAATAACACATTTTTCACTATTTTTAGCACATTTTCTCATTTATAAAAAAAAGGCGCTATTGTGCTCGTAGTCCGTCCGTCTGTCTGTCCGTGACTTCACGTTTTCGTCAATTTTTAGAAAATGCGCTCTCTGTCACTCACTGCAGTGAGTACTGCGGTATATATTTTACATATTGACATAAAATTGACGTTAAAATAATAAAAAAAATAAATAAATGATAGAATAATAAAAAAAATAATAACAAATAAAAAAATAAAATCCCATTTCGGTTGCTTTGGATAAAACTTTGAAAATTGTTGCTCAAATTGCGAGCAGGGCAATTATTAGCAAGGTAGGATTCAAGGCAAAAATTTCAATCGTGTGAGTAGGAATATAGATACGTAGCTTTAGGAAAACAAATCAATCATGAATTTATTTACCACAATTATTTGCTATGGTTCACATAGATCAACGATAAATATTTATGTTTTTCAGAAAAGTTTTTTAGTATATTCTGTCAATCAATTTCATCATGTTCACTTAATGAAGGCGCTTGATTGGTTATCCTTCTTTGATAATCGTTATGGACCACTGTTCACGATTAAAAAAAAAGACTATTAAACTCTCATGATCGTCAGGGCAGCAACATGTTCGAGATTTATGTTCAAGATTTATACGTAGTTAAGCGAATGCATTGCTCTAGTTAAGTATGAAATTAAGAAAAGTATAGGGTATTTCGATGATGAGTGTCCGTTACAGACACAAAGAAGTATTAAACTCAACCTATTAAATTTTTTGCAAATAAATACTAACGCAACTTGAAAGCTTAGTATATGAGTCGCTTACCATAGTCATTCTCCAGCTTTCTAAATAATGTGCATGCTGATATATTGATATCCTCTGTTCAAGAACCAGGAGGCGTCATTGAGCTATCAAATTTTGACAGAGGACAAAGAAGACTCGCGCCATTGAAGAAGAAAAAATGCAACAAAGAAACCTACTGTCCCCTATTGGAAAGGAATAGAATTTTCTTTATCCGCAGTAGAATATATGTTTTGTTCGGTTTGTTTTCTATATAATATTTCGGTTTGTTTTTATTCGCGATCCTCAACCATCTTGTTCGCTGTTAATAAATATTTCATCCATCTTTGTTTGTTGTGTTCGTTATAGACAATAATGAATGAACGGCAAAATAATGCATAATTTGCACTGACACATAAAAACCTAATTATAGTCGTAGGATTTATTTTTTTTCTTTATGAGCTCATGTTCCGATTACTGCAGCGACTAGAACAATCGTTTATCAATGCTGCTCCCATAGTTTTTTTTGCAGCCTGCCAAGTTTGTAAGAATAGGTATATAAAAATCACAACTTTAAGTGCAGAGCTTGTCAAGTTGATCGATGGTAATCATTAGTCTTCAAGAAAAGAGTACATATTAATCATGATATCGCCTGTTTACAAGGTTTCTATCATTGCTGAATATTATAGATTTTATAATATGCAGTTGAGGAAATGTTCGACTGAAATTATTGTTGATGTTCTCATGACCATCTGTTGGATAGGATTGTTCATGAATATTATATGGTAGTAATTGAGACAAATGCAGTTGAAGCCTATGAAATGCGGATTTAAATTCGTACACTTATTGCAGTGCATCATAGAGCCTTCAATTATAGATAGATGAGGCATAAAACTGAAGAACAAATGACGGTGGATGGTTACTGATGATAAAGTGCACTCAATGATGTCATGAAATGTTCAATTTGTTTCGACGCACGGCTTTAATCATTGCTGAATTAAGAAGTTCTCCTGTACTGCTGAGAAAGGCATCGCAGTTTTTCTATGCAGGTAATTAGCCAATTATATTGCATGTATAAATCTGCGCCTACACTCTTAGACCGAATGTGTCATTTACCTGCGAATAAACTTCGTGGCTCACATTTGTAAACATGTAACAGGACTGGAGCTTATATGAGGCATATTGTTTCAGTGGCAGTTACACTCCCGTATCGATAGACTTTAATAATGTCCAAACTTTGAAAAGAGTTTCTTCCATGTCAGTGATTATGCAACTTGTATTCTCAGGCCTGGCAGGATATGAAGCGACTTCTCCGTGACAAACGGATTCTAGAAAGCAATCACATAACAATACATACCAAGAAAAACATAAGGGAACGGTATGATATGTTAATGAAATAATTACCTATGAAACAAATGATCACTAATTAAAGATGAAAAGATAATTAAACATAACGATTAGCTGGATTATTCGGGCCACAGCACGTGTCGGCATCTACCTTTACAAACGAATGCTATAGACTGCGACTGAAGTGAACTGCGACGACTAGCCTTCAGTCGATCATTACGATAAATACCAGCAAACATGGTATATTGAAAAAATTCGTTCACACGAACTGCGGCTGCAATGAATTTATTTATGAGCCCATCGAGCGTTGTTAACTTAATAATTTATCCACCGTAAACACCACTGCTTCAATATGCCGCCTCACGCGGCGCAAGTAGGAAATTCAAGTCCGAACTGAAGCTCAAGCTTTGGCTTCGGCGAGACGAAGCTGACGCGCAGCCTAATTTGGGTTCTGGGAAGTAGGAAATTCAAGTTCGAACTGAAGCTCAAGCTTTGGAATCGGCGAGACAGAGCTCTGATGCTTAGAGTTCTGGGCTAGACAGCAGAAATAAAAAGTTTGTAAGTTTTTGCACGTCCATGTTCTCATTTCATATTTATTCCATGGACGATCATATATTTGCGCGGCATTGCTCCATCCCTTTCAATTATGCAGACTTGAATGACGTTTTCTCAGTGAAAAAAAAAATAAACATATTTTAAGCGACGATGCGATTTCGCCTATGTCTTGGCGGATGTCTGAGACATGGCTACAAATACTAAATTTTAGCGTTACAAAACAACACTGATATTCTCCCTAACTTATTTGTTTAATGCCAGAGATTGATAAGTAACTNTACCATTCCCTGTGAACTACTAGTCTACATAGGTGCAGCATGTACGCAAGAATTATTAAAACTTCGGTCATTGACCGAAGTTCGGTGATGAAGGGTAGTATTTTTAGGGAAAAACCGTATAAAATCCGAAATCGGAAGCTGTGTTCTTTTTAATTGTGGAAATGCATGGAACTGTGCAAATTCCACTCATCCTATGGAATTTCGCGCTTCGCATAATAAAAAATTTAGCCCAGAAAAAGGGTTTCCATGGCGTACGTGTTTTTCCCTTGCTTCGCACGCCGCGCGGTGAGTAGCTCCAGCAGCAAGCACAAAGTTGCTCCCACGTACAGGCAGGGACAGAGGATGAAGGCGGCCGCGAGGTGGGACAAAGCCAGGGGTCGCAAATCATCTTCCTGCAATAAGAGAAAATTGAGCAGATCTTACAATCTATCCAGACTTTGTGAGGAAAGCCGCCGTGAAAACCTCGTCAATGATTGTGGGGCCGTGAGCGACAGGCAAACTTAGACACCGGCAAGAGGGAGTGAACAGACCGGCGAGGCTCTAATTGCCTAATTGCCCTAACCTGATAACCGAACTTTTCACATGTAATTACTCGCATGAAAGAAAATATAGATATTTCCATGAAAGTAATTTATTCCATCAAAGAGTTAGTAAAATTTGAATTCAGAAAGAGCCACGTGGCCTGGAAAATCGATTTGAGCTCAAACTATTTAGTATGAATTTCCTTCACTCAATTTGAATGCTTGGGTGAGTCTGACTTTATTTACATTAAACTACGCTAGCCTATTCCTTGAATCCAGCCGAAACGGTCAGAGTTATTTATAAACCAGACTTTTGGTCATCGTTTACTTTACAATTTTGCGTGGATGTTAGTTATTTAATACTGAACTGGGTTATTCCGATTGATATTGATTTAAACTCAATCTTTTTACAATTACAGCTCAAATGGGTGTCTCTGATGGCTTATCATAATTATTGTTGCATTTTTTCTAATTTATTTCAGTACTTGCCTTATCAGGGGGAATCTCCTTCAACATGTGTTTGTTGTAGAGTTTTCGTATAATGCCTGCCTCTACGAGGCGCTGCTGGTTCTCAGAAAGCAGTTCGGTGTAGGGCGTGTTTTTCGGTAGGTAGTATACCAGGTAGCTTGGGTACAACTGCGCACCGAGAATAAAAGAAAAACCGCACGTTTTATCTTCAACTATTGCATTTTCCTCGTCAGAATGAAATTTCACGCTCTCATACTACCTGGTGTAATTTACATACTACAAACTTACAGCGGTTTCTCGCCTATTTGAAATTGGCATACGCGTGCAACAGGAACCGCCGCTGCCAAGGGGAAATTGTTCTTCACAAAGTATTACATCATTTGATTTCTTAAATCGCAGGTTCAACAAGAATTTAAAAGCAAAGAAAACAGCCAAATAATTCACCATTTCTTATGAATGAAAACGTTTCGGACTTCAGCTCCACCGTCATTTCAAAACCTATAAGACAAGCAGAATCAATTAGAAAACTAAAATTCACATTGAATATAAAAACCTAAATTGACAAAAGAAAAACAAATACACATGAGGCGACAGGCCTATCTGTTCACAATTTCAAGGGGACAGGAGCTGAAGGCTGCATTTAAACTAAATTTTTGTTAAAAAAAATACAGGGATTCTAAAATTCGTTGGTCAGAAACAGCAGCGAGGCACTCATTAACTAATAATGAGTGCTTCGCCGGTCGTGAAAGCTAGAACTCTAAAATCACTATCAGACCACGGAACATCGCACTGCTCGGCATGGACGCGCACATCTGAATGTAGAGAATACGCAAGTAATGTTCCCGTTCGAAAACTTCAGCCCCTATGCTCCGCCAGCCTATAGTGTGACATTTGCGAGACATCATACCGACGTACGCTGATGCACACTGCACACAACTGTATATACTATGGACGAACGCATAAAAGGCGGTAGAGTATATTTATGATTGAAGTATAAAGACACTATCCCGCTGACGACAGATTGCAATGCGAAAAAAAGATCAAATCATAAAACGCCTCAAGGCCACTGAAAATAAAATATACAGACATAAAGATAAATAGATACGAATTGCTTGATTATCTTCACCCTAATCTCAGTAAATTTAGAAACTACAAATAGCATCATCACACACTAGTCAAAACTAAATCATAATAACGAATGGAAAAAATAATTGAATTAGGTGAAAAATATTTTTCAAACTTTTATCTGTCACACACTAACATGCAAACTTCAAAATTCTCACCACTTCTTGCATGAAATAGGTCTGAGACGTGACATTGTTGATATCCCTGACATAGTAGTGGTAGGACTGTCCATTAATAACAGCATGTGTCCCTTTAGCTACTTTCTCCCGTAGCATTGGGCCCAACTCCTCGTTGGAATGAAATAATTGTAATTTGGCCCCAATTTTCGCCAAGCTTGGGTCTGTTGATTGCCGCAGTGCATCGGGAACAAAATTTCCGTAGTCTTCCATAGCCACGCTGGAAAAGTCATGAAAAAATATTTTAGTTCTTCGCCACGGTTGCCCTGCCGACAAGTTGCAGTGAGAAAGGTGAGACAAGTTGCACTAAATATATAAATTTTATTTGCATTACACAATAAACGATTTTTTCCCTTCAACCAGAGAGGAAGTAGGTTTGTTTTTGTTAATTTTTATTTTATTTCGCTAGTTTAATTGTCGTCTTTTCTCTTTCTCGAAAGGTTACTCAACAATTTTACTGAAAAAATTCAAGCTTCAGTTTGCAAAACACGTTTCACTGGTTGCGCAATTAAATTGCAATTTAATCCTTGATATCAGGCTTCAGATTCGTTGAAACACAAAGCTTAGTGCAGTATTCTTTCCTACGATCAGTTCATGGGATCTGAAAAAGAACTTCGGTTGCGAAGTTAGATTGCTTTTTAGGTAGGATTATTCGTTTCTGATAATGTGCATACGTTGTCATTGCACCCTTTCATTATTCCTGCTGAGCCTCAAGCGAGGATATTTAATTGACTAGAGTTTTAAATTTTGATAATTGTCTTTAAATTCGGGTTTCCAACACGGTGTACGATGGACTGACGAACTTGTGTAATAACAAGCCATCTCTCCCTTGCTTTTGGGGTAGTTTTTACAGTCCGATCTCAGATTCGGCCGCCCCTGCAGGGCGCGGAGTATGGTGTGCGAGACGCGCGCTTCACTGTCACTAGAGAATTTACCGAGTGTAAATCAGGGGCTCATTTTGCTCGAAGGAATGGAACGAAACCCGAACAAACAGCAGCTAATTTGCGAGCTAGGTGAGTCTGCGGCGTTATTATGCCAGAGGTGCCATTCACTTAGATTGAGACTGAGAAACTAGATGTTAGCTCTATCGGAAATCAAGTTAGCATTAAAAATTATATCTCATTTCATGCGTTTATTCCTACTAAACCCAAGGTGTGTCTATGAGGTTCGGAGTACAATCAATAAATGATATTCAACCGTGATGAAAATACGAATAGCTACATGGAATTTGAGTGAGAAATTCGCATTCTATTCTAGTGGGAAAATATTCATGATACTTACATTATATTCGAGTCGGCTAGCTCGTTGATGGTTTCAATGCGTTTTGTAGGCACGGTGACGGAAAGGAAAGCCACCAAATTGCATGTGTAGGCCAAACAGAGTACGAAGCACACGAACCACCATGGAAGCATCCACACGTGCATCCATCCACCGTGAACTTCGCTACTGTAGCCTTGGTTCGCCAAGCTTGATACCAACTGAGGAGGACGAATTTATAATTTATGATTCTACACATACCGACTATTTACAATGTTAGCAAGAATATTATCGTGTATGGTAATCTTCGCGTTTTTCATTTTTCTCCGCATTACTTGCCTAGTGCACGTACTGAACTGACGCTTTTCCGAACTCGTCAGCCGAACGCAACTTAAGCAAAATTGAACCGCTCATAAGCCACTCAATTCTGAATTGATCTGAAAGAAGCATGAAATTAGAAACATAACTAAGTATTAGCAATAAGCCGCGGTAGGAATCGTCGAAAATTTCTACATTGAGTAATAGCATTTTAATTGAGTATTAGTATTTTAACTAAGTATTAGCACTACGCCGAGGTAGGAATCGTCGAAAATTTTTACATTTTCGTTTGGTAAAAAAGAAAGTGTCTGAAAATTGAGTTAAGTTGGGTTAGGACTGATTAGGGTCGGCTATTTATTATTAAATCATAATCATTTAACCTATTCTATCTTAACCAATACTGACTTAACCTATGTTAACCAATCCTAACGTAAACTATATTAACCAATCCTAAACTAAACTATAATAACCAATCCCAATAACATATCTTAATCTAACCTATCTCAACATGACCTAACCTTAACTGTTTTCATATTATTTTAATAAAAAATGCTGCATCGCGAAAATTTGTGATGATTACGTCCTCAGTGTCTTGCTACCATTTAGTTTTGAACTGAATTTCATGCACATACCTTTAGAACCGAGGTATTTCTATATTTCTTTTAGAAGTGAGGTAGCTGTTCGGTTTCGCCTAAAGTTAAGTTTTTCGCTAAGTTTTTCGTTAATTCTGCTGACGAGTTCGCGGCTGAGTTGAGGAGAGCTATCAAGCTACCTGTGCACGTTCTTAATGAGGTTTAAAGGCATCAAAATGGCTGAAATGAATTACGCAGGAATAATGTGTGCTATGTTGAAATAAAACGTGTCGAAGATTTTATATCTAATTAACATTAAACGAATTGGGAACCGTGTCCAAATTTAGAAGTTCCAAAGATCGAATTCACCACGGCAATGGGAAACCACACGTACACCGTTGGTCCTGTGCCCTATGATTTTTAGCATGTCAGAACTTTTTCGATTTTGCTTAAAAATCCAGACCTTAATCAGGGACTTACTTGCAAGAACCCTATGTGGTGAGGCTTGTAGGGTTGCATGATGGACATTGCAATAGTGAAGAGAACAATAATCACTATAGCCATAATTAAGATGTACACCCAAACTCTGGTAGTGAATGGGTACAGCACTCCTCGCCACTTCGGTAATGGATCTGGGATCTTGAGTATGAAGCTAAACCCTTCTCTGAAATACGGGTACGTGATGTCGAATTCTGCTTCTCTGTCCCATGTGAGTTCAATATTATTTATGATGATAGATTTTTTGTTATAGGCTAAGTCTGCGAACATCCCGGTCCATGAACCGTTTTCCTTTGACCCCCACCGATCATCGGCCGGCCTTTCTTGCCACGCATAAGAGAAGTTGAATTTTCTTGCTAAGATATCCAGAATATCAAAGGCAGCTCCTGGGCACGTGTTGTTTGGTCCAGGGTACATGAATGGGAAATCCCAGCAAAAGGTTGCCAAGTCGATTTTAGCACCTCCAAAGCCGTCAATTGTTGTTCGAGACAGTTTGAATTTGTGTTGAAAGGCCTGATAGTCCCACCTACCTACCATCTGAAGATCGGTCTCACTTGCATGTGTAAGTTCAAAATTAGTGTGGCGGACATTATAAACTATGAATTGATCTTTCAAAACGCCCGGTTTGATAAAAATTATAAATTTTGATCTCTGTACTGTGTTGTGTTTCGCAATGGTATCGGTTTCGAGTTTTGCATCCAAAGAGAAGAGTATAAGTAGTTCTGGGTTCCAGACCGAAGATTTGGCAAGTTGATCAAAAAATTCATATGGATCATTGACGAAAACCACCACGATACTCATAAAACCTCCCTGGATAAATTCCCGGGGAATATATCCGTCGATGTTGGTGTACTCGTCCCAATAAATCAAACTCCAGGGAGCTGATGCATTGGTCAGTGTCCAGTCGACGACGTCCGAGAAACTTGCATTGAGCCTCAAAACGGGATCCACAATCAGCAAAATATTTTCACCCGCAAAAGTTTTCAAAATTAATTCACTAAACACAAATTCGAAGTCATATAGCTTTTGTGCTTTGTCTGTTGTAAATTGTATTCCGTTGAATGAATTGCAATGGCAAATTGAAGTTTGAAGCATAGCGATTAAAATAGTTGCAATTCGCTTTTTCTGCATTGTGACTTTATTTGAGACCTTAATCTTTCTTTGTATTTTCTTTTGCAACAAGAATTTCGCGCTTGAGATTGCAAAGTTAGATTATCACAAGCTTATTATTTCCATATTGGAAGATCGTCATATCAAATTTAATTCGATGACTTCGCTGTTACTTCCTTCAGTTTCGATGAGACAGACGCTGACCTTGCTACGTGACAATTCTGGAGACAATGAGTTTCGACTGAAGATTCTGGAGGTGATGATCATAGCATAATTCAGTTGGCAAATGAAGATTCAATGAACTGCGATGCAACATCTGTGAAGATCTATTGCAATTGCCTATCTGTGATCGCGGCTATGCACGTTTTGTTTGTAAAATTTATGGACTTGGGCACATTATTAGTCGATCGAATCAACGTTGATATTGTAGACAGTTAAATAATTAAATCTATGATGGCACAGAACTCTTCACCTGCCCCGTAAATCTGTGGGCGCAGTGTTGACCTAGGCCATCACATTCATCTAACATTTCTTATGAAGTCTCCTTCTTTATGTATAGCATTCATCTTGAACGACCAAACAGTCACAACGACAGTGAAATGATATGCATTAGGGCACCACTAAATCCTCTTTAAATCTGACTGAAAATTCATTCACACTTTCGTGGTAAATGTGCGCATGGTAAAGAAAATATTATCCCGTTTATAGCAAAAATAATTCGTATTGCTTAATACGCGCATGGCGTAGAAAATAGTATCATGGCACGATACTATTGTGCCTATATAAAAAACGAAACCTTGTTGTAGTACCTGCCAATACCTTGTACCTAGTTTTTCGATCATAGAATTCGCAGATTCATGAAACGTACATAATAAATCTGGTCATATTGAGCAACGGTATTAATTAGCCAATTGTATTGCATGTATAAACCTGCGCTTACACTCTAAGACCGAATGTGTCATTTACCGTCGAATAAAATACGTGGCTCACATTTGTAAACATGCAACAGGAGGGTGCTTATATGAGGCATATTGTTATAGCGACAGTCACACTTCCCAATGATAGACCCAATTGATAGACCAAAACCTTAAAAAAAAGTTTCTTCTATGCCAGTGTTTACTAAGCTTGAATTCTCAGACCAATTCTCAGGCGACTTCTCCATGACATACGGTCGCTAGAAACAACCGCTTGATACATAAGAAAAACATAGGGGAATATGGTACGGTATGTTAATGAAAAAATGGTCCATGAACCAATGTGGGAAATTTCCCACCGTTCGTTGATTTTCAATTGTTAAACTTTTATATAAATAAAGTGTTGGGGTAGTATTAAGATAATTTGGGGTAATTTAGATTCCGTAATTTGAGATGGTTAGAACGGGGAGCCGGAAAAAAAGGAGTAGAAAGCAATACGCCAGGTTGAGGAGAGGTACGAAACCAAGAAGAGAAGGTTAAGTGTTTGCGTCACCGCCTTAATATAGATCGCCAGCGCCGCTTCAATTATGCTCAAGTTAAATTCTACTAAACTTCCTTGAACTTTGCTGTGTCTTTACTTTATTTTGTTTGCCAGAGTTTCTTTCGTTTGTTTAGTTGCAAACTGCTATGCTTTATTTTCAACTGGGTGCTTCAGTTTCAATTAATTCTATTAAAATATCTTAATCACCTTCAACAATTAAAATTCAATTTACTTAAAGTTCAAGATGGCGGCACTGAAAATAGCTGTGTTGTCACTAGCGTAAGTCGTCACTTGTTCATTAACCTTCTTTCTAATCAAACTCTTGAACTATTCTATACTATTTCCTAACTGAAGCATCCTCCTTAATCTGATTTCATCTATTTTCATTTAATTGTTTCTTCAAAAAGTGTATTACCACACTGAGTCCACAATTAACTCAGGTGTGTTAACATTCAATTTTACTATTTGTTTTAAAATCTCACAAGATACTTTGAAATTTAGAAACGGTTACTTGTTCATCCACCTGTATTCAGCCTGCACCCTTATTTTTATTTTCAGTATCACTCCATCTGTTCAAGACCAGCTGCAACTCTTTGGTGTCGATGACGATAGCATGACGCATTTTCTGATGTCCTTGATTCCCTTGCCGAGACCATTGCCGACTCCTTCAAGTCTACCAACAATTATTGTTTGTTCAACATTCATCTATAAATAGTTTCATCTAAATAAATTAAATAAATCTCTAAAGCTATCATTCAACTAACTATCACTTACCTTAAGAACGATTGTGTGAAATTATTCACACCAAATAATCAATAATTAAATATTGAAAGATAAATTAAATCAATAAATTATTTACACCAAATAATCAATAATTAAATATTGAAAGATAAATTAAATCAACCGCTCAGAGTGATTCCTCGTGGCACAGCAAGTGTCGGCATCTACGTTTACAAACGAATGCTATAGACGTATAGGTGAATTATTGAACTGCGACGGCTAGCCTTCTGTCGATCACTACGATAAATACCAGCAAACATGGTATATTGAAAAAACTCGTTCATACGAACTGCGGCAACAATTAATTTATTCATGAGCCCATTGAGCGTTGTTAACTTAATAATTTATCCACCGTGAACACCACTGATTCAATATGCCGCCTCACGCAGCGCAATTATGGAATTCAAGTCCGAACTGAAGCTCAAGCTTTGGGTTCGGCGAGACAGGGCGCTGATGCTTTGAGTTCTGGGCTAGACAGCAGAAATAAAAAGTTTGTAAGTTTTTGCACGTCCATGTTCTCATTTCATATTTATTCCATGGACGATCATATATTTGCGCGGCATTGCTCCATCCCGTTCAATTATGCAGACTTGAATGACGTTTTCTCAGTGAAAAAAAAAATAAACATATTTTAAGCGACGATGCGATTTCGCCTATGTCTTGGCGGATGTCTGAGACATGGCTACAAATACTAAATTTTAGCGTTACAAAACAACACTGATATTCTCCCTAACTTATTTGTTTAATGCCAGAGATTGATAAGTAACTCATACGACAGCAATTTTTTGCCACAAATTGCGCTTGCATGAACCGTTGTTTGTTTGCAACATTCTGTTGAAATAACATAGTTTCTCCATTCAAATTTGCCATGAATACTAATGTATGCAGTGTTATATCATCTGTATGTGAGTATATCATTGGTTAGGAAACAACTAGGGAAATGAATGCAATATTAGGAAATAAAAATACAAATGAATGTGTGATATACAGTATATATGTATGGATTTTTGCCAACAATAGAATAGTCATTGCTTTAAGTCGAAGTGCTTATGAAAGAGGATAAGCAAAACAAATTCTATTTTAATTCACGCTGAGTTTGCGCAATTTCCGTGATTGCGTGCTGCCTAAAATTTAAAACCTAAATTATACTTATCGATGTACAATTATATAATTTAAAAATAGAAGAGCCACATGTTCAAGGTAAATGTTATTTCTCTAGAACCATGAATCACTACTTCATTTTACTCAGATAATAAGTTTGTCTTTGACCAAAATTTTTCTTTCAATTGCATGCGCCCGCAAAGAGCGGAAATAGAACTGCACGATGTGCTACATCAGCACATTTACCTGGCCAAATTCCACCCGCACATCTGCAGAATTTACCAGGCCAGACTTTGCAAGATTGACAATAGGAAAGTTCAATAATTACCCTTGCACGATAATCCATTAGCTGCTTTCATGCAAAATTTGAGAATATTCCAAAACGATAATAAGTTATTGAATTAATTAATAATTCCGATATTTTCCAATGTGACAAGTAAATTTAACATCTCTTGGATATTGTGTTCGCAAATGTTCAGAGAAACAATCATGCGAACGATTACGCAAATAGATAAAAGTTTTACAGCGCGTTCTTCTCCAAATCTAACTTTGAGGTTAAGGACCACAAAAAAATTTAAATATTGCTAATCCAGGCAAATAACTTCTTCGTATAATACATTTTGATGGCGACTAGTATTTACTCTAGAACGTAGGCTGTGGAGAATAGAAAAACGTATACCCTAAACATAAGAGGTCTATGATCAGTGTAGAGGCTGATTTTGGCTAAAGACTCACACGCAGATTCGTTTTTTTTGCAGATTTTAAAGCATTTATCCATTCAAAAACGATACAGCTATTTAGCTAGAATCATTAATTGCCACCGAAAACGCTGTTTACTTACGGTATTATTCGTATTAATGAATTTATTCATTGAAAGAAGCATATCCAATTTATGTCGATTATTTTGATTCTAATCGAATTACACACAGCAGATGCAACTTTCATAGTACAACTTTCTTAGGAATTTTTTTGACACAATTTTGTTGGAACATATGACTGTTTCCTACTCATTCAATACTTTACTATTGGACTACATCAGCGATAATTAACTTTTTTGTGATCAAGCACCACTAGTAGGTCCGTCCACTTGTCGCGAGCCACCAGGTTCCATGCATCGCCTATTAATCTCTGACATGTAGTTTCAGGTGCATTTGTTTTACTAAATAAGCTAATAAATGTAGTATCAAGTTATTGTACCGTTTGACTTTGACGATGGGCAGCTGTGGTTATGTTGATGTCGCGTAGCAGTAGTTGTAAATCGTTGTCAGATTTGCTTAGGGAGGACAATAAATATTTCTAGGGAAAAAACGAACGAATAATCGTTCACAAGATCTAAAGTGCTTGCTTATTACTAGTGATACACGTGCATAGGGTGGGACTACTAGGCTACATAGGCGCAATATGAACGCAAGAATTATTCTGACCCACTGACAGAAGTTCGGTGAAGAAGGGTAGTATTTTAAGTGAACTGCCGCATCAAATTCCAAATGGAAAGCGGTGTTCATTTTTAATTGTGGAAATGCATTGAACTGTTCAAATTCCATTCATCCTATGGAATTTCGCGCTTCGCATAATCAAAAATTCAACCCAGGAAAAGGGATTCCATGGCGTACGTGTTTTTCCCTTGCTTTGCACGCCGCGCGGTGAGCAGCTCTAGCAGCAGGCACAAAGTTGCCCCCACGTACAGGCAGGGACAGAGGATGAAGGCGGCCGCGAGGTGGGACAAAGCCAGGGGTCGCAAATCATCTTCCTGCAAGAAGAGAAAATTGAGCAGATCTTACATCTATCTAGACTTTGTGAGGAAATCCTCAGTGAAAACCTCGTCAATTATTGTGGGGCCAAGAGCGACAGCCAAACTTGGACACCGCAAGGAGGGTGTGTACAGACCGGCGAGGCTCTCATTGCCTAATTTCCCTAACCTGATAACCGAACTTTTTACAAGTAATTACTCGCTTGAAAGAATCGATACTTCTATGAAAGTAATCGATACTTCTATGAAAGTAATTTATTCAGTCAAATACTTAGTAAAATCTAAATTCAGAGTGAGCCACGTGGCCTGGAAAATCGATTTGAGCTCGAACTCTCATGACACTGAATTTCCTTCACTCAATTTAAATGCTTGGGTGAGTCTGACTTCAATTACATTAAATATAACTACGCTTGGCTATTCCTTGAATCCAGTCGAAACGGGTCGCAGTTATTGTTTAATCCTGACTTTTGGTCATCGTTTACTATAAAATTTTGCGTGGATGTAACTTTTTTTACTACTTATCTTAGCTATTTGAATCGATATTGCTCAATCTTTATACAACACTTCTCTTTAACTTCACTTCTTGTTGTTTGTTTGTCTGCTATAAATCTTATAATCGATATTTAACACACTTCTACCTGACCAATCGATCAAAAATTTTGCACACTTGCGTGAAGGCAGAGACAATGCATGAATCAATTGGCGTAATAAATCATTTGAAATTTTTTTTAATTATACAAATGATATGTAAAATTAATTTTTGTAATATATGATAATAAAATTAGAAATTCGTTGTAGATGGTAACATAGGAGACACTGGATTCTATAGAAGTGTTGTCTTTTAAAAGTAATTTTTAAACGCATATTATTTACAATTACAGCTCAAATAGGTATCATTTATGGTTCATCACAATACCTGTTGCATTTATTCAAATTTATTTCAGTACTTGCCTTATCAGGGGGAATCTCCTTCAACATGTGTTTGTTGTAGAGTTTTCGTATAATGCCTGCCTCTACGAGGCGCTGCTGGTTCTCAGAAAGCAGTTCGGTGTAGGGCGTGTTTTTCGGTAGGTAGTATACCAGGTAGCTTGGGTACAACTGCGCACCGAGAATAAAAGAAAAACCACACGTTTTATCTTCAACTATTACATTTTCCTCGTCAGAATAGAATCTCACGCTTTCATACTACCTGGTGTAATTTGCAAACTTACAGTGATTTCTCGCCTATTTGAAATTGGCATAAGAGTGCAGCCGGAACCAAGGGAAATGCAGGGGTGCAGGGGTGCAGCTGCCAAGGGAAATTGCTTTGTTGGCATCACAAATATCGCATTTTTCAAAAAACACCTTTATATACAAAAAATTATGTTCTCGTCGAGCTTTGCCCAACGGCAGTATGAAAAGAGAACCATATAGATTTACTTCATATGCGAGTATTATAAATATTCTTGCAGTTAATACAAGTTGTCAATAGACTATCACGTCATAATATATCAATAAAAAAATTAGCGAGATAGCGCTACCTATGCTCTATCAATTCTGTTAGAGCACCTTTTGTATCAAGTATTGGTTTAACATGTGCCCTCTGCTTCGGTTTTGGCCTGTGAAATAAACGATAAAGTGCGGCACTTTGCACTGACACAACAGACGTGAGCTTATGATATTGCCACCAAGACAAGTAGAGTAGAAACGGAAGTGTAGGAAGTGGATACGATCATATACGAGCTAAACCAGAACGCATAGGTGAATACCGCATCGAACATAAAGTTGCCAGAAAAAAAACAGTCAGGAGGCTTTACACACGCCTAAGTATATCATCGCCTGAGAAACACACAGAGTAAGGACAATTCAAGCATATGAACATAAATCGCTTTTTCAAAATCAGTTCTTTCTATAGATATATAGATATGCTCCCTTTCCATATGCGATCGTCCCTGGTTACTCAATATTGTTGTGCACGATGCGCATCTGCGTACGTCAGCTTGACGACGCGCAATATTTATTCCAGGATCGCTGAGCATAAGGGCAGGAGTTGTAGGACCGGACAGTTGCTATCGCGCCCCTCTTATTCGGCTGTGCGCACTCATGCATGCAGAGCAGTGTGATGTCCCTGTTTCTGACAGTGACTTTAGGGTATTAGCTTCCACCACCGGTACTTCAGGTTTGCGTATTTTAGAATTATTGTACATTTTTAAACTTAGGCCCAGTTTTAATTCAGCTGTTAACTCCTGTCCCCTTGAAATTGTGTATACATAGGTTTCTTATGCTCTATTACTTGTAAATGTAGGTTTTTAATTGCGTTCGGTGTTTTTAATTGTTTTAATTTGTGACATTCTATAAAAATTTTAGGTTCGAAGAACTGACGATGGAGCTGGACTCCGAAACATTTTCTATAAAGATATTAATTTTTGTGGACTATTCTTTGCTTTTAAATTTTTGGTAAACTTTCACCTAAATCTCAACCAATTTAGAAACTACAAAAGCACCATCACAGGCTAGTAAAAGCCGAATCATAATCACGAATGGGGAAAAAATGATTGGATTTTGAGAAAAATATTTTGCAAATATTTATCTGTCACACACTAAAAGGCAAACTTCATAATTCTTACCACTTCTTGCATGAAGTAGGTCTGAGACGTGACGTTGTTGAGATCCCTGACGTAGTAGTGGTAGGACTGTCCATTAATAACAGCATGTGTCCCTTTAGCAACTTTTTCTTGTAGCATTGGGCCCAACTCCTCGTATGAATGAAATAATTGTAATTTGGCCCCAATTTTCGCCAAGCTTGGGTCTGTTGATTGCCGCAGCGCACCGGGAACAAAATTTCCGTAGTCTTCCATAGCCACTCTGGAAAAATCAATAGAAAATATTTTAGTACTTTGCTACGGCTCCTCTGCTGACAAGTTGAACTGAGCATGGCGTTGCACGGGAATAAAGGTATAAATTTTATTTACATTGTTAGTAAAACGATTTTTTCTTTGCCCTCAACCAGAGAAGAAATAGGTTTATTTTTTTATATTCTATTTCGCTAGTTGAGTCGTCGTCTTTTTCTTTCTCGGAAGGTTGCATAGCAACTTTACTCAACAAATTTAAGCTGCAGCTTACGAAACACGTTTCACCGGTTGCGCAATTAAATTGCAATGTAATTCTTGATTTCAAGCTTCTGATTGTTGAAACTTAGAATAATATTTATATAAAACTTAGTATAACATTAATTCCTACTAACAGTTCATGGGATCTGAAAAAGAGCTTCATTTCGAAGTTAGGTTGAATTTAGATAGGATTATTCGTTTCTAATAATGCGCATACGTTACCATTGCACCCTTTCCTTATTTCTGCTGAGCCTCCAGGGAGGATTATTCAATTGACTAGTTTTAAATGTTTTGTCATTAATTTCAGGATTCCAACACAGTGTACGAGAGACTGACGATCATCCTAAGTATTTATCTGTGTGCCACGCAACGTCTTGCTTCATTTTACTTTTTTTTCATACGGGTGGTAACTTTTTATTCTAGGGTCATCGTTCCGGGATATTAACTTTTCGCCAGCAGTGCGGAATTGTTCTGGCTTACGGTATTCCGGTGTGGTCTGCTGCTTCTATATATCTGCGGCAGAGCGTAGTTATTCCACGCCAAGGCTGAACGTTGGCACCAGCGCTAATATATGAGTTACATTTGTGGTGCTCGGCTTCGCCCCAGAGGCAATCACAGAGTGGAAGATATTCGTGTTCAGATATCTATGTAAAAAATAAACTTCTGCCAAATTACACCAAAACATGTCTATATTAGCACACGTTTCTATGTTCAATTCTGTGGCTGACTGCTGTTTCGTGGTGAGGTTTTGAATCGGCCGTCAACACGACCGGCTTGCAAAAAAAGGCGATACATAATGGCGATACAAGATCAAACCCATTCGTAAGTAACTTATTTGCTTCGTTTCCGTAATATTGTACTTCATTCCGTTGTATCGTCAGGTTTGTTTCCGGTTTAGTCCTGAATGTTATTGTTTTCGAAGAACTACAAATTGCATGAAAAAATAGATTCTTAAGTTATTAACGAACCAGAAATGTTAGAATGGCCAATTTCATCTGAAATTTCGACGATAGGAATGGTTAAATTCTTGTCTTTACAGAAGTTGTTGACAGAATTTTGAAACCGTTACAAAATAATTTACTCGACGAAACTCCTATAGTTACGTATCGTGAAATAGCTAGTTATTATCAAATTATTCTGGATTTACGTAGATCATGCTCGATGAAAATTGAACGAAAACGGGACCTTTTCTTGCTATTAAATCGGGTTTTGCATTGAATTGTAATACCGCGCGCAATTCGTTATATTTTGATATTTTGACGCTATGAAATAGGCGACTAAATTAGAGCCACTTCCCGTTGAAATGGTTACAACTTGCATGCAACGTTCACGCATTTGAATTGATTCATGCAGATACGCTAAGTTGGTGGCGTTGAAAGTAAGAGTAAGTTTGCTACTGGATAATGGGAAGATTGTTTGATTCTGTGATATGTGATAGAATGTGGTATAATATATGTTACTGAATTATGGGAACGAACGTTTGATACGGGTGAATGAGAGAAAATGTGTTATACTTCTGAATGTGGGAGAATGTTTGCTAATGGTGAATGGGATAGAAGGTTTAGCACTGGGGAGTGGGGAAGGAGAAAATTTTCGTACTGAAGAATGTATAGAATAGTTTGGTACAGGTGAATGGGTGAGTATGTTTAGTTGTAGCCAATGTGGGGGCATGTTGAGCGCTGGTGAATGTTGGATAACATTGAGCGCAGGTCAATGTAAGAATATGTTGAAACTGTTAATATGATTTTTTTCATACATGCTTCATCTTATAAAATTGGTATAGAGATATACAAGAGCTAATTAAGTAATGAAATGCCATCTCTGCCTCGCTATCGGGGTAGTTTTTACAGTCCGCTCTCAGATTCGGCCATGCCTGCACGGGACGGTATTGGAATTGGAATTGGGGTGCGTGGTGACCTACGGTCACGACCTTTAAATCGGCCATACACGCTGCCAAAAAACTTTTACTAGCATCAAAAAGAATTAAAAGTTCACACTCTTATGTTAAAAAAAAGTTCAAATATACCATATTCACAGCTGCATGTATAAATAGAAGTGTCGACCCTGAAGAAATCAGGCGTGTTAGAGTTAGACGAACGCTTCACAGTCACCAGGGAATTTATCGAGTGCTAATCAGGCGCTTATTTTGCTCGGCGAAATGGAGCGAAACGCGAACTAAGAGCTGCTAATTTACGCACAGGGCGAGTATGCGGCGTTACTATACCTAAATTGAGGTTGAGAAACGAGGTGTAAGCTCTTCCGGAAATCAAGTTTACAAAAATATATATCTCATTTCATGGGCTTTTTTGGTCTTACTAAATGCAAGTTATGTTTACGAGGTTGGAAGTAAAATCAATAAATGATATTCAACCGTGATGAAAATACGAGTAGCTACATGGCGTCTGAGTAAGTAATTCGAATTCTATTCTAGTGAGGAAATATTCATGCTACTTACATTATATTCGAGTCGGCCAGCTCGTTGATGGTTTCAATGCGTTTTGTAGGCACGGTGACGGTAAGGAAAGCCACAAAATTGCATGTGTAGGCCAAACAGAGTACGAAGCACACAAACCACCATGGAAGCATCCACACGTGCATCCATCCACCATGAACTTCGCTACTGTAGCCTTGGTTCGCCAAGCTTGATACCAACTGAGGAGAGCGAATATATTATCAGTTATCTCCGCGCTGTTAACTTTTCTCCGCATTACTGGCCTAGTGCACGTACTTGATTGACACTTCTCCGAACTCATCAACAGAACGCAACTTTGGCACAATTAAACCGCTCATAAGCCCCCTATATTCTGAAGTTATCTGCATGAAATTTGAAACATTTGTAGGTGTAAGCAATACGCTGCGATAGTAATCGTCGAAATTTTTTAAGTAGCTGCTTTTTCGATAGAAGCGAAAATTTCTAAAAATTGAGTTAAATTAGGTTAGGATTGGTTAGAGTTGGCTATTTATTATTAAATCATAATGATCTAATCTATCCTATCTTAACCAATCATAGCCTAACCTATCTTAACTAATCCTAACCTAACCTATCTTAACCAATCCAACAAATCTTAATATTACCTATCTCAACATGACCTAACCTTACCTGATTGTTTTCAAAAATTTTTGAAATGAAGAATACCGCATCGTAAAAATTTGCAATGATTACTACCACAGTGTCTTGCTACTATTTGTTTTTTTCTGAATTTCATGCTGATCCCTCAAGAATTGAGGTACTTATGAGCTGTTCGGTTACGCAAAAGTTACGTTTTGCGTTTAAGTCTGCCGACGAGTTCGCGGGTGAGTTCAGGGGAGCTGTCGATCCACTTGTGCACGTTCTTAAATGAGGTTTTAAGGCATCAAAAAGGCTGACGCAAGAATAATGTGTGCCCTATTGAAATGAAACGTCGAAAATTTCCTATCTAATTCATACTGAACGAATTGAGAACCGTATCCAAATGTCAAAGTTTTTAAGATCGAATACTCCACGGCAATAGAAACCCACCCGTACCTGTCTACCATCGTGGGTCCTATGGCCCATGATTTTTAGAATGTCAGAACTTTTCCGATTTTGCTTAAAATTCCAGGCCTTAATCTGGGACTTACTTGCAAGAACCCTATGTGGTGAGGCTTGTAGGGTTGCATGATGGACATTGCAATAGTAAAGAGAGCAACAACCACTATAGCCATAATTAAGATGTACACCCAAACTCTGGTAGTGAATGGGTACAGTACTCCTCGCCACTCTGGTAATGGATCTGGGATCTTGAGTATGAAGCTAAACCCTTCGCTGAAATACGGGTACGTGATGTCGAATTCTGCTTCTCTGTCCCATGTGAGTTCAATATTATTTATGATGATAGATTTTTTGTTGTAGGCTAAGTCTGCGAACATCCCGGTCCACGAACCGTTTTCCTTTGACCCCCACCGATCATCGGCCGGTCTTTCTTGCCACGTATAAGAGAAGTTGAATTTTTTCGCTAAGATATCGAGAATATCAAAGGCAGCTCCTGGGCACGTGTTGTTTGGTCCAGGGTACATGAATGGGAAATCCCAGCAAAAGGTTGCTAAGTCGATTTTAGCACCTCCAAAGCCGTCAATTGTTGTTCGAGACCGTTGGAATTTGTGTTGAAAGGCCTGATAGTCCCACCTACCTACCATCTGAAGATCGGTCTCACTTGCATGTGTAAGTTCAAAATTAGTGTGACGGACATTATAAACTATGAATTGGTCTTTCAAAACGCCCGGTTTGATCAAAATGATAAATTTTGATCTCTGTACTGTGTTGTGTTTCGCAATGGTATCGGTTTCGAGTTTTGCATCCAAAGAGAAGAGTATAAGTAGTTCTGGGTTCCAGACCGAAGATTTGGCAAGTTGACTAAAAAATTCATATGGATCATTGACGAAAACCACCACGATACTCATAAAACCTCCTCGGATAAATTCCCGGGGAATATATCCGTCGATTTTGGTGAACTCGTCCCAATAAATCAAACTCCAGGGAGTTGATGCATTGGTCAGTGTCCAATCGACGACGTCCGAGAAACTTGCATTGAGCCTCAAAACGGGGTCCACGATCAGCAAAAAATTTTCCCCCGCAAGAGTTTTCAAAATTAGTTCACTAAACACAAATTCGAAATCATATAGCTTTTGTGCTTTGTCTGTTGTAAATTGTATTCCGTTGAATGGATTGCAGTGGCAAATTATAGTATGAAGCATAACGATTAAAATAGCTGCAATTCGTTTCTTCTGCATTTTGACTTTTTTAAAATGCAAATCTTCCTTGTATTTTCTTTTGAAAGAATTTCACGCTTGAGATTGCGCAGCTAGATTATCATAACCTTTTTATTTCCATTTTGGAAGATCGTCATATCGAAATTAATTCGTTAGCTTCGCGGTTTCGATGAGACAGACGCTGACCTTGCTACGTGACTATTCAGCTGACAATGAGTTTCGACGGAAGATTCAAGAGGTGATGATCATAGCCTAATTCAGTTGGCAAATGAAGATTTCATGAACTGCAATGTAACATTTGTGGAGATCTATTAACAATTGCTTATCTGTGATCTCGGCTATGCACGTTTCATTTGTATATTTTATGGACTTGGGCACATTATTCATCGATCGAATCAACGTTGATATTGTAGACAGTTAAATAATTAAATATATGATGGCAGAGAACTCTTTACCTGCCCTGTAAATTTGTGAGTGCGGTGTTGACTTAAGCCAACGTATTCTTCTAATATTTCGTATGAAGTCTCCTTTTTATGTATAACATGCATCTTAAACGACCATACAGTCACTACGACAGTGAAATTAAAGGCACGTGGGCACCTCTACATTTTTTAACCTGACTGAAAATGTATCCACACTTTCATGGTAAATGAGCGCGTGGTAAAGAAAATATTAGCGCATTTATAGCAAAAAAAATTGGGTTTCTTGGTACGAGCATGGCGTAGAAAATTGTATCGTGGCACGATACTATCCTGCCTATACCTTGCAGCTAGTGTTTCGATCATATGTAGAATTCATATTTTCATAAATGTACATAATAATTCCGGTCATATATACTGAGCAACGTTCTCGTGTGATTGTTTTTTTTATTATGTAGTTTCGCTAAGTGATTATTTTCGAATTTGCATTTTTTTACAGTCATCGTTGCAGAAAACTTACCTGTCTTGATACAATGTTCATTACAGACCAGAATTCATTGAAGATTCTCTAATCTATACAAGTTCTTCCTGCATGTGCATTATTCACAACCTAGTAGAATGTGTGCATTATTTAACATATTTTGTCTATTTTTTCACAAACTTCAAGAATGTTATTTAATAATACCTCATAGTATTAACCTATAACAAATATTGTGTGCAGCGTTCTATGAAATTAATTTTTCCGTCCAATAATATGGATCTTTCCTAAGTCAAGAAGTATGCGCAAGGCAAAAAGAAGATTGTTTCTTAATTTCTTCCTATGCCGGTAAAAATAATTTTCGCATATTCATTTACCCGAATTTCAGCTTCGATCATCAACTGCCAATATCTCCGTTTAATATGTTTTCGTTATAAAAACACTCAATCGTCATTACGCGAGTTGTTCTTCATGAATCCTTTGCCGTTACGACTTGGGTAAACATGGGTTATTAATGTTCATTTCTATTTAATTCTGAATCATTAAATCTCATTTAACCACGTGAATCTCGGGCTAAAGAGAATAGGAAGTCCCTTTTGTTAATTGCCCTTATCAATATTTCCAAACAACTTGAGCCCATGCTGTGCCACACTTTTCAATAGGGTGGATCGAAAAACAACTTTTTAGCGCATTTCTCATTAATGGAAAATATGCACTATTGTGCTCGCCATGTCCGTCTGTCCGTCCGTCTGTCTGTCTGTCTGTCCGTCTGTCTGTCCGTCCGTGACTTCGCGTTTTCGTCGACGAGAAAATGCGCTCTCTGTCACTCACTGCAATGAGTACTGAGTTATACTTTTTGTAAATTCGCTAACCGAATGATTTTTCCTATGTGGACACTTGCAGAATGAATCCCTTCAGAGGATTTTTCCGACGAACAAGTTAAAGACTTGGCGCACAGACCTTGAAAATTGCAAATAACGGGAATTTCAAGGTAATTTTGAATTTTGGGCAAAATCTTCAAATGTTAACCTCGATTACTGAGGTGACGCTGCTGAATAAATATTTTGTAATCAATTGTGTATCAATAAATGAAATATCGAAACAAATCCATACGCGCGGGTGGCTACGATGTCCCTCCCCCTCCCCCCCTTCACCTAGATTGACCTAGGATTTTGCCGTCGCCTGTGTCTCTGTTGGAGCTGTAGGTTGGTTTATAGGAATCTATTATCTTGAAATGTTATTTAGTGCATTTAGTCTATTTGAACTTTCTTCAACGCCTATCAATAATTAATTTGTTTCAGCTCGAGACGATATTCTTGTTAGGTTATGCCAACATAAACCTAAAACGTCAATGACATAAATTCTGACGTCAGGAGCTTCGAAGTAAAATTCAATACGAAAATAGCGCAATAAAACGTTATTATGAAAATAGCATTAAACCTTTGAGTAAAACTTGGGAGATTCAAAATTTCGTTAATACATCTGGCATCATTAAAGTATGGTACAATACAGTTAGTTGTTCTTTGCGTTTGAATGCATCAAATTTGGTGAAGTCTGCATTATCTCTTTAGTCTTGTTTTTAAATGAAAAGAGTACATAAATATCCAACGTAGTCTGAAAAAATGCATTTAAAAAGTAAGACTCTAAAGCTCTGTAAAGTGTTAATAAATTATTTCTTTTCAAGTTGAATCGAGGTATTTATAAAACTCAACTATGTCCTCGCGTCCACAGTGACCAATATTTGCTAAAGAAATATTCATTTTAGCCGAGGACAGTAGGGCAGCTATGCTAATTTAGGTCAGCGATGCTAATTCATTAACAGACCATTTCACTATTCTGTGTCAGCATGATAAGGATTCTTTTAATAAGGCTAATGATTCTGATGCTTATTTGCATGCCTTGAACCGATTTAAGTTCAGGTGCTCGTTTCCTTTATAAGTTACCGTTCAATTTTCATTCTATTTCAACTTTAAAGATTTAGCATTCAAAGGTTAACATTGCGAGTTTATTCTGATATTTTAACGCTTTGATATGATCGAAATACACAAAATTTTGAAGCCAAATCAACATGTAATGATATTTTTATCTTCAGTCGCTCCTTGCTTCTATTTCACTGATAAAAAGTTGCTTCATTTTTTTTTTACTTTCAACAAACGTGTCAAATTTTATCCCACCTTTTTTATGTATGATATAGATTGTTCATAACTAAAAACACATCTAGTAATTAATTAACTATTTCAATTATTTCCCAAATAATTTCCCGATTGGCTATCACTATCGAATCCGCCATGCATGTCCAGCGACGGTGTCAAACCATTCGTATCCTTTATTGTGTTGATTTTATAATCAACCTGAGATGCAAATATATTCCTGCTAAAATATCAACTTGAGATGCAACAATGTTCCGGCTGAAAATCATTAATCCGGTGTTGTATACTTATTGATCACGCTCAATCAATTCACTTAAAAACCTATACAAGTCAGTGCATTTCATTCATTTAAAAATCGGGGGCCACTCCAAACGAGCAAGGAATATTTTTGGAACGGTCATCCAAATGTCACCGTTCGAACATTAAAGCTTTTCGCCATTCAGTGGTTAAGCTTGGAGCTAAGATGAATAAATATAGCAATTGTTCAGGTAATAAGGTCCTTTAAAATAGCCAGTGACCCGCCAATCAATTGAACTTCATGTAACAATTTATGGCCTATAGATGGTAATGTAATGTCTCCTCAATAGCTGGGTAGGGAAGTTTCAACTATTCAGGGCCGAAAAGGGGCCACTATTCAAACTTGACTCAAATTATTGATAGACCTTTCGGGAAAATATCTGTTAAGTCTAGAAAATATGCCGAAGTTTTATTTCAGCACTCATTAAGAATCAAATATTAGAACCTAAGGGGATAAATTACACTCCACCGCTAAGCTTGAATATAGTAGCATACTTATTCGAATTAATGGTCAGTAACTGAAGGGTTAAAATGTACATGTATACGAGGACGTTTGAAACACGAGGTTAA